TAGACATTAAACTTCGTTCTTCGCGTGTGTGTGCATGTATTCTTCTTTCTGGGTTCCTGTCTTTGTGTTTTGTGCGTGTTCTATAGAGTATGAACGATTGAAAAAAAAATTCGACGATCACATCGCATCTGTTCAATGGAGACCTTTTTTTTATCTACTGGAATGATTTTTTCGTATTACTTTTTTTGCGGTCGTCAAATTTCAATCATTAATTCTATTGCTATTCTTTGTTCATTCTTTTTTTCTTTCTCTCTTTTTTTCTTTCTTTCTGTGTTTCTGCTTGCTCTGCCTGTTCATTTGCATTATCATCATTTAAAAACAAAACAATCCCAAATATAATAGTCTATGAACAAATCAAAAATGACTTGTAGACATAGAGGAAAAGGAGTTCGTTATAGTCATAAGCTTGATGGATTGAACTTGTTTGGACAGTGAAGATTATCAGATTCGATACTACAATAAGTCAAATATCATTTCGCAACGAAAACAAAAGATCATTAACTTACTTGTATAGGATATTGATATTGACCTCGATCGCTTGGTGAATGCGGAACAGTTGCTTGTTGGTCTCCATCTTGCGAATTGACCAATCGATAGTATAATTCCGCACGTTCGTACTAGAGTGAGAATTATTGCTAACGAATTACGCATACCGTTTCTTCCTCCACACTTACTGATGGACGTGTACTAATGATTGCGAGACTTTCAGTTGGGTCAAGTGGATGTGCTTTCAATGGAACTTTCCATCGGCCACTTGCTAGCCGATTTTGATTATCGAACAATGGTAGTTTGACGTAAGCATTTGTTTTCAGTTGCTCGGACGCTGCTTGGCGATCAGATGAAATTTGAACTTCGATAACGACTGTTAAAGCTTGCTCTGCTGGACATCTTTATTCAGAATATATTATTGATTGAGGAAGGTATTTGTATTGGGTTTACATACTTTGCTACAGGTTGTTTAGTTGAAATTATTGCAACACGCAAATGATCATTCGTTCTTGGGTCTACATATTGTTCTGTTTTGACCGGTTCTAAGATAGATGGTGGACCGTATCCTGATTTGGGATGGTGAAGACATGTGATCAGACGACTTTGTTCAACATCTGTTGGAACATCGCAAATAAAGTCGAAAAATATGACGAAACCACTGGCTGGTTCATAGGGTTTTGAAACATATGCATCACGTATTTGATACACGCTCGAGTCGACGAAGCTCATGGGAGGACTTGTACGAGCTATAGCATTCTTATCAACGTATGGTAAGACGGTTGTTGCTATTGGTACTTGATTACGTGTTTGATATTGATCATATTGACCATTCTGATTTGTTCGAGACGGTTGTGAGTAGGCAAAAGGTTCGGTTTGCGGTAGATATTGTTGTCGGTAGACATGATCGTTATTATTAGGATAGGTTGCTCTTTGTGTTTGAGGATAGTAGGTTGCCGGTAGCTGATAAGGGCCCGGTGGCTCAGTATAACTCGATGGTCCACGTGCTGTTAATGATACTTCTAGTTGTTTCGTACCTAGAATCATGTTAGTCTTCCCGGTTAATATATGTATACAGTATAAATGAAAACTCACGAGAATCGAGCGCTTGGAATTTTTTGTACATTTCATGAAGTTCATTCCTGAGTCGTGAATTTTCTTCCGTAGCTGATCGTATTTGTTCAATTTCCACATCGATTCGTGGGTCAGTTTGATCTACAGAGAAAAGCAATGAATATCTATCCGATTTCCAATCTGAAAATACAAACACCGAGCTTGTCGTAGTGGTTCAGGATATTCTTTCGTCCAGGGCGAATTCTCACGAGATCGTACTCGATATTCCAAATCACTATAACGAGCAATCGTTCGTGCATCGTGCCCACCTGTATACATATAATCTTGACGAAGACTCCTACAAATTCATGCTTATTTACAATCAGTTCGATGTCACACAGACAATCAACTAGCTATGCAGCGGCAATTCTCTTTCCGTCATTGACGCTTATGTGTTCATCTCTATCGTTTTGTCGTACTAGTGTCATTATTACTATTGCTTTCATTCTTACCTGACATCTTCGCTATCTCGATGTCGTGAACGATTCGAACGATTAGAAATATATGGCAATGACAAGTATTCACTCCCACTTGGCAATGTTCTATTGAAAAGAAACAAAACAAACATCATTTGTTTTCCAAAGGCTTCACTACAGACTCTCGTGAATAGAAATACCGTCCTCGCAAATATTCCAATGCCTTTTCATTCAGGTTTTGTTGGTCCTTCATCTCACGAAGAAGTCGGTATGGATCATAAGACGCCATGAGTGCTGGCTGATAATGAAGAGTGATTAATTCTTCGAGTTTCTTTTGAATATCTAAGAAATGAAAAGTATTCTTCATGTAGAAGAATAGAAAACAAATATTTACGTCGACGTTCGTGTTCTAACCGGCGGTTTCTTCGTTGTAATTCTTCGTATTGATCAGTCACCGTTGATTCGTACGAATATTTGGTTTTTCTATCCGAATTCTTCAATCCTCGAGATTGACTTTGTAAAGTATACATATGGCGTAAAATATCTCGTTCTTCTTTTTGTATTCGCTCGTACTTCAAAAAATAATATTCAAATAGTAAAAGTCGTATATCTCAAAGTAAAGAAAAACATCCGATCGATTTTGCTGTATTTGTCATCAGAGAAAATTCCTTGCAATCGATGTAATCGGAGAAGTAATTCGTCTTCAGCGTAATTGAATATCTCTTACTTCGCGAATCACTTCATTGTAAATATGATCTTGTTTTCGAAGAGAATCGGTGAGTTTTTCAGTTTTGTAGTGATCGTTGAGAATACGATACTCCATATCTTCGGCGCGTTGCACCAATGCACGCCGTCGTTTCCACTCGTCGACTTCTGCGCGTTTCTTCGATGGAAAAACGAACGAGATACATCTCTATCTTTCAAGAAAACGATGATCTCACCCGTTCGATAGGCGATCTGTGCTTCTTCGTTGATCGTTTCGTGTGTTTACCATTTCGAGATTTGTCACTCTGATCAGCTTCATCATTGTCTGACTCGATTCGAATTCGTCCAATGCCTGAATCTTTCACCCCAATGCAGAATTGTTTCTTATGTCGATATAAGTTATCATCCGAAGGAAATTTCATTCCACATTGATTGCATTTGAATCTCTGTGAGCTTGGCATTGATATTCTAAAAATTCGCTCATATATCTCACTACATTGATTCACAAGTCAATTAGTTCATTGTATTCACTTACATCGATGTTTTCAATAGAATATATTCTCCTGAAGTGTGTTATAGATGTTGAAACCACCTCTTGTACAATCACTCAGTCGAACGTATGAGTGTTGTTTATTAAACAAAAAAGCAAATTTGAGTTCTTTTTCTCTTTCTTCTTTTCTCCTCTCATTCCCTAGAAATACTAAGAAGACATGTCGGAAAAGAAGTCACAACGTAACAACAACAAAATCAGATTGCCAGAAAAATTACTAAAGGACTGCAGGAGAGAACAGTTTTCATCACTAGAACAAAGAAAGCCTTAGTTTGTACTGAATTTTGACTTCAGTTACATTCTGATTAACTAAACATCCTTCGATATCGTCAAGCCTGAAAAACAAACATGACTTTCTCCCTCAGTGATAACACAAAGTGGGGGAAATTGATGCTCGTGCTTGAAAACAATATCTGCTTATCAGATCCGAGAGAAATTTAATTGAAATCGATGTAATAGTTTGGAATAACATGTCGGTAACCATGTGGTTGCCATATGAAACATGAAAATAAGTCGAATAACAATAAAGAAGCTCTAAGAAAAATTGTTCTGAATCAACTTGTGTGATTCAGTTTGATCAAGCATTCTGTTTTCTATTCAATCGAAATTGACTTGTTCTTTCTCCTTCAGCAGCCCGACACGCCAGACAAATCTCATTGTATTTAAACGAAACGGAATTCAAGTACATTTTTCAGTTCATAGTTATGCTAATCTCTGTTAAATATGATCGAAGGTATTTAGAGATACTAAATATTTATTTTAAATCGAGCAGAGAAGAAAACGAGGCGTTCAAAATGATTTTCATTGTAAAACGTGAAAAATAAATGTAAGTAAGCAAATGAAAAAGTAACTCGTGTTCGTTTTGTTTAAGTATAAGAAGCACGGCTCACTGGTAAAGTACGGTAACGCGTATGTTCCAATCGTTGTCGTTTCAACGTTTCGAATAGATTTCTTTCCATGACTGATTTCCTGGTCGAATGTTGCAGAACTAACTCTAATGTATTCGGGATTTCGCTGATGAATTCTTTGTCAAGATAAGCGGCATCTTGCTTCTCATTCAATGATAATGAATTCGGATTTTTACTCATGGATTTGTCATGCATAATTAGATTCAATTCAGTCAGTTTAGTGGTGGTTGTTGTTGTTGTTGCATTTGTTGAATTGTCATTCGTACTTAAACGTGTCGACGAACGTTTAAACAATGGAAGAAAGGTTGGTGAAGACTTTGTTGACGGTTTATAATGTGTACGTTGACGACGGATAACTTCGAACGTATTTGCCGTTCGATAATAGTATGGAAGGAAGCCGCGTCGTCGTGCAGCATTATCAACGAGAATCGAATGAGCGAGAAGTTCATCATCAACTGTATTCTCTATCATTTGCGCTTGTTTTAATAGCGGCGTGGTCGGCATTGGTCGCCGGTAGGATAGCGGTCGACATGTGAGCACTTGCTGGATATTCTGAAGCGAGAGTAGACAAGAAAAACGTGTGTCACTTCGGATCGTGTCTTACTTCTTGTGGTGAGATATTTTCAGCAACTGCTGAACGAGCCGAGCGCAATTTTGCGACAGGTTTATTCATAATTCTTATTTGTGAAAGGCTTTCGGGTGTACAATTGCTTGATGTATTTTATTTCCTATTCGCTTTGTGTTATTGAAAAAAAAAGAAAAGTAAGTAAGTAAGTAGACATTTAAACATACATACAAGCGGCACTCTTTGGATTTTTGTTTATGTTTGAGCACGTTGCACTAATGGCGACATTTCGTGTATTAACACAATACATCATGATTACAGGTATTAGAATAGAAGAAAGAGCTTTCGTTTTCTCTCTTTCGTGTACACATCCATCATCAGCTACTTCACTCTGCTCTTGTTACATTAATTGAAAAGGAACGTGTCGTTATTTTCATGTCTTTTCTTCTTCTCCTTGTTCTCATTACTTGTACAAGAATAGTAACAACGATAATTATATACTTGTGTCTACATCGATGTGTCGAGACATTTGAGAGCGAAGAAGAAGAAGAAGAAAAGAAAAAAAGTATGGATGTCTAATGTAGTTAATTCATATGTTCTCGACTAATGAACATTCGGCACACACACACTGTATGTGTATGTCTGTGCACATTTTTCAGGCATTGTTACTACCAGTTTCTCTCCTGTTCATTTTTTTTTCAGACAATAATAGTAAGCAGTTCTTTTTTTCTCATTATTGAATTTATCAATAGCAACAGCAATAGAAGCACATATATACGTGTTGACAATTTGATGTCTCTTGATTAGAAGTACAAGGGTCAATACAGAATTACAATTGCGGTCGGTCACACAATAGGCAACGATATAAATCATTTTCTTCCTGCTGTTGGTATATGAAATTTCAATAGTCCAAAGTAAGAAACATAGAAAAATGAAGTTGAATGCTTTTTAATTAATTTTCTTTGTGTTCTTCTTTTTCTAGATCGATGTTTGGTGTCAAATAAGAACAATAGGATACGTAAAGGTGTGCATTAATAAAAAAACAGTCAAACGCGCAATGAACCGTACTGAGTACTGCTTTCTTTTCAAACAAATGAAGTATTTACCTACAATGAGTTGAAAGAAAAATTCAGATGATGTAACTAGTCATTAGGATCATTCATTCCCACTTTTCTCATGGAATAATAGCCGTTAGTATCTTTTACTCGCGCGCGCGCACACACACACACACACACCTCTATATAAAGGACAATCATACTTTGTCTATTGAACTGGTTTTTTTATTGTTACTATTCGACGGTCATTGCCTTTTCATTTATTGTAAGAGAATAAAAGAAAACGTAGAAAGAGTCGGTCAACTGGAATTGCTATCATATTTGCATCAACTGGTTTTTATAGTCTGTCTAACACCATCAATGAACAGCACACATATACATCATCACTTATGGCCATATGCTGTCCGTGGCAGTGTGACATTAATTGTCGAAAATACAACGACTGAAAATTTTGAACACAATATCTATCGCACGCTGCGACAGAGTATTGCTAAAATTGTACGAACATTTTGTACAATCTATCGGCAGAGCTGTCTAAGTCATGATGCTGATGCTGTCAGGTAAAGAATAATATTGATGTCATATTCGCGTCTACGTTCAGTTGTGTTGCTTTTAGAGCTGACCATGTCATTATTCAAAGTTATGAAGAACAGTTAGATGATCAGCGCTTGTATGTCGCTGTATTTATCAAAGATCCCTATCGTCAAGACATAGCTTTAACTAATGATCAATTTCTACTTGCACTTAAACGTCATCGTCAACAACTCTATCAAGATATTAAACATCATGTATGATTGAATATATATGACAGTGAAGAAAGATTCATCATTGATTTCTTTCGTTTTTTCCTCCGTTATAGATTAATCTTCCGTCGACAATTTTTGAACAAACATCATTAGATCCAATATGGTTATATGGTGTTTGTTTACTTGCTTTGCTTGTCCTTGTCGTTGTGATTCTTATGTTGATTACAATTCTCTCGAAACGAACGGTTAAAACGAATACAATAGAAGAAACGATTCAAACAGATAAACCGACATCACAACCACGGCCAGATGAAACACAGTACAGATGCAACAAACAACTTAGAAATTGATCGTTCGCTCTTTCTCTCTCTTCTAGATTATTCGTTTCGTCGCCTATTCGACTAGCTCAAGAGGAGTATGAAACAAATTCGTCGTCGTACGGTAATGAGACCGAAATATCTCAAACATCAAATTCTACGCTTACAGCTAATTTACCCCAACCATCTAATTATCTCTATTCATCATCTCGTACATCCTATTTTAATAGTGCTATCGAAGCAGCGATAAAACATCATCTACACGATGATGAACCTATCCCATTCATAGATGATAATCTGTCCGTGACACATAGTCGAAAGAGTAGTGCATGCTGGAGTGATCGGACAAGTTTGACTAGTCGTTTCGGATTTGCTTGGAAATGGAGCGGTATGCGATCCGCGACGTGTTCAACTGAACAAGGAAGTTCAAGACGATTCAGTTATCGACCCGTTCGATATACCATACCAAGAATCTCACAGCGTCATATTCATGAGCAATTGTAAAAAAAAAACGTTTTCTTCATTTCTTTTTGTTGTTATTTAATGACATATGGATCATTTTGTCTTATGAAATAAAAGTTTTTATTCTTTCGATAAGAAACTAACACTTTGTTTATTATGATAATAGTGTTGAACGTCTTGACATGTACTTCACCACTTGTTCAATACATATAAAAAGCAATTAGAATGTCAATACGAATTGAAATCAAGAACAGAAGAGTCTTGATTGTCAATGATGAAAAGATGCGTTCTGATCATCATTAGGAGCAATTGTCGTAGTTGCAAATGAATAGGCCATTGACTGATATCAATGGTAGACAGCAGACGTATTCAACTAATTAGTTGTCTGACAACAACGATTAGCAGTCACATTTTCGAACCCATGATCAAAGGAATTTCTGATAGGGACTGAAATTTAATAAACATGTTCTTTGGTTTTTGGAGTTGAATACATACACACATACATGAAGATACAAAGAATCTCATAAAGATATTACAAGTATTTATTCATGGGAAAAAAAAGAGAAAGAGAAAGAAACTGAGTGTCATGACACCAGATAAGAATGTATTGTATAAGCGTTGACCATCAAGAAGCAAAAGACAGAAGAAAAAGAAGTATTCAAAAGTTTTGATATTTTTCTTTTAGTAAGTATCTTCTTCGCCCCCGACAAGAGCCGAACCATTACCATTACTGCCGATAGTGATACCATTAGCATCTTCGGCTTCACCATTACCGTTCTCTTGATCGGGTTGCGCAAAACCCTCCTAAAAAAAGAAAATTTCCAATCAATGGATTGTTCGTCTAGATCGTATATACAGAAAGACAAGGAAGCGGGGAGGTTCAAATATAAACACAACTCATTCCTTAAGGATCTTCGACTTGATCGTATTCATCAGGTATATGAAATCCTTCCTTTACAAGTGAAAAGAAATGAGATTTTGATGGATTTCAGTCGGTGAGGACAGCTTAAATGTAATTATTCTCTTACTTCTGTCGCATAGAGTATTTCTAGAATTCTTTGTGTTTGTGGTAGTGAATCGCATTCTGGCTCTTGACAAATAACTTCCACATCACGTAATTTTTGATAGTAAAAATCCCGTTCTTTTTCCAAGCCAGCTATTTGTGCCGCATGCTGTTGAATAATTTCTTGTAAATTATCAATCTAATCAAAACATACGCTGATACAGAAGTATTCAATCAACTCTATCGACATACTTCTTGTTGTAGACGAAGATTGTCTTGACTATGCGATCCATGATGAGAATCAATATGATGGCCACTACTACCGCCACCAGGACGATTAACTGATGGAGAAATTTTTGGCTGATGTTGTTGCATGGGTTTGGCTACAAATAGATGTGAACTGAGCGAAGAACACAGAGATCGAATTTACTAGCAGCTATGGGCGCTCTCGTTGGCGCCGGTGCAGCTCGTACGACTGGTGCTGGCCGAGAGGCAGGCGGTGCACGAATCCCGGAACTGGCAGTTGTTCCTTTGCCACCTCCGCTACCTAAAGGTCTGCGAGAGAAAGATGATTGCGTTCCAAATGAAAATAAACATTTCCGATTGTCTTACTGTCCATCACGAGCAGCAACAGGATCATAGTCATGTGCGGCTGTGTAGTTAGCATCGAAAAATTTCTTAAACCATTGAACAAATTCAAAATTATCCTGAAATTTTCCTTTGACTAATTTCTCAACAGGCACAATCTATGAAAAAATATAAGCATAGCGATAAATTCGATTAACAAGCAATGAAATCTAAAAACATATAAATAATCTCTTAATGAAACTTGTTCGCACACCTTGTCAACTTGCACGGCTCGAAAAGCATTTTGTAAAATCTTAAAATTTTGTATATTTTCATGTTCTAGTTTCGCATTAAACTTCACTCGTTTCATCGGAATGGTTCCTAGAAGCAAGAACAAGAGTCGATTGAATGTTGATCTCTGCTACGTTCGCCGATTTCAATACAATGTCCGTCACCAATAAGAGATTGATTATATGTTTTTAGTAAATACTACCTTATCTACAGCTAATGCTTTGAAATATTCTTGAAGAACTTTGAAATTATTGATATATTCATGCTCGAGTTTAGTGCACCATTTCACCCGTTTTGATCGTGAACCTATAGCTCCTAGAAACGTTGGAGAGTTAAGGTTAGGTTAGTACGAACTAAAGATGCTACGAAGTCGTTTACCTGGAAACATCATTTCCATGAATTGGCAATAAGCCGAACCTATGAAAAGAAAAAATGGTCATTGAATGCTACGTTTTGAACAAATATTGAAACTCCTACCGGAACAGAGATCTTCAACTTTAGTAAAATTTGCTTCTAATGCTGTGTTTATCCATTGTAAAATATCATTTCGACTAAGGTTGTCTGTTGTGACACTTGTGTGATAAACATTTACAGCGGCCATCTAGAATATGTGCTATAGAAAGGTGAAACTTACAGTTCAAATCAACGGGCATGTGACAAAGAGAAAACGAGCGATTTTAATTTCTTTTTTTGTTGTCGTCTACGAAAATTTTCATAGTCTAGCGATGAATGATGAGTTAATTATAGAGTTCAATATGATAAATGCTTTGATACGTATCAATGAGAGAGAGAGAGGGAGAGATGCACAATGATGCAATGAAAATATCTGCAGAGACGAATACTAATCCAAACAATGATACGATTTAAACAATAAACAAAACGGCCGGACAAGTCGAGAGAAGAGCGAAACATTCATCTGTGTTTGTGTAGAATAAATAATAGACTTTCTTTCTTCTATCTCATTGGAGAAAATGAGCGATGTTCACGAAAGAGGGAGCCCTGTGCAATGCAAAAAGACAAATGATGTATTGATTGAACTTTGAACATCGGTCTTGTCACCGTTCAACAATGATAGATTTTGTCAATCAATTATCAACGTAAATGGTATGAAGCGCTTTATTCATCTTAATCATATCCAACAAGAAAATAGACACGTGTACAATAGATGATCAGTAAAATTTCTTATACGCAGTGTTCTTCAATGAAGTTATTCTCTTGCTAGTCGACTATCGAATGAGCTGAGTGCAATTCCAAATGCTTGAATTGCCGTGAGTGGATATCGAAAATCGCAGGTAAAGATATCTTCGTTGACTCGACCAAATTGCATCACGACTTCTTCTTCATCTAAAACACAACGAAGAAATCTTTACATCGTGTCAATTAATTCATGCATACGATTATCATTTTCGAGTACAATTTGAAAGTTTTTCACTGATGGCTGAGCAACGCGGTTTCCAGTAAATTTCAGAACATAATTTTTCGTATCTAAACCCAATGAATACTTATATAGCCATTGGATACTATTCCGTTTTACCTTCATTATATGATGGTGCTTTATTTCGCAGCTGCGTTAAATAGCTGAAACGTCGATCTCGCCATTGTTCGAGAATAGTGGGTTCGTTCTTAAAACAATTGAATTTGAAGAGAAACGAATGAACCAAGCAATCTTCTGGTACTTACCTTAGCCGGTTGAATATCATGGCCAAGCTTTGGAATCATAATGTTCATCTGTCTTGGACCCTTGAAACCCAGAATGTTCGTATTCTAAAAGAAACTGATTTTAACGACGCAATGTTACTCAAATAGACAGGAAGGTATGATTTTTCAGTCTCTTCTAACCCGACGATTCATTTAAGCTATTGAAATTCAACACACACTTCCAGTGCGCTCGTTTAGTTCTCTGACGACAGATGCGTCTTATCTCCAGCAACAGCTCATGCTTCCTCTATCAATATCATGCCTCTGAGTCACATTAGTTTCAACTTAGAAAGTTTAACATCCTGTCAGAAATCTTATCTTTATCAATTAAAATAGTATCAACACTTACATAGACAATTGCTAATAATTCGCGTCGTAGACCTTCACGGGTGTTCGAAATTTTACCATTCGGTACTTTATTTGGACTTAAACCATGATCGTACAATGTATATTCGGTTCCAGTGACGTTATTTCCTCGCAATTTTCCCACATAGTCTTCTCCAGCCGACTTTTCTGATAAAGTAGCGACGTCTGTTGTAATGAGATACTCCGATTGTCGCTTGACTTTCGCTACTTTTCGAGCAGCTAATAAAAAGCACTAGAAACGTACAGACGAGGGTAAATTGTTCGATCTTAGTAGACTACTTCCTACCTTTTTACCGTCAACAGGGCGTTCAGCATGTAGATAAAATGTTGGAAACAAACCGCCTTGGAGACCATCTTTGTCACGTCGAAGAGTACATTGTACAAACGAGGAATAATCTTGCGGGATAACTGTGTTGATAAATTTCATTAAATTATTCTGAAGTAATGCAATAGGATCGAAGTTTGATGTGTTCGCTGTTGCAGATAATGTCTAGGGAGAGCGCAAAGTGAAAATTAAATCGATCAAAACTGAAGACATGTATACAGATGACGGTTCTGGGGTTGTCAATGCTGGTACAATTGGTTCATGAGCATTGTTCAATCTTGTTGATGACGATGATGATGAAGATGATGATATCCGACTTGCTAATTCACCACGTTCATTTTTATTCGATGATGTTAGTGTTTGAATAGGTGATTGTGTTCCTGAATACCATCATATGCGAGAGTTTATCTGTGAAAGCGAAGAAATTTGTCTATCATACTGGTGGCCTGTGGTCTGTTAGATGCAGCATCCCAGTCGGGTGTTTTTGGACAAGATAAGCTGGTCACAGTCTATAAAATTTGGTTGACAGATTTCTTCCAAGAATGAACTCACATCTACCTTCGGTATTGTTCGTCTTGTTATAATTGGCGTGGGTATTTGACCTCTTTTTTCATCTTCACTATCTGATTCGATACTGAAAGGTGAACCTTCCGCATGTAAATCCATGCAATCATGAAATACATTCACTTACCGGCAGGGATCTTTTGCAACAGCAGCATAGGACATGATTGTGCAAGTTCAAACGACTTTCAACGAAAATGACGCGAGTATCAATTCATCACAAAGCACTTAGGATTCTTATCTACGATGTCGACTGTAAAGCAAAAAAGAAAAGAGTAAGAGAAGAAAGAAAAAATGTCGTAAATTGACTGAAAAAAAACTGTTTTTGTGTTGATGAAAAAATACTGCGAGTTGCACGGAGCGATTTGTTAACTGGATATTCTGTGAAAGATTTAAATGAAAGACGATTTGGACTTGCTCGGTATTTCATGAACACAAATATCAAATCCAACACTATTTTTCTCCAACAGTTGTTCCGCGAGAGACATACTTCTCATACAACAGAATGTTTGCACAAACATTTTTCTTCCTTTGCCAAATAACTTTGCATACTACTCATAACACGTGCTATTGTGTTCAAATAACAATCGACTGACGTACGTATGGCGTTAAAATAGTGGAAAGAAAAAGCAGAATTGATTCAATGACGTTTATTATATTTTTTTTCTGTCACTTTTTATTTTAATTTCTATTTATTTTTGGTCTGGAATTGTTTGAAGAATGCCTAGCAGTTGGTTCTTGTGAATGATCATATGTCTCATTATAGCCAGCATTTTCGTCACTCTCAGCACGATTTTCAAACGTCCGATACAATCGGTCCGAGGCGGGATGAGACGAGTGTCTAGTTGCACGATTAGAAGACTCGCGATGTTGATGAGACGGTCTATTTGTAAGCTCTAGGTTTTTCATTTGAGTGGTAACTAATGATGATGAATGCGATTTGCTATCCGTGGTCGATCGGGACTTCGTGCTGGATTGATTGGAATTAGCTCCAAACACTTTCTCACACTCTTCAACGTGCTTTCTCCGAATTTCATCTGCTTGCCGAGATCGGTGTGAACGTTGTTCTTGATTATACGTTGAGTGTGAACGATTGGTAGACTTTTTTTCAGCATCAATTGAAACATACATTTCGGATTCATGACGGGCGAGCAGAGCAAGTGCTAATTGCATACATTGGACTTCAGCAGCGCGAACTTCAGACAATGAATGCCAAGAATGTTCGCTGCGACCTGGCAGTCGAACTCTCAATGGAAAATCGGGACTAATTAACGTCACTTCGAGATCGTCTACACGACATATAGGAACCTTATCACCGTTTAATGTGTTTTTCAAAACCAAATACCCATCGAATTCAATTGCTTTGATAGGTGGATCACCTGAAAGAAAAAAAAATCGAACGAAACTGTCTCATTTAATGAAGAGATTCAATCGCTGTACCTCGAAGTAGCTTTACATAGAGAATAGTATCATTTCCGTAAGTTGACATATAATCGTAGAGATTCTGTGTTGAATGAAGATAGCGCAATTCGGTTGAACCTTCGGAAGCGATCGGACGGATTTCACAAGGTTGTTCATTGACTTCGAGAAGAAAATGACGCTTTCGCGTACCACCTTTTGTTGTACAATAGAGTGCTCGAACAACGCGATTTCGTATTAACTCTTCCTCTTCCACAACTCCTGGAAGAATCAATTGTAGTATAGTCGGTTGTTTTCTTTTTGGTGCATAGATATAATCCTGAGACGTTCGTTCACCTTCCGAAGGTGTATATTCAACTTCTCCAGCTCCTTCAATTTCAAATTCCGTATTCTCTTCGATCTGTTTCATCCGTCGTTCGACACGATTGCCATTATAAATAGCAGGATCTATTCAACACACTTACAAAAATATCTATCGGCTAAATCCTCCTACCATCACTTCGAACAACCAATTCGAATACTTCGATATCTCGCACGCAGATATACGAACGAGGTGTAATGCGTTCATTAGCAACATCTTGTTCATGAATTCTTTCAAGGTCTGCTGTTGTTAAACGATGAATATGACCTTCTTTTCTAGATGTTGCTTTCGATATCACTCTCCATACACCTGAAATCTGTCAAATCAATCATTTCATTTTCGTACTGCCTTCCCGTCAAACCTGTGTGTTTGCTTGAAAGTACAATTTCTTGCCCCATCACGTCGAAACGATCACCGGATACTTTACAGGGTGAGGCGAGAATGAATTCGCCATTGATTTTCTCACCGACTACAATCGCTTTACTTCCCGCTTGTACTTAATAGACAGATGGAAAAGACTGAAATTTCAAAATCGAAAACAGAAATTTACCAAGGGCAGGTTTATGAATATTTGGATTGTCTACAAGATTTTGAAATGGAATGAGTTTTTCACTCCAACGAATACGATCCATGTTTTTCAAAAAAAAACCAAGAAATGATCAAAAATAAGTGCTGACGGAGTAAATTAATTTCGTATAATGAAGCAACCATTGCGCGTTGCAAGTGTTCGGTAATTACCGAACCGTATCTGATAAGATAACAGTCGCAAAGCAATAGACACGTGGTGATGTCATAGACGAAGGTGAATCATTAATTTGATAGAAGGAAGAGACAACAACAATATTCCTTCTTGCAAAGAGACCATTTACTTCCAATTTGATGACGTTTACAAATTTTCATCGTAATTCCAATATGCTAATATTTCACTCTTGAGACATCAGTACATCGAAAGCTATTGAGTAAGAAGAGATATAAAAAAATAATAGCTATTATCATTGTCATTACTGCTTTTTATTCTTTTGGTCCCCTCTTTTTATTTGCCTGTCTAGTGTTACTCACTTGAGAAGAGAAGATCCTACTAATATACATTTTTCATCGACAGACAGCTAGTAATCAGCGTCTAGTTAGTGGCATGTGCGACATCATATATGTTTACGTCCTACGATTGAGTTGTACTTGGAAAGTCTATCCAGTCGTATAACTCTTGTTTATTGAAAGATGGAAAAGTGTGTACTAGCAGATCGGCTTTGCATGATTTCATAATGGTACTTTCTCTCATGTGGATTTATAGTTTGCTTCCGATACAGTTATGTTGGATGACTTTTTTCAGTAACAGAAAAGAAATGTCTTGAGTGCTGTTCTTTCATTTTTCATCGCTTTTGCTTGTCCTGATTGAATTCTTATCATTTCGATGATTTGACATATATACATATATGTATATATGCATCCAGACATGTTTTAACGAGATCTATCGTATTAGATTATCTCATCATCATCAACATCATCGTGGCGTAATCAAGATTATCCGTTGTCTTGTACTATTGTGAAGAGCACAATCCAAATGATCAATCAACATAGTGGTCACTTTTCTCTCTGTCTATACGTTGGTCTGTCTGCATCAATCTGTGTATTGTTAACTTGATGAGAGAGACAGAGAGAGAGAGAGTAAAAACGAAGAAAGCATATGTTAGAAGTCTTGCACACGTCATGTATGTGATAACATTTAACCGATCGATGAACATAATCTCTTTCTGTCTGTCTATCTAAAAAAGAAGTGTTCACGTAAAGCAAGTTCGTGATATATATGTACACAAACATGATAAAAGGTTACATTACTGGACGCGACAGCGTCATCGTGTGAACAAATCACTCCGTTCATAACAAAGACAGACACTTATGAGAACATGATATCAAATCGTGACCGCTCTCATATATGCTTGAGTCAGACAGACAGACAGTTAGACATACATAAACGGAAGGGGCAAGGTCCGGTCAAACACGACGACGTAAGAGTAAGACAAAGAACAATTTCTCTCTTTTACTCGATGCATCTCTTGCGCTTTACTTGAAGACGATGAGTTACGTGCTCTGGCAGATGGTCAATGTCCATGGACGATGAATGTATGTGAGGGAAGGAGAAAAGAACCGGAGACGATGATGACGCGTCTCTCTGACCGCGCCAACAACTGCAGCAAATTGAATTAGCGATTATGTGTCCGTCTAGCAAGCTAGTTCGAACGAACGAGAGAAAGAAAGAAAAAGGTTCAGTTGGTCAAGTGGTCTCGTGTTGTACGCCTAGACAAGATTACGTCGTTCTCTGTCGACGCCTCACATTAGCGTGAAGAAGAACAAGAATTCGACAACCAACTCTTTTCTATTCTTCTTCTTTTTTACTCTGAGTATATGTATGTATGCATGCATACGTAGATAGGGTCCATCAGCTGGCCTTGAACGATGACGACCGCTTTCTCGTTCTCTCCTTCTTCTTCTCTATTTTTTATATTTTTTGTGTTCAGCGATACGCAAGAAGAGGGGAAAGAATAGTATCTAATGGAAAAGAAAGAAAGAAAGAAAGAAAGAGCGGGAGAAAGAGAAAGACATACAGAAAGAAAATGGTCAGTTGTTGTTACTTGATGGTCAATCACTAGACGACAAAGACCACGCAATCGTATTTTCTCAGATGTTTGGATCTGGCGCAATCGCTTTTTTTATTGGAATTATCCGATTCACGACTCGAACCTTACTAGACAGATCCATTTCGTTTTACAGATCATCTCCTATCCATGTTCGAATACGTCACCGATCAAAGTAGTTCGTTGAGTATGCGTCATGTTCCTTCTCGAAGAATCATGATCGATCGTCTTCTTTCTTTACAATTGAACTTTGTATTATTCGCGCCGATGCCGAAAAGATTCCAGTTGTCATCCGTACTTTCTTTTACACGTTGCGGATACATCACCGACATTAATGTCTATTTATGCACATTCTAAAGTCAGCAGCATTTGCTACCTGAGTCTCTTCTAGCCTATCTGATTGTCTTCCGTTTGTCTATTCGATGATGTATATATACGCAGAGGCGAGACGATATGTATGTGAGTGCTGTAATAGTCTAGCTGTCTTACACAGTAACGAGACGAGAGGAAAGAAAGAAATGAGTGAACACACAAAACGAACGAATAAATGTGAATGACTGACTAGCCAAGTCGACCGATTGTACAGTATAGCACAAGTCATAATTACTGTTTTATTAAATACATCGATTGCTGACTGTGTATGTCTGATGTGCTAGTCTGGGTCACTTCCATTTTACACTGCTCCTTCACCTTGGTTATTCTTCGTCTCTATCGTCCGATCGTATTCTTTTCTAACTGATTTCGATCATATGCACATATATTTATGTGCCGAACCGGCTTTTATTAGTCATGTTAGTTAACATTACTACTAAGTCAACCTCGAATTCACCCTTCTTCAATTGTTAGTAGTGATGATGTCAATAGTTTACGTCATGCATATATACGGCGCCGTCTTTGTCATATTCCGCTGAAAAGTTGCGCAACCATATTCTTTCTCCCCCCCTCTCTCTCTCACTCACTCGTTTGCCTTCGTTTTTATTCTATTCCTGCTTAAACACAAGTCTTCCTTGAACGAAAGTACTGACCGTGTGTAGAAATATGTATTAGGTAAGATACTCGTCCGAAACAAGTACTCAGTCAGGCAATGCACATAAAATGACATTGAATAAGAGTAAGAGCGAGGCGAAGATGAGCAAATTTTTTTACTCGACTCACTTTCTCAGTTTGATGCATGTCATGTCCCTCGCCTCGCGCCTGTCGTAATCGATGATATTCGATTGATTGTGAGGCGAGAGTATAAAGTAGGTGTAGTAGAATAGTGAAATTCAATAATTTTAAAGTTGCGAATATACATATGCATATACATTCAACATTCGAACCTTGACCTCGACCATATATAGTTCGTTTTCGCTGCTTTTCACAGGACTTTTCTTCGCAGAAGACGAAAGATCGATTTTCTCCTCCCATAATCTACCTTGATAACCTTCAACGAACGATCTTCGTAATGGATATTATTTTCTTACGATTAAGTGTTAGTCAGCTATTCTCTTTCTCATCGATGCAGTAGTTCTTCATAATATAATTCTCTTCACCTTCTATTTAAAGAGTAATAAGTATTTATAAGACTCTTCATGTTTTTTCTTCTTTGACTTGCATGTCTGAAAAACAAGGAGGAAAGTACTTACGAACACATATCAGTCGACGACAAAAATACCAAAACACTCTTATCATGGCATTCATTATGTAAGTAACAAATCAGACTATCAGACATACCTCCGTCTCATTTTACATTTCCAAAAATAGTTCTTTCATTCCTTTTTTTTTCATTTCACAAATATGACGAAAGAACATCACATAATAGATTAACGGTGCTCGCTCTCTCTCTCATTTCAATGCCGAAATAAGGGTCTTTAGCTTTTATCTGCTTTGTTTTTTGCTGATTATTAGTACATAAAGGTATGTATATATTACCGACAGTCGAAAACGTTTCGGTAATAACGCAAAAAAACAAAAACATGCATTCTCCTAATCACACTCGGCAGTCACTTAAACACATGGACAGTCATTTGACATGCAGTTCAAGGTTGTCTTCTGTTTTCCTCGTGTAGTCAGCAATATATATATATATATACTTCTATTTGCATAGTTGTCCTTGAATATGAGAGAAGAAAATGAAAGAATTGATCGAATAAGTAGAAAAATAAGAGAACATAGGACGCACGAGTAGCATTATTGACCATAATTGTTGCTGTTATTTTCAATAGTTGTTTTTTTAATGAAAAATATATGTGACTGATGAATATTTTTCTTGATATTTATTTACTTGAATATATCTATTGAGACAGGGACAGGGACAGAGATAGAAAGTTGATTTGACCTTATTTGCAGACAAAGACATAAATCATTTCTGAACTTTTTCAAACTAATCAACAGGAGAGCTAATAGAGAGAGCATCGAAGATATATATACATCTCTCAATTCCTTTAGTAGCTGTATTGAATTACGTCGCACATCCCTTTTTTTTCTCCTTCTTCCGTTTGTTATTCTCGTTTCTCATCGAAGTAATTTGTATGCTCCTATTTATTATTGCATAGTAGTGATGGCTAGACAGGAATTAAAGCATCACAAATAATAAAAAAAAGAGAAGAAGAAGGAGAGTGGACAATACGATCGTCCCCGCCGCATGTGTACAGATCGGATGAACGAAAAGAAGAAAGTAGTGAGACAACAACAACAATATCGTCGTCGTCGTCGTTGCACATAAACGATTACACAACATCTCTTCATTTTTTCTCTTTTGTAATTCTAGACCGATAAGGTCGCATATTTCTTTTTTGTGGACTGTTTGACAAGTCCACTCATCATCCATGATTCCCGCTACTGCCGTACCACCACATCCATTGAATACGCTGGATCGAATTGCATTTTATAAGAGTGTGCGCGAAAAACGCAAACAACTTCAACTGAATCTTCATACTAATGGTAAGTGTCTTCGATTCCATCGAGCTACAATGAAATTTTGTTGTTATTGTATTTCTAGGAAAGGACAATGTGAGTTCATCAACTGAGAATGCATTTCTCACTCAAATGCTTCAATCATCTTCAACTTCGACGACATCATCATCACTAAGTGTCCCATCGGTTTTACGTAAAGGTGATTTTGCGTCGTCATCATCACATCGCACACCGACAAGTACTCTTACGAATATTCTTCCTGCTCTACTTAATGGAACATTACAATCACCGCGTGCCATATCCCCACCAGGTACAAGAACGAATATACCAAATCTAACATCACCGACCAGTACAAACACAACTGATACACTTGTAGACACGAAATGTTCAACGTCATTGCCCGTTTCACCTGCTGCAAATACAAATCACAATCATATATCAAACTTTTCTAACAATCATGCTGCTGTTCCAACGAGTTGTTCACCACCACGTTGTCGTTCGTATCCAATGCCTTCTCTCAACCAACGGAACTCACCTCCAGTCTTACTTCCATCAATAGCATCAAACACGCAATCGATTGCTACATCTACATCTTATCTACTAGCAGCAGCGGCATCTTGTCCCTCACTGCCCACATCAACTTTTACTTCATCGAATTCTCCACCTCTCGATGATATTACACCAAAAATTGTTCGATCAGCATCTGTTAAATCATGTGCATCGGACTCGGGTGTTTCATCATCTAGTCCATTGTCAGATAACAATATTGTTCATGTAAATCTATAAACCCATTGTTCTTTAAATAACACATAAGTATGCTTTTGTTTTTCGAATATGTTTAGGTATTTCGAACAAATCATAGTGAAACAAACTATCAATCTCAAGTGTCAACTAGTAGTCGCAAACGAAAATCTCTTGCACATTTCTATGACGAATTGAATAAAGATAAGAAATTTTCCAGTGAAGCAACAATGGCCTCGGGCTTTGCAATGCCATCGTCGGCGTCATCATCGTCAGCAACCAATGTAACACCAATCAATAATAACATTCCATATAGTCAACAAGAAGCCATCGCTATTGGTTATGCACAATATGCCTTGATGCATACACTAACTCAACAATTTCGTGTGAATTATCCAGCTGCATTTCTACATGCTGCCGCTGCATCTGGCTACTTGCCAATACCATCACCGATGATGGCCGCCGCTGCTGCTGCTGCTGCCGCCGCCTCAGTCAATACGACGGCAAATGGAAATCAGTCAGTGAGTTCGGATAAATATCGTGAACGACGAAAACAGCCAACACTTGAAAGTGACAATAATAATAATCATATACAATCATCAGTGCCTCTCAATGATCAGCCATACCGACGAGAAACGTATCAAACATTGTTAGAGAGTAGTCGTTTACTAGGACAACAGAAACCATTGAAACCAGTACCCATCGACTTACGAAAACATAACAATGACAATCAAACGACAAATAAGAGTAAGTTAAATTCATCGATTGATATATCGCACGACTTTCCTATCGTCTTGTTCAGGCCCTTCTGGTCCATCCAATGTTCGTTGTCCATCTTCATCGTCATCTTCGACTTCACCAACGAATTCGCCTCCGTGTATAAATTTTCTCAAATCAAATATTAATGAACCTGTTAATGAATATGTCTGTATACCAAAAAAGTTAATGCCTGTCATCGGTGCACGTATCAACGATTGGCTCGAACGCAATGTAAATTTCGCTTTGTCACTTGCAGTTATTCAAGAAAATATTGATAATGACCGAAACAAGCTTGCTCTATTGTCTCGCATATGGCACCGATTATTGATTATAAGTATGATAGAAAATAGTTTCGAGATCTATGTGACCAAAGATTTACAAATTACAAGTGATCCGCCAACAACCGTATCATCGACATCACCAGCGACGATTATCCATCCGACAGAAAATGACGTGAAGCAAATTGAATCCTTGATTACACGTGGTAAAACATTAGAGATCGATGAGAGTGGTTTTAATCTCATTCGTGAAGTGATAATATGCAAGGAGGGTAAAACTCTATTCGAAAATACATGTGCCGATTCGTTTGAAAAAGCTGAATGTCAAGCTCAAGCTCGATTAACAGCATGGTGTTCTTCGCGTGTCAAATATTCCAAAATAGTCTTCTTTTTATGCAATATCTATCAAGTTAAGGAAGATATCTTCGAACGTCTATTTTGTGCGGGCTCGATGCATCAAAGTGTGCCTATTCATACGCATCTACAACGATTTGTAGCTTCAGCATCTACTTCGACATCAATGGACGACGCTTAGCATAATTTTTGTTTCTCTTCTTCTTCTTCTTCTCTCCTTTCTAATTTAAACAATGTATATGTCTTCTCTTTTATTCTTATGTCCGGAAATCGACCGTCAGACGGTACTTCTTCGTTTTCGTTTCCTGACTTTAATTAACCTATTTTCGATGCTTTAAGTATCGTTAAAAAGCCGCCACCTAGCAGTCGTCATTGTATTTCTTCTATCAAAACAAACAAGTAACCATCAGTTAACTTAACAAAAAAACCAAGAACTTTGTATCTATATCTGTGTGTTGTGTAGAACAGTTTGTGAAGTTTGTTTCTTGTTTTTCTTGTTTTATCATGTATAAATCTATTTCGAACAAAGTACGAAAATAAAGAAAAGCTTTTGACGACAAGAAAAACAAACATATTGCCGTGATGATTCGTCCTCATGAACTTAGACAGGTTATACACTCAGATATTTTTGTTTTGATTACGTCAATGAAATCAATCTACGTCGATAAGGGAAGGAGAGAGAGAAGGAAAAAAAAATGAAAACCTCGATGCATCACGTCCTTGTCAGTTATTATTATCATGATTGTAAAAATTAACTTGTTTGTTTGTCCTTGAGAGGAGAAAATTTTGCTGACGATGGGTTTATTTTCCTATAAAAATGAGGAGTCCATAAGTTTATAACTACATCAAACAATCGAGTATATTCGATTTCAATTCTAATTTAAAAAAATGAGATTCGTATTCTTATTTATATAAGAATAAATAACTATTTTGTACTAAAAGTCAGCGATTACAAAATTGATTATCAAGGCTAAGATTAGAATTAGTTTTTCAATGCTTCGAGAACTTGTTCGTGAATGATTCCATTACTAACAATAACTCCACGATTATGTAGCATTTTTTCGTTGTCGCGAAAGTTCAATGCTTTGCCGTCCATGTCAGAAACTTTACCGCCGGCCTCTTCGACAATGATCGTACCGGCAGCATGATCCCAGATATTTTCTCGGTAGTCTCCTCTGCCTGGATTGGGCAAACGAAGATACAGAACAGCATCTCCATTTGCTACGGCGCCGTATTTCACTTGCGAGTCCATTCGTAATGGCTCAGCAGAAATACCAATACGTTGAGCAATCATTTTCTGTTTACTTTGATCGCCATGAGCACCTTCAACACTTTCCGTAAAACGGAATTTATCACTATCGGTATTTGATGTTATATAAATGCGAGTAGGAATTGTCGTTTCGAACGAACGAATAGGTTGCGTATAAGAACCTTGACCACGAACAGCATAGAATAGAAGGCCACCTTCTTCACCATATGCTGGACAGGCTAAAACACCAACTTTAACATCTCCACCAACGATCAAAGCAAGAGCAACGGCATATTGATCTTGTCGTATAAAACCTTTGGTACCATCTAAATCAACAGATTTTGCCCATAAACAACAGCTATTCTTCTAGTGAAATCCCTACCGATTGGATCTAACGTCCAAAAACGATCAGTGACATGTCCGTCGCCGTATCCAATCCATTCGATGATTTTCTTTTCATCTACGTCAGAATTTTCTTCCTTGACATATTGCACCACTTGTTTAAGATTTTCTGCATGTTCAGGTTTCATTAATTCCTTGGGGCTCTCTTCAGCAACAATTGGATCGTCTGGAAATGCACTACGAATATATTGACATATCAACGCTTGTGAACCAAAATCTGCCAACTAGATCAATAAATGAAAGACTCAACTCACAATGACACTATCGCCAAAAGCCAAATCTTACAGTAACTGGTGATTGATCCTGCTTTTCGATTGCTTTCGGAATTGCCGATCGAACACGTTCGCATAATTTCGCTGCTCGAAGGCATGCTTCAATGGCTGCTTGTTGTTCTTTTGCGAACGACATAAATTCTGAAATAGGAGAAGACGAAAGTTTAAAAATGTGATGTAAACAGAACGACATAGTTTCTCATCAGAGTTTTTTATTTGATCTATTGATATAATATCCTCTACAACAGAAAACCATCGATATACACGGAGAGAAAGAAGACGGAATAGATGAGAAATTTTTGATCAATAAAAAAAAAATAACGCGTAGACATCGAAATCAATTTTAGCTAAGTTCGAATTAAAAAACAACGAGAACGAAGTTAAAGACTTAAGTTAATCACAAAAGAATGAAGAGAAAAATCAAAACGGAAAAATGCTTGAGCAGCACCCACTGATGACACTCGCTCAAAAATAAATATGGACATAAATTATTGCAAATAAAATATGAAAAGAAAACAACTAAGAGAAGTTCGAAAAATCAATGCACAAAATACAACTGTCTTGCCACCGGACAGATATGAACGCGGAATGTATGTATAGATAGATAGATAGGCATTTCTTTTGCGATAAGCACCACGAAAACTTCAGATAAAATTTACGGTTCACTCAATGATAATTGTGATTCGTCATCACTCGTATTATCATCATTTTCATTTTTGACTTTTTTTCGTAACAGATAAAGGCTATCGGAATGATGTATTTTGCGTTTGTCATCAGGGACAAAGTCATCGATGAGATCAGAATTTGAAGAAGATTCACGGAATGTCGAATTTTGATTGCTTTCATCGATTTCACCATTTACTACTGACCTAAGAAAAGAGAAGAAAATCTTTTAATGAACAATAAATCTCTCATCGTTCCGTGACTTACTCGATGAGATCCATCAATGTTTGTTCAACTTCGTAATAATCAGCATCGTTGGGAATAATTGTTGTTTGTTCAACGCTAGGATTCTTCACAGGAGTGCTTGTTGATATTACAGTTTCTTGATTGTTATCATTCGAACCTGTCGCGACTTGTTCAGCTGTATTTGTACTATTATCAGTTGGAATGTCCGCATCGATTGAAGAATTATTTTCATCTAATTGGATATCTTCTGGTTTGATGACGTTCGAATTATTTCTCACTTCGCCATTCGGTGTACTTTCTTCTTGAAGGCGTAATTTTTCTTCGTAAATCAGGATATTTCGTTGACACACTGCTGAGATATCATTCATCCATCGTGCTTTTTGTTCCAACAATTCTCTCGTACCACCGCCACTCAAACTCGACTGAGACGGTGTATTACTTGCGAAACTACCAAAACCCGTTGTCATCCGTCGAAGATTGGCTAACGAAAGAAGACTATTCGACGTTGTCGTTCGATCGATATTGTTGTTATTAAGAGACATCGCGCTCAGATTCGTTGGCGTCGAAACAATCGGATCGAAATCGAGTTTTAATAGCGACTTATTATTTTTAATAGCAATTGCCATTCCACAAATGCCGCTCGCTTGAATGTTATTTTCTCGCAAATCAACATATTCAATCGTGCTCGACTCGGCGATAAATTCGGCAAGTGCAATTGCTGCTTGGTCTGTCAGATGACAATTTCGTAAGATTAGTTCATTGATCGTTCGATTGGTTAATAATGCATCACGTAGTAAAAACAAACCTTCGTTGCCGATGTTATTTTGACTTAAATTTAATGAACGTATTGTTCGATTATGTAGTAAAGATTTCGCTAGAAAGCCCACGCCTTGTTGAGTCAATTGATTCGCTTGGACGCTAATCTTTTGTAGACTACTTTCGTGCTTGTGATTTTCGTCGTAATGACTCAACTGGGAAGCTAGATGAGACATGCCACTATCGTGCAATGAATTCGAACGCATATCGAGTAGAGTTAAAAAGGAACCACATGTGCGAAGCAATTCATTTATCAGTAAAGAATCTTGTACTTGAAGGCCTAGATACATGAAAAAGTGCATAAACAAAAGAATGTGCATCCATTGTTCTACGTACGATTATCACAAAGATAAAGTTCTCGTAGGCTACCGCAGGAACGTATGTTCTGAATGAATTTTTGTAAAAGTTTGCCATTTAATTGACATGACTCGACATGCAATTCATAAAGTGTTGATGATAACCTTAAAGAACGAGTAAAATTGATGATAGTATTATCATCGAAACGTGTGGAATTCATATCTAATCTTTCCAAAGAATTTGTTTTTCTTAAATATTTTGTTAAAGCTTGATAGCCTTGCACTCCAATGGCTCGCTGATTTGATAGGATAATATGTGTACACGATTCGTAATATTCAATCACTTCAAATAGCTGTGTTAGAGCTGCATCGTCTATAACTGATGACTCGAAACTTAACGTATGAAACCGACAGCGTGAGAGTATTTCTTCGATCGCATCCACACTCTTAAGATCAATCTTTTCGTTAGCAATTTTCAAGCAATCCAGCCGATCAACGAACGATTTTCTTCCGTCATCCATCATGCTTAATTGATCTAGTATGGTATTCATTGGCCGTATTTGCAGTCGTTGACATGTTGCACGATAACGTTGCAAAATCACACCGAGGGATAACAATGGTTGTTTCGAGTGTGGTTCGCTTGCATACGATATCATACGTAATTGAGAATCCTCTGTGGGAAAATGAACGCGACGAGAATGACTAACAGTTGTAATCGGTTTCTCATCATCATTTGTTGATTCGACATTGTCTTCATGATCGACGGATGAATCTGTTGTGATGGGAGGTGGAGTTGTTGTTATTTCATGATGAGTCGAGGATGAGTCTGGTTTTTTAAAATGTAAAACTGTAGGCGTTGGAAGTGTCTTGTCATTTTCAATCGACATAATTAAATAATTTCTATAATTTTCATCTGAAATAGAGCTTAGTTTATTAAACTGCTCAAGGAAAAATTTGCATTATCGAAACAAAAATTATTCCGTCCAACGATAGAGACAATCCTGATTACGGCAAACGTAGTACAATGTCATACGATCCTGAAAAATAGGAATAAACTTTCGACGAAACATATCGGAAGAAAGCAAACCTCGCTGCGTGCGGATTGAGCTTGAAAGAACACCGCGTCATGACCACGGCATTTTGGGCCTAGGCGAACAATGATCATGAGTCAACATTCCAAACTAGATTGTCTTACATGGATGATCACTCGTACGAGGTAATGTGGGATCAGATATAACATCAGTGACGATTTGTGTCAATTCACTAAAAGTGTAAAAACCGAGATTTGGTAGATGATTTTAGTAGCATGCATACTCGACTTCATGAGTAATTTTATTAACGTATATACATGGGTTATCAGCCGCTTGATGGAAGTCACATCGTCGACACTAAAGGAGACAAAAAAGATTAAGCCATATTCAATACTAAAAAGGACAAATCTGTATTTACGGCGTAGAGCAATATTCGATTTTCCTTATCCTCTTTAGGATAAAGCATATTATTACTAAAAGTAAGCAACGCAGAGTTGATAAGAACCTGAAAAGGAAGACGACGGATCTTTCACAAACCATTCTTGACAAAATTTAATTCCAACAAAACCGGTATTTGCCCCACTATTAGTTGTTGCATCCATGCTCATATTTTTCTAAAAGAATTGATGATATTATTTCTATCTGAATGACTAATTTTGCTGCAAGAGATGACACGTTTAGCTTTCCTTCCTACAGAACGTGACAAAACTAAAGGGTGCATACATTAGGAGAAATATTATCAAATAGAAATGATAGTCCAAACTCAAAACGAGAAAAGTGTGAATGAATCAATGAATCTAGTTTAAACATATTGCATCAGCTAATCAAAACTTTCGTATTCGTGTATGCAACGTTGATACTGTAAGATGTCACCAGTGACTTGTCATGGTTGATGAATGGGTTTTCTCACTTTGTAAAACTAGAAAATCGAATTGCATTCGAAGTTAAAATGTTCTATCTGTTTGCATTTATGAACAGCAAAAAATGGCAAAGATGATCAATTGATTCATGTGACAATCAAACGATGACCTGTCAGCATAGTTTTGTATCTTATTTAGATAGTCACATAGCGCTCATCAATATTTCAGAGTTAATGAGTTCATGTAGCAATATAAATGAGATTCCGGATGTACGGAACCTATTCATTCTCATTGGAATAATCGTGGTGATGATTTAATGACTATTTGAATGAATTTCTTTGGAAACTTAAATGTCTCTAATACTAACAAAAACTAGCGTATGGATCGATTTCGATTGTTTTAAAGAAAGCTAGTTCTATTATCTAAAGTTTGTGTCACGTGTAGCGGAAGAGAAAAGATTTCAGGTGAAATGAAAACGTTCATTTTTAATTTTCAGATGAATAAAAGACTTCCATTTGAAAATTTTCTAATATTCAAACGTTAATGAAAATCTTCTGCTTTTTTTCTATTACATTGTGCTTTCTTCCGTGAACACCATGCACATGATTAACAACAGATGTCTTGTGCATACATTCCTCTGCTTTTGTTCGTTCGCCGTGCTCGAATCTCGCAGTGAACTATGGCTCGGTTAAAATAACAAGGCTTTATTTATGTGCAGAAAATTTCTTCTGGATATTAAAAATAAAATACTACGAAAAAAATGCGATTTTTCACACGAGAAAAGATGTCGATAAATTGAATAAAGCTCATCTAACGTAGAGGATTGACAATCGTTTTTTTTAAAGATGGCTGCGCCAATGGTAATCATTCGTTCTCTCTATTTCTATTTCTGTTCTAAAACGCAAAAAAAGGAACATACATATACAGATATATGTATCTTTATCCCACGATAATCCTTTGTGTTTTGAATCTTTCGTAGATTATGACCGTGGACACTGCGGCCGTATCAGAAAACAAGAAGAATAATCTATCCATCGTATGTGATGCAAACAAAACAATGTTGTCTTTATTATTCGTTTTTGTTTGGTGAATGTTTAGACGAAACGAGACCGACGAGATGTCATTCGGCAGGTGAGAGAAATCACCGGGCTCGATGAAAATTCAATCAATCAAACAATTGAAGCATGCAAAGACGGAACTGGACGATACTCACTTGAACAAGTGATTAGCTTATTGTTCGACGATTCAAATGTTTGTAATTCTCGAAGTTTTTCGCAAGCAAAGTCGACTTTTTTTCGTCTTTTAGTTAAGAAATAATCTTCAACGAACGGCACAAGCTACCAATAGCACATCTCCGCCAGCATCTAATCTACCTGTAAATAATCCATCTGCCGCAGGTCCGACTTACGATCGAAGCAATGACATAATCACAGATGATGTCATTGAACTTTCACCAGAGATCGATAATCAACAGCCAGCTGATGATGAATTGGAACGGTACGAAGAATTTCAGCTTGTATCAATGAAAAACAACTCGCTCATTTTTAGTGCATTGCTTCTATCACGTGAAACAATGGAACAAATGATCGATGAATCAGATATAGCGAAAAGAAAATCTCTCGATGAGCCAGCAGGCTTAAAAAATGTTGGCAATACATGTTGGTTCAATTCAATTGTTCAATCTCTTTACACTCTACCATATTTTCGACAATTGATTTTGAACTTTCAATGTCCGACGATCAATCACTCGTTAACCGATAGTGTAAATGAAAAGATAATTCGTCTCTACCTATTTTCTTCTATGTCTATCGAATAGGAACAACAAGCTCTGTATTTCACAGAAGAATTACGGTATTTATTTGCATTGATGTTGAAGTCACCACGACGATCGATCAATCCTGATCGTGCGATTAAGAAATTCAAGAATACGAGAAAACTATGTGGTGTAGACTTCTCACATGAAGTAAATAAGACGATTTAGGATATGTTGAAAGTAACTATAGATTTCGTTTCTAGGACTGTTCGGAATTTGCAACACATCTCATCGATCTTGTCGAACTTGCATATGAAACAATTGGAAAAAAGTAGAATTTTGTTTTCGGTTAGAAATAACAAAACCAAACTGTTCTATTCTAGTTTATTAAACATTGATAATACAGCATCGCTTAATTGTATTAATCCTGTCAATACACTGGTTACGGGTGAAGTGAATGTCGAAAGAAATGAACATATACCAAGTAAAGTTGATGATTTCGGTGATGATCATGAGTATGCATGTTTGTCTTTCTCCTGACAGTCCGAGAAGCTTTAAGACAAATAAATATTCAAATGATCGGCTCAACCAACATATACGACGGTCTTGAAACACTTTGGCTTGGCTCAGCTGATGAAAGTCTTTCTAGTCAACAAGTATTTCTCCACCAATCTTTTGAAATTTGATATATAGACGTATACTTCTGTTTTTCCTTAGACAATAACTGAGCAACGATGGCTAACACGATTGCCACCTGTACTATTCATTTGCTTGAACCGTTATCGGTTTTCTCAAGCGACTAAGCAGACGTCGAAAATCATTGCACCATTTGAATTCTATCCTGAGCTTTATCTCGATCGATACATGTTAGTGAATAAGAACATCATTTTGAACAAGCGTAATATTGCAAAGAATCTATATGCTCAATTGCATGACCTGGAATCGACGTTGAACAGGTAAAGATCAAGATAACAATTGAGAATGAATATCTATGTTTAATTGCAGTTATTTGAAATATCCATGTAATGATGAATCGTTTGCACTTGCCAATGCAATTCGTGTTGTGTATGAATTTGCTACGGGTTGTCGACTTAATCCGACATTACCGAAAAGGTTAAGAGATGCTCTATTGTGAAGTGAACTTGAAAATGATGAGTTATCGTTTATAGAACTGATCAAGTTACACTTGATCAAAATACGACTAGTCGTTCACGACAACATTCGACAGTTCCGATTCAACCATCGCACATATCATCCGAAGAACTTCAATTCATTCAAAACACTTTGCCAACGTGGTTAACTGAAGTTGAAGCCAAATGTGCCGGTAAGAACGAATGAATCTTTTCTGCTAGAATTTATATGTTTAATCAATCATTTAGGTATTCGAGAAGAGATTCGCCGTGTTAAAAGCGAACTAAAACAATTATATGACGAAGCCCAGCTAAAACAAGTAATAGTCGTTAAAAATAGTAGACTAACGTCGCCTGATTTTTGTATTAGATGCGTTATACATTACACGCTGTTTGTGTCCATGAAGGAAGTGCAACACTTGGACATTTTTGGACATATGTCTATCATAGTGATCGACAAAAATGGTATCGATACAATGATAATGAAGGTAATTCAGTAGAAATATATATGTATTTCTGAAAATACTCTCGTCTCTTCATTTCAGTTTGTGAAACTACTTGGAACGATGTGTTTGATGCTGGAATTGGTGGTCAACGAACACAAAACGATCGTGACGAGCCTCGTGTACCTAGTGCATATCTATTAGTGTATATTAATGCCGATCAAAAATTATTATCGAATGGTTCGTTGAGATATTTGACTCGCTATTCCGTATTCTGGTGATACGTTTAGATATTCAATTTGAGCTTCCGTCTGACCTTCAAAGAGTTCTTGACGATGATTTAGTTCTGTTACAGCAACAAATAGAAAGTGTTCATCTCGAGCAACTTCAAAATGAATTGAAGACCGTGTGTGAACGAATTGAAAAACAGCAACCGATTCATCGTGCTCTGGCCATTCCGTTTTTTGCTGGACCAAATGCACCTTCCGATTCGGAGATCATCAAGCCTGTACTTGATTCGACATTGCGTATTCTAAAAGCCTATGCACCTCGAATCCTATCCGTCGAAGTCGATCGATTGCTTCAGGAAGTAAGAGAACTATTTGTAGTAGTCGAATCGCTTACAACCTTTCATTGTAGATTGTTGATAAAGAAATCAAAATATATTCACATACAGCAAATATCATTACATCAGCATTACCTCATAACGATTATCGTTTGCAACATGTCTTGTCTTATTTCTCAGCCAATCGTGTCGGAACTATCTATCGACAACGTGCAATGTATGATATAATTCGACTTACATCTATTCCGAATGATGATACAAGGTATGATGAACAAGTTCCATGATTATTTAGTTTTTCGTCTTGTTTAGGTTGAGAATATTCAAACTTCAAGCACAAATTGTTTGTAATGATATGCAAATGTCTAATGATGAGGTTCAGGAATATCAAGTATATATTCTGATGGTTCGGAGTTCTGTTTCTATTGTTCATTTGATTCTAGAAACTTTTGACGGATTACAAAGACTTTCGATCAGTCATTGCTGCATTTCTAGCTGGATGTCAATTGATGAACGAAGATAAGTAAGTAACATTTGACAGAAGACAACGATTTTTATGAGTCGATTTTCTTTCGGTGAAGATAAACGAACGTTTTTTTTTGTTTGAATTTAGATTCGAAGAAGCGATAACTTATTTCTGTGTGGCATGTGAATATAATTTGCGTCTTTCTAAACAGTGTACATTGCCCATGCGAGCAATGGATAGTTGTCTACTGTTTCGAGCGCGTCGTTTGTGTTTTGAAGTAAGAAATATTTAGTTTTCTCTATTCATTTCCAAGATCTCGATTTGTAGAGATGGAATGATGTTGTAATTAATCGCTTTAAAACTGATCCAGAATATCGTCTCGACACAATGACACACCAGTTTCTTCCATGTCTAATGCAATTAAAGCTTAGTTCTGAAGAAGATCAAGCTTATATCACAGAAATTCAACGTATATGGTGTTTATTACTTGATAAAATTGAACGTATGTTACAAATCGAATGCAAATGTATAGAATTGTTCGTTTTTGTTTTGACTATTTTTCTAGCAACAGAACGAACATTATCCTTGGAGGAATTTCTCCAACGACTACTGGAACAACCGATCGGTCAACATTACCATTCAGTGTCAATTAATAAACATCAACTAGTTGAACGATATGATGAAGCTGTTAGAGATCTTATTCATCGATATCCCTCATTCTCTGGCAACACTGTCGAGCAACAACAATCGCAATCTCCTAATCGATCAAACAGAGCGTCAGTTTCAATTCCAGTTGTTATACATCATCATCATCAACAACAACCACAACAACAGCAACATCATAATCCTACACCTGAAACGATGCCTACTATCGATCCACGTGGTTCATCGCCCATGCAACAAGGTGATGACGAACAAGATCCACCTTTGCCGCCCTCATTGTCATAGAACCACCTGACTTTCTCTTCTGTCATCATTTGTTATTACTCGATACGGTGCTATTTGGTCATGACATTAGAATGTAGCTAAGAATATGATTTGTGTAAGCAAGCCCGGTCTCTGATCTTTTGTGTACGTTTATGTGTCATTGATGTTGTACAAAATCCTATGTATTTACATCGTTTTCTTTCTGTATCCTTACGATTCTCTTTTTCTGCTCGTATCAATCTTATACATTAAACGTAACTTGTCTTTTTTTTTCTGTCAATTCATATACGCACCCTTCTTTCTAAGAAGACATTGAACTTATGTATTTTTTCTTTCTTACCAGTTGATTGTTGTCTTGTAGTATGTGTGCTGTTTTTTTTCTCTCTTCTCTCTATTATTCATGGTGATCTGCAAAATATTCGACTTTTACTATAGAATGAAATAATGAAGACAACAACAACATACGAAAAAAAGCTTGTTAAATCACATGATAACAGCAGCGTATATTCTCGTGAGTCAGTCGAGGTCAAAAGACACTATTCGCAAGAAAAATAACTATCGTCAAGCGATGATTTGAATGCGATGCATGAAGGAGATAGCTATTTGTTATGGTTTAAAATATGTTTTTTCTCTCGACGAGGCACGCGTGTATAACTAGATATAAGAGCGTATACTTGGAAAAGAGAAAAAAAAAACGAAGCGCTATATCATATAATACACTATCCGCACGAGTCACAAGACAAGGACATAGTACGTTAACATAGAGGTGTGCCCGTTTTATCACTTATTTTTTTCATATCGTTTTCGAAGATAATGGAAAGTTTCTTGGCTAATCGACCCGATGCACCAAGTCGGTGCACATTTACAGTCAACGGTGATAGAAGTAAATGTCCGCATAATCTAGGTTCCAGGTTAGTTTTTCGTCGATTGATTTAAAGAATTATGCTCATAAAGAAGAATGTTTTTCTGTACAGACAAAAATCTCTTCGGCAAAAGATTTACAATAATGTTTTGGAATTGATTGGCGATACACCACTTGTGCGTGTCAATCGTTTGGCTCGTGATTCAGGCGTTAAGTGCAATCTCTGTAAGCTAGTGATTTGGGGTTTTTTCGTATTTCGCTGGACGTGCAAGTTTTCTAGTGGCGAAATGCGAATATTTCAATGCGGGTGGTAGTGTCAAGGATCGTATTGGATTGCGTATGGTTGAAGAAGCTGAACGTGATGGTACCTTGAAACCAGGTGATACTGTCATCGAACCAACATCCGGAAATACAGGTATTGGCTTGGCTTTGGCATGCGCAGTCAAAGGTTATCGATGCATCATTGTCATGCCCGAAAAGATGAGCAAAGAAAAAGTACACAAGTCATGTTGTTTTTCCGCGTTCAAGCGATAATTTGCTTTTTTTTCTCGTCACAGGTTGATGTACTTCGTGCATTAGGTGCCGAGATTATTCGAACACCAACGAGTGCGTCATTCGATTCACCCGAATCGCACATAGGTGTGGCTCATCGATTGAAAATGAAAATACCCAATTCGCACATATTGGATCAATATCGAAATCCTTACAATCCAATTGCTCACTACGATACAACAGCAGAAGAAATTCTCGAAGCGTGCAATGGTGAGTTCAATATTTGCAAGATTATTAAAGAATAAATTATTTTCATGTGTAGGAAAAGTTGATATGGTTGTTGCAGGAGCTGGAACAGGTAAACTGATAGTGTATGATGCATGGCGATGAACGATATGTATTTGTTTTTAGGAGGAACATTAACTGGTCTCTCGAGAAAATTGAAAGAAAAATGTCCGAATTGTATCGTTGTCGGCGTTGATCCTGAAGGTTCAATTTTAGCTGCACCTGAAACGTTAAACAACACTGGAATTACCTTCTATGAAGTAATGTTTATTCATATTATTCTTTACTTTATTAACATTGTTTCGTTTTCTCTGCTGTAGGTTGAAGGTATTGGGTGAGTGGTAGCCAAAATACTACGCAAAAGACTTTGTCATGAGGGTATTTTCCATGTAGATATGATTTCATCCCAACGGTTCTCGATCGATCATTGGTTGATCGTTGGTATAAAAGTTCGGATCTGCCATCTCTTCGATGTTCTCGAAGATTACTTAAAGATGAAGGCATGCTTTGTGGCGCTTCATCGGGTTCGGCAATGTCATGCGCTATTCAGGCATGTAAAGATTTCAATTTAACGGAAAATCAAACGTGTGTGGTTATTCTACCAGATTCAGTGCGAAATTACATGTAGGAATTTGTTTGGCAATAGCTTTTCGTTCGACAATCCAGGTGACTTCTTTCTCTAATCTAGGACGAAATTTCTAAGCGATGATTGGATGTACGAACGTGCTTTTCTCGATGTCAAAGACGAGCCAAACAGCGAATGGTGGCATGGTAAACCCATATCAAGCTTGAAACTTCGTGAGCCTGTCACAGTTTCATCGAACACAGCCATTCAAGCAGTTTTGGATATTATGCATGAGCGAGGTTTCGATCAAGTACCAGTGATTTCCGATGATGGGTAAGATAGAAGTGTTCACCATTCAAAAGGACTAGATTTGATTTTAGAGCTTTCACTGGTATGACAACTATGTGTGAAATCATGGCAAAAATGTCACGTGGTTCAATAAAAGCGCAAGATCCAGTATCGAAAGCTGTCACAGATAAATTTCGAACGGTAAATTTCTCTCGTTTTTCAACCTTCTCACATATTTTTTCACATTTGACTCTAGGTGCAACTCGATGATACTTTGGCTAAACTAAGCCGTATTTTAGAAGCACACAACTATGTGATCATCAAATTTGCTCATGATCATTGTAAGAAAAGTTTTGCTTTTCCCGTTTCTTAATCAGAGTTGACTAAATTTCGTTCTTTAGCAGATCAGGATACGGCAGTGCGACAAAGTAAAACGCACATCTTTGGTATTATAACAAGTATTGATTTACTTGATTACATCGTCAAACATAATAAATCAGGCGAACCCATCAATGGAGAATCTGTAAAACAAAATGGAATTCATTGTGGTGATGCCATAAGATCATCGGCTATCGCAAAGGAATGCGAAGCTTTGCATTAGTTCATCGGGTCACTATTGGTCAACATATGATACAAGATATAAATCATTCTTTTCCGAGCTCAAATCAATCTGCATGTTTTGCTTCTCTTGCTTTTGTTTTCGGAATAAATAATCAAAACTAACCTTCATTTCAGGCTTGAACGTAGTATACAGCGAACTCTAATTGAATGATTAGTTATTCGATAAAAAACAAAACAATATCCTCTTCTGCATTCTTCATTATGATAGAAAACCGAGAAAAAAATAACTGTCCGAAGTGGTTCTTTCAATTTGCTGATGATGAACTTCTCTCTTTCGTCCAATCTCGACATATAAGCTTATGTCCTTGTTTCCATGCTTGTTTTTGACAGGCTGCTGAACAATACCATGCGTTTCGACATCGACTACAAGCTGGAAATGGTTTGCGATATGGTATATTCTCATTCGTAATAGTCGAATTCGGATTGTCAATAACTGGTGAGAGAGTTTTACATTCTGTACATGAATACGCATCATCACCTTCAAACGCGCATCGTTGACATTCGCACCAGAAGTTATAAGCGCGCTTGAGCATAGCCCGACGTGCACGACGTCCAAGTGCTAAATCAACATAGTTAATTGTTAATTCATCGCCTGGTTTTAGTTGATGTTTGCAACGAACCTAAATTAATGGAAAACGATTTCTTTCGTGTGCAATGCTCTCATAGCGCATGCAACTTTACTTTAATTCCAGCAACTTCTGGCGTAACTTGACAATCCATAATCTCGCAAGAATTGTCACATGAATGGTTCAATGACGATTGAAGCGGAAAGAGACCACCGAAAACCTGATCGACAGGTTCGCCTTTGAGAAAAGGTTGTAAGACTTGATATAAGGCAGCTTTTCCGCGCTGTCGAATGTTAGCTAGAAACTTGGTATAGATTGTTGTGGCGTACACAGGAGATGAGAAGCTTTGAGCATTGCATGCTATCTGATAAAATCGATGAACGAATTCTTGTTCATTAAATTCATAGTGTATTGGCATAGATGAATGACTGAAGATATTTTGCATAATTTTGAGCATACGAGGAATCGTATGAACATAAGTTGCATCGCCTGATGAGATAAATTCTGAAAAAGTTTCTTTGGCATGCTCCAATGGACCATCATCAGTTTGATCAGTGAGATGCGGTTGACTTAAATCAATACCGTTGCTTGTAGTTTCATCTCGAAAAAAAACACGATAAGCACGAACTGTGATGAATAGAATCAACCTTACTCTGAACGGATTCAACAATACTGAGAATGATCATTGTAACTAGTTTCGCTAAAATCATCGGTGAAAATATTGAATTCCATGTGTCGCGTACAATAATCTGTCGGTTAGCGCAAAAGTGATAGAGTTCCGTTGTTTCAGGATTGACTGATGGACACAAAAGTCGATGGTAACTCTTCCAAGCTCTATCACGACATCGTTCCGAACAATACTGTTCAAATGGACAGTGTGGACACGGAACAATTGTAATTGGTGGCCATTGCTCTTCAATATATCGTTGTAGTTTGTCTGGCATACGTGACCATGTTGCTTCGAAATAAACGGGTGGAGTCAGTAACGATATTGTGCATGTAGGACAAGCTGGAGATATTGACAGCGTATCAACAGTTTGTGCATGGACGATAGGAATGTCAGTGAAAACATCTTCGCCTGGCGAGATCACACGTTTCGCATAGATTCCTACGAACGTGAAAATAGAGTATTGACACAAAAAGTCAACAACCAGAAACAAACCTTTGCCACGATGATCAACGCGTATATCAATGGTTGGATATTGTGTGAGATAATTGTTGAAGAGTCGAGCAATTCGCGCTTGTTCAAGTTTAACATTTAAATCACTATTATTCGAGCGACAAACATGAATGGCTTCAGAAAACCAACGTTGTGCTACAGCAAAAACACGTAACTTTTTACAACATTCGCCACCTAACTTCCAGATTTCTAATGGACGTTGCTCTTGTGGTATTTTCCAACATTCGTAAAATGCTTCTTCAAGACTGCCGGCAGCATATTTTTGCTTCGCACGTTCACTTTTGAAGTCTAATGTAGCAGCTGATAATGTATTTCCATCGTTTTTTGGTGATGAACGATCATTTGATGATTCTTCTTCTAAATGAAGAACTGTTCGACGAATACGCAATATCAAGTCAGATTCTTCTTTCGACGTGCATCCCTTCAATTGATCAGATGATGACGAAACATCTTCGTTTGTTCGATCCCCATTCTCGTTAACTGCACTCATTATCGACCTGCTTGCGTTAGATAGTTCTAGACAGAATATCACCTAGACGTGTAGTACTATTGTCTATCTGCCGTTTTTTTTCTCTTTTCTCTATTGCTGATAGCATTATAACTGGTTGCCCATCTCATCCATACAGAATAGATAATCAGTGAGTTGGTTGCTTCTTCCTTCCTGTTTATGTATGGATATCGACGTATACGTTTAGATCAGAAAAAATATGGAATAAATAGGTTCCTGTAGGAAATATGCACTTTTTCTTTTTTTTCGTTCTGTTCTTTTTCTTCGCGATTGGTATTGTGCTAGAGAAAAATAGAAGAGAGTTATGACCAATGCAGAACAAAGCATGTGTTCCTCGGATCGGTTAGATACGGCCAGAAAGTATCTTCTCTGTTGTAGTGCTTGCGAAAATCACCATAGTATCCGTGTCATAGCTGTATAGATCGATAAAAACGTAAACGTTAAGATATGAAATCTAATTGTTGTATGATGTTTTTTCTCCGTTGACAAATTCATAAATTTAAAAGTTCTGTTTGATTTAAATTAGAAATCAGTTTGAATTGCCTGTTTATGTCAATTTTATTTTAGTTTTTCGACGATGTTATTCTCCGATGTCAAATTTATATATATATATATAAAGAGAACCCTCTAGTTCGAATACGTCAGAATAATAAACAAATAAGAAAGAAAAGGCAACTAGTCGAAAGGCTTGGGTATTAGTTCTTGTATACACAATCACGCACGATTTATTGAGCAAATCATAGAAGTCCATCCAGATGGCCAATTGGTAATGAATTATACGAAAGCCAATTTTGAATTTGATAATCAAATGTAGCAGTTAGCCATAGTGTGCGAAGGATAGCCAAACGCTTGAGATCCAAGTATAAAGTTTTGCCTCGTCTGAACAAAAACAAACTATTCGTCGACTAGAATGAATTACCAGAAGAGAATTTTACTTTAATTTAGGGTCTTCTTCTCCATGTTGATCGAGATACAGCGAATGCCAATAGCCATACGAAGTTGGCAAACATATCACTGTTAAAGTTGTTTGAACATCAAGCATGACAGCAGAAGGCAGGGCGCATCTTGCCAAATGCTAATGACAAAATAAACTTCAAACTATTGTTTGATTTGAGTCAAAGAGATTCCTACTTGATTATAGCGCTGTCGTTGTTGAGAACAACAGCCTGGAAACCAACGTTTTATATATATTTCTCCGCAAATGAGACACAGCAAGGTATCGGAAGAAGTTCGATTGCAATGCTCACAATGATATTCACTGTACATATGAAATAGATCACCGTATTTCGACGGAATATCAACAAACACTGGCGGATGAAACTGTGGACGTCCGAGACATAAGATCTTGAATAAGAGAAGTAAATACAGTTTCTTTTAATGAAAAATAAAAGGACGAAGTACTACCTTTGCTGCAGTTGTATAACGTTGGGCGGTAAGCTGGAAGTCTTCCAGCCATTTCGATAATACTGCTCTTGGTTCTGAGCAAAACCAACGTGGCATCGCTAAACCGTTCAAGCTTAAGTTCAAGTTCAAATAACTAGCTAATCCCAACGGAGATGGCTCTTCGCCAGTCTAGAAAAAGAACATTCCAATGAAAATGTGATCTTCATTGAGGAAACTTACTGTCCATGGCATTTCTTTCGAATACAATCGATATTTAATCAATGAACTGGTTTTGAGAAAATCTAAACACTTGTTCATCAGTTGTTTTCCAATTGGATCGTCTATCGCTCTTTGATAGGTGATTTGTTCTTTGAGTCGACTTTGTTCTACGCATTTTATGACTGAATTCACATCAACATCGAAATCAAAATCTTTGCTTTCCGGTACAGGTTGCTCAATAAGGATTGAAAGAAGATTTTTAAAGAATTCAATGTTAAATACAATTTGAACAATGACGTCGAACTCGTCTACAAATGACCAAAAATAATAATTCGACACAGAAAAATCCAGAGTGCCTTACCGGAAGTTATGTGAATTGGCGTGCTCATTAGTAGTTGAAATAATATCGTAAGAGGATCACGTAGAAGTATGGGTGGCAACGTCTGTTGTGGATCGAAAACACTTGAACGAAACAAAAGAGCTTATTAAAAACAAGCTCATTGTTGCTTTTTGCACATACTCAGCTGTAGTTATTGGGCATAGTAAACCGGTTACTTCTTGCCAAAGTTGTTGATGATAAAATGGATAACCGAGATGATGAAGCTCATGAAGGATTTCTAATGAAGTCAATGATAGGAGACATTCATTTCGATTATTTCTTACTGTAGAATGATTTGCGAATGGATTTTTGATCAATTTTATTCGCACTTTCATAAAACATCTGTTCATGGACCAATTGAGCTCTGCGAAAAGAATCCTTACCATTATCTCTCACTTCAAATCGATATTTACCTCAAAGTTCCACAATCGAACTCAGCCGCACGTTGTTTTGTCGATTGATGATTCGGCAAGAGCAATGGTCGATCCGGAGATAACTGATCGAACGAGATGCATTTTGCTGCGAGACCAGAGAGAAATGCAAGTAAACATCTTTCGTCAGCAACTCGAGTCTAAAACAAACGATTACTCTATGAGTATTCCGACGAATGTTCATAACAAACCAATTTCGGACGCGAAGGATTGACCATTGATTGATGAAGTCGCTCAACAGGTGATGCTGTTTGTTGATGATTATGTGTAATCGAGTAGTCCGTATGATCGAATAATAGAATCAGTGTGTTAGCTGATTGGCGGCAAAGCGGACAACGGAAATTGACCGTTGCGGGAAGAATTGCATTCAAAGCTGTTTCGGCAGCGCCTTGATTCTAAACAGAAAGAACAAATAATGGAAGTATTTTCCATTGATCGGTACTAACTGGGTGTAGTGCTTTCAGATAGGACGAAAGACAATCTACATGAATCGAATGACCACACGATTGAATACGCAATGATCGAAGATAGTGATCATTTTGACAATGATTTGCAATGTACTATAACTTCATATAAAACAGAAAGAAATCGATTTTGTGAAATGTTCCTACCGGATGTTCACTGATTTGTATCAGACACTGTTTAGTCAGATGTAAATAGGTTTCAAGTGTGATTTTATTCGACGGTATCGATAATCTTTGCTGTTCGTATTCATCCAACTGTGCAAATTCCAGACTTGGCACTAAAGTATGAAATTCGATCACATAGAACGATTTCTTCTCTCAAAAATTGTTCTTACAGAGAGATAAACACGTTGTACCAATGAGACCGATCGGTGATTGAACATCGCTTTTAGTCAATCGGCATACACAACATTCGTATTCAACGGAATATTCGGAAGCAACCGGTATGTTCGAAGCAGTTGTAGCGGTAGTCATGGCTTGATCCATCGAGAAGGGATCCGAACCTAATGATGGCGGAGTGCCAAGGTGCATCGATTGATCATCAGGATTTTGTTGAGTGATGAATTTCTTTTGTGATTGAGCGATTTCAGCAAGTAATTTCTGTTGACGATTCTTTGCTCGTTGTCGCCTAAAACAAATAATGTGAAATGAAAGTTTAGGTCACGCTTTACTTTTGTTCTGCTGTTAAATCTGATGTTTTCGTCGTTGTAGGTTGCTGTTGTTGTTGCTTTTGCTGTTGTTGGTATTGACTTTTCAATCTTTCGATTTCTTGTTCAATGGCAACACGACATTGCGCATTCATTTGCGCAGCAAGATATAAAACGTTGCTGAGAAAATAGTAACTATCACCAATGCGTGATGAATTATTATGATTAGCTGCTTTTAATCGAGCAGAAATTGTATTAATAAGTTCAAGGAAATCATTTGAACGTTGCTTATGAAGAATCTTCAGAAGAAGTGTTATAATACTTTCAGATTCATTTCCAATGGAGAATAGCGTACAAAGATTTTGGAAGATATCGTTGGTTTTAAATGCACCAATTTCTTCCTAAAATATCTCAAATGGATTTAACATTAGTGGGCGAAGTATCAAATTTACTGCATTCGTCTCGACTACCACAGATGACGCTTTGTCGGCCTAAGAAATGACAATATTTTTAGTACGAAAACATCATTGAATGACTTACGCTGATTAACGATAACTCCAGAAGGTAAATTGTGAAATAGAGAATGTTCTCTGTTACAGTTTTATCTTTTGAATACTAGAAGAAGTCAAGATTGAAAGAGCATATGTACCAGTGAGAACAACACCTACGGCATTTAGGCATAAAAACAGAAAATGGTGTAAAACACTGGATTGTAAAATACGTTGAACTTTGGATATGTATGCGTGAGAATATTTCGGCATGCGAAAGGGTGGCCAGATGGGATAATCCGATTTAAACAAGTTTTCATGCTTTACACTAGAGAGTGGAAAGTATTTTCAAATCAAAATACTGATTGACTAGATACTTACTATTTAGTAAAACGTTCGAGTGAATTTTGAAAATGTGCACGTTTTGTAGATCGCATGATAACGTGCAATGGATCGTAATCTGTTTGAAATAAAACACCTTTGATAGCGTATTTGCCTTGATGTAGATGACCCAGCAATTCCACGGAAGGTGTTTGAAAATCAGATACCTAGGACATGATCTGTATACATAACTGACATCTCAATGGTACGAACTTCATTTAGAATAGTTTCGATTTCTTTTCGATTAGCACTTGAGGGTGATGGATCAGGTACATTTTCCTCCACTTCACTGTACAACCGATCGCCAACAGATAATATTCCAATGATTTCCGTACGAATCTGCTGACTATCTCGACTAGCTGAAAGTATACTTCGTTAGATTATGTCTTCTCGAAATACACTACTTACCGTTATTCGGTTGAAATCCAACAAGTGCACAGAGGGTGATCAACACACTTTCTAACATCGCTATTTGATGATTTGGATCAAGGCTAGATCTTCCAGTCGAATCAAATAGCCATGAATGGAATCTTATTGAAGAAAAGAAAACGGCTTCTACTTAGCTGAGTTATCAATCAAGATTTTACTTCTTCAAGACCGTTTCTATAAATAAGTTCGGTTCGAGATAACAAGCAATTAACTAGAAGTAGAAAGCAGTGAACACTTGATAGAAGGAAAGTGTTTGATATACTTGTAAAAGAAAGAAATCTGCATCATGCATCGCTGCTGAGAAAGCTGTTTTTGCATATGTTTTTGCTTGTATAGTCACTTGTTGACCATTGCGTAGCCACATATTGGATAAAACTTCAAAATATCCAGCCTAAACGAAACATTTTCACATTCCAGCTCTCGAATCTGAATATCCTACAATCGTTCTCAGAGGATGAAACATCAAATTCATAAGCATGTTTGGATTATCAGTTGGTAAGAATGCAGCTGGATCAATATTGAATTTATGTATGGCATTGTAAGCAAACATCGCTAAATAACGATGTAACGGCAAATGAAATGTTAACTTCCAATGATCGGCATTGTCCATTTGGAAATTCAGTGATTCCAACCAATCGTTAATACTCATAACAATTTGTTTGATAATTACAATAAGTTTCTCTTCTGGATACTAGACAAAAGAAGATCTTTTTCGTTTAGAGAGAATAGGCTCGCTTTTACTTACTTACATCTGCTTTTAGATGATTGATGAAACACCACATCGCTGCAGCACTGATTTCAAGTTCAATGGTAAATGCATACATGTATGCTTGTGGTTCATATTCAATATGATGACTGGTGATGCGTTCATTTACATTCATACCTAAACATTTTCAAATACAAGATAGAGAAAAATCCGATGAGACATGGAGCGCACCTTGAAAGAATGTGAGAAATCGTAACCAGAAATTGAAATACTTCTTGTTCTCAAGTATGGTTAACACGACTTTCTCTTGAGATAAGATATTGACAAAATCACTCAATAATGGCCAGTAGACATTCTTAACAATCAATTGGTGTTCAACATCAACGACCATTCCGACCGGCGTGTCTTCATTGGTAACTTACGAGAAAGAAATAGAATCGATTCTTCTGAATAAAAAGACATACTTGCTAACGGATGCGCTTTGAGTATACTTTCATCATCATCATCATCATCGTCTTGTTTATCTTGATCTGTTGAAGGAACAAACATTCGCCAGATGCAGGAGAGAATGACTTCGATGAGATGACACTTGTCCATGACGTAATCAGCAATAACATTTGAAGAAAACAGCTGAACACTAATGTGAACAAGACGTGATGGTATTTCGCTCGTTTCTAAATGAGACTCTTCGACTAGTAATTGAGAAATAACACCGTAGAAACGTAGAAATGTTTCTGTAAATGATAACTAGGAGACAAACGATGAATAATTCTTGAGAAATCGGCTTTTTATCAATTACTTTGAAGTTAAAATCAGGTAATAAACTAAGTAAAAACCGAACGAGATCTTCTGGCAAGTGTGTTGTCACACACCACATCATAATTTCGTCTAACATGGTTCGTAAACTCGTATCAAATGGTATCAAACTATCTGATGTAGAATCAACCATTAATGTCTCAAGAAAATATGTCGTGGGTAAATTAGAATATTCCCCATTGAGAAATTCAATATGATAAAGTCTATTGATTGATGCTGAAAAGAAAGTTCAAACAAAAAAAAAAAAGCTAATTATCTTGTCTTATTTGTTTGTTACGTACGGTCACTAGTAAATTCATCATATAGTTTTCTATCAGTCAAGGAATTTGTTATACAAGTTTGTAAAGCCGAACCACTGTTAGATAACTGATTCAATATTTCCAACAATTTTTGTTCTGTTACAATATCACCTAGAATTTGTTAGGAACACAAATAAGATTTTCCAATTTTTTCAATCAGAGATCAAATTCTTACCGCTAACAGCACTCATACGTAAAGCGCGTATGAACACTTTCAGTAGATGTGGAATAAGCAATTCCGCACAACAAATCAAGTCATGGGGTACTGCTTGTGGGTGAGGACGACTTTCACCGTGAAAACGACAAAATCTAGGATAAAAAATACCTTTCGGATGGTCAATATCGCCTTGTCTCCATACCCGAATTCATGCATGACACTCGAATCTCCACAATCACACGCGCCACCGGCTTGGCTTTTGAACATATTGTAATTATGTCCTTCATGATTGCCATTTTGAAAACATTGAGCACATATACTCATACATGGCGAGATCGAACACGTTTTACATCTATATGCCATAACATTAGCATTCCAAATGAGACCGCAGATTTGGGCATTATTATATTCCCGAACTAAACAAAGAAGAACGAATTGTTGTACTTCATTTTCGATTCTATAAATTTACTTTGTTGAGTAAATTCATCCATTGTTCGATTACCGGGCATATATTGCAGAAAAAATTGAACTAATCCGTCAATATTTTCATTTTCATGAACGTTGACAGTTAGCAGATTTTCCAACGCGACTTTATTCAATGTTCCATCAATTAAGCCTGCTTGTAATTGTTCTGGTGTTAAATCTATTGCAACAGTAGCATCCATTGGAAGGAAATCTGATCTGAAGCAAAAAATATGTCAGAGATTGGTCTTTTCCTCGTCTAAATAACAGAAAACACCAAACACAAACACATTGTTTCGGATGACTCATACGATGATATAACTATTAAGGAAGAAAAAAAAACAACAACAACAGCAAGAGAGAACGAATCACTTCATGTTAATTCATCATTACATGAAAGATGATGACACGACTTCAGCGAGTATTATTCAAACGAGGTTTTGCCTCAATTGCAACCAGATCTAGTCCGGCAAGTGAGGAATATGTTCCACCGTATGAAAAACCATCAGCCAACGATATTGCAAAACTGGAAGAATTTCTGTCACATTCGAAACGATTGTTTATTATTACCGGTGCTGGCATATCAACGGAGTCAGGCATACCGGACTATCGATCGGAAGGTGTAGGACTTTACGCTCGAACAACCAATCGACCAATGTAAGAGAATGATCGCATGAACTTGTCAACTGATTGACTGCACCTAGGATGTATCAAGAATTTCTGACGAATCCCAAACGATATCGAATGTATTGGGCGAGAAATTATATCGGCTGGCCGACATTTTCAGCTTTTCAACCGAATGAAACCCATCGAACGTTTGCAAAATGGGAAACACAAGGTAAAGTAAGTTTTTGACTCGATCGACAAGAGCTTCGTTCACTGGTAACTAATGTCTCTCTGAAGGTGTTTTGGCATGTTACACAGAATGTCGATAGCTTATTGACCAAAGCTGGTTGCGAATTGTTAAGTGAATTACATGGTTGCAGTGCTCGAGTTGCTTGTGTTGATTGTGGTTATAAAGGTATGACACGACAAGAATTACAAGAACTCATAGCACAAGACAATCCCGTTTGGACCGCTCAATCAAATACGATCAATCCAGATGCTGACGTGTATCTAACGGAAGAACAACTAGGAGATTTTCGAGTAAATTCCGACGACCTTTTATTGTATCTTATTGACACAATCGTCTTCATTTAGCCGCCTCGGTGTCCTCAATGTTCTGGTCGAATTAAACCAGATGTAACTTTCTTCGGCGATAATGTTGATCGTCGTTTGGTGGATTTTGTCAAAGAACAATTGACGCAAAGTGATTCTGTACTGGTCGCTGGTTCGTCCTTAGAAGTCATGTCATCGTATCGTTTTATTCTTGTCGCTCAACAACTTCAACTACCTATTGCGATTGTTAACATCGGTCGAACGCGTGGAGATCAAGCAGCTCACCTGAAAATTTCCACACGTTGCGGTTCGATATTACCTCACATACGAATGAGTGAATTACCCAAACAATAAATAAGAACACTTTCTCTTGAGTTTTTATTCTCGCAGCGAAAAAAGCAAGAAACTGTATGATGTAAAATTGTTGATCTGTTTCATTAATTACGATTGTTAATATTACATACGTTGTTTATGGGCTTTAGATTGGTAAAGGAGAATTTCCCAAAATAGATGTCAGCGTAGAACAGCGATGCGTGTCAATGCAAATACTGTTTTATATGGTCGAACAATCCTCCTTGTTCCCTATGGGAAACATCATGTTGAAAAGTAAAAGTTAGCGAAAAGATTGGCGGTATCTATATCTGTTTTCAATCAGATACCATCGATGGATGGAAAATGAAGAAATTCGCGAACTGACCGCATCCTTACCATTAACTATCGAAGAAGAATATGAAATGCAACAAACATGGATGAACGATAAAGATAAATGTACGTTTATTATTCTATCGAAAGAACGATTCGATGAGACACACGATGAAATAGGTAAAGATCTGCTGTTTGTATACTAATAAATGAGAAATCTTTTTGCTAGAATCGATGATCGGTGATGTCAATCTATTTTTGAATGACCCTGATGATCTTCATTGTGGTGAAGTTGAAATCATGATTGCAGAAGAAAAAGCTCGACACAAGGGTTATGGAATCGAAACATTGCACACATTCTTTCGTTATGGTAATTTGAAAAGCGCATGTTGTCTTCTATCTAAGGCATGGTCTTGTTCGTAGCAATTGAAACGCTGAACATCACGCGTTTTGTTGTCAAAATTGGTCTGAAAAATTTACCGAGTATTGCTTTATTCACAAACAAGTTACAATTTCAAACAGTATGACAATTAATTTACAGTCTCACTCGCAAAGTTCCTTGTTTAGACTCAAACATCCGAAGTCTTTCAAGAAGTGACCATGGAACGGCATGTCAACGATGAATTCGCTCAGTTGCTAAACATGAACACTCCAGACTATCGAAACGAACTTTACGATCAGTTGACTAAAGTCTGATTTCGAATGAAATCTTTTGCGATGTATAACAACAAAGTTTTTTAAGAGAACGATATTTAAGAGCTCAATGTTTGTAGAAGAATAATCTTTCCTGCATACAATGTAATGGGTCCAACGGCTCGTGTTTGTCGGCGGAAATTGAATACATTCTTGAGTTTGTATTTAAGCTGCGGTAATGACCAAGCGCATGCGAACGGCCAAAGAAGTATCATACAGTAGTTGAAGACGAATAAATAATCCATCAATTGTGCGCTCACATTACGAGATAAACCGCACAGATGTAAGAAATTCATTAAAGTGATTGGTAACGCGAATAGAAGATAAATAGTGGAAATAAACAACATTTGACCAGTCATTTTCCAATGTTTTCGCCATTGTAGTGACTTTCCTACGCGTTTCTTTTGCCAATGCACGCGTAACAATAAAGCGATGCTAAAGATAACAATGATGAGATTCGGAAGGACTTGATGGACAAGTGTATCATATGTGTAAAGTGCAAAGGATTGAAAAAGATAACATAGTACAACACATGTCATTTGAGAAACATCAAACGTATTTTTGCAAGGCGGAAAAAATATTGTCAGTATGTAATAGACAAGACAATAGAGAAGAAGCATGACTAGTGGTAAATAATGTACAAACAAACGTTTCTGTCGTGTTGACAACCAATTGTGATGAAAGATTAAAATGTGTCTTTCCATCGAAGCCCAGGCGAAGAGTATCATCTGAGTGTAGTATAGGCCCCAATCGATAAAAGCCCAAATCGTGCAAAAGAGCGATGAACGATGCCAAATGCCTTCATAGTTGTAGTAGTAGAGCATCCATGGATAAAGAGTAGCTTGATAGAAAAGGCCGATGAGAAGAAAAACGATAATGGCATGATTATGCAGAGCAGTACGCAACGTTCGATTTGATAGAAGGTAAGAGAGGAGAAATACTGAACAGACCAATGATGGGATGAGAAAACAGAGATAAACCCAAAACTTAATTCTTTCCATTTCAAAGCATCAGTATAAGACAATACCTAATTCAATGTTTTATGTTTAAATCAGATTACAGACGACGAGAAGATCGCTTTGACAGCTATTTCTCTTGTATAAAGTACGGATTGCACTACTTAGAGTTCTCTCGCAAAACTAGTCTTATCGGAGAACGTACAAATATTTGTTTCGCCATATATTGTCGTCGATTGTCATTCAAGATCATTAACAGGTGTGTATTGATACATACGCATATGAAATTCGGTAGTAAATCTTTCTTATCGTCATTCATCGCAATTTTATCGGAAGCAAAAAAGTCTATCTTCGCACATTTCCTCTCTTAAGCAAGATGTGCACATGTACCAAGTACTTTTTCTGTACATTTTTTTATGTCGATCAAAGAACATAACAGTGAACATTTATCGAGAAGAAAATAAAAATTGAATTGCTATGTAATAGAAAGATACGATACATAGGTGCTATCAATTATTAAGAAATAAATGTTTTCACTTTGAGTTTGAGTCCAGGTGTGCTTATGATACATGCAAATGGCAACATCGGAATCATTAAATAGTTGAAGAACAATAAATATTCGTAGAATGTTGTACTCACATCAGGTGCTAATCCGCATAAGTACATCAAATTCATTAACGATAGTGGAAAGTCGAACAGAAGGTATAAAAGTGAGAATGACAACAGTTGAATGGTCATTTTCCGATATTTCCTCGCATACAATAACCGACGCATAGGATATTTTCTATAGACAACTCGTATTAGTAAACCCATACTGCATACAACGATGATCACATTCGGTAAGACTTGATGAACTACTGCATCCCACATATACAATCCATAAGTGTCAGTAAAACAAAGTGCAGCGCATATCATGTACGTATCATCGAACTGGTTTTGACAAAACGGAAAGAAACTAACAATAATATAGAAAGTCAAACAATAGATTAGAAGTAAAAGGAGAGGTAAGTAATGTAGGAGGAATCGGTTTTGTTTAGTTGCCAACCAGTTCGAATGAAAGATTAAAATATGTCGTTCTATTGTCGCCCATGCAAAAAGCATCGTCTGAGTAAAGTATAAACCCCAATCAATAAATGCCCAGATCATGCAAAAGATCGCTGAGCGATACCAAACGCCTTGATGACGAAAGAAGAATAACATCCATGGATATATGGTTACTGTATTAAATAAGCCAATGAGTAGAACAACAGCGATCACATGATTATGAAGAGTAATACGTACAACTCGATTGAAAATAACATGGCCAAGACAAATCAATGAGCAGATTATTGAAGGAATGAGAACAAGGAGATATACCCAAAACTTCACAGTTAGAGATATAATTTCATCATAAACAACGACAACAGCGTGGGTATCATCATCGACATAATCACTTACATTCCACATTTGAAAGGCCAGTTGTGCAGCTGCTCGGAGGTAATGTGATATGACTGGTTACTCACAAGATAAAATAATCGTAATGACGTGTAGAAGAATTAATCGATAGAGAAGAAGAGAAGTCTATTTTGTTAATTGAAAAAAAGAACTAATTCCAAAAAGTAGAAAGTATCAATTTTTAATTATATGCAGCAAGTCAACTTCTTCGGCGACAGACATGGTTTGGGCCTGAGACTTAGAATTACGCAGCATATAAGTTAAATGAATTAGTTCGAACAAAAGGCGTCGTATATTCTACCGTTTGAGCATGCGTAAAACAAACGCAGACTATAGAGAGATGTGTTCAAGTAAATTCTTTGATTTTCCATAATTGATGTATGAGCTAGCGAAAGCCACAAGAGGAAAGTATTAATTCCACTCGAACCGACTTTTCATAAACTAAAAATATGCGGGAGTCATTCGATCGTTCATGTCAAGAAGCACTCGAGATTGTTCATTCTTTTGACCGGTTCATATCAAGTCATTGGTCTTTGGCTTGAGCATTTGAAGTTTTTCTCTCTTGAATTTTATACGTTGAAATCGAAAAGAATTATTTCAGATATACAAGAAAAAAACGTATCAGCTAAAATATTCATTGGCTGACACAAATAAATAAACATAAATATATATATAAACACTCACGATTTTTATCGACCATCAAAGAAACAACAACGGTGATATACAAAGATAAGAACAAAAGGTAATGTTCATGTTCTTGTACTCGATAAAGATCAACTATTAAAATAAAATCGTTTTCAAACAATCCTTTCTATTATCCTCAACAACAATAAGATGTATCATCCAGATCATTTATCACCGCCAAATAATTTCCCCAGTCCACCTGGCCCACCGCCTTGTTGGAATTGCCGCATCATTGATTGCAAACCTGATGATCCACCTACGAAGAGTTTTTTTTTTTGTAAAAAATCGATTAAAAGACTTTACATGTCGACATACCTATTTGATGTAAAATTCGAGGATCGATTAGTTTACTCATTTGACTGTTCAATTTTTGCATTTGTGTCGGATTCACATTTTTGGTCATATCACCCTGTTTGAACAAACCTTTAATACCACCCATTTTCTTAACCATTTGTGCAAATTTAGAATATTGAGTAATTAGATCTTGAACATCACGTATGGAAACACCAGCCCCACGAGCGACTCGAGCACAGCGTCCGGGTTGAGTTTTAAATAGTTTCGCTCCATCAAGATGGTCCAGTTCTGCATTGTTTATTTGTAAAAACATGAATTAGCCAGGATAGACCAAGTAAATGACTTACCATTATCGTTCATACTGTCCATAATACACATCATTTTTCTCAAACGTGCTTGTGATTCTTGCTCACCACTCTTTGATATGAACTCTGTACCAAAACCGGGAATCATACCCTAATCAGAACGAAGATAGAATCCAAAGATAACTACTACTTCAAACTACGTACCATGATCTGTCCAAACGGACCCATTTTCATAATATTCTGAAACTGCTCGTACATATCCCGTAGAGTAAATTGACCTAAATAGAAATACAATTGAGAAAAAGCGCGTGTCTCCCTTTTCATTGAGTATTACCATGTTGCAATTTCTTCATTAATTCTTCGTTGTCTTCCAATTTGAGATCGTTGACTTTCTCAATCAAACCTTGCACATCACCCATACCCAATAGTTTACTGATGAACGGTTTTGTCTTGAATGGTTCGAAATCATCGATATGTTCACCTGTACCAATGAATATAATTGGACTTTTCGTTGCAGCAACACTAAAATAATACACCAACACTTATAACCCATTCGATATGGCAATCATCAGTAACTTACGCGCTTAGGGCACCACCACCTTTAGCATGACTGTCCAATTTGGTGACGATAACCGAACCGACATCGACTTTTGATTTGAATGCTTTAGCCTAGCAATGAACTCATAGATTAGACAAAAATAATCATACAAAATCGATTATACTTGAAGTTCGCAAGCTTGACCAATACTTGCATCCATAACGAAGATAATATTATCGGGTTGCTAAATTCAAACGATGTTAGTTATTTCTATCATGCGTACACTTCGCAAATTCTTACGATTCCATTGGAAATTTGAAGCATTTCTTCGAATAATGATTCCTCTTGAGCATGTCGACCACTAGTATCAACAATAATCAACTCAAAGTTATCCTTACGAAAGGTTTCCACACCGTCCATAGCGATAACTAATGGATCACTTTCTGTGTAACTAAACATCAAGCAAATTCATGTTTGAAAAAGAGCAGAACTTCGAAATCTATTCACCTTCCATAAAATGGAATGCGAGCTTTGGTGGCATTTTGCTTCAATTGATCAAAGGCACCGGCACGAAATGTATCCGCGCAAACCAGTGCAGTTTTCCATCCACGTCTCATAAAATGGTATGCATACTAAAGAACAACACTGTAAATTGTCTCTTCCTTCAATCCGGTGGCGACGTTTACCTTTGTACATGTTGTTGTTTTTCCACTACCTTGTAAACCAACGAACATGACAACATTTGGTTTGTTTTTTACTGGTTGCCATGGTTTAACTTCCGGATCGATGAGCTATTTGAAGACAACGTCAGTCATTGTTGAATAGGAACATTCGTTTATACATACTCGAACAAGTTCTTTCACAACTGCGGACTGAATCAGACGACGTTTATTCAAGCCAACAGCTGTTTCTTCCAGATTTATCGCTTTTCTTAAAAAAACTCCAAAATAGATATCTTTGCTCAATCAGAAAGCAAATCATCTTACTTAACATTTTCTCGTAATTGTTTAACAAGAAGAACGTTGACATCAGCTTCCAACAAAGCTCGACAGATTTCTCCGAGCGCTTCATTTAGAACTTGTTCATTGATAATCGTCGCATTACTTAAATTTCTTAATGCCGATGAAAGACGTCGACCAAGATCTGCAAGGACCATGTTCTATCTAGAATAAACCAGACAATTATACAGATTTTATTAAACAGCAAACAGATATATGTATGTATAAACAGATTATCTTTATACAAAAGAGAGAAAAACGAGACGAAAGAATTCTTCGATTTTGTCTTCTTCCTATATCAATGAGAAATTGATCGATAAAAAATATTGTATGGTTTCGGCATATTGCTCCAATATTGTTCTAACAATCGTTCTAATGTCAGCGTATTTTCGACAGGAATATCATCGTTGAGGTTAATGAACCATTGAAATTCTTGCTCGATGTAAGACGAGTTCTGTTGTTCAAGTTTCATTCGTGTATTGATGAATTTGGACAAGTGATTGATTGAGGCATTTAAGGGTGTAAGGATTTTCCTTGTCGTAAATAACTGCTGATTGTTCATTGGTTTTAACTGTAATTCGATGTCGTTGATTGTTGGGGTCGAACCAGCTGACGATGAGGATTCTGAAATGCGCTTCTTCTTCTTGTCTTTGGTATGATGTTCATCGTCAGACGATAAACTGGCGCGTATTGGCTTTTTCGAGTATTTACTTCGATTGGTTAAAATTAATTCATCGTTATCGTTACGCACAGGAAATAATTTCGAGATCAAGGCATCGATATTTTGATCTCGACGTAAACAACGTTTGGAAATTAGTTTCTTCCGACATGTTGGACATTCTTTATTTCCGCTACGCAATGCTGTTTCGATACAATCGCAGCAGAACCGATGTAAGCATTCTTTTGTGGTACGAGTGTTGCGCAGTAGATCGAGACAAATGGGACAAGTTAATTCACTCTGAAGAGATTTCGGACTGATGAGCAATTCCTCATCATGTAGTAATTCGTGTGGTTTGCGTTGTTGCTCGTAAGGAGTTAAATCCCAAGTTAAACCGGTTTTGAAACCCGAAGTATTATTTGCGATATCTGACGATGTCATTTGAGAACTTGCCGAAATGTTAGTACTCGTCGAGCGACTAAACCGATATCAATCAACGTGAAATAGTTTTTAACAAAAAAATAACACTTACATCATGAAATGTTAACATGCAGAAATATCGACATGTTGATCGTTCGAAACAGAACAAAATACAATCTAAAATGTACGTCATATTGCAGTTGTCGAAGCGTGATAGAAGTGATGAAAATGAAAGGTTTTCAATGTACGATACTTTGTGAAAAATGATGAAGGGAAGATTTGATCAAAACAGAAACTGCACGAAGTTATATTTATAGACAGAATGAAGGAAGAGAGAGATAAACAAGTAGTGTGACGAAGACTATGCCAACACGAGCCAATCAAACTGGGCCAATGACGGAAAGATTAATAATTAAAATGAAGTCAATTCAATCATGAAATGATTAAAAATGTTTGAATTAGTTTAATTAAATAGTTTCGAAATAAATGATTTTCATATAATCAGTCAGTGCATGGCGCCATCTATGTGCTTCGAATTGCGCCTGCATACAGAAGAGTGAGTAGAACACCTTTGTCAATCGAAATCGACTGTTTATTTCTTAAGTGTTAATCTGTTTGGTGACTAGAAGTGAGTCCTATCAGTTTATTTGTGAAGAGAAATAAAACCGAGAAGAGAGAGTAAAATGTCATAGCAAGGGAAAGAAAAATCCTATATATGTATATGCTAGGTTGGAAAAAGTCTTCTGATAGGGAGGTACTGTTATATTTCCGAATAGGGTTACTAATGAATTTTACACCAAATGAAAGCTCGTCGAAAATGGAATCTAAAGGTGTGATTAGTCGGTCACAAGATTATAACAGACTTTAGAAATATTAAAAGTTTCTAATTTTAAACGCATATTTGGACGATTTCATGGGATAACTCACCATTAAAACATAAAATTCTCATATAGAATGTTTCCGTCTTTTAGGCTTTGTACGGATCACTTTGCTGACCATTTTCATAAAAAAAAGTTTCGAAACTTGATCAATAAATAATGATTTTAGATTTAAATACTGATAGTCTCTGGTTGTTGTGGCCGATAGAACCAATATGTTTATGGCCATATTGACTCTAACATCATTATTTATGAAAATGGTCAGCAAAGTGAGCTGTACAAAGTCTAAAAGACGGAAACATTCCATATGAGAATTTTATGCTTCAATGGTGAATTATCCCATGAAATTGTCCAAATATGTGTTTAAAATTAGAAACTTTTAATATTTCTAAAGCCTGTTACAATCTTGTGACCGACTAATCACACCTTTAGATCCCATTTTCGACGAGCTTCCATTTGGTATAAAATTCATTAGTAACTCTATTCGGAAATATGACAGTACCTCCCTAACAGAAGACTTATTCCAGCCTAGTATATACATATATAGGTGCAAGAGAGAGAGAGAAGAGGAGAAATAGAACACAGTTCTATTAAATGTTTTCGTTAGATCTATGTTTGGAGAATTGTAAGCATATATGCTCTACATTAAGGAAGAGTATTATTAAAAAATGGAAAGATATTTTGCACAAGAAAATCTTTGTTGGGAGCATGTGGCACATCTTGGTGTTTGACGTGCGCTGTGAATGTATACAATTTGCCTTGTTCCCACAATGTTCGCATGCCGATAAGATCCTCGGTGAATTGTCTCGAATTGTTCCATGTTTCAACATGCAACGAATTCGGTGCGTAACCCATGAATAAACCGGAATGTCTGGGTGAGATAATTTCATCAATGTCCGAATAAGTCATCACGAAAGCATTTAATTTCAACATATTGTTACGATAAGTTTCGTTGCGTACTTCACGCTCATTATTGATGTCCGGAAGGAAATGGCAATGTGATCGAAATCTATCCAATTGATCGGGATCGCGCCAATAATTCGCAGCACTAATGACATTTTGTACGGGAGTCTCATACGCATATTTCGATACTAATTCGCGAAATTGTGCTGGCAATTTCAATAAGTACGGAATACCAAAGACACCTTGATGAACACCACTCAGTGTAATTAGATTATGAACAGGTAGTGAACATCTTTCCAATGCACCGCGAGCGATAATACTTCCTTGAGAATATCCTAGTAAATTGAAACCTTGCCGAAGATGTTCATCGGCAAGGACTGTGTTACAAAAATGTTCAACTTGTTTATCTAATGGCCATAGAAATGAATCGTCGAAGCCATTGCCAATCTCGACAGAGATGACATAAACTCCTGGAAACGAAGTACGAAGCCAACCAGCTAGTTCATCCATTCCAGCTGCTGAAGATGTTATTCCGTGCATCAGAACAATGGGTCGATACATTGAACTCGATGCCACTGTGGTTAGGGCCAGAAGAAAAGCGAGACGAATCATTTTTTTATTCTATTTCGAACTATGGCTCTCGTTTTTCGTTTTATACTTTTGATTTCAACAAACATCTGTTGGTTTTCACACATTGGAAGCATTCAAAAATACTTTCAATGTGGAAAGCAACGTCATAATTGCCTAGATTTTCTTTAACCTAAATTCTACTTTGACTTTTTTTCTCTGACAAAACAAAGAATATTTATTTTTAGAGATGCATATACAAACGCCAAACTGATTTCGTTCGAGAATAGAAAAGTTCAAACATGATGCGGATTTGTCGGCCGTTGATTTTTGATGATCAAATACCATAGTTTGAATGAGAATATGACAACAATTGCCTGAAAAGATAATCAAATATACCTAGCGAAGTGAACAAATATGTGTCTTTACGTCGAGTATGACACTTGTCAAACATGCAACAATCGGAATGATAGTAAATGGTATTCCATTATTCAGTTTTGATGATTGAGAAGTGATGATAACAATTGCTACTGTGACGAATACAATCAACATGCATGTTAAGACGATATTTAGGATTCCTAACCATGCGAACTAGAACAAACGAAAGAATCCAATCTCAATGAAACAATGACATCTTTCATACTAACAATGAATAACCCCATAACATAATATCTCTGTGTAACAAACAGTCCAATCGCGAAGAATAGGATCCAGCAAAGATTAATAATCGGTTCGAATGTATTTGTTCGATAATTGATCGATAACGAATAAATAACCACGATAAAAATGATTACATGAATAGTCTAGGAAAGATTAGCATCTTATTTCTTCGGAGTATGTTTGGTCTTGTTGATCCAACTTACCAGAAGAATTGAGATGAGAAATATGAGAATCTGTTGTGTTCGTTTGATTTCTTCGGGCACTCGAATCACTGATATCGGTTCAGACGAAAGATCCGAGCCGCCTATGCTGATTGTCATGTCAACCAAAACACGTCGGAGTCAAACTTATTTACATAGATAATGTATTAGTTGTTGTCGGCCTTATTTAAGATACTACGAGAAGAATGTTAACGATGATAGAAGAAAATAAGTAGCGAAGGACAACATTTGCTCCATATGGATACGTCGAATATATCTATTACATCCTTACCGAGCAGAAAGAAGCAAAGAACAAATGTTATAGATGATGAAATAATAACGATAATAATCAAGGATTTAATAGAGAGAAAACAAGACATATTCACACGATGAGAAAGAATATCGATTAGTTCTGCATCGTCTTCTTCCAATTCGATTTAAAGAAAACAAAAAAATGTTTTCATACAATGAATGTAGATATTAAATTCTACTAATAATTACAAATGAGTATGACGTCTATCCGACATTTTAAGGCATTTGGTTGCCACAGTGCATTCATATTCTTGCTGGTGTAATATTAATCAAATTACAGTTAGCTTCATCATTTAATGACACCTTTTAGATTCATTTAGCAGAAATTGTACTTCCTAGAGAAGACAGTGCATGTTTACACTCGAGCACAGAATTGAAGTAAAACAGTCGTTTGACTGCGACTGGTTTGTGCTATAAATGTGTGTTTTTTCTAAATTTTATTTGTTTTAAATCTTGATTTTATATGCAAGAGACATACGAATGAAGAGATAAAATTCCTAATAGCAGAAGACATATGGTGTGTAGACAAGAAGGGAGCGAACAAGATGATAAAGTACAAAAAAGAAACCAAAATCGACATAGGTCCACCGACAGAAACAACGAGAAAAAAGAACGAGAAGTACAGACAAATGGAATAGTTGATAGGAAAAAAAACAAATGGACATGATTCTTTTTTTTTGGTTAATATCGTTGAGAAATATAGAGAAGTCCAGACAGAAACTGATTTAAAAAGAGAAAAAAAGGAAGAAAGGCGAATTTTTCAATTATTCTTTTCGCATTCGTCGACGGCCTTTGCCACTAGCCGATGGAGAAGAATTCTTACTCTTATCGTCTTCAGTTGGTTCAGCAGCCTTAAAAGAAACAAGTGAATCTATGTAGAAACTTGACTTTCACGTACCTCATCTTCTTCGACTTGTTCTTCATTTTCAAGCGCATCTCGGCTAGTCGCTGGTCGAACTGTGCGTTTAATTTTTGATTCTTCAATTTCTTCAGGTTCATCCTCATCCTCTTCTGCACGTGTCAATGATTGTTGATCATTGGAATCTGCTTCGATCGCATCAGTTTTCTTTCTGATTGCATCAGCAGCTTTTTTCGCTGACTTCTTCGGCCAGCAGAAGACAAAAATAAGAACCAATGGCAATAAAATAGCTACGACGTAGACAGCCCATAACCATGGACGATCTTTAGTAGCTTTAATGACAGCGTCAACGACACTATCCGAAGCTGCTGAGATTGCTTTGCTTTCGAGCACTGATTTTGGATACCAAATTTGATCATCGTATTGCTTAGCGATCGATTGATCCGAAGTAATGATGAAATTATCAAAAACAACACCGTCGACCATCGACCAAAGTTCAAGTGCGACACTTCCGATTGGGGTTAACTTATACGGATGATTTTCTTCGAAATAGTCGGGATTGGGTATTTTACGTGGTTCCCATTTGCCCTAAAAGTGATGAGAAAACGAGTAGAAAAGATGAAGCAATAAAGAGTACTTTACATACACGATAGTCTGGATTGTCAACTAATGGAGCACGCCAGATACCTTTGTAAGCTGGGTTAGCGATCATCGGTGCTGTCCATTCGCCGCAACCAGGAGCATCTTTGCATGCAGGATTATCAATACTTGGAGCTTCCCATGTACCATCAATGTCATCATCCCTATTATAAAAGACGGTTTACCAGTTCGACTATTGACATTGGAAAACGTTGATTAATCTTACCAGTCAGCCGGTTTAACTGCATTCGGATCAGGAATCATTACAGCTTCATTCTCAAGCCAACCATGGGGAATACTAGCTGATTGATCGACTATCTCTTTTGGTTCAGTTTCATCCCAATCTACCGAAAAGAACCGCAACACAAATAGATTCACTTAGAAAATCTCAACTGTCTGCTTACCTTCTGGTTTTTTAGCAGTAGCATCGGCAATTCTAAAGTGCAAATATAATCCTATTCGCGAATAACTGTTCTTTTTTTTTCTTTTCATCTTACTTTTCTCGATCGTCCCAATCATCAGGTTTTCGATCGGTTTCATCAACAATTTCTTTTGGTGGAATGATTGACGGTTCCATATCTTCCAATAAACTGCCAGAATTGATTATTTTATTGTCAATATACATTTTAAAACTGTTGTCAGCCGATAAAACTACACAGAAACAGATTGAGTCATTATTTCTAGACGCCTCAAGCTCATTCTCTACTCACCAAGTGTGTATAAATGCGATTTTTTATCTGTGAAGTAAGTATCTAACGGTTCTGTTGGTTTCTTCGCTTGGTGTTCGCTGTAGGCACCAGTTTTCGGGTTTCGATAACGAATGATGAAGTGATATTTATGATCGACACCACACATATCGGGACCAAACATAATCGTGTATGGGGTTTTGTCAGTAACTTGTTTCTAAATAAAATCCATTGTCTCGAAATCACTCTCATCCAACGTGTTTTTTCGCTTACCAAATCGAGCTGTTTGCCAGTATGAGAAAGTAATTTCACATAAGCACCACCACATTCTTGATTGGTTTGATATTTGACTTCGTATTGAACAACAAGTGGACTAGTTGAAAAATCAAACGGTTTGAATAGATTCGCACTGATAGCGTGATGTCTTGCTTTTGACTAAAAGAAAAACAGAGAACGTTTGCGATGAGTCGTCTTTGGCTTTGTCAAATCATGTTGTTTACTTTGAGAATCAACGCATAGTCATCACTGTAAACGGATGATTGTGGAATTTCAATACCCCATTCTCCATCGTATTTGGCTAAGACCTCATCAACATCATCTTTCTTTGCTTGAGATTTCACCCAACGTGACCATTTCGATTTATCTTGAAATTGATCTTCAAAATAAATATTTGCTGATGCAGATTTGATTGTCGGCACGCTTCCTTTCTCAATATTTGCTGCTGATGACGATGAACTGCTTGAAGTTTCGTCGATCGAAATGTCTTCGTCCATATTATAGTCATCATCTTGTGCTTTGAATATGGAGAAGTTTATTAAACAGACGAACAATATGAGCACGAGATATCTCATGATTATCTAAATAGAAAAAAAAGAGAGAAGACGTTTGTTCCTATTTACGTTTAATTAGGACAACAGGACGCGCCAATGGAGAAGAATGAAGGTCAAGAACAGGAATCGTACGTTTTGTTTGTCGAGGAAACTGATTGATCGTTTTTTTTAATGGCTAGTAGTGGTGGTAATAGGCTATTGGATAGAATGACATTTTGATAAGGGAAATGTTATCTGATTTTTCTCAAATAGATTTTTTTGTGAAAAAAATTTTGATTTTACCGAACAAGTGAAAAAGAAAATTATTTTATTGTAGAAAATCAAATGACAGATTCCCTTAGATCACGTTTTCAAAACTGCCATCTACGGAATCGAGAACTATTGGTTGTGATCACGCCAGTATGAATCTTTAATTTAGCGAGTATTGCTGCCGCCGAGTAAAAATGTTATCAACACACGTATGAAGAACAAAATATTCAATACTATCCTTGAATATTAATTATGTGTTGACATTTCTGTAGTACCTCAATGAAATGTTGTTTTAGATCATTATGAGTACAGCGACATCGGTTTTACGATCTTTATTTTATCTTCTGAAAGGTTCCCATTCACGCAGTACGGTGATTATCACAATGGGAACACTAGTATCATGCCTGATTGTCTTCACCTTGGCTGGTCAGACGAATTCCATGGCATTGCAGGCATTTTGTTCACTGTGCATATTCGACTTACTCTTCATCGGTACTGCGTTACTTTCGGCGTGGAATATTGAAAATCGAAATACAAAAGTTCGTCAAAAGATTCAGTCAAACAACAATGATAGTTCTACTGCACTTTTCATTCCAACACAAACAGTAGCGACATTCTCGTATGGAACAGCGCGTTTTGAAGTTCTCGCTGTGTTTACATCTACAATGCTCTCTATTCTTGGAGCTTTCTTCATTCTGAAGGAGTCAATTGAGAAATTCCTTGAAGATGAACCCATACACATTGGATATCTTATGCCAGCGTCATTCATTACGTTTTTCATGCATCTAATTGTTATCTATTTCGTTCCGAATCAATCATTCGATCATGTCATTGCGGCGAGTTCATCGAGTTGGCTACAAGAACATGTCAGTGACATATTCCAAAATCTATGCCACTACATACCTGGCCTAAGTCGTTTACTCTTACCGCGTATCAATCCATTAGCGCTACTCTGTTGGTGTGGGTTAGCCATTATCTTCTCAGATTCATTCTTGTTAACAATGGGATACGGACATTTTGTTGATACATTATCATCATTATTGATGGCTTTTATGACGTTCGGAACAATGGTACCGATGGCAGTTTACAGTGGAAAGATATTGCTACAGACAACTCCAGCGCATATGATTGGACAATTGGATAAATGTTTACATGAAGCATCGAGACTTGACGGCGTTCTCGAGTTTCGACACGAACATTTTTGGGCTTTGTCGTTCGGGACACTCGTTGGATCGTTACACGTTCGCTGCCGGTAGGATGCTTTCAAATGTCTCTTTTATTACTCTACTGACCTTGGATGAAGGTTTTTCGATGTCTAGAAGATTAGATATCGTTATCACTGATTTCAGATTCATCTCGGAGCATGTTTAATGATAGTTGATAGTTACTGTCTAATGATGATTTCCATCAATTTGCCTATCCGAATACATCTAATCGATAATCCAATTTTCAACTAGCTTAAATACAGTTGCTAATCAGAGTTCATCTAATTACCATCGATCGATATCGACACGATGCGAACACAGAAAACATAGAACAATCTAGATAAACGAACTAGAAGCTCAGACTATTCTCTTTGTTTTCTAGTCGTGATGCCGATGAACAATTAGTTTTAGCGCATGTTTGGAACAAACTAGCCAATGTGGTTCAAATCCTCACAATTCACATATTTAAAGATGATTGGCTTCGTCGACAAACTCATACGTTCATGCAACCACAAGTCACTCATCACGGTCATAGTCATAGTCCATCAAATAATCCTTCTTCAGCATCAGCTTATAATGGTTTCGTTGTTGTGACGTAAACGAGAGAAAAAGTTTACACGAAAGTTTTCTGTTTTCTTTTTTGTTTTATTTGAAATTAAATCTATTTTAATCTCAATATCTATTAAAAGACATTCAATCCATACCGGATAAATCCTCATCCGACAGATGTCGTCAGGTATATGTAACTCTATTTCTGGCCGATTCGCTGATAAAAAACCAATGCGCACTAATGAAGGATTTTGTCTCGTTTTCTTTTTTTCTTTCTTTCTTGTTCCCTTTTAAGTGATGATGATGATGATGTTTATTTTTTACTAGTCACTTATTCAGAATTCCAGACTGTTCGATGATTTACCAATATGAAAGTCCATTTTCACGAGCAAGTCAGATGTTTATTCTATATTTTGTAACATCCTGTTTTCATTTCTTCGAACGTAACTCAATAGAAAACCTCTTCCTTTCCTCTGTGTACGTTTGCTCGATTATTTGCATGACTTTATCATACATAATTCGTTCTTTTCATTCTGTATAAGACTTTCCGAAGGCTAGAACGTAGACAGATACAGAATAGAACAAGGCTATAGGCAGGCATGAAAATCTGTTGGATAAACAGTAAGCCCAATGTCGCCGTCGGCATCGTCATCATCCTCATCGTGTTCTTATTATCAGTAATGTTGTTGTTATTGTTGCCAGTCTATACAACATACTCTATTCTATCGGTAATTCATGTATATCATGATAAGATACTTTCAAATCGAAATGGTTCGTCGACAGTAACTGTCAGTTAAACTATTGCTAGAAATAGAACTTTTTTCTCTTCTCTTCTCTTCTCTTCTTATCTTTCGCTCTGTTCTCGATACTAAACCTACACATCAATACACCATTGACATTCAGATTAATCAAAGCAAAGTGGTAGTACATAATAAGCAAAACAATAGAGAAACACTCGATAATTATTTCTTTAGATATTCTCCTTTTCTCTATCAACAATTTGAGATCAAGTATAAGGAAACAAACGAAACGAAATGTCGTAGATGAACGAACACAAATTATGTATGCATATGTTGAATTATCGAATGTAGCACGAACGGATTCTATCATTCAATCGTTATCATGGATGAATTTTACTTCAACGGCATCAAATACCGAGCACTTTGAAAGTTCTCATGACGGATGGCTAGCAACCGGAAATGTCAATAATATCGTTAGTGTTACATACACATCAATAAAATCCGATGAAAATTTAATTCCACTCGACCGTACCAATTTCAATTTACGTGCACATCGGACGGAAGTTCGCTTAGTCTCATGGAATGTTCCGTATGAAAAACTCGCAACTGTCGATGAGAAAGGTGTGATTTTCGTTTGGGTCAAACATGATAATCGCTGGTCATTAGAATTAATCAACGATCGAAGTCATCCGGTGACTGGTATGGCATGGTCCCATGACGGACGTATGACAGTGATTTGTTATGAAGACGACTTCATTCTCGCTGGATCAGTTACTGGCCAACGTTATTGGTCAACAGTATTGAATGTTCCACACGCAAAGATTTCGGCTGTAACATGGATGCCTGATGTTTCGCATGTCATCCTTGGAACGACAGGAGGACAGTTAATTGTTATGGATCATCATGGAAATACAACTGACATTTTCCCGTTATCATCTCAGACGATAAAACAATTAGTTTACTCGTGTAATAAGTTCTATCCTGAAGCGCCGGATAATAGTGAGTTTTACGTGAAATTCATTTCCTGTATTTCGAAAATTCTGTTTAGATGCAACAAAATTTGTCAATGAAGATTACGTTCTTGCATGCAGTCTTGAAAACGGTCAGGTTCTTTTCCTGACACACTATCTCGATCAGTCGCCTATTACTGTTGATACGCATCTTCAAAGTAAGATTAAGGAAACTTTATGAATCAGGAGTATAATGATGTTTGTTTTTCTTTCGAAAAGATATCAAAATGGATTGGTCATCACCTGGTGAAATTCTTGCTGTTGGAGGTCATCGATGTTTAGATGATATGAGTTATGTTAATGAAGTCCTGTTTTATACCCGCCGTGGTGAATTCCTATATCGCTTAACAATTCCTCAAACGGTAAGATCTTCGTAATATTTTTGTCTATTTTAATCGAGTTTTGATGAAAAATATAGAACAGAAGAGTTAGGTTTCATTGAAATCTGCTTGTTTTCGAGACATAATTAATTGGTCGAATACGATGCTTCTCAAGAAGGCTATACATTTAATGAAGATTAGATTTCACAACAAGGAAGTTTGATAATAACGATAAATACTTCTACTAGCATACGATCTGATAGGTTTAATTTTCCATCAATCATCTTATGTTCTAGAGTCAATCATTATCCGCGCTATGTTGGGCACATGGCAATGGTAAATAAGGAAATTCATCTCGCAATGATGTACCCTGTTTTTTTTTTTCGTAGAAATTGTATTTATTGCCTGTGGTTGTTTTGTTTACACAATCTGGATCACCTATAAACCTATGCCGTCCATGTTGACACTATGTCAGATGAAAATCAAACAAGAACTTTTATATAATTCAATACAAAATCTTGATAAACTTCATTTACCGAATAATTTGAAAGAAGATCTTCTACGTTACTATCGTTCAACTATCAAAGGCTTTCTACCTGATCAAAAACATTTGCATATATTCGTTTGTAATCCATTAAAATCTCACCTACGTTTGCAATGCACGATGAAGCGTATCGATAATGAGCGAGACAATCAAACGACAGCAGCAACTACCACCACCACCACAGCGACAGCAAACAATCTGTCAGGTGCTGTTTATGTCCTCTATCTCGAATATCTCGGCGGGCTTATTCCATTGTTAACAGCTCGACGGACATCCAAACTCTGTCCGGACTTCATTATCTACGATCCGAAAATCAAAACGAATCCGATCTTGTCTTCATCATCATCGTTCAAATTGAATGCATCGAATTCGTTCGCCAAACGACATTTATCGTCATCCAAATCTCATCCGAATACTTTTCACAACATTTCGAACATACATCAATCGAAATCGACGATTAATACGAACCGTTCGGGTTTAATTACGAATCGAAATTCGATCTATGTTGCGGATACAGGTGTTAACAATGGAAGCGAAAATCTACGACTAGCAAAGAACAGTTCCGATTGTAGTTCGGGCAATGATTCCGATCAAGACAATGAAGACAATCTCAGTGATTTGCAAGAAAAACAATCACGAAAACGACTAGCGAATAAAGTAACTCAATCAGATTTTCCTATCAAATAAATTATTCCTCTTTTATCCGTTAGGCTAACAAGCTATGTACTATAGCTGCTAACATTTGGGGAACACGCTTTAAATTCTATGGTCATTCAGCACATTTACCTGACGTTCTTGGCAGCGTGACATACAAAACTTCGTTCTTGCACTTGCAGCCACGTCAAATGACCGTCACCGTTGCGAATAATTCTAATATTCGAAAACAGAAGCAACATACTGCGACTAGAAAACACAGGAATACGGTTGGTCAGCAAACAAGACAGTCGAAAGCGAAGAAACTGGTCATGAAGGACAACGGTGAACTATGTACAACACAACAAACTTCGTCATCGCCTCAGTCGTCTCGTCGTTTACAACGGACATCCATTGCGACCACGACTGTCATTCATCGCTACCGACAAACACATGTCGATTCATCAAATATCGATTCTTCGTCGACGTCGCCGATTAATTTAAGTCGCTCAACTTCTCCAGCCACTTCCATTGCAAACTTCGTCCGTCCTATTTCTCCACCTTGCATTCAAGTCAAAGAGCCCCTGTCACCGAAATTTACCCGTGCATCATCAATTACGATGACAAATTATCAGACACAACATCGTCATTGTTCGCCACCACCTACAGTCGTCACATCGATTACAAATAATATCGATGCATCTACAGCCAGCGCAACAACAACATTAATCATTGATAGCTCATCTGACTCTCATAGTCATGAAAATGCAAATAATCAAACATTACTAAGTACCATATCTAATGTTCCCGAGAACTGTTTCGAACCGGAAGCGTATCGTAATCTATATCCATTGAATAATAATCAGCAGAAGAAATTAAGTTTCAGTGATCCAACTCTGAATCAAACAACAAAACTTTCGCGTCGTCCACAAGCATCACCACAGCAACAAATAGTATTGAATAATTCAACTACCACCGATACATATCTTCCAGTTTCGTCTCTTGCGAAAAAAATCTCCAAAGATGACAAAACCGTTCATACGGATGACGATAACGATGCGATTGACGACGACGACGATGACGACGATGATGATGGTGACATTGAAACTCTTAGTTCGCCTGAAGAAGCATCACCTAGAGAGAATATCGTCACCACTAAACCATCTCGCAAAGTAAGAAGTCACTGAATGTAACTGCACCAATCATTCGAATCGGACCATTTTAGAAATATACAAGTCCACGACATCGCATGATGACATGTACGAGTGGAATGAACGATTCTACGACGAAGCTTTCACCATCATCGGATGTAGATGCAACATCTAATCAAAATGATTCATCATTTTATGTCATGCAAAATCGCCCACCGTAAGATTAGAAATTCGCAGAGAACAATTGCATATATGAAAATCTCGCTTATTTTCAGTCTATGGAATGAACAGTCTCAAGTATATCAGTTAGATTTTGGTGGTCGTGTTACACTCGAATCAGCAAAGAACTTTCAAATCGAGTTCAAAGGCAAACAGGTAGATGATTTGAGGTGTGTCATTTTTGAAATTGAGACGGATCTTCTCCTTTTCAGGTTATTCAATTCGGTCGGATTGAAAATAATTGTTATACATTAGATTTCGAATGGCCATTTTCTCCTCTCCAAGCTTTTGCTGTTGCTCTTGCAAACATAACTCAACGTCTTAAATAAGATTTTTGTTTCTTCTTTTTGTCTTTTTCTATTTTTTTGCTTCAGTGTTTTGAATTGATCAGTATTGTACAAAGCTTTCTTCGGCGAATGATCACAATCCCTGCGTTCCAACCTCGGCTTTGTTTTCCAACTGTCGTGTGCCAATATTGTCTATCTTGACGGCAAAACGAATATGGCGATGGGTTAGAGAGTGGGAAGACATCCGAATTGCTTCACACTATTTGTTAACCGACGCATATATATTTTAATTGAATAAATCGCGGAAGAACTTTTATTCTAGATTGTCATTAAGAAAGATGTTGACGTACAGCACTATGTATCTGTAGAGGTTTTGACTTCGTTAGTGAAATATATTTTCGTATGGGTTGATATCGATCGAAAAATGATGTTTTTGCTTTTCAACCATGAAATTAAAAAAATAAACTATACACTATACACTACTCGACACTGCATGTTTTCGAATGAAACTATTATTTACTCATACACTCAACGGTCCATCATCTCAAACATTGCGATTTTCTCTTTTTCAGGTGTTCTAGATATATATAATGACGGACGCAAAATCCAGTAATCTGTCACAATCTGTTACAGAGACTTGTGAGCAAACGCTAACCGTCCACAAGTCAAAATCGCCATCGAGAACCAAAACGAATCCATCAGCCAAGCGACAAAGAGAAGAAGATGATGATTCCACCTCTGAATGTGAATCTCAGCCACGAAAAGCACCATCTCCTGTACATTACCAAGATACAACATTTAGTGATAAAAACGCCATGTATTATAGTTTTTCTTCTTCTTCTTCATCGTCGAAAGACCAACGTTCTGAGTCTACACAAGTGAATCCTGTCCAACAACGACTTAAGCAGGTCTTAGTAGAACGTGAATTGGGCGATGAAGATGAACAGAAACGAAAATTAGCAGCCGCAAAAGAAGCTCTTTTTCCACATGCACTTGCCACATCTTTCAATGAAGTTGCCGACACGTTACGAAACGAACGACGACAAGAATTTTGTCCGATCTACAAAGATGAAACACCCGAACAAGTTGCTTTACGTCTAGCAAAGAGAAAACCGGTCGGAAGCTTACTAGCGAAACGCATACGTTGGGACGAATTAAAACGACGACGAGAGGAGGAAGAACGCAAAGCACAAATGTTCTCCTACTCCGAACCTTACGGATCTGCCTATGATAATCAATCATCATTCAGTAATCCCTATGAACAATACTATGCCACAATACAAAATCAATATGATATGGTCAGTTTTTCAAAATAGGAAAACATGTATTTGAAATTCATTTTTAGATGGCCAAGATGAATCACGCTCAGCAAGAATATAGCGGATTCTGGCCGGAGCATCAGCAGAACTACTACCAGAATAACGATCAAGTGGTGCATAACTCTGTCCAGTATCAAGCACCGCCTTATACATATCCGTATTCATCGATGAATGCTAATTTTTCATCGGCTGATTATTATTATCTGCAGCAACAACCACCACCTCCACCACCAGACGAGCCTTAGTTTCATTTAAATTTTGTTATATGTCTCATGTTTTTCTTTTCCGTTTGCACATTCGAACAACAAAAATAATGCTATTCTTGTTTGTTTGTTTTTTTTTCTGTATGAAAAGATAAATACAAAATCATTACCAATGCTCTTTGTATAAACCTAACACAGCGAGCAAAAATAAATCTAACTATGATAAAAGACCAAAGATACAAACAACCAACCAATCGATATTACTGTTCTTTCGGTGCACCTCCATTGTATCGTGTTTTCGCTTTCGTTTGATTCTATTCGTTCGCTATACGCAATCAGTAGTAGATCACTTTCTCTAGTCATTCTTTTTCTCTTTCTAGTATGGATTCAGCCACGCCTTTGACACGCATTGATGTACACACCCACATATTACCGCGTGAATTAAGTGCAAACGCTCAGAAATATCTCGAATTACGAGCTCGTAACGATGGAGATCCACGACTCGACATGTACAAAGATGGCAAATTCTTTCGTACGATAGAGCCCAACTGTTTTGACATTGATGTTCGTCTTCGTGAAATGGACGAGAAAAACATTTCTATGCAAGTTCTCTCAACTATTCCCGTACTGTTCAATTATGCTTGTGAAAATGTCAACGATATCCTTCAGCTTTCTCGCGAATTAAATGATCACATTGCATCGATATGTCGACAGTATCCAACACGTTTTCTTGGCTTGGGCACAGTACCATTACAATCACCAAAGTTAGCAGTCGAAGAACTACGACGATGCGTGAATGAATTGGATTTAAAGGGTGTGCAAATAGGTACACATGTGAATGAATGGAATTTGGACCATGATGAACTCGATTTATTTTGGTGTGAAGCAGAAAAATTGGATGCGTGCATATTTGTTCATCCATGGGACATGCCAGTAGGAAAACAGTACGAAGCTTATTGGATGCCATGGTTATGCGGGTGAGAGTAAACTCTCTGTTTAGCTTTTGATAAGAATTAATTCATTCATTTTATTCGTAAATACATAGAATGCCTTTTGAAACAACAGCAGCTATCTGTTCGATTTTGATGGGTGGCGTTCTAGAAAAATATCCGAAACTTCGATTAATTTTCGCTCATGGTAGTTATTGAAAGACACGCAAAAGTTTTTGTTAAAATCGCATTGTTTCGTTTAGGTGGTGGCTCTTTTCCATTCACAGTTGGCCGTATTGATCACGGTCATGCGTGTCGGCCGGATCTTTGTGCTTATAACAATTCACATCCACCTTCGTCATACATCGGCCGATTTTCTGTTGATTCCCTTGTTCACGATTCTCGTGCATTGGAATATTTAGTTGAAACTATGAATGAAACTTGTGTCATGCTCGGATCCGATTGTCCATTTCCTCTCGGTGAAGACAAACCTGGTGAACTAATTCTCCAAACATTTGAGAAAAATCCCGGTCTATGTGAAAAATTGTTAAGTAGCAATGCCAAACGTTTTTTCAAAATTGCCGATTAGGATTCGAAATAAAGAACAGCTACCATGATAGAATATCACATTTTTCTCGCATCCATCATAAATTCTTCCTTTCGTCGTCTCATATTTTCGACGTACTAAATTACTCGATGACATTTCTTTCAATCTAATGAATCTTGTCATCATTCAACAACTTCTCCTACACATAAACAGAGAGAAGAAGAGAGATTGTACATCGTAGACAACAGAAGATAAAATATTATATCCTCGTTGACTTGCATTGTATCAAAAAGATTGCGCATCGTAACAATGAAGCTACTCATCTTTGTATGCGTTATTATTGCCTCGTTGTGTTTAATGATAAACGCAAGACCTGACCAAGATTTAAGTGACTTCGATGTTGGTAATACTTGTCTTTGATAATTGTTGTGTTGTACAACCGTTGAATGTTTTACTTGGATGATTTAGATCGTGAAGCAGCAGTGGAATTCTTGAAACGAACAATCTTTCATCCTGGAAAAACGAAATGCGAAGAACAAAAACGTGAAGCGTCGGAAAAATATGAAGAACGGTGCGAACCAAGTGTCAATAAATTAACTGGCAAACGCTACTGTATGTGATGTGTATCGTATTCTTATTTAATTCATTCTTCTTTGCGTTATTTAGGTCCAGACATTAAAACTTGGACTGCCTTCAAGAATTACGAAATTGGTAGCGGTATGGGCCGTTAAAATCACACCTGAATTTTGTGTTTCTTCGTAACTTTAATATTATATGAGCTTATTTCTCATTGTAAAGATCCCGTGAGAATGATTTCCTTTTCTTTTCATCAATAAATCCTTTCTAGCTTGATACGATTCGTTTATTACTTATTACTTATGGAATACAGCATTATAATAGATAATCCTTACCCTTTGAAATAATCAGCTATGATAAATCGAGTGTTGACAGCTTTTAACAGAATTCAAACACACGAGGCAGATTTGTAATGTGCAAATCTTCATAGAATGCGCATAAAACATAGGTAATTTCACTAGTTGATGTTTCACTTATGAAAAAGTTGGCTTACACTAATTAATCATTGATAGAGAACGCGAGAGGAAACTAATTACTGACAGTCGATGGTAAATTAATCAAGCGGCAAACTCGTGACCAGCCAATTTCGGGATTTTTTTTCGACGTATCTGAGTAAATGGGAAAACGGTCCTCTTCTTGATCTTTCTCAAAAGATGAATTCATTTTATTTCACGCAGTCATCCGTACAATTAGGAAAGCGTTCAACGTTAGTGATCTGGATGTGGCTGATGAACTTAGTTAATCTCAAATAGCCGTTTTCCAACGCTGGCTCTCCTAAAAAGAAAACTATCAAACACTTTGATCAATGGACCTACTACTTTTCTATAACAATGAACACTCACTTTGATCAATCTTCTATTTCCAACGTCTACGCAATGGTGGTGGAGGTGAATAACTTGGTTTACGTGGTTCCCTCTCATAGAACAAATCATACAGCTTGCGCAATAGGAATCGACGTCGGTATTCATTTGTTTGCTCTTGCAAATCTTCGAGGATATCATCGGCTATTGCCATTCCAATATAAAACATGAACAAAATCGCAAGAAAGAAGATCGTCTTAGCATGCATGTCTTTTCTACGTTTAATATTCAATCAAAAGTGAAGACAGCGTAGGCATTTTTGATAGCTTGTTATGGTATTTATAGATTTCGTTAAGAGAAAAATATAATTATTTAGCGAAAAATTTTATGCCACTGCGTGGGTTAATGGCGCGTATCGAAAGGAACATTCATTCACAAAAACGAATCATTTGAAATTAATGTATTTAATATTACATGTTGTCATGTAGTTTTGATTGAGACTATTTGGAACAATATTATCTGTGATTATTTCTCTACTTTGCAAAGATACTGTCTTCTAATATATTGACATTATTCACGATTTAAGTAACTCATACCGATGCAGGGAGAAAACACCTACGTGCAATATCTGTAGAAAAGCGAAAGAAAATGCTCAGAAAATTTTCTACATATTGTAACAGACAATGGAGCATGCTTTTCGTCCACGCCGACTTTTAGTATTCAGTCCTTTTTTTTTGAATGAATGCTATGGTTGAGAGTCCGGCTTTCGTATTTCATTCTCTATATGCTATAAACCAATGTAAAAATGCAGCCGATTAGCTCTCTCAGGATCGGTGACACTATAAAGTGTCAGCGAGATTTTATGTGCAGGAATTCAAGCTTTTTTTCTTTGTCTCTTCTAAGCAACTGTTGTAAATATTGTTTTATACATTCGTGTTACGATCAGTGTTTTCTATTTCTCTTATTCTCATCTGTACTTCATGGAATTTTCTATTCTATTACACAATGCAGTGAAAAAGAAGAACTATTACAAAAATTCTACTGCTCAAATTGCAATATCCCACAAAAAGTTTAAACTTTGTCATTTTTTCTCTAAATAAGCCGATCCTGAAGGACTAGGCAGTTCATACGTGTTCCGGAAGATGATCTTCTCTAACATCTCCGGCCCATACTGTATGTGACACTACTCAATATATGCCCATAAAGCTTGAGACACGTTCATGACTTTTCGGCAGAGGCTTTTATTAAGGCTTTGAAAAATGGTACTTCGAGTTCTGATCAAACCAAACAGGCTTTGTAATATACTTTTTGTGTATTTTGGGTTTGAGTAAATGCAAATTATTCTCCAAAAGAAAATATTTAGTATTTGTCAATTTATGTCATTGTCAGTAAGTCTAATGATGATGAGTAAGTATACGAAGTGGCTTTACTACATGTTTTCGCATCGATCGATAGAGCGATTTAGATAAGTTACATCCATTTTCTAGTACACGATGATGAATGCATTATGTTTTTAGCAGAGCCGGGCAATTCAATTCAGTTCTTATTAACTGTGTTATCGCATTTTATCTTTAGATCACATTCTATTGAAGTCATTAACTGCTACATATGTACCTGAAAGGAGTCATTCTGAGTGGATGGCAATAAGATTCGTTTCTGTACAAGGAAAGTTGTACATCCTAAACGACGTATTCCATTCAATCATGATTATATTTTCGCTGGAGAAATCAATGAGAGTTATACAGACTTGATGAAAAATTTTCATCGAATTTATTCAGCTCTGCACAAGTACAAAATATTCATCACAACTCTCGAAAAGAAACAGTAGTCACTATACCCAGAGTGAATGGCCGATTTTCAGCTACTCGATAACATATATATGAACAGATAAGCTTTCAGCAATCATATGAATTTTACGAATTAGATCCTAGTGACACATCTGGAAGAATGTAACATAGGTCGTTTCCAATTGGTTGGAACTGACTGTTCCATATTTTACCATAGAAATTCATAACAAACTGATCGTTGGTTTCTTCTTCTTGTTTTAGCACTTCGGTAATTTTGAGTATTGGATATGATGAAAAAAGCAGGGAAATCGAAGAAGCGTCGTCCATTTGCTGCCGATAAACACAATTTTAAAAGTCGAGTGGAGACAGTGAATAAAACGAATCCGTTTGATCTGCATGTGAATCGCTTGAAACATGATGTACTCGGAAAGAGACGTAATTATGAAAAAGGCGGTCAGCCACTCAAAGCACGATCACGTGGAATTGAAAAGGTAAAATTCATTCGTTAGTTAGATATTTAGTTGATTATTTGTTGTTTTATTCGTAGCGAAAACGAACGTTGTTGAAAGAATTGAATTCGGTGTTCAAAAAAAGTACATTTATCGATCATCGTCTGGGTGAAAATGATCCAACGTTAACAGCCGACGAAAGATTAATGCAACGTCTTATTGCTGAGCGATCCGTTTGTGATACTTGCTAGTGAATCCATTCTCTTACCTTTCGTTTCTCTGTAGAAAGCACGTCCTGGAAGAGAGAGTCGTTATAATTTGAACGACGAAGAAGATTTAACACATTACGGTCAATCACTTTCGAAATCGGATGAATTGAATCAGAAACCAGTTATTGATGAATATGACGACGATGACGAACCAGGAAAAGGTCGTTTGAACTCCGAACATTTCTTTGGCGGTTTTAATTCAACAGGTGAACAACGGAAACCGCAAACGAAGCAAGAATGGATCGAAAGTATGATCAAAAGTACGAAATTGGATAAATATGAACGACAGCGTGAAAATGAGAAAATCTTCGATATGACCACGACACTCGACGAACAATGGAAAGCATTGAGTAAATTAGTCGGTGTTCGAGAAAAGCCGACGAAAGATAATAAAGAAACATCGGACGATTACGACAAGCTCGTGAATTCGCTCCGATTCGAAGCTAAAACGACGGTTAGTTGATGAGTATGATGAGAATATCGTGCGACTCGATTGTTTCTAGGGTGCACCAATTAAGAGTGTTGAGGAAAGAGAAAAAGAAGCAGCTGAACGTCTGAAAGCGCTACAGGTAAATTGAAAATTTCCAGACTTTTATCTGAAAATCAATGATCACTGTGAAAAGGTTGAAGAAAACGAGCGAATGGAACGACCAGCATTAAAATCAATTTTATCAAAGAATCGATCTCAAACGCATGCTTCCGTCGAGGAACTAGATGAAAGGTATATTTTTTTCGCAAAGAAAATCAAATTTCATTTTTTGCTTAATAGTTATTATATCATGGATGGAACGAAGAAGCGTGTGACATTCAATGATGAAGATGAAGATGGAAAAAACGGAATTGAAGCAACAAATGGAACAGAAGAAATAGCAGAGAACGAAGAAGACAATTCAGAAGAAGTTCATAATGAAGATCAAGAAAATGACGAGGAAGAGAATGGTGACGAGCCAGAAGAAATAGTAAGTACTACCGATGACATTTCCGTTCGGAAAATGACGATATTTCGTTGTGTAATTCAGACCAATGGCGATTTGCTAGCCGAATTTGATGAAAGTATGTCAAATTGCAATATTTTCTACAGCGAACATTGCTCGGTTTGTTTTCATAGTTCCAGCCACTGTTGATATACTCGAAGATCGTTTAAGTAAAGATAAGAATACATTGAACGTTATCTGGAAACGAATTAATGATAAACGATTACCACCCATTCCAAAGAAAGTTCTCACTGTAAGTGTTCGTTGATTGCTTTCCAGTAAATACAATGTTTGCTCATTCAGAACTATTTCGATGTTCTCCTTGATTATTACACTTCTATCGCACCGAATCAAATTCTTTACAATCGAATAAGTAAAAATCTTCTGGAATTGTTGCAATCGGTGAACAATGATGAAACGAAAACGAATATTTTGAATCGTTTGAAACAATATCATGTACACCTAAGCGAAGAAATTGAAAACGCCAAATTCGCTCAAGTGGACGTCTCCTTAGTACGTGACATTTTTTAATCAAGAGTGATTCTTTTCGAATGTCTAGTTAATTTAGATTGTGTTCTTGAAACTGGTTGCTTATTTATACCCGACATCAGACTTTCGTCATCCCATTACAACGCCAGCAATGACTTTACTTGTTCAAGCCATTCAACATGTATGTGAAATGACTACACCTATGGAAGAAATATTTTGAATCTCGTTGTGTATTCAGATTTCCTTAAATTCTCTTTCGTCTTGTCGTCCAGCGTTGCACTTAATCGATCTTGTGAAACTGGTAAAATAACTTTTCTGATCGTAAGCTCATACTGACATCGTTCGTTCTATAGTGGATAGCAAAGAGTCATCGTTACGTTCCAGAAGTGATGGTTCTATTCTTGAAATTGCTTCAACTCGCCTGTCCAGTCGATAAATCGAAACATTTCATATCGTATCCAGCAAAACAGATAGGAAATAGTCAATTGCTTGTTCTGAATAAAAACTTGAAATCAGAGTCCACGAAATTAACTGTTTTCGATACTACTGACCTTGATGATGATAATGATGAACATCGGTATGTGTTGAATTGTGTCTATGCTTTCCAAACAACTGTCATATGTATCCTTGTAGAGCACTTATCCTCCGGACATGTCTCAATCATTTCATGGATTTTCTTAATGTCTACCAATCTCTATCCGCGATTGTCGAAATCGTTCAACCATTCAAAACGCTTCTTCAGACACTCGCAGAAACATCGAAGTGCAGGAGTATTTCCGAGCAAAGTCGAGAAATCCTTCAATTAATCGATACAATTCAAACAACATGTCTCTCCAATCGTAAACATATTGAACTATGCAAAGAACAAACCAAAATGATACGATTATACGAACCACGTTTTGGTCTTGTGTATGTTGAAATCTTTCTTCTGATTTGAATTAATGTCTTTCTTCTAGTTACGAGGGCAAAAAGAATAGTCGTTTACCGAAAGAGTACGCTGAACGTCTCAAATTGCGGAAGAAATATAAACGAGAAGTCAAGTCGACTACTCGTGAGATTATACGTGATAATGAGTTTATCGCACGAGAAGAACTTCGACAACAGATGGAAAAGTATGGTAGTTTTTGTTTGAATGTCATTGTATTGTTGTTTTTTTTCTGTTCAGAGATACTCAACGCAAACGAAAAGTCAAAGATATTCTATCGGAATTGTCAATGCAAGAAGGAGAATATCGCAAACTACAAAAAACAAAATAATTCTTGTTTTTCTCTCTTTGTTATCATACAAAATAAACATCTGTGTTTTGTTTTGTTAACTTTCATTTTTTTTTCTGTTTTGAATTTTATAGATGACAGATACAGATCGGTCACAACCATTGAATGTACCACGTGGTGGACGTTCTGCACGGTATCGAACGCATAGCTCAGGCAGTTTATCATCTTCGTTTGGTTCACCTTCGGGCTTGACGAATATAAACAACAACAATGGTGGGATCCCGATGACACACAATAAAAAATCAGGTGTGGGATCGAGTGGAAACAGTAATATTGGATCACTTTCTACGACAATGGGTAGTGGAAGTACGGGCGGCACTTTGCCGCAATTCGATGAAAAGCATGCAGCTGCCGGAAATATTTTCGAACATCGCCAAGATTGGTCAATACTCAATCGTTTGCCTTTACATAAAAGAAATGCTATACATATTCGTCTTGAAGATGAAGGTCCCTATGGAAATGATGAAACCCGTTGTTTCGTTTTATCTCAATTATCGATGGTGGGTTGTACAGACGTCGCATGTACTGTTTGCGGTCAATCAATGGTTGTTTATGATCGTTATCCTCTTGTTGATGGGACACTTTTCCTCAGGTAATTTTTGTCAGATTGACACGATCGATATGTAATGTTCCTGAATCGATGGATACAATCCTCGAGCAGAAACCATACGAAGGATACGAACGAGAAAAGATATTTTTAGAAATAACAAACAATTTTCAATCTTTCATCTTTTTAGTCCTATTAAACATAGTGATAATGGGAAAGTCTCTGTTGCTGTTTATCATAACGATCGACAGCTGTATCTACATGGCATATGTCTCGAGTGCCTATCAATGCGTTCATTACATGTACTTTGTCGTCTATGTAAGACAAAATTCAATTTTGATCCAATTATATTCGGTACACTCTATTATTATGGTATGTTGATTGGTGTTTTGTTTATCCTTCTGTTCATTTTCATTGTGTACAGATCTGTTTGCGGCATTTCCATGCTGTCAAGCGCGTTTATCCTGTTCGAAGTGTTTTCAACCAATTGTTTCGATAAAAGATGGCTTAATCAATTTCAGTAACTACTCATCGGAATTCGAATGCGGACATTGTGGAATGAAGAGTCACCATTTTGTAAAACCATTCGATGAAATATTCGAAAAGCGTGTGTAGAGCCCGCAAGCGAAAAAGCACACAAATTGAAACTATCTATTTATATATATATAAATATATCTTAACGTTGTAGATGTAATTATTTTTATTAGTTAGTTCTTTTGCTCTGTACATAATAAATCGATTTCGGAAAGAAGAATTCTTGCTGTTGACTAACAACTGTTGATAGCGGTTTCAATGTCTGATTGATAACTAGGCGTGATATTCTAACGCGTTTGCTTTATCACGTAGACGAAAGGAAATAATATGATAATAGCTTAATAGTTCATCTTCATATGCATACCCTTCTAATTGACTTGAAAATGGATGTTGAGAAGAAAAAAGAAAAAGAAAAAGAAAAAGAAACGAGGTTAGCGATAGACAATTGTGCTACCTCAATTCGGTTGCCTTTCCTAATGCACATATGTCTGCTTTTCATCATCATCATCATCCTCTCGTTCTTCCTTCTTTCTCTCAGATCCAATAGCGTATATCGAACAACGGCGGTTTAGCTCTTAATGTCTATCGCCTACGATTCTGTTTGTCGAATTATCCATAAGACAAGTAGTACGTGTGAGGGCGCAATGGGTGTTATCCTGTACAGTTGTGTAGGAGAAGGAGAGGGAAAGAGAGAGAGAAGGAGGAAAGGATAATACAAGAGAAAGAGAGCGAGAGAGATGATATACGTATATATACAAGCCATCTGCCTTTCTGATTCTGGTTTGCCGAGCGCAAAGACAACAAGATAAATTTTTGTGGCATCATCATTTATTTGCATTTGTGTATTTGCTAAAACGATTCTATTCTAATAAGTAAGTAGATCTATCTTGTAATTCTCTTCTAAATTGAATAGACACAGAAAGATCCGAACAAGAGTATATGTCTATATTGATAAATCCGAGCCAAAATAAACATCAGATACTTGTCGCACATCTCGAGCGCATTTTTTGCACATATGTCATCTAGTGCAAAATAACAAGTCGTCGCAGTCAATCGAGTAAAATCGAAAATGAGAAAACATCTGAGATGAAATCGATTGAGTCTTTTTTTTTCAAGTGTTAGCCTTACAGGCAAGGATATGATTACGAGTTGATGTGCTCAGATTTGCCTATCTGTTCAAACTGACAAAATGTCAAGGCTTTGTCCTTGCTCTCATTTATCTTAGGTTATAAGATCATCATGACGGTTCCTCTTAGCTATCCATATTGATGTTTTCTTTACTTTTTTCTTGTTTGAATAAGAACAAAGCCAATTTGGTTATGTACCAAGATTGTTATCAATATTAATTTCGACAATATTCACCATAAAACTTACCTTCTTCACTCATAGTTGAGTATGTTACACGACAATCAGACAAATACGGCATTTAATACCAAACATCCAGCAAATAATAAGAACACATCGCCGAAAAAAATTATGGGTCGGAAAAAGATCAATATTACACGAATTAATGACGAACGCACTCGGCAAGTGACATTTACTAAACGGAAATTTGGTTTAATGAAGAAAGCCTATGAATTATCGGTTTTATGTGGTTGTGAAATAGCGTTAATGATATTCAATAGCAATGACCGTCTATTTCAATATGCATCATCTGATATCAACAAAGTCTTATTAAAATATGCAGAATATAATGAACCACATGAATCATGTACTAATGTTGATATTATTGACGTAAGTAGAGAACCGGTGCTCGATCGTTTATCTTTGCTAATTTCTTGCTGACAAATAGATTTTGAACAAGAAACATCCGACAATGAAGCCGGTGGCAAGTGGTAGTAGTGAAGATACTGAAATACTTGAACAACATGATGACAGTAATGAACAAACATTTGGGGATAGTGTTAATAGCGTATGTATATGCCATCTATTCCACCCATTTATCATTATCTATCATTTTCTACAGTTTCTTACGCATAGCAATCTCAGTTGTTCTTCATCAACCAACAATAGCCATGACATGACATTCCTCAATAACAACAACAACAACAACAATGTGCCAACAGCATTTTCGACAACAACAGTTTTGCCCGATTTTCAATATTTAACATCGCCATCGGGTGATAAGTTTGTCTCCACAGCGACATCAAATCACATTCCCATCTATTCGATTCCGAAATCTGTTGATGCTATTCAGTATGGAAATAACATTACCAATAACACGAATCTTCATTCGAATTCAACACATGTAGATAGACAATTCGGAAACAAAATTATCGATATTTCCTTCATTTCTTAGGTCACACAATCGACATCTGCCACGATGAATAGTTTTATAACTCAACAACCAACAACAAACATTGGTCGTATCATGACTGGTAAGAATGATTTCAAAAACCTTCGACAAAGTTCATTTCAAATTCGATTTAGTTGGTCCGGACATGAACGTTTCATCGATTGATATCAGTGCGCTTGCTTCTCAATTGACTTCAAACTTTTTGGCATCATTAACAAACGCTACGGTAGTTACAACGGCAAACAACGGCTCAGCAGCTATTCCGATAAAGTAAACAATCTTTGCGACAAGAAAATGACATTAGCAAAGTTCACTGAATTACTTTCATTTAGTTTAATTAATCGAGATAGTCAAACAACAAATATCGGCACGGGACAAACAATTATGTTAACTAATAGTCCTAATTCGATTGTATTAACTGGTCAACAACAGCAGCAGCATCAACAGCAGACACAACCGATATGTCGAAATGTTATTAAGCAGGAACCGATTCTCTATACCACAGCAGCAGGCAGAAATGATTTGTGTTATGAAACAAACCTGAAACAGACGCATTTGTGGCCGTAAAAAGACCTGACCTTTCCATCGTACTGAATTCCGTACTCATAAAGAAAACAAGAAGCTTGAAAATATGTTCGTTTTTTCTTTGTTCCAATTATACAAACATTGTTTTTCCGTCAACCGTTCCTCTATAAAACACCCTCGTTTCGACTTCTCACTCTTGCCATCTTTACTTTTGTATATATTCCGACTCTCATCTATTTTTATGTCTTGTTTCGTTATTGAATTGGCGTTTATTTACAATAATCCTGTTTTTTCTCTCTTTTTTTCATCATTTGAAAACACGTTTATGCATTTATTTTACAAAGGAAAAAAAAGAAACAGCAGCAGCATAGAACAGAGGATATTAGATCCTAGCGAGAAAAAAACAGTAGGCAGTTTTTCTTAGTCAAGGACAATCTTGACATAATAGAGTCAATTAAGTCTAGTCATAGTACGTGAAAAATTGTTATGGCTTTAATCATCGATTTTCATGGACGACCTTTTCAATCGTCTATTTATAGCAACGAGTTGTTTCCTACAGTACGGTACGATCATATCGCGCTGATCAAAACATGGTCTTGTTTCAATTACGAATCTCGTTTGTTAGTACTTATTGGATGGATAAACTAGACCAAGGCTAATTGAATAAATATTAATTAATAAGATAAATGAATGGTCGACAAAGTCTCTATAAACAATAAAATCTGCTCGTCTTATCTTCGTATAACAACACAGCTCGTCTTTTAAATTTCTTCATGTTTATTGTCGTTGTTGCTTCTGACTCGAGTGAAAGTTGCTTATCTTATCACTTTTCTTATTCCTACTTGTAATCTACTAAATCATGTATATTTATATTCCAAACTCTTCTACATCTTCATTTTGAGTTAAAAATGAAACAATATCAGCTATTCTGTTTGCTCGTTTTGTGTATATCGAAATGTTTGACTCAAGATCCAACTACGACACCATCGAGTACTTGGAACGGGGACCCAGCTGTATGTACAGTCGATACATCTACTCCATCAGTTCCCGATAGGCCATTACCACGGTTTCCGACACGAGCTGAATTCGCATTGGAAAGAGTAGAAGTCAAACATATATTAGCTATAACTGCGCCAAGCGAATTAACAATGTATCAATATTTATATGATTTCGAGGCAAATAAACTGATTTTGATTAAAAATTCTCAAGGTATCGTTGATGTCGAATATTTTTATTATGAGGCGTTGAAAAAATCAACCTATCTTCGGCGAGAAATTTGTCTTGTTACTGACATTGATACCAATCTTGATATGGGTATGTCGATTGAAAGCTTTTTTGCTTTACTAGAAGTTTTTGCTTAGATGGAACATCGGCTATTCAAGGACAAAATAATACCTGGCATATTCGTCCGCTAAATGAATTCTTGCTGTTTTCAAGCAACGATCCACGACGACCGGAAATACGACCAAAATTTATTGGCCAATCGATGGTCCGTGGTATACCAGTTGATCAATGGGAAACATGTATCATCGATAGGTCGCAATTCCGAACATACCGACGTGTATGGTCATTTGCTCAAAAAGGTTTCATACTACCAACAGGTGTTGTTGGCGATTTCGCAGTGCCTATTCAAGCGATTATCAATGCTTCTATTTCGTACCCTAATGGAACTCAAGCAGCCGAAGTCGACGAAATCTTCAATATTCATAATTATCGACCTGGGATCGTCGAAAGTAGCGATCAGCTAACTCCCCCAAAAGGTGTTTTCTGTGATAGTGGTCTTGGCCAGAATTTGATTTCCCTTCGCGATGCTGGTATTACTTGGCCTGATCGATTTACTGTTCGTGTGGAAGCATCGTCATCGCGTTCAGCACAGTGGCAACGATTTCATCTACGTTACGACCATCCCGAACGTGGCCCACGACGTGTCCACTATGATTTTCTTCCACCTGGGTCTGAACATTACCAGTCAATTATCCATGATTTCGGTGATAATCTAACTTATACTATTGATCACGGTGTTGGTACATGTAAGATCACTCGTGGCACGGAATCTCCCGATGTTGACCCTTTTGTTGATCCAATTGGCTTTTTCATAAAAAATGAACGTCGATTCATTTATCGTGAACGAGAACGAATTTGGGAATTCAACGGATATCGACGTAAGGAACGCTTCATCACCCAGTGATCGATTGCATTTCAGTTTCTATTAATTCTAGCATGCCGCGGTGACACTATTCGGTGCGCAGCAGTGACAAGCTCCGTCGACAAGTTTCCTCCTATCGTCGATGTTGACACAGGCAAACCAAGTGGTGATACCTGGGATGCAACAAGCATTGAATATGGATGGTCAGTACGTGCGCCTTACGCACGGCCACCATCAGAAAGAAATAAACACTTTGATTATCCTGTGTATTTGTTTTTACGAATGTATCGATTCAATGATCTTACAAACCCATCGATAGCCAATATGCGCACAGAAGATATCGAATACGAATTCTATGAAATGTCGCCTGAATCCAACCCACGAGATTTCGATACAAGTTTATGCTATCGTTCACTTCATTATGATTATCTACATTTAGGTTTTAAACTTGAAGTTAGTGATGGCAAAGCTATTGACGGCAGTCATTTAGACAGACGTTTATTAGAGCGACAGATTCATAGCAATTTGGCTTATCTTACAGAAACGAGCTATTCACGTATATCAGAAGTTCAAGTTGACCATGAAGACAAGACAAGCGAAGTCACCGTTTTGTTTACATTACTTGGCCAAACACCCTCACCCGGATCAGTTAGTGGCGTTGTTGACAGTGAACCTAGAACCAACGAAACTCGGAGTCGTCTGGCGAAAGCTATCGATGAAGGAAAATTCGATTTCATCATGAAATTACTTGACGATACAAGTTCATCGGTTCACTTTCAAGCTGTGCGAGGTTCATTGAAAGGCTCAAAAGAATTTATGTCATCACATGCTGTGGGTAAACAAGTTGTCAAGGAAACCTATTCAAGTGGTGCAGAAGCTGGTGCTGTTATCGGTGGAATACTTGTTGGCCTTCTTATTGGTATTCTTTTAGCAGCTGTTTTCCGCATTGTGCGTAAGGAACCCATGCCGGACGTTGCAAGATTACCTGCATCAATTTCAAATCCGTTATCTGCACTGCGAACGTCTACTAATTTACCATCGATTAGTTTTCATAGGCCAAAATCCACCGAGGAGAAGAAAACGACATCCGATGCTTAGAACTATCAAAACTGAAATTATTTTGCTACTTTTTTTTCGACAAATAATAAAATATTGTCTATTTTGAAATTCGAGCTGTAGATGGTATCAACTATACTGCTCGCAGAAGGCCATGCCATTATATAAATATGTGCGTGTTATGAGGGATTAACAATCATGTGAGTCTTTTCCAATATTAGATGATACTTATCAGTATCTGTAAAAATAATCTTTCATTACATTTTTCTCTGAACCGATTCATGTCAGAAAGATTCAGATCAAACGTCCACATAACTAGATGGACTATTGAATTCATTAACAAAGAATGTTGATTCATGAGATTTATTTACAGTTTAAATAATAAACATTTCACTGGGTTTTGTCAATCCTCTTTACGTTCCGATGTATGTATACAATTGATGCCTTATCTAAACTAAGCAATCAGTCCTATTTATACTAAGGTACAGCGCTATCTACAATTCTCGGAATTGCTTTGTATGTGGCGCCGATTACATTCCAACCGCACAACGATAATCATTCGGTATTCTTGTTCGCATGTTTGCAACTGAGAAAGTAAGATATTGATCTACAGAGAACAATTCATTGGAAGAATGTTGCATGAATCTATTTAACATTTTTAGTTGTGAATATGAATGAATGTCAGTTGAATCGGTAAGAATGCTGTTTGTTTATTTTTGTATTAAATCGATTCTCGCATAGAAAATCTGATATTTCATCACCGACTGTATCGACTGATAGTGGAATACAAATGAATATCGAACAATTAGCAATGGTGTGTATTTGATGTAACTAAACATTCGGATGAAAATTTTTCTGTTTTCAGACTACTGAAGATGCTATTCTTCCGTCCGGATGGGAACGATTTGAAGGTAGAGTTCGTATGAATACAACTGGAGAATTTCATCTTGAAAACATTTGATTTAGACGAACAAGGCGTTTACTATTGGCATAAACGAACTGGAACAGTTACACGTGAACGTCCAGATTTAACTGTTGATTCACCTTCATCGACACTTTCGTCATCCTCATCCTCATCATTGAACGATGCATGCTTTGACTCCAATTCACTATTGGATAAAAGTGATTCGAGTCCTTCAATAAAAGTAAGTACAGAACATTCACTTCTAACTACTTCTGGAACTGAGTGATGTCGGAAAGATTTTTCATTATTATAAAACATCCGGTCATTTTGCTTGTTGAATTCAGGCTACAGATGAAACAACTACCCAACAGCATCGTTTTTATGTCCGTTCGCTTGGCTGGACGGTGGTTGATGAGCAAGATTTAACCACTGAACGGAGTAGTCGTACTGTGAACCATTGCATTCATGAGTTAACACGCGGCATCAACGATGGTATCGGTCGATGGGGTGAAGGCAAAGATCTCTACATGGATATTAACAACACTGATATACTTCTAATCGATCCAAGTGAAATGACTATTTTGCATAAACAGGCAATCCCATCGATTCGAGTTTGGGGCGTTGGAAGAGAAAATGCCAGGTTGGTTTACCTGGAAGAGAAGAAAAAGATAATGTTCGTTTCTGTTCGATTCTAGAGATTTTGCTTATGTTGCCAAGGATAAGGATAAATCTGCTCGAATCTATAAATGTCATGTCTTTCGATGTGATAACGCATCGGCAAGAATTATTGCGAATACATTACGTGATATATGTCGAAATTTGATGATGGAACGAGGTTTACTGACGAAAACAACAGAAGTTGTAAACGACGATCTATCGATACACAGACGGTATGTTATTGAAAAAAGATCACGAGAAACAACAAGTTAATTTCTTATTCTATTGACTAGATCAAAATTATTTGCCGAATCGTCAAATGATGGAACAAATAGTTGAGTTTTTTTTAAATAGAACTTTCCCAGTTAATTTCATCTTTGTTTTAGTCTCGTTTCCATCACCGATAGAAGAGCCAATGAATGACCTGTTCTGTACGTATCTGGGCTGTGTTTACGTTGATAAACCAGGTGGAATGGAGGTGCTTCGGCCGGCTATTGAAAGAGTATCGACAACAGTACCCGAAGACAAATGGCTTCCAGTCACTGTGAACATTTCACCATCCTCATTTACAATCTCTTCAAATAATGTAAATCTTTGCAATATCACGGATAATTTTCAACTAAAATTCTTCTTTAGGATTCGAAAGAACAACTACTTGATTGTCGTATTCGTTATTTATCATTTCTTGGCGTTGGGCAAGATCCAACGTAAGTTTCACTATGGTCGTACTCTCTTTGACACTCATTCCATTCTGTAGTTTCTGTGGAATAATTATACACTGTGCTGATAACTCATTCAAATGTCATGTTTTTCATTGTCTACCATCGTGTATACAACTTTGTAAAAATATTGAAGCTGCTTGCAGAGTAAACAAAGCCACCATTGCCAAGATCACTGGTGACCATTTCTCGACGTTTTAGGTTCGCTATCAAAAATGCATCGATGCTCATCCACAAGCCGCCCGACAAATTGAACCAACTAAAGTAAGTTTTCCTGCTTAATTAGAGTCACACATACGCGGAGAATATCCTACTGTGAAACTAATGAAGAGCATGGCATTAGAAGTTCGTGTATTACAAATTTGTTATTCTTTTCTATTGTAGAGTTATGGTGCTCAATTAAAAAGCCTTGTTGAATCATTTTGGTTTGGAAATAAGCAATCTGTTTGATGGAAACTTTCCGTTTCTATACATTATTTATACTCAGTATCAGATCTTTGATTTGTTTACTTTACCTGCTGTGTGATTTCTTTTTTCTTTGGTTAGATTTGAAAACTACATTTTCTTGTTTATTCGTACCTTTTGTTGCAATTCAAATCATTTTATCTCGATAATTTCTTTAAATAATTTTTTCAGAAAAGAAATAAATAAGTAAAATCATTCGGCCGATACCATGAGTGAATCCATGATGAATATAGAAAGTACAGGTATATACGATCGCCATCGAATAGCTCGTTTCCAAATGAAGATCTCCGGTTCTGTTTAGTTATTGATGGAAGTTTTTGTCAACCTCTCGAAAGCACGCGACTAACACGAACAACCAATGTAAGCAATCGAAAAGCTATTTTTCACATGTGTTCTTAATCGAAATTTACTTCTAGTGGTCACCGAACAATGATACGTCAATACGTTCTTCAAAAAGCATTCCATGCATTACGAAATGTATGAGCTGGAAGAGAGTGTTTTGAATTGCTGATCGACTTTTTCCTTATTTTAGCGGAACAACAGCTATATAAGTTATATGCGCAAGCATTAGCAGATTCCGAAGTCACACAGGACTGGAGTAACTGGGTGGAAATGATGGCGATAAATTGCCAGAAATGTTGCTCAGAAGCAGAAATTTCTCATCCAATTGCGTTTCGTACTGGACGACAACCGTAAGAAAGAATATCTTTGCGTCTAGCTTTCTCTGTTTTATATGTATAATCATTCAGACAATTATCTCGAAATATTCGTATGTTACAAGTCGAACGAGATAGTTGGCTTCTATGGAATCGAGCGCGTGATACATTGAACAACACTCGGCAAGATCTTCCTGACGTGGTAAGAATCATTTGGTCAGTGATCTTCTATAGTTCTGTATTAGATTCCGGGTAGTAGTGATCAATTGATCATCGAGCATCATCTTCTGAACAATGCGGAATTACGAATGGCTAAAGCTGTACAAGGATGGCTTCAAACAATCAAAAACGACGAACGTTATCAAACAGATTTAAAAATGGCAATGGCCAAATTGGAGCCGAAAAGAATTTATTGGTTTGTTGAACATTCACATTGAATTTGGTTCATTGTCAGAACTATTTAGGGAAAAAACATGTCATTTTCTCAAGTCATCGTCTTACAATGCTAAACTTCCGAATCCTTATATAACTTCCTTAGTAAGATTTCATATACGATCATAGTCACAGACATATGTTCTATAATAGGATTTTGACGCAACGCATAAACAAAAGCGACGTCTGTATGACACAGACGAACAAGAAGAAAATGATTTATTACAAATTGTCTTTTCATTATTACGTGTTGGAGAATATTCCAAGGTAAAATCTCAACATTGTCATAAATTTAATATTCATTGTAATGTAAGGCCAAAAATCTGTGCAAATCCACCGGTTACCATTGGTTAGCAGCGATACTATGTGCAAATGAATTGTACCACGATGAGAATTATTACTGCTCAGAAGCAAGTGACTTTGTTTATCCGGTGGAAGGAAATCAAAAACGCATTCAATGGACTGAAAACATGTATGAATTATGTATGGATGTAAGTTTCAACAAAAGACTAGGACCGATTCTATTCACGAGTTGATGATGAGATCCACGTGCTTTTCGAAACTGTTTATTAATTTAGATGCGTTTGAAACTCTACGAACGTGCGATCTACGGTCTTCTTTGTGGTCGAATCGAAGCTTTAATCCCCGTGTGTAAGACTTATGCTGACTATCTTTGGGCGTATACGTCATGCTACATCGAACAGGAAATTCACCAAACTCTTGTGTATGTATCCGATGTTACTAATATTAGGACATTTTCTCGAGGTTTTTCTCTCGTAGATACGCACATCAGAATGAACTAAGTGATGTCGATAAACATCGTGTTTTCTCTACCAATGAATTCGGAACTCATCAGTTGAAAATGACAACAATCTTCGATGAAATTCTTGCTAGTTGTCCAACGCATATTCGTGATGAGGCATTGTCCCCATTCAACCAACTCGAGAAATATCTTATTCTTGCTAATTATGATTGCTTATGCAATAGTATCATTTCATTTTTACACTCGAACGAACCCAATGGAAGTTTATTACGTTTCTCCACGCACATATGTCTATTTCTATATGAACAAAATCACTCAGACAACTTTAATCAGAAGAATTTCATTGAAATTTTAACCACATACATTCACCATCTAATTGAACTCGAATTCAAAGATCTTGTCTGTTACTACATATCAAAATTACCAGCAAATAATCAACGTAAGACTTAATTTCAACAATCTTCATTCAGAAAGTTTCTTCTTTCCGTTTAGCGACATTGATGGCGACATTCCTCGATACATTAGCAAATCGACAAGATAAAGAATACTATTTGAAACAAGGTTTTACCTACAAGATCGATATTGATACATCGTTGTTAAAACTTGCTGCTAATCAACAGCGCGAACAAGCATTCACAAAGACCAATACTGAAGAAATCATCAGTACAAACTCAAAGAATCTGAATGAAGTATATTTTGCTTTTCCTTCCTCAAAAAGAAATGCAATCGTACGGCTTCCGTTTTAGAATGATCAAAAACAGTTAGAATCGTTGAAGTTATTAACAACCTTCTTGTCAACACAAACTTTAGACGCACTCCGTTTTGCTAATCGAATCTGTCGATATTTTTTGAATGACGCCAAATACGAAGGAATACGAACGGCTTTGTCTTATTTCCCACATGATATTGACTTTCATACTGTACGTTAAACCGAAAATGATTGTCAATTAGTATCCTTCTCTCATAATTTAGATCGAGGCGAATAATCGTCAACAGGCTGGAGACGATCTCCGAGAATTCAAAGCATTCGGTGCCTATATTGTAAGTATAAAGATTTCTACAGACAAATTTTCGTCATTCATTTTCTTGCAACGAAACAGGCAGCTATCGAAGCGATTCAACGTTGGTCTGAAATGCATCAGAAACAGAACGCTGCATCTTCTACTACACGTGATGATCAAGCGTATCTGCCGATTGTCATCAAAGCTGGCTATGAGGTCTTTGATTATCCCCAAGGTTGGCTAGTTGATAACACGGTAATTCTTTGTCACTGAAACTTCATTCGAATGTCGCTATGAAAACTTATGTGCTTCCAGAATGTCCACCAAGCGTTACCAGATCATGAAAATCGTCAAGCTGAAATGTCGATTCTCCGACATAAATGCATTCCAATGTTGGCCTGTAATCTCTTGCGTATATTCGACTTGAGTAAAAATGAACAAGAAACGTTTCGTTTAATTGTATTCCTATCTGATAATCGCAAACAACAACTCTATTCCGTGAGCAAACAAATTCGTTTTGTTGATTCGTACACAGTTGCTTCTGTTCTTTTTGCAGTTATTTTCAAAAGATACTCTTCAGTCAGTATTGTCACTCGCTGAACGTGCAGCTGAACGATGTTTGGATCGACAACAACAGCAACAGACGGACGATGCAACCATCAGTTACTTTTTAAAATAATCAACTAAAAATCTTGTCAGATATTCAATCAATTTGTGATGTGTATGAGCTGTGCTTGTCTGCGAAAAATAGGCTCAATGTTCTTTTTCTTTTTGTTTCATTGAAACGATTATAATTGTGAAAAAAAAGGTATTAAACCAGAGTAAATTGTTCATTCCCTATCTTTGTAATGAACAACAATGCACAGCCCTTATCTGATACTTTCGAATCGATAGATGAACATCATTCGTGTCCGCATACATTCAAAAAAGTCGCTCTGTTGAGTTATGAAACGAAGATTTCTACTCGATGAATTGAATTCCGTCGTGAATATATTTCATTTTTTGTTTTATTCTTCTTTTTTTTATCAACTGTCAAATGCTGACAAGAAAACGTAAACAAGAATAAACGATTGACAATAATGATGTTGATAAAAAACATAATAAGTACTGATCTTCTTCACTATTGTTAGTAATCCATCATTTGATCGTTTATTCAGCATCGCCACCACGAACTGTCTTGAGGAAAGCGGTTTTACGTTGTTGAACACGGTTCTTGCGGGATGATCGGGCAAGTCTAACTTTATTCCAACTAGAAGAAGACAGAGGGACTACAAAGCATTGCATCTCAAACACATGTTCTTACCGTTTCGGTTTAGCTGCATCGGCTTTCTTCACTTTCTTGGGTGAGGGTGATGGATCAGCACGAATAGCAGCATGTGCAGCTTTGTATAAAGCTTCGAACTAGAACACACAAAGCGAATACGGAACGATTATTTTTCTATGATGATTCAAAGGTGATGTCCTACGGATTTTGGTTCAATTCCAGCCTTGACGAAACGTGAGAATTGTTTCGAGTATAGATCTGGGTTTTCTTCTTTGAGCGATGTCATATAGTTAGCAACATGTAAACCAAAGATATGTTGACGATGAACATCAGCATTGAATTTTTTACCGTCCTGGTTGTATCCTGGAAAGCGTCGGGTGCTGAAAAAGAAAAACAAAGCGAAATTTTACTTCATTATAGCGCTCGTGAGTATGTGCATCAGTTATAGATGATCGTCATATCAAATCAGAAGAGATGACAGAAATAAAAAGGATGTTCATCATATGCACTTGAAAAAAGATTTCGAACAATTTATCCATGTGCAGAATCAGCAAGGGGCGAAAAGTCCAATAAAGTGGAACTCTTCATGGTCGTCGTTCCGATGAACTTACATCTCATCAGTTTTTGCACGATGGATGGTTTCTATCAATCAATTCAGAAGTTCTCGTTTAAGTATTTCATCTATTTTATAACAAATGCAAAATCAGAAAGGGGCGAAAAAGTCCAATAAAGTGGAACTCTTCATAGTCGTTAATCCGATGAACTTACATCTCATCAGTTTTTGCATTGTTTAATTTCTATGAAAAAATTTATACTGGTGCAAAATCAGCAAGGGGCGAAAAGTCCAATAAAGTGGAACTCTTCATAGTTGTCGTTCCGATGAACTTACATCTCATCAGTTTTTGCACACACTACTTATTAAAATGACCTCAAGATGTCGCTAGTGGGGTAGTTGTCGGTCACACACCGAAGGCAAAATATTATTTCAACAAATGCAAAATCAGAAAGGGGCGAAAAAGTCCAATAAAGTGGAACTCTTCATAGTCGTTAATCCGATGAACTTACATCTCATCAGTTTTTGCATCGTTTTTCGTAGACATAATCTCGATATGTTCAAAATCGAACTTCTCATGTGTGGACTTTTTCAATTAGTTCCATGACAATGTATATTTACCTATGAGGGATATCAAGACCACCATCGACAGCGCCTTTCAATGCACCGAAAACTTTGGCACCAGTGGTTGTTCGGGCAAGACCAACATCAAGATAACAACGGAATGGTCGTTTTTGGCCTTCAACTGGTTCGTTTTCGAATGTATCACCTGTGATTTCGGTTGTGCCTTTGTAGATATCATCGAGTTTGTGTTTTTGTAATGTTCGTCGAGCTAACAAAAGACCAGTACAGTATGCGGCAGCGTAATTTGTTAAACCAAGTTTAACGCCATATCGTGGTAATTCATGAGCATAAGCTGATGCGACGACGTAATCACCTTCGATACGTGCATAAGCGATCTAGAAGAAGAAATTCAAGAAGTTCGACGGTTGGAGTTGGGCATAAGTCGCCACTTACTTGACAAATAATGTCTTTGTTGGTAAATCGAACAATCAATCGATATTTAGGTGTGTTGTATTTGTTTTTATCTTGATGGATAAGTGCATGACGTGCGTAGAAATCAGTTTTACCCTCTGAAAAATTTCCATTTTAGTGCAAACAATAAGAAAAACAACAACGATTATTTACGTCGACGTCGTTTCGATTTCACTTGATATCGCTTGAAGTAAGCCTTGTTTTTGACGACTTTAACAAAAGCCTAAGATAAATGTTCGATGTTCAAAAGCAATGAATAAAGTAAACGAGAAAAGATATCGTTACCATTGTAAATTCAGATGGACGATCGCTGGTAAATTTGATAAGCAAAAGAAACAAACAAACAATCGGTGGATGTCTACCCCCGTTTGGCGACCTCCACGAAGACGTTTGTTAACATGACTAAACGAACCAATCATAATGGTTTAAACGACTAATGCATTTCCACCGATGAAGGATCACACATCAAGTTAGATTGGTCTTTTTTCCAATCATACAATTCATATGTCAACGCCTTGGTGATGATTTCTGGTAAAAAAATAGAATCGTTTTGCCGAATCTGAACGTTTTCTTTTGCATAGATACCGAGAGAATAAATCATTTACAATGGCGCATCAAACGACTGGAAAATCTTATCGGAAAATCTTCAAAAATGAGAGTAGGTCGAAATCATTTCAACGAATGTCGTCATTTCATCAGACAATTTAGATCATCGAAACAATTACCAATTTAAATGAACAAGTTCTCGATTTTGCAAGCAATAATAGTCTTACGGCTAGAAAATTAGTTTACAGAGGTAAACAAGAAGAGAATAAATCGTGCATACCGTTTCTCTTTCGATATACATCTAGCTGATCAAATCAATCGTCTCACAAACCCGAACTTTCAACGTTATATTGATGAAGATCGGTTGGCGATATGTGACCTAGTTCTCGCTGGTAACCAATTTGACTTTGACTAGAAATCGCTTCATTCCGATTCTTTGTAGATGAAGCTCGTATACGTAGTGTAACAGAAAATCTCTCGGAAATCGAAGCGTTGGCACGAGTACTCGATGAACGATGGTTCGCAGGTAGATAGAATATTAATCTTTGTATCTGCTACAACCTTATTCTTATTAGAAATACCGAAATTATTCGCGAGTTTAAATAGACTATTGGTGAAGTACGAACATATTAAAGTTTGTTCGACGAGACTAAATCTGTACCTCTAAGTCGCCGATGAATCTGTTTAGAATGAACATCGACAACATACGGATGAATTAAATCACTTCTTACAGGACTACGCAGCATTTGTAAGAAACAGTATTCTCCTTCGAATGATTTACTAGATTCTCTTGTCAAACTAGACTTTATTAATGGATGAAAATCTCCATCGGTATAAATCAATGATAAACGAAGATCATCACGTGGTTTCAAATGATTCCATCGAATAATTCGATCTTTTTTCATGTAATCTGGTGCAATGTTTTAGAATGGTATATGTGTTATTTAATATTTTTTCTCTTCATTGTTAAGCATTTGTTTCCATTTATTTGTTTCATTTTGAACATTCTTCCAAAATGGACTCTTATGATCGGTGATCAGATACATCATTAAAAAGACTGGTGTTGTGAATATTGCTTCGAACGAACGAAAAGCAGGAGCAGATCGCTGAAAAATATAATGTCCAAGCCCTTGGAGTATAAGACCAGAAAAGAATACAACGAATCCAGAGAATATTGATGGATGATGCTGCGAAGAGGAGATAATCATTGCACAGAAAAGTGCACCAAACAGAAGAACGTATGCTAGAGCAGTTTTAGAATCGAATAAGAAGACAACGACACAATAAGCGATCGAGAATAGTATAGATAGATGATAATCAATAGAGTACGTCATAGTTAGAATACCGAATATCAATAGAGGTATGGCGCATGTATGTAATGCACGATTTATTGGTTGAGAGTGGTAGTAATTAACAAAACCGAATTCACTTTCTAACGTTTTGCCTTTGAAAAACGGAAGCAGAAATGTCATAGCCATTTTGCTTATTACACTAACGCAGCTAAACATCGAATGGAGAGAAATTATAAAGAAAAGATACGCTTTTGTTATCTGCTATTTCGATGAGTCATCGTCCCGAATTCGAACAACAAGACTTTGCATGACAATAAAACTAACTTGTTCACTTTCTCTTCTAGATTATTGAACAGAAATTCATTTTTTTGAATATTTATTTCCATCTAGTCAATCAATACAGACATCTACTGATCGGTATTAGTGATTCACTTTACGATAAAAGGAATCAAGATTAGATGAGAGCAGTCAATTTCGTTTAACAGTTGAACGTGCACGAGATCTACATGAAGAAAACGATGTTATCCGGTATAATGAAATTCTGAGTTTGTATTGTTTTGTGAGACAAATGCTGTCTTTACTTTTGATTCAGTCTCTTTTATGACTTGAATTTCAGATTGTCCCAGCAAGTCAACATTCAAAGAAGAACATTCTTCACGTCAAATTCACCGAGTTGTGTCCGTTTCACTTCTGGCGATCCAGTTGCTCGATGTTTTAATTAGCGTCTGGAATATGTCAGAATATACTTTTATTAAGTACAAAAAGACACGAACTCTATCTATCAGTGAGATATCCTACCGAGTTACTTCTGTCATTTCGTTGCGCACAAATGCATATTCAGAATGCGCATATTTCCATCAGAGGTCGTCAATGAGGAGCCTATTTTAAGAGTACATGGAATGCACCGTGACGTTCGAACTCTTTTGCAGGTTTTTTTACTTCCTAAAAGAGGGTGTCTGATTCCCAATTAGAAATTTCCTCAGTTCACAGATAACCTCGGGCTTTAGTTCTCCCTGGAAAGTACAAATACCGTAATCTGCAAAATTCAATGAGCGTCAATTATGAACCGTTGAATGAGTCGATTTAATTATGAATTAATATCTACGCACACATATGACGTCATCAAGCTAAAATCCGGTTTTTCTTCTAGATGTAATGATGTTCGCAAGTAAATCACTATATCTCTTGAATATTTCTATCAAAAAGTACTCAAACTATTCATTAATTCGATTTGCATCATGGAATACGAATAACAAGTAAGAAGAAATAGAATTCTTCCATTCAGCCAGAACTTGTCAGATGAAGGAGAAAAGCATTTCTGACCAAACTAATTTTCATTTCAATATGTCTATACAGATGAGACTAGCATATCAAATGACAGGTTCATGATGTTCGCAAAGAAAACTAATCTCCGAAAAAACAACAAATGATAATCATCTCTCGCCATTTTTTTTCCTTTAGACTTCATGAAGTTGGCCTATTTACATCTATTAAACAAGAAGGCAATTATCAAACAGGTCAGGTATGTCACATAGTTAGCGATGATGGATGAAGAGATGTCAAGCATCCATTAGAACATGTCTCGGAGTATATATTAGAGGACACTTGTCATAAGTTACGAGTCTTTCTGTACAACAAATAATACAACAATGTTTCGATGTGTACAATAGAAACAAAAGAAAATCAAAGAAAACAATGTTAGAGTTGTGTTTTCTTCTCTGTCGGATATCACAGAGTTCTACACTACAAAATGAAAATAACAAAAATTCAAACTCATGAAACGAATTATACTAAGAATATGAACAACATAGAGGTTGTCTTTGCGATTGATCATTCAATTGTACGAGATTTGTTAATGTTTGAGAAGGACTTTCACCGTTGGCAATAGATGAGTCTAGTTGTTGAAGAAGTGCTTGACCAATAGCTTTAAAACAAACTTCAACATTCAAACCAGTTTTCGCAGATGTTTCCAAATATGTCACGTCATATTCACCCGCTAACTTTTCACCCATTTCACGTGTTACCACACGTTCCGCTGCTCGATCAACTTTATTAGCTATTAACATAACAATCACACCGGAATGAGCGTATTCATGAATGTCACTTAACCAAGCACGAACGTTATTAAAACTGGTTATAGATGTGACATCATAGAGTAAGAGTAGCGCATTGGCATCACGATAATAAGAATGAGTTACAGAACGAAAACGTTCTTGACCGGCCTGAAAGTAAAGCAAACTGAGTAAATGATCAAATATTCGAAGAATTCACCTCGAGGGAAAGAAAAATAAGCTGAACTGATGTTCTAGAGAATGTTTGAACTGTAATTATCGACAAGAAAAAACACTTTGTTCTGCTCTTCGACAAGAAAAACGCCCTATTTATCTTTTTTGTTCGATAAATCTTTTGTATTTCTATAGAATACAATCATTCATTTCGTTTCCCTAGACTTTGTTCGGTCGCACAAGAAAATAGATCTTGCAAATTGCTGGAACACTCTTGTTTACTTGCTAACGAATGAAGACTTTAATATATGCCTTCTGTGCGTGTACCTGTTTTGACAACGTCAATTATCAGAATGATAAATATTTATTGATTCTGTTTATTCTGAAACCTTTTCCGAGACTACGTCATTGGAGATTTTCTCACGGTCAACGAGGACTCCTCAGCAAAATGAAAAATAAATATACCATTGAAATTCCCTCATTGCTCTCTAGTCGCTCACGCTGATTAAAATACTCAAGGTTTTGTTTTTCTCGACATACTGTGTCATAAATCTGCAATTTGACTTGTTTATCATTAATCACCATTGTTTTGTTACGGAAATCAATGCCAACTGTTGCAATAAAACTTCCAGACAGAAACGTGTCATCTTTAAAGCGTACCAATAAACATGTTTTACCCACACCACTATCCCCAAGTAACATCACCTACATGAATAATCATGAGCGTTCGCTAGTAGAGCTTTCACACTCACCTTAAACGTACTGCTGTGTTGCGTATGGTCATGGTTGTTATTCGTTGTTGGAAGTGGACGGCTCATATCAAGGTTTTGCAGTTTGTTCTTTTTATAAATCTAGAATTTAATAAATTCACCTCTGATAAGAGCACTCATCGGATTAGTTGGTATGACATCAACTAAAAATAGTGATACATGATTGGATTCTCACGTAACATGGCAAAAGTAGAGTTCTTTTCTTGACAACTTTTTCTATGCTGTTCTTCGCACTATTTACCTGACGTGACGATGGCAACTGCATATATACATTTCAGACCCTGATAGATGCGTACAAGCAACAGGCAGTGAAAGTATTACTTTTCTGGCAGCAAATGTCGTATTATTACTCCTATCTCTCTCTCTCTCTCTTTCTCCCATACACAAGAAATAGTAGAGAAGAAGAAAAGCGATAACAATGTCAATGAGCTAGATTCACATTTGATTAGGAAATGACAAATCGCGCGACAGATCTTTCCTTTTGGTTTTTTTCTCCATCTCTCGTCGTCTTCTTATTCTATTGCGTGATTCTTCTTGTTCTTTGATAGTTACGTTTGTTTTCTAGCTATACACATGTACGCATTTGAAGATGAGTAAAGGAAAAACTTCCGAAGTTACTTCACTTTTTCTCCTTTTCCTATCTAAACGTGCTCCGATGAGCAAAACGACGAGAAACGGGTTGGCAAACGAATAACACCAGATGAAGCGTAAAAACAATATCTACGCAAAGAAGTAGAAAAGAAGAAGAAAAAGATGTACGGAGAAATAACAGAATCGAAGGAAAGAAAAGAGAAAATAATCGTTTTCTCAGATTTTCTACTCGGAGATGTGTAATAACTTCTTTTCTTTATCTTGTCTATTAGCACTCAACTAACTATTAATTTCAATTCATGTTAAATAATCATACTGATGATGTTCGAGCCGATGCGAAACAATATCGAAAAATTGTCTTTGTTCGCATGTCCTTGTCGTCGATACGCAAATCAATGATTGAAATTCATCCGATCAAAGACAAGAATGGCATGTTGTATTGAAATGTTGAGCAGATGAATAACATATTGGAGAGAAATAAGAATCAGTGTCGTATCAAATGAGAATCAAGAGCGCATATAGAAATAACAAGAGGGATGAGAAATATGAAAAAAAAACGGAAACTTCCTGTCGGCAAGCTGTACTGATAGTGTTTTCTTTCTCTTTCCGACTACCGTTACTACAACCATTTCTGCTCTGTGCTAGCAAATGCGTTCTGACAAATCGAATGTCTCTCTCTCTCTCTGTATCTTGTTTTGTCTTTGCTAACAAGCTTGACAAACATATCCAGACCAACCTCAGAAGCATAATTAACGAAATCGACCGACAGCTGAAACAAATGCTAGTTTCAGTTTTTAACCGATTACACGGCGATTTTTTGCTCTCAAATGGTTGATCAGGATCTGTTACACGATCAACTCGTCTGCCAGAAGAAAAAGGAAAACTAATAGTGAAAAAACTTTTCTATTTTCACAACTAGTATAGAAGGAGAAAACTCGATTTTTCTCCTTTTTCATTGCGAGGCATGTATGTTGTAATATACTGATAATATTAACGATGAATAAAAAAAAGATTTCCTAATGTTGAACGATGCATATAATCTAATTAGAGAATAAGAGACGAATTCGTGCGTATTATTTCTTCTAATTTAGTTATTTCTTCATCGAGTTTTCGGCTATCGCGGTGTTATTCTATTTCCATGGCTGGCAAGAGTTTTCGATCGGTACGATGGCCGGTCCAACAGCCTGCCACCGTTGCCGAAAACAAGCAAGTCATCTCAATCAAATATTCATGAAATTCGAGCCAGATCAGTTACGTATTACCAAGTCTTAATTGATACTCGAGATATACCACACATTCGAGCTCAAACAGGTTACAAAGTTCAGTTGAAATGAACGTTTCAAACAAGGCCGACATTCTATATTTAGAGGCAGTCACTTTTTTAGGTAACCAAGAACGTGATCGTAATTTGTATGCGATTCCAGGTCTGGATTATGTTGCACATGAAGATGTCATCCCATATACGGTGAGTTGTTGTAAGAAGAAGCAAGACTAATTAAAAGTTCAGAAGACTTCGTTCATGGGTCAATGAAAGAGAAAAGTGAAAACATTTTCAGAGTTATTTAACATGATTTATAGACATTTGTTAGAGAGGGCGGGTGAGAAATAAATGAATTCTTAAAAATTGTCACATATTTTCAACAGAACTAATCAAGAAAAGTTCCACGGTATATTTATTCTTGTCAGACTTATCAAAAAGTTACCGGTGATTGTATATAATAAACATATTACCGGATGTTCGTGTGACTGAATGATCTAATTAGAATATATTTTCTCTCGTAATTCAATGAATTGAATCTATTTTAGAGTACGGAACGAACGCCCATTGAACATGAATTATTTGATAAATTTCTAATACATGATTCCGAATCGAGTATGTACTTGACGAATATTGCATTCCGAAGACAAAATTTGTCGCTTTGCTAGATCCGACTTTTGTCCCGCGTGAATATTTGAAATCCTGGCAAGATCGGCATCATCTTTGGCTTGAACTGTCCGATGTGTCGAAGGATGTTACTCATCAAATTCGAGTTACAGTTATTCCATTTTATATGTAAACGAATAGGTGCCCATTGATTGAGAGAGTGATCACTTCGATTTGAATATTTAAGGGGATCCCGTTCATCGCAAGGTGTTACGATTCATTGGTGGCGTTATTCTATTCGGATTGAAAATTTGAATCCTGAAGAACCAGTCACGTTACGTGAACGTCATTGGCGCATATTTAGTCTATCGGGTACACTGGAAACTGTTCGAGGAAAAGGTGTTGTTGGACATGAACCACGATTATCGAAAGAATATCCAGCATTTCAGTATTCGTCTCATATCTCGCTATCAGCACCGAGTGGTCATATGTGGGGGTAAGAATATTTTCAGTAAATCAGACAGATATTCAATTATTTCGTTCTAGAACATTTAAAATGGAAAAAGACGATGGAACGTTCATTGAAGTTCGAATACCACCCTTCAATCTTGAATGTAAATCTGATCCGACTGATACAAGCAAATCCTCAATCTAATATCTTCTTGTTTTCTTTTTTCATACCATTGTGTGTTTTACCACGGAAAATATATGAATAAACCACAATCATCGCTTTCATTTTCTGTATAGAAGTCAGTGCTATTCTTTCAGATTTGATGTTACTTCGATTGATCAACCAGAATAAGCTTGTCTATCGTCAATTTCATACGAGTTCACCACGACATGTGAATCCGCTCATATGGGTTTTTCTGAAACCAGTGCTCAAAGGTGTTGCCTGGATAACTGGAAGGTGGTACATACACATCTAATGCATTTTTCATTTGCATCAAATGAAAACCTTTATTTCTGTAAAGATCAACTAGAAAATGGTATCGAAATCTGCCAACAGACAAGCAGAATATCCTGTTTCAACATCTTGAGCGACGGAAATACGTGTATCTAGGCGTATTTGGGACAATCGGAACTGCATTTGCTGTATGATTCGCGGTTTTTCTCTTCATTTTATAAATAAACATACGTATGTGCCTGTATAGGTACACTACTACACTCATCTTCAAGAAGCACCAATTACGGGACGCAGACGTTATATGCTAATGGATATAGAACAGTTGAAGATGTTATCTATTTTGGAAACAGAAAAGGTTGAGTTTTGTTCGAGTACCCTTCCTTGTTCATGCTTTGGATAAATATAGATGGCTCAAACGTTTTCCAATCAAATGTATGAAGCTAACAGCAAACCAACTCAACTTGTTGTCAGAGTGGTCAAACGACTACTCTCTGCTAATATGGATATACCTGAATTGACGAAAATCAAATGGACTGTTCGTGTCATAGTAAGTCTTTGATTGTTCTATTAATCCTCAGTCAGATATTTCATTTTTTTCTTAATATTCTTTATCGAGGATGATGACACGAAAAACGGTGAGTTGTTTGTTTCTGTAATGAGAAGATATGGGAAAAGTTTGTTTTTTTCTTACAGCTTTTGTTTTGCCGGTATGTGATGTGAAGAAAACGCTCGATGGATAATGTAATCTAGATTGTTTATAGTCCGGTGATGTATACGTAACTCGTGGTTTACTGCAAATAATGTGCGTGTAGAATTTGATTTCGGTTTTTCTCTGACTATTTGTATTATTATAGGACTAATGAAGATCAACTAGCTGTCGTGCTTGCTCATGAACTAGCACATGCGATTCTAGGCCATACAGTACGTTGATTTGAACGAAACTTTCATCAGTTTTCTGATATGTGGCCTTTTCTAGGGAGAAAAGCTCTCGTATACGCAAGCAGTTGATTTGTTAGGTATGGATAAGACAGAATTTCATTTGTGTTAAATGTCCTCAAAGTATATCCATGTGTTACATGATCATTTCTAAAAAAGTAGATACAGCAGCAGAAGGATTGACAGTCGATGTATGGAACAGTTCAGTTAGTCTTGATTATATCGCAACATATCTAGGGAGGCGATCTTCGCTAAGATATTGAAAAATATACTTGATACTTCTATCGACTTGTAGCGATCTTCGGAGCATTTTTGATTTGGGCGATATTTCCAACTGATTGGATTTCGTAAGTTGAATGAGAATTCGATTGTTCTGAATTGTACCTCGGTGAAATCTGTCAAGGTTTTGGGTGAATTTTATTTACGAGCGTTACGTTACACTTACTTCTCGATTGCCATATTCACGATATTTGGAAGAAGAAGCTGATCGAGTTGGTATAACGTTAGCTGCAAAAGTAAGCGGAGAATGTCTAGAAGATTCTATATGATATGACCTGTTTTCTTTCAGGCTTGTTTTGATGTGCGCGAATCCGTGAATTTCTGGAATGCTGTTGCCAAAGTAGATGTTGAAAGCAAACTTCCTGAATTCATCTCCACTCACCCAGCTGATGATAAACGAGCTGAAATTCTGAAAGGATTACTTCCAGAAGCGCTCGAACTACGTCTCAAATGTAACTGCGCACCGATATCATCAAAAAAGCCACTTGGAGTAGTGAATCTCTCCGAAGGTTCAAATGAAAAGGTACATCTTTTATGCTCCGTACACATTTGTTTATTCGGTATTTCTTTAGGTGATGAGCACTCTGGAAAAACAAGCAGGCGGCATTCAGCATATCCCTGTAGTCGAATCGACGAAATAATACTTTTATAATTACAAATGCGTACTTTAGTTTTTATAAGCATTTCGATTGAAAAAGTGCGCCATCTACAGCGCATTGAAATAAATCCAATGATTCGTTTGCAAATAAATCGACTGTTGTTTTCCTTTTTTCCTCTTCTAAACATCGTCTACTTTGGCTTGCCTTTTCCAACATGATAGATAAATGATGAATCAATTAACAATGATACCATTAACAGTTGGTGAGTTCAGCTGCGTTCTGATACTTAGAGAGAAAAGTTCTTACCGGTGACTGTCTTTTAGGTGACACGACATGATATTCAGCCGAAATATTCAATGATGAGCAAACATCTATGGATCGTAATCTGATCGTCGGTTTAACGGGCACCCAAAGGTAAATCATTTTCGTTAATATCCTGTAAATGAAGAACAATCAATCTGAACATGAATGTGTTTTCTTTTTCAGTTCTTGTCAACAAACGGTTTGAAGTCTGTTCATGATCTCCATACGCCTGTCCATCAATTATCTATGAACTTATTTTGTTGATCTAGTTTATTTTTGTACAATGAAAAAAGAAATAAGACTAAAAGAACTACAAGCCAATTTTGTTTCCTTCTTTCATCTTTTGATTTCTCCTATTTGTGACAATATCATTTCTAGTTCTATCTTCGTCGATGTAAGTATCTGTCGCGTGTGAAAGAGCGACGAGCAGAATCGTTGAGCATCACATATGACACTGCTGCTCAAGCGAATTTTGTTACTCGCTAAGTGCCATTTTAGACTAACTTGGTTGTCTCTATGGTTTCTGAGATTGCGCTCAGGCAAAAGATAACCTAGCCATGTTAAACCACTAATCATTCGTGCAGGTTTTGAGAGAGATATCCAAATCCCGATGATTTCATATTCATTAGTTTATCACTGAAAATAAAGGTGTTGGGATTTGATTTTGATTGTTATGTATTAGTTTTCAGAGGTGACAAGCGCTGATTAAGCTAACAGTGGTGTTTTCTCCCACACGAACAACTGTCGCTCTACTTTTGTATTTTTCCACACCGACTGATGAACAAAATAAAAGCTCGTGTCGAAGAGTCTGTTTTTCATTTTCGCCGTTATTATTTACTTGATTATATTTAGAAACCTGAAAACATTTTTAGATTGAAAAGAAACGCAATTTTCTCTCTTGTTTTGTATTGTCTTTCAAAGGAATCATAGTTGTTTAGTAGCGTAATTGCCTTGTTCGACTTTTCTTCTGTCAAGGTATGTGCCACTCACTTTCATATTTGCCTTTTGTATTCTCAGACGATTTTCAATTTTGTTTTAGTCGTCTGCAACACTATTATGGCTACAAGAGATGATTATCTCGATTTTAAGAATGCTCTGAATGATTTAAAACTGAATAGCAAACCATTGATTAACTTTTTGACAATCTTAGCGGAAGAAAAAATACAAAATGCACCACAAATCGTTCGAGCTATTGAAGAACGTATAGCAGAGGTAAGCAGAAGGTGTAACCTAATTTCGGTTTACAATATGTCACTGATTTTCACAGGCCAGAGGTGAACATGTCTTACCAGCTCTATATGTACTCGATTCTATAGTAAAAAATCTACGTTCATCGGTTTACGTTCAATTATTCGAAGCACGTTTGCCCGTACTATTTGCCAATGCATTCAATAAAGTAAGTTGCTCGATCTTGCTTAGAATTAGTACGAAAGAATTTTTTGACTTCATTAGGTTGATGAACGCACACGATCATCGATGTTTAAGCTTCGTCAAACCTGGCCGCCTTTTTTCACCAATCTCGCATTGTATAATCTTGATACGCGAACATATGACATCGATCCAGCATGGCCAATAACTGCAAAAGTACCCGATCCGTCGTCTGTGTCGCAAAACATTCATTTAAATCCAAATTTTCTTCAACGAGTAAAGAACGTCAATTGAAAGACTAGAACATGTTTTTTCACATTTTCTCTGTAGGATGCAATATCTACTATGCCGACCGATCAACAATCCTTAAGTGACGAAGTTCGCCAGCAGATCTTACGATTGCAGCAAGATGATCCCGAGTCGTCAACGTTTCGTACCCGAACGGTTAATCAACCTCCAATATCTTTAGCACCACCAAAACTTTCGGAACTTTCTACTCGTGGTGATACCTACCATATGATACCAATCGAACGTATGGAACAAATTCGACACGAGACAGCACATGTACTTGATCTCGGTGTTGATGGAGAACAACAATCAAAAATTAAGAAGTCGACGGGAAAGAAGAAAAAAGGAGGCAAAAAACGACGGCCATCAGCCCGCTTACGACGACGTGCAACGGCTTTGTCACAAGCAATGGCTAATACTGAACAAGAAACGTCATCTGAGATTGATACCGACGAAGATGAAAATGAAAATTTGAATAATAATGATGAAGAAGACGATGATGATGACGATGAGCCGTTTATTATCAAACAATCTTTGGCCGCTATCAATAATGGACTTTTGACGAAACCATCAGCCCGCGATGTCGATAGTACAAATGATGTGTAAGTGACTGGCATCAACTTTTAGATTAGTTTTCATGAAAAACTATACGTTTAGAAACATCTTATTTGGTAATAGTGATAAAGATTATCGAGATTCCGATACGACAACAACTGAATCAAACTCAAGAAATCTCGATGCTGATAGTATATTCGAAATCAATTCCAAATGTCTTTTACTCGCTGAACAAAAGTATAAACTGAAAGAATTATCATCCGAAGAATATCAGGCAACTTTGAAACTTCTTCAAAACATTCTCCAGAGCGAAGCACAACGACTGACCGTCCAACAACAAACGTACGTGTTTCTATCGAATCGAAACAATCCGTAAAATAGTGAATTTTTATTGCAGTACGAATACATCGCTATTAAATGGTACGAATTGTCAACCAAGTCATTCATTTCAGCAGCAACTGCTTCAGTTCGCTCAACAACATGCACCACAAACAGCAGTAACGTCTCAACTTCCAACTTTTCCGACTCCACCATTTCCATTTCCGGGTTTTGGTAACGATGCCTATCGTCATGCTATGCAAATCTTAACAACTGTTGGCGCACCCTCATCTTTCATATCGAATTATAATTTCCTACCTTATCTTCCGCCATTACCACCAGGTCCACCCGCATTGTCACTTGTACAAAATGCATTTCAATCTCAACAAACAGCAACGACAACTCTGCCGGATCAACAATTATTTTCTGTGCATCAAAGTCCACCATTGAAACGACCGCATGATGAAAATAATAATAACAGTAATAATTCATACGATGAGGAAGATAACAAAAGAGCACGCTATGATCCTGTCACGGGTCGCGCAGCACATCCACGTAATTTCGATGAAGAAAACGTTGCACCAGTACCAGTTCTAATCGATGCCAATATAAATATGCTTAAAAAGTAAACCAATGTAATACTTTTCCTACTAGATCTTGTAAACCAATCATTCGTTTAGAAAATATGTTGGTATCGCTCAACAACTATACGTTAGCAAATATCAGTGTCGTTCGTGTGGTCTTCGTTTTACTGCCAAACAAAAGAATTACTATAATTGTCATCTCGATTGGCATTATATGGAGAATGCCCAAGAAAAAGACTTGAATACGACAACATCAGCCCTCGCCTTATCGAGACGCAGTCGAAATTGGTATCCATCAGTACAAGAATGGACACTCTACGAAGAAAATCTTGAAGAACAAGTTCGAACAGGCAAACTCATATCAGCACAATTTCGACCGCTCAAAGAGAACAGTGTTTTTCTACAAGGAGAAAATACTGTATCGGCATCAGGAGTGATCTCCTGTCCAGCAACAGGCAATGGTGATGGTGATGATGATGTATGTGGAAGAGCATGAATTCGTACTAGAAATGTTGTTTGATTCTCTATTTAGCGATGCTTTGTATGTCACGATCCATTTGAGAACTTCTTCGATGATAATAGAGAAGAATGGCATTTGAAAGATGCCATGCGAATAGATGGAAAAACTTACCATCCAATCTGTTTTCAAGATGTGCAGTATGAAGTAAGAACTAACGGAATCGTTGAAAACTTCATCTTCAATTGATCTGCTTATTAGGCGATGAATGAAAATGCGACAGCGTCTGATTTGTCGGCTGGTGATGCTTCGTCCGTACCATCGAATGTGATTTTGGATGGAACTAGTAACCTCTTATCCGACACACCGACTACTGATTCGACAATGACTGTTAAAACTGATAATGATGATACAAAAGACGAATGTTCAACACTACTGGATGATTCCACACAGTCGACTTATCTTTCTTCGATGTCGTTCGTCAATCTTGTTGAAACAATCTTTATGAAAAAAGAAGATATCAAACCCGTTGAAACCGTCCAAGAAGAAACACCAACGAATGAAGTAGAAAATTCGACAACTATATCGGAAGAGATACCATTCCTAACGGCGACGAATGCACCGGAGAACATAGAAACAACATTCGATTAAGAGTTTTCCTATGTATCAGTGTATCTCCTTGTTTGTTTATTCATGTGCTCTCGTTTTTCTTTCTTTTAATTGTGCGCGTATATGTACGTACAAGAGATTTCAAAAGAGAAAATATATGTAAACATGAAAAATGAAGTTTTCTTCGTGTACGGACACGCATTCGAGAAGAATCTATGATGTTTTTCTGATCACCACGATGATTGCACGAATGACTACCATCATCATCTATCGTCCGCGAATATGATTGGTGGAAGTTATTTATTTTGAGTAACATAGGTGAGGTGAGCATGTTATGTGTCGAATGCTTATAAGATTAGTATACCTGATAAAAAGAAGCGATTTTATTGCTTTTCATTCTATACCCATCATCGTACTACCCTTCAACTTATCAATAGACAATGAGTAAGTTAAAGGTTTCAATCTGATAGAATACAATAGCATCGACGACTTTTTAGCTACAACTAATGCAGAGGATCTGTTTATATGTGGAAAATGTCGTATGAATTTCACAGATTTGAATTTGTTTTTGACGCATCGATCGACATGTATTGGTCAACAAACAGCGAATCTGTTTCAACTACCGAATGATCCACCAACAAATTTACTCGAACGTGAACTCGATGCAATTATTGAAGATGTTTCATTATCGATTCCGTCGAACTCAAATCTGTTTTATCCAACGATGCAACACGAAATTCCTTCTACAAACGAGTTTGACCTCTTATTTTCTCAACCTGTCGAACAAACACCAACAGACACGGAATCTACTCTTAATCCTCTCCTCTCAGCTTCAACTGAATACTGCTCGATAGAAAATTCGCTATCACAAATGAGTCTTCTCGAATGTCCAGTTTGTGACGAACAATTCGATGCACCGGTTGTACTAGAGAATCATGTTTTTGAACATTCAACCTGGATTGATGACAATGAAAATCTCAATTCCAAAGGTATCTCATCATCTCTCGACGATTCGTCGTCCAGTTACACTGATTTGCTCGACGAACAAGCAGCACAACCTTTAGAATGTAAACAGTGTACTGTTACATTTGCTTCCAATGCATCATTAAATATTCACAAGAAAATGAGTAAGAAGATCACAGAGGCTTTTTTCTTGACGCAGATTCTCGATGAATAATTGATCAAACAAATGTAGAAAGATCCTAAATATTTTCCTTATCTTAGCATGTCGTTGTCTCTGGACTGTCGAGGCGATGTACTTTCATTTCACATGATAAAATTTATCTTGTTCGAGTTGGATAATCATATAGGTACATTCTAATTTATTTTCATTGTAGTACATTGTCTCAACCCTGTTTTTCGTTGTTTAAATGATGCATGTGCACAATTATTTGATAAGCCTGTCGACTACATCCTTCACGCACGTATTCATAGTCAAAAACGTCATGTTATCTCTCGACGTTCGTCTCGTAGTAACGCTTATCATCGTCGTCGCAAACGTACCTATCGTTGCCGATTATGCAAACAAGCATTTCAAACGTCCGAGCTATTGCAGTATCATATGCATTACGAAACGCACAAGTTTCTTTGTCAACTATGTCCAGCTGAATTCGAATCGAATAATTCGTATCATAATCATGTTGCTAAACATTCGGATCTCGCACCCTATCGTTGTACGATATGCATTGAAACGTTTCAAAAGCGTAACGATCTTTCTCGACATGTAATGACTGAACATAATGCTGATATACCAAATCAGAAAAGTTGCTCGGCGTGCAAATTAACTTTTAAAACAACGTTTCATCTAAATCGACATAACGTCACGAAACATTCAGATATCAAACCATATAAATGCGAACAAGATGGTTGCGAACAAGCATTTGCGCGGTAAGAAGAAGACCGAAATCGATATCAAGAAGTAAGCGTTTTGCTCTAGGAAGGATAAATTAAAGCAACATGCAGCGAAGCACAGCGCAACAGGCGGCTTATTTCAATGTCATGCATGTGTGAAAACATTCGTACGACCGGAACATTTACGTGATCATGATATCGTGCGACATTCACATCAGTATCCATTTCGGTAAGGGAACTACGTCATTCTCAAGCCTTCTTTTCTTCGCACAAAACAAATTTTTCTTCATTTGCCAATAGCTGTGAATTGTGTCGGAAAGGTTTTCTACATCAAAATCAACTGTATGCTCATCATAAACAACGTCATCAGACTGAAAATCAAAACAACACTGACAAGTCCGATTATCTTCTTCTAGAACAATCTCAAGAAGTATTCGGTAGTAATGATGATTCGATCGACCTATTCCTAGATGGACAATGAATACATGCACATACGTATACATATAGAATTATTGTTGATTTTGTTCGTGCAGAATAATCGTAGTCTTTCAGTAACATATGTTCTGCTGCAGTCGATTATCGGCTCACCATGCAATGGCTCAAAAATAAACGAACGACCGTTCTTCATGAATAGTTTGCTTTTTATAATAAAACGTTTTGATCATACATGAAACCTGATTAGCGAGCGAAATAAGAAGATCAAATGATATTGATGACTGATTATGCCCTCTAGATATCACATGAGATGAACTATATTTGCGTGTTTTTGTTTTCTACGATGCGAGTATGTTTAGTATTCAAAAGTTGTTCATTTTGATGATTACATACAATCAAAAATGCCGGTTTTTTTTATAAGTGTCGCATGAATGACATCTGTGAGTGATACGAAAAACGACAATAATCATCGATAGAATTCAAATCAATATACAATTTTTGATGAACATAAATATATACGATCTTTTTCCTTGTCGTATGTTTAGTTTTGGCGAGAAAAACTCACGGATATTCACTAACTAGATATAAGAAAACTTTGATAAGAAGTGGAATCAAAAGTGAATTTTTCCTTCGACGGAAGACAGTTTGAAAACATGAGGAAAGAGTTAGCGAGGGTGTGGGGTGTGTAGTGTGAAAATAGAAGAGCAGCTTATATCGATCAATGGGTAACCGTGAGTGGCTGACGAACGAGTGACCGTTAAGTGACAGGGTTTTTAGTAAATATAGCTGACCTTTGAAAACTACTTCCTGAAAATGGTTAATTGATTCGATTTATGAAAAAAGAAGAATATTTGTCTTGTATTAATTCTAGTGAAACATATTGCCGTAACCAGAGGGTAGCCAGGACAGGCTCAGTCTGCCCACTGGAATTCGAGTTGCTTCACCATATGCTATATGATGTTTCATACAACAAGAAAGTTTTGTCAAAATAGCCTGAACGGAAAGAAAAAGCAAGGTGTCACCCACAAATTCTGCAAAGATTTTTTCATGACATCCACAGTTGGCTATAGTGATCTTCAAAAGAGCAAAGATGATTACAGAACGACTCTTCGCTATCCTATTATTGATTCGACATTATTGGAGGTGGATGATCGGCTTTCTGATGACAATATTTTTATTCTGAGTGGCACATCTGCGCTGTGTTCGGAGAGTGATAATTTTCTTCACCGCAAATCGATTCGGATCCGCTACACTTTGCCGGCAATTATGTTTTTAATACAGCTTCTTTTGGAGTCCTAGTTCCAAGAAAACGGTGCAAATTCTACTTTGGAAGGCATTTCGTCTGCGCCAATACCCATACGCCCACTCTTACCATCACTTGCACCTTCTCTACACCGTCTCCTATATCTTCGCGCACATTCACATCCACTACATCCCCGAACTCATCAACATTCACAGTCCCATTATCATCTCCACTCAAATCCTAATCAGGAATCACACTCACTTTGGCCCTTGCCCTCACCCTCACACTGATACTCGGGAACAGATTTGAGCGCCAGTAAATTTCCCAGTTACGTGTTTATCTTTCGATTCAATTCAAGAATGTAAACGGAATTTGATAATAGAAATGTTGATTCTAACAGCGTACAAGTACCAAAGGTCATATCTGTACTTATGATAGAAAACAGTTGCGCCGGAAGCAATGCATAATATGCAAATCATCATCGCATTTATACTTGGTTGCTGGTTTCTGGTCTTTCGATTGTTGAATGCTCAACATTCACTCATGACTGGAACAGATTCTACACAAAGAGGAATGTTGTACAAACGACATGTGCTATAAATTAAGGCATGGATCCGATACATTTATTTCGAATCGAACATATCAAAAGAAGAAACAAGAAATGTGAGTAGAATTTGTATTGTCTAAGAGAAAGTCGAGAGCAACGACACGAGTTCATATGAAATTTCCTGTTTCTTCCTACTCATCTGATGCAATGAACGGATGCTATATCGTTTTGTCATTGCATCATCTGCCAGTACCAAAGGATTATCTTTTATGTCGTGAATTTTTTTTCTCATAGACTGAATTACAACGATGACTACAAGCAACAAAACAACTCAATTGAAAGGCATGCATATTTTGAGTATTGGGATAGATTTGATGTCTTCTATTCGTGTTCTTAGCTTCACTTGTGTGTTCACATCGTTTACTACTTGCTTTTCTGGCATTTTTGGGCTTCTTTCTTTGTTATGCTCAACGCAACGGTCTTTCGTAAGGATAATCTTTCGCCTTAACGATCTCTTCTTACGAGTTTTTCTTAGTGTCGGGATTATTTGTATGGTCAATCCTAGCGTAGATAATGATCCAGCAACATACAATAATAATTCTTTGGCCAACCATCGAAATATCCCAGCATCATGCCATCAACATACTGCAGAAAAAAGTCGATTGGTAGAGATAAATTCGAAACTGTATGCGAAAATATTTGAATGTTTTTACCCTAGCCTGGTCAAGTTCTCTTATGGCCAAAATCCACTCGTGGTTTCCTTCTTGGCTCGTTCTATTGGGGCTACGCGTTGACTCAAGTCGCATCGTCAGTAGCTGTGAACCTCTTGGGCCCGAAACGTTTTCTTGCCGTTTTAATCTTTGCTTCATCAATGGCAACAATACTTTTACCAGTTTTTTCAAAACTGCATCCATCGTTAGTGATAGCTTTGCGTATCGTTGCTGGCGCTGCACAGGTATAAAACGAGTGGATTGAAGTGAAAACATCGACTTGAATTCTCTGTATGTGAAGGGTGGTCTGTGGCCCACGATCTTTCGCTTTTGGTCAACATGGGCACCAGCATCAGAACGAACAACTTTGCTTTCATTTCAGAGTTCCGGTATGGCTCTTAAGTCGGGTTGAAATTATCCTTCTATAACCGTTCTCTAGGACCCTCGATGGGCACTATCATTTCTTTGATCATTGGCGGTCTCTTCTGCACATTTTCATTAGATGATGCGATTCCTTTCATTTTTCGACATGGTTGGGCATACTTCTTCTATCTTCTTGGTATGGAGAACTGATTTCTTGTCATGTTTCGACTAACCGAAGTGTTTAGGTGGTCTCGGAATCGTCTGGTCGGTTGTCTGGCTTATTTTTGCTAGTGATACACCAGCAACAAATCGTCATATAACATTGGATGAAAAAGAATATATTCGAGCATGCAAAGCAGAAGAAAAAATTCAAGATGCCAATACCGTACGGACGGTTTCTTCTCTAAAAGCTATATTTTCTTTTCGAATGGATAGAAAATACCATGGAGCGCAATGCTTCGATCTCAAGGTTTCTGGTGTATTCTTATTTCCATGTGTTTCAGCGATTTTGGTCTTTATGGTGAGAGAAATGTTTTTTTCCTTTCTCTCGAATTGTCCATCTCATTCTTTGTTTAGCCGTTTGGACCGTTGTTCCCGAATACATGAGTGAAGTTCTGTTATTCAGCATCGAAGCAAACGGATTTCTTTCCGCATTACCACACATGGCTAGCTTCCTTGTTGTCATGTTAAGCGGTGGCCTCGCAGATTTTATCATTGGCAAAAACTACGTCAAACGTGTCAACGCTCGAAAATTATTTCATGGGATTGGCACTTTTGCACCAGCTATTTGTCTTCTGTTGATATCTTTTCTTGATTGTCAACGTCGATATTTGGCAGTGGCTTTACTAATTATCGGAATAGCATTCAAGTAAAGACAGAGACAGAGATCTATAGCACGTATTTGTGTCATTTCCTAGTGGTTTTATGATGTCCGGCGGATATGTTGTTAATGTTGGAGATTTTAGTGGGGTTCATTCAGGCGTCGTGTTTGGTATTTGCAACACGATTTGTAAGGCTTATACTCTACTGAAAACATCCGATTTCAACACTTCTCTTTTAGCAAGTATCGGAGGATTCGGTGCACCGTATTTAACAAGTATCATTACAAAACATGTATGTAGTGTTTGACGATACAATGCCGATATGTGTGTTTCCTTGTTTAGAAATCAGCTCTAGAATGGAGAGTAGCATTTATGCTATATGCTGCATCGTTTCTTATATCAGCTATCGCATTTATTTTCTTAGCTCGTGGAGAAACGGAACCTTGGGCGTGTGATGATGAACAGGATGAAGCACACGAGGAATTAACGGAGGTCAAACGTAAAACATCTGTTATTTGAGCCGAAGATTTATCAAAGCTAACTCTTTATCTCAATTTTCAGCAATGATTATTTCTTTATTTTTCTCGAGACAAATAAAGAAAAACATGGATCTCTTTCTTTCATTTTGCGTAATCGCATGGGCCAGGTGGTGCTTTATAGCAGTTGTTGCTAGAAAAAAAAAGAAACACATAGTTGTCTGAATCAAACATGTTGTCGTCTTGGTTCACATACGTGCATGTCTTGTAGCAATTGTGCATCATGAATGTTGAATACATACTTTCCGAGCAGTGACTTTGCATCTTTTTACAGTAAGCTGCGCCATGAGAATCGACACATGGTGCTAAAGTAGTCAGAAATTGATTTCAAATAAAGAAATACACCCAATCTCTCTGTTTCTAAAGCTTACGAGCAGGAACGACAGGTTTGCTCAATTCACAAGTATTGATTTCGACACCGGGACAGTTTTGAGTATCAGGATGAGGAAAATGAATATGTTCGCGGCATAAATCATGCATACTTAACAAGCGTTTTTCTAATAAAGTTGTTAACATAGCGCCGACAGCATCACCTAATGCATGTTGAACAGTATCACCTTTGCCAACAGTTGTTAAACCTGAACCTTTATCTAATAACTGGATACAATTATCAACACCGCATAATTTCACTTGCATTGGTCGCCCATAGATAACACGCTGTAAACATAAATAGGAAACGTAGATATCGTTCCTTCGAATCATTTTCGAAACAAACTTCTTCAATATCATTTGGTTTACTGAATAAGTTACCCAAAAGACCAGAAAAGAGATTGAGAACGACAGGAGCGAGAGCGCTGACAATCTTAACACATCAAATGATTATTACGTTGTTACTGATCATCTACTTACAAGACTGGTTGTTACAGGTTCTATACGACCTTCGGCTTCGTTTTCCTAACAAAAAAGAAGAGCAACATCAATCACATTCCCTCCAATCGAATCAATTCAATTTTTTCATAGAGCTCTATCGATAATAAAACTTCAGTTATAAAAATTCATAATCGAAACCTTTTTAGCCAAATATCTGGCCGAATATGACGGATCACCTTGGACTGTTGAACCGGCAAAGAGTGCGACAGCGATAATCAATGATGAATAGATAACTACTCAGCAGAAAATAAGATTATATGCGAACAATTGAATCACTATGCATTACCGGAACACTTCATTCTCGAAGAATTGGAATCTTTTTGTAAAAAGAATATACCGATTCGATATTTCATTTATCTCTCTCTATCTTTGACTTCCCACACACCTTCGAGCAGCTGCATGTTTTTCACATTCATAGAAAGTCGAACTAGATGATGATACGAATATGATGTTTGTCTTTGGAAAAAAAGAAGAAGAAAAAAAAACAAAACAGAATAGACGACAACAAAAGAGACGAAAAGGATAATACACGATTAAATTGGATTATATAAGTTATATACAACAGCAAAGGAAAAAAGAAAACAAACATCGAAGTTAGATCGAATAGTTCGGTCAAGATTAAATAGAAATACCATTGATTATCTGCACAAAAATCATTCATTCCTGAGAAAGATAAAAGAAACATATCGTACGCTTGACTTTGCATTTCATCTGATACGCGGAGCGGATCTGTCTCGATCAATCACCGTTTTACGTAATTTAAAACCACGTTGTATTTCAGCAAGCAACGACGAATGCGGATCGTTCGCAGTGGTGACGGTACTGTTTGTTGCTGTGACGACAGGTGACGGATCGTTTGAAAGAAGAAAGTCAGGCGGTGGAGGTGGAAAATCCTCTGTATGATTGATCTGAACAACTTCCTGAATATATTTCATATGAACTTTTGTACTATTGTCATTGAAATGGTGTGTGTTCATGGAGGGTGTACGACGTACGGGCGGAGCGGGCCTTTCACTTGGATGGACAGCAATTGACATGCCACGACGAAGAGTTTCATTTTTGTGTGATTGTTTCGTTGAATGAATACTTTTCGTTAAATATTCATACACTAGAACGAAGAGAGAAAAGTTAAGTTTTGAATTCGAAGGAAAACTTACTTTCGTCCAATGTTTCATCAGCAGATTCCAACGAGGGTTTGCCGTAATGATTTCCGTTTTGACGTGGACGATCACGCCATACAATTGCACGAGGATCGGGTGGCTAGAAACAAAGATTTTGTCAAATTCGATTTTAAACCGTACAAATCTTTCTCCTACCATATTTTCTGATGGTATCGATCCGTTGCGAAGACGTTGACTGTTATCGTCTATCAAAAGTACAAACAATAACATATGTCATTCGATAAATGTCTCGATGATACTATCTACATGAACGCATGCAACATTTTCTTATCACGAAATCTGATGAACCTGAAGATATTTCATTGAAATGTTCTCATTAACTATGAAAGTAGCGGCATTGTACATTACACTTTTGCTTTATCCCATAGAGATTTCTATTGATAGAGTCGCTTTCTCCTTTTACATTGAACTAGAATAATCTCATCCGAACGAGAGGTGCTATTAATTTTCTCTGACATGTTTCACTCTAGCCCTGATGAATGCAAGTTTCTTGTCTAAAAAGAAAAACAGTTTCTCTTCTGCTAAGTATCAATTTAGAACCAAGGTCCTCGACTACGATTACAGTAAAGTTCGAGCAAGGAACAACGATGATAAAATATAATATGATATGTCAGTTAACCTTGGCTGTTCAATGAACGAGCAATTAATATCTTTAGTTACATACATCGACGAAAGCAATCATTTCTTTTTGTTCTTTATCGAACGGAAAGGGCTCCATTTCACACAAGATTAATAATCATATTTCATACCTAAATTAGGACGATTACTAATTGTACCGTAATAGTCTTGTGGAACCGTCGGTGGTTGGGTAGGTTTGACTCGGCCATTAGTCAGATGGTTAGTTGATGTTCGTTCGAGACTGAGGTCACGTATTCGACAACGACGTGATGGCACCGAATGTTGACGAGACAGCGTGCTATCGTCCGAAATCTAATCGATTTCGAAGATAAACATGCGGACGACGAATAAAATTCAAAAATACGTACCGTCGTTAGACGTGGATGAGTTTCTTCGTAGATCTGCCAGTTTGGTTTTTCGAATAGACTGGGCGGTGGAGGATCGAATGTATGAGCCGTAATAGCCGGTCGACAACTTTTAATGGGCTCTGGTGCGCCAGTCACTGTTGCAGGATGTTTGCCATTTGTTGGAATTTCGGGTCGTTTCGCCCAAGCATTCAACGTGGACGAGACGACCAATAGCGGGCTGGTACTTCCATCGATTTCACGCTAAATTTTTTAAACGATTTCTAGTTTGAATGAAGAAAAGAAATGGGTTTACTTCTGATTCTTCCAAAGGTGATGGTGGACGAGCAAAGAACTGTTCTTGAGACATAAAACCTGAATCTTGAGAGGAGACACTCGATATTCGGCTGACGGCTACATTTGACTAAATAAAAATATATGTGTTTGATAAACATAACGCGTATTTCTTTAATTCATACCGGTATTGACGAGGATCGATTGCCATTTGTATGATAGAACTGGTGTTGAATTGGTATCGATACTTGTGATTGCGGCTGTTGACCTTGTTTATGATTTGGACTATGTGCATGATTCAATGAATTCGATGACGAACTATTGATACTATTTATCGAACAAACACTCGATTTCCGTGAGCTCAAAGAGCTAGGCGACGAAGGTGGAGTCTAAATAACAACATGGGTTATTTCGTCTATTCACGACTTATGGTTTACCTTGAATGCCACGATCGTACTATAATCAATACCTTTCACATCTTTAATAACTTGTTCGCTGGCTGTCGGTAGACATTGAGGATCTGCTGTATGTTTACTCAAACATTGAACAAGATCTTCGATGTGACTCATTTCGGAGGCCATTGAAATTTCAAGGTCCTGTCAAAAGATGAAAGTTAATAGATTCAATTTATGGAAATCGACTGTATTTCAAATCATACCATAACAGGTTTTAAAAGAGTAAATAATGTACAAAAATGACTCCGCTCTTCAATCATTGCCGACCGAAGTGCTTGTTTCTCACGTTCTTCTAACATTCCATAATAATTCGACACTTCTTGTATAGCCGAATTCAATTTATTATGTAAGGCATCATGTTTTGGTACTAGTATAACGATAGTCATAATAATGAGAAGAAAACATTGCAAAGATTCGATTATATAACTTACATTTTCGACATTTTTTCTGTAATTTAACAGTTTCGGATGCTTTCTTTCGTAATTCATTACGTAGTTTTTTATAATCTACATCGAAGCAAACTTTCCGTATGCAATCAAAGAAGAAAAAGAACGTCGGTTGATTACCTTTAAGACCTTTAGCATGATCTTTGTCCAGATTATTTGCTGATTTTTTCCAGTCTTCCACGCATTCGCTCAACGGCTGAACAAATGATTCAACTAGAGCGTTGGTGAAATATTTTAACTTTTGTTCGATCGATTTATGACGTAGAATTAACCGTGTTAAAGCTGTACCAATATCTCGCGTTGCTCCTTTCGTATTCGTCGCTAGATCAGCAATGCGTTGAAATGCATCGAGGAACAGACTAACAGTGACGATAGTCGATCTAAATAATAAATGAAAAACAAATCATAACGATTACGTCAGAAATTATCGAAATTATTTCGTGACATTTCTTCTACTGAAATCANTAAAGTTCCATGAGTAAAATCAGTAAGCAGATGTGTGTATTGTATATAGAAGTGTTAGCAGGAGGGAGAGAAGCGGAAGAGCGTCCTCTTACTCTCTATCTCTGTATTGCCTTTGTTCTATATTCCAGTGATTACATCTTTGTCAATGATGTGAATAGAAAACATAAATAAAAAGCGAGGGAAAAATGATTTCTTTCTAATCAATTCATACGCCGAAGTTCATTAGACATTCAAAGTTTATACAGTTTTGTTATTCAAATACGAACATAATTTTCAAGTTTCTCTCTTCTCTATAAACCTAGACAGGTGAATAATTATTTTCGTGCAAATACGTCATACAATCAATGTAACAAACGAATGGTTGAATGATCAATGAGAGCAAAATAATTGCTTGACTAGCTAGCATCGTTCATATTTCTGCTTGGAAGTCGACCAAGAAACTATGTCCGTGTGCGCTTCAACAATCGATTGTTATCCGCCACAATGACATTATTAGCCTTTGGGGGATATGCCGTGCGCTATACAGTCATTGTAATGCAATGAAAGAAAATGGATCTTTTTTTACGTAATCAAGCAATATATTGTTGAGTCGATGTTACAATGGATATAAGAGAAGAGTATTTGATGTACAAAGTTGTCCGTTTAGACAGAAAATAGATCCGATCAACGGCTGATAGAAAGGTTCTATTTGTAAACGAACAAATTTGAACAGATGGATTGTTATTGTTTGTCGAAGAAAGGAAGTAAATGATCAAACAGATTCAGTCAGAGAAAAACATGGCGACAAAGCATGATTGCGACCATCAAACGTGGCGACGTCGGCGTGATGGCCAATCAACATTTATTAGGCAATTTGCACAACTGCTCATGCTAATTCTTTCCCACGTAGAAACTTTAGAATACAAACTGATATCTTTGATCTCATTTCAAAAGACATGCGACGAAGACGTCAATATTCCTAAACTTTTTACATCGTATAAATCATCGAACTCATTCTAATACATGTTGACAGACGTTATCACTATCCTCACAGATGTATATCATCTTTATTCTACAATATTGAGCTTATTCTTTAATATACAACACTGTCAAAATATGAGAGTTTGCCTACATAATACTTTTATCCCTGTTCTATATTGATTAGCTCATTTATGATGAAGGAAGTGTCGAACGGAACATGTATGGATACGATTTCATGTGGATTAAAACTCCACTAGACAGATGTCCAATCAGTAACGTTGGTTTTTGTCATAAATTGTGTTGCTATATTGATCAGTGCTCGCTTGAATATATCTCTACTACAGCAACTACTGTCCTTCAAGGTTGGCAGATTTGACTCGATTATGGCAAAATACGTAATAGAATAAGTACTACTAATGGACGGTTCGGGATCGTTTTTTCTCGTGCGATAGGATGAAAATGTTTCTTTAAGGATATAGCGCTTTTTGTTCGACATATGAGAGAGAGAGCAATAATTCTTTATCCTTCTAGTTGTGACTTGGGAAAAGATCTACAATCGAATAAAGTTTATCCGCATGTCTACATTCTGATTTTTCTCTTTCCTTTGTTCAAACTTGTGCGTTTCTAAACAACTGTGTAACGATGATTGACAGAATGAGCAATCAATCATTCTAACTTTGTTTGTTATTCTGACTGGTAAGAAATCGACACAAGTTGAAAAACAAGGAATAAATGAAATGTTTCAATTACTATAGTTATGCATCGTATTGAAAATAAAGAACAAAATATCAACTTTACAAGTATCCTACTGATTGAGAATACAAAAAAGAAAGAAAAAAGGAAAAAAAGACAAAGCTGTTCTTCGTTCGTTCGTTCGTTTATCGTTGCTTGGCATCCGAACAAACACAGATTGTCGAGAGAAGTTGCAAGCAACAAACATAACACACCAATTCTTTTTTTTTGTCAATGGCAGCTACAGTAAAACAAGCTTTAACACATGATCAACTTTGGGAAGTTTTAACGGACAAACCGGTTGAATCCTCTACGCCGGAAGTTGTACAGCGTTATCGAAATTACACATCGCCCAATGTCGCACAACCCCGCGTGCACCCCGGACGTGCCTATGATCCAACGCATCGCGAGAAAACACACGGCGATGTCGGCAACATCGGTAACGAGAAAAACGGTGAAATCATCAATCCAAAACCAATTACAAATTTCGAAAACCGCTTGTTTAATCTAAATGAACTTGTCTACGAAAGAAATAGACAAAGACTGAAGCAAGAAAAATTGTTGCCATCGACTGTCGATCGATATAAAACGACATTTGGAATGCCGACAGCGTCGAGTGAGAGAGCAGGTGATATTGTCAATCCAGCGAAATCCCATGCAGAAATCGAATTCGATTACGAACAACCACGAAGCATGTAAACTATACCGCTAAAAAATATCTTCGATTTCATTCTCTGCCATTTTCAGGTACGTCTTTAGTCACAAAGATTACGAACCAGGTGAACAAGTTGATCGTAATTATCAAAATAGTGAATCGATTCGTAGACTGACCCATGGCGTTCCGACACCAGTATATGCTGATGGTCGACATGCTCGTGAAGCATTAATATGGAATCGTTCGCATCATACGACACCAGTTGTTTCGGATATTGTCAATGAATTCGATGAATCGCGTAGTGACAATGCAGTCATACGCACACGTCGTTTTCTTGCCGAGACTGGTTTACCAATCGACCATCGTTTTGGTTTAACGTCTACATCGGATCGTCTATCAGCAGGTGAAATAATTCATCAACGTATGAATGTTCCAGCTGCATTTGATCAAAAATCTCAAGCTGCGATATCAAAATTACGCACTCAGTTATGTTCACTTCATATGCAAACATTCAAAACTCAGTTACAAGCGTTTCAATATTATGATACAAATCAAGACGGTCTTATCTCAGTTCAAGAGTTAACCAATACGATCGGAAGAAATTTTAATCTTCGAGTTTCCGATGGAGTCATCGATGCTCTCATGCAACAATGTGATCAGGATCGTGATGGACGATTGAATTTTCTTGAATTTAGTAACTTTCTCTGCTATCGCACAGGACACGCTAGTGGTCTTGAACAATTCATCGACGAAGAGAAGAAGAGAAACAACACAACAAATTTTATTGGTACAATCAAAGATAATCAAGGTCGACCGATTCTGAACGTCGCTGATCTTATTGAAGGTTCAGATGGAAAATATTATCCACGAAAGCTCGTTTCACAAATTGACGAAATGGTACCCGATGGTTGGAAGACAAGTTACGATAAAATCAACGAAGCACCTTTCCGTCTCGAACCTGTGGTTAAACGTCAATATGGTTTACCATCGCTTCCAGTCAACGATCAGTATGTAATGGGGACGCCAAGCCTTAGAAACCGAGCACCCATTGGAGCGAATACAATCGTCGGTGCTCTGTTATCACCGTCGGTTTGGAGTGATCGTGGTTTAACAGAAGATGATTTATTAATTCCAAGAACTATGGAAGAAATCCGGGATTTATTTGCTAATGCCAACGTCTATGTGTCCGGCGAAGATTTCGTCTACGCTTGGACAACTGCAGCTGCTACGAATCAGTACGGACAAGTCAGTGTCGCAACATTCAAAAAAGCGCTCGATGATAAAAATCGCTCATTGGGAAAGTTTGAAGTTGTCTATGCTTAAATGATGAATTTATTTTTCGATATTTATATAACATTTAGTTTGCTTTTTAAAAACGGAGCCATTTGTCACTCAACCATAACTAAACTATGTAAAGAAAGAAAACGTGTCGTCATTCTCTTAATACTAAAACCTGACATATACGACGGGAATTCTTGTAGGTTGAAATTTATCAACTCTAAAGGATTAATCTCCAAACAGGCACTAACAATAGTTCAAATTCGAGATTGATTAATCAGATATACATAGCAGACAAGATAATTGATTTATATAAGGCAATAAAACACAAAACAAAACTAGAAGATCTAGGATAAAGTTGATCGGAGCATTTTCTCTGCAAATAATCGATATTTATCAAATTTTCTTCTTTTAGTTCCATTATTGTTGATTGATGACGAAGGTAATTCGATTGAATTTGTTGAGCACGCCAGCATCTTTTCCAATGATGCTAATGGATCATCCTTCACATTGATTTCATTTGACACCAATGAATTGGCGGTACTCTGATTACTATTTTCATCGTCACAGTTATTATTTAAATCGGTTTGTGTGCGTGGGCTGAATGTCGCAATCGACGGCGTTTGTTGAATCACGAAATTTTGTAAAAGTGACAGAGCATTTCCAGTCGTCGATGATGATGATGATGACGGCAACGACGACGACGGGAGTTCATCTGCCGCTGCAACACGATCGACTAAATCCGATGTCAGACGTTCAACTTCTCGGTCGATTGATGAACGAGACTTTGGCTGTTCTGATCTAAATCAAAATCTAGTTGAGGTATCTCAATTGCTTTCAACTTACTTTGTTTCGCTTAGTGGACGTTTCTGTAACGTTCGACATTGTTGAATGAAATAATCTCGATTTCGACTGGATTTGCCGTTTCGATGATGCATTTCTTTTAATAGATGTTCTTTGTAAAGATTTTCATTTTCGAAGTACATTCCACATGTTGTACAGTTAAAGCGTATCTGGTGTAGACGCTGCAGATGATCGACGAGATCGACCTCGCGAGCAAACTGTTGTGAACAAACGAGACATGTCGAGCGTGAATTGTACTTTGTTGGCGAATGTTGCTGTTGTTTTGGAGGCGAATGCGAGTACGAAGTCGGTGACGACGGAAGAAGTTGAGTAAAATGATTTGTTTTCATCATATGCGCCGTGAGATCGGGGAGAGTTTCGAATGACAGTGAACAGCGAAGACATTTTAAAATTTGATTAGCGGGGTTCGTATCGCGGGATAACCAGATATCTTGCCCACGCACAAGTTTGGCTACTTCATCATGTGTAGACGATAATTGCGCATGATGATTCGTGATCTTCAGATGGCTGACAAGTTGGGCTACGTTCGAATATCGTTCACCGCATGAACAAGCATACGATTCGTGTTTGCTCGCAGTAGAGTTCTCTCTGAACAGACGAGCAGACAAACTTGTTTGTTGCTGTTGTTTGGCGTTAGTTTTGGATAGTATTAAGGGTGGCGGTATCGATAATGGTTCAGTTTTTGCGTTTTGTTGACAATAAGCATTGAGATTTGCTAAAAATAGGTCGTAGAGTAGAGCAGACGAATTGAATAATACATTTGGTGGATTATAGAGTGAAAATGTCGATGGGTTCGATTGTGCAGCAGAATGAGATGGCTTGACGGATAGATCTAATGGAAATTCATTATCATTATGACGAAGTTTTTTCTTTGTTAGTAATTTGTCCTCATTAACATCGACGCGTTTACGCTTGATGCGTAAATCAACAGGTGCGCTGCTGTTGTCCGTCATTCTATAACAAACGCGAAGTGAATAGCAAAAAGATGGAGGCTTTTCTTTTCTTTTTCCTTTTTTTTACAAATCATTCGTGTGAATGAGTGATGGATGAGTTAATGTCAGAGAGCGCAAGAACAAAAGAAATGCTTACCGCCTTATACATATATGTATATAGATTTGATTGATAGGAATAGACAAATCTATATATTATATTTAATGTGATGCGAAAGAAAAGAATATATATGTATACATCTATGTGTGTAGTGAAGTAACTATCAATCTTAAAAGTTTATGATAGATCTGTGTGTATATGTAAGTGAACTAGCAGAATCTATCGAACGAATACGTCATATTGATTAACTTCGAATGTCAATCAAATGTCAATCATTAAAAAATAGTTGTGTGATGTTGAAAATGTACATGAAAATTGCAAGTGGCTCGACGTGAAGGTTCTAATGCATGATAAGCAAGAAATGTTCCTAGAGCGAACAAAGTTTGTAAGATAGAACGACTAAATATAAAAGAGGTGATTGTTTGATGGATTGATTCGACGACGCGTGGTATGTAGCTATAAAATTTCTGACTGGCAGCGAGCAATCTCATTAGTATATGAAAGTATTACGATCCGACAACGACTGTTGATGCTGACAGGTTGGCTGCCTGTTTTGATCTAAATGTTGATGAAGATAAACGAGCTCGATTTGTCGCGCAATGCACACACACACATATATATATATATATACCCGTCATTCATCTAAATGACAAGTAACAATAGAAGATGACAACGATGATCATCATCTATCTTTCTCAAACTATCGAACAGCCAGATTTGCTGAAAATATAAGTTCTATCATCGATATGATTAGGACGCGGAGAGAAAACTAGATATGAAATGATCAAAATGCAGATTTAAACGATGTATAAGATTGATCATTTGATGACATTCTAGGTCGTCTGACGACTTTCGATGAAATGAAACTCATTTGAAACGTACTATTCGAAGATCTTGCGGCACTTGGAACTTCTCGATGAAAGAAGATCTTATCTCAATGTTCTCTAGTTGCGTCTCTCATCAGATTACCAAATCGAACGAATATGCAATTATATGTGACTAGTGTACGTGGGTACGTGTATATAGAGAAAGAGATTTGATGAATGAGATGTCGTGGAATAAACATTCGAATTGAAGTGTTGTTATTCAAACGGCAACGCTTGATGACAATGTGAAAGATGACTTTTCCAAAAGGAGAAAGAATGAGAAGGAGAGAAAGAGAGAGAGAGAGAAAAAGAAAAAGCGCAAGAGAAGACGGAACATGAATGAGATTGAACGAGAAACGAAGAGAAGTTTTTCTCTTCTTCTTGATTTATGAGCCATCATTACAATTCAGATGCAATAAATCAGACATAACATGCTCACAAACATTAAAGTGTGATCGTTCGACTGCTCAGTTGACACCAGTGAGAAGAATGAACAAAAAGAAAACACGAAGAAGATAGATCACAATAAGTTGAATATTTTCTCATTGTCAGACATAACGATAAATGTCAAAGGTTTGAGATCTATTCTTTCTCCTCGATAGTTGTAAATGATCGAACTGCTTAGTGAATTTCGAGTTTTGTTCGTCTGTCGACGTTATACAAATCCAAATATATGACAACAGGATTTGATTGATGTTGACAGATCGCGCTGCGATTTCTCGTCCTCTCATTTTTTCCCTCTCTCTCTCTCCCGATACGTCTCGTCTTGCTCGTTTACTTGTCAAGTTAATGCAAACTTCATTCAATCAAATCAGTCAAAAAGCAAACCTCCATTCGTCTTTTACATTGATGGGAAACGGATGATCGTGATAAAGACGGACGGATATTCATTCAACGAAAAACAAAGCATCGAAAATATATCTTACCTTGTGAACTGATCGAGCGATGAACATTCACATAGATCCAATAACAAAAAGAACAATTCCTCATTAGATTTGATAAATGACATACGAAATAGTGAAGATTACATAAAGTAACCATTTGTTATATGTCATTCTAATAGTATGACAACAGGTGAAAAGTTAAAAATCTAGTCATCAATCATCTATAATCAAATGTTATGTATGCACGATACGCTCATAAAAATAAAGTCGAACAGGATAAACATTTCGCTACGTTCTCTGTCAGATCCAGCCAAAAGTCTTTCGAATCATCGTGTTATGAAAAGAAAACAGTAAATACCATTTCCATCTATGAAAAGAACATTCCGTATATATTCTTAATATAGTTTTCTTAATATACATCGTCACCGACGCACACATAGACACCGACAAAGATTAGAATTACTAAGTAGACGAATGTATATATAAAAGAAAAAAAATAAAGTGGTCGAAGATGAAAGAGAGAGAGAGAGAAGAAGAAGATTTTGAAGCGTTTTTTGAAACAGTTTTGGTTACGAAAGAGAAGGGAATTCTACTAGATAATTTAACAGAAAGAGAGAGGACGGCGGCGGATAACATAGTATCAAACTCAACATATATTGAGAAGAAAATATATAGCAGTGCAGGACACATTGGACCTGCACACTCACTCACACAGACACACATACACGCATATACATAGATATATAAAGAAATTTGAAAAGAAAAATAAAGTAGAAGGACATATTATATTTGTATTACACACAACATGATTAGAAAGACAAAGGAGTGATTAACATTATTATTAATAAATATAAAGACACACAACCGCAGTGTAACAGAGAGAATTGGCTATACTGACCAGCAGTTTCGCTAATAAAGAATGATTATTGAGAGTAGAGTGAAACACGGCGTTCGAGTAAAGTTTTGATATCCGAACGTTTAACGAATGGACTTATAGACACATCGGGATAAAAGGCGAAATTCCAGATAAAGATTGGGTCACGTGGATCGATATCCCGATTGTCAAACGGTATGGATGTTTGATTATTATTTACATCCATATTTGGGCCATATAATCTCAATATACGATCACCGATAAAGACGTTCAAAGATTGTCGTTTATCATGGAGAGTTTTGCGATAATTTTGTTCATCGTCTTCATCGTCGTCTGAACATGAGACGGGCAATGTGGCAGAAAGAATCGACGGTGAGAGACAGTTCGATCGTTCGGAAGATGAACGACTTGATGGTCGATCCGATTGTGAACAATAATCGCTGGTCGAACAAGCCAACGTGAATGATGACGCATCAGGATTTAAAGTTGAAGATGTGTATTTGTGCGTCTCAACTGTTAAGTAAGGCATGTCATCGTTTTGATTCACAGGAACTGGTGGTGGTAGCTTCTTTGACTGATATCGACAAGAATTCCGTGGCGATTTCGGGCTGATAAGAATTTCATTTTGAGCATATTCGACAATCATGGGATAGCCATTTAATTGTATTCCATTACAAGCATTCAATGCTTGTTGGGCTTCTTCGTTAGTAGAAAAGCGAACGAAACCGTATCTTTCGCGTACTTTCACACATTCGATGATTTGTCCATAGGTATGAAAGATCGACTGTAAATGTGTACTTGTTGTGTGGGTAGCCAGATTACCCACGAATAGTTTACAGGTTGTTTGTTTGGAATGAGAAGGTATATTGATATTTAGTTTTTTTGACGGATTTGAAATTGTTTTCGAAATAAACATGATTGTGGATTAGATTCAGGGTGTGTATGTGTGTATATACGATAAAAAGATGGAAATGAAAGTGGATATGATAGGGAGGCGAGGAGAGAGAATGGAGTGGCTAGCGACGAATTCAAAGAGAGAATAGATATGTCTATATAATAACAGCACGTGTTTTTGTTTTCTTCTTTTGAACGTATGAAAAGCAGTCGTCGAGTTGCGTTATTTCTCTTTTCTCTACTAAAAATCGTAGAGGAAAGACAAATTCGTTTACTTCGTTTGTTTCGTTCATATGCTGTTGTTTATCGTTTCTCACACCAATTTAAACCATTTTGATATGGTAAATTAGAAAGAGTGTTAAATATTTAAGTGTGTGTTTTGTTTGAAACTCGACATCGAACGTGAACTTCAACGATTATGAACGTTGAAGATGCGTTCATCAAAATAGAAAGTTGAAAAGAAACCTGTTGTCTTTGTTTGGAAAGCATTGAATGTAGCGAGAAGAAATTCGTTTCGTTTTGAAAGGCTTTCTATATTGTACTTTTAAAAATGAGAAATCTTTTTTCTTTTCATACGGCTCCATATGCATCTTCGAGCTACTAAATAGCGCAAAACAAACAAACAAACAAAAACAAACAAAAGAGAAAGTACTGTAGAGCAAGATCTTGAACATAACGCGAAGAAAAAAAGAAATCAAGTAACACACACACACACACACGCACACAACAAAATAAAATAAAACGTGAAAAATGAAAATAAAAATTTTTTGGTCAGGTTGTCTATCTATCACACTCTATATCTGGATTTAGCGTATCTACTATGTATATATATATTTATATGGCTAGGAAATGTCGAATTGATAGTGATTATTAAGCCAGTCGGTGTTGTTGTTGTTTAGCGAGAAAAGCCACGGGATCGAAAGGCATCGGCGCTGGTGTTGGATATAATTGAGTGTTCGGCGGTGTGAAATGGTATTGAAGATGGTCGATATTAAATTGCTGAAAATTACTGGCGAACATTGCCAATTTTTGATCAAACAGCGTGGCAACTAATAATGAGATGGGATCATTTGAGTTTGACGGCAACGATGTTGATGACGAGGAAATGCCGGAGGATGACGATGACGGTTGAGGGAGTGAGGGTGGTGGAGTTTGAGGCTGCTCTTTCGGAACAGCTGGTAGTTGAGGTGGAATAGTGGGCATTATACTTGGTGGCGGGGGCGACGATGAAGATGAAGCTGCAGCTGGATGTGGGTGAGAGATCGAACTGGTTGATTGACTGGTCTTATTTCGTTTTCGTGGTTGATACTAATCAAAAGTGGTTTATGTTAATAAAAAATAATTTCCTAAAATTCAAATATTACTTTATACGTTGGATATTGCCGTGCATGTAGATGTTTCAATCGTTCCGATTCCTCCATGTATGGCTGCCGTTCGCGTAGTGACATTCGTTTCCATTTGGCTCCACAGCATCTACAATATGTGTGTATAGTCCATTCAAACTCGAATGTGAATGACAAGATTCGATTTACTTGCTAATATCAGCATTAGGCAAATGTGGTGCAAGTTGAACCATTTTTCGACGCTCAATCTGTGAGAAAACCATGAATGCATTCATTGGCCGTTTGACATGACCTGGACGAACACGTTTCTTCGGTTGTGTTCGTGTTGCATCTGAATAAGGTGTTGGAGTCGATGGGTCAATCAATGCTGAACCAAAGAAAATCGGTGGCGAATCTGTATTCGTATTTGATGATAATAGTTCCAATAACATGTGATAATCATCCGGTCGTAAAGCTCGGCAATTTATCTGTGGCCATGTGACGACAACAGGTGAATTAGCATTCGTCGTGTTGTGGATAGTTAAGTCAGGTGATGACGGTGATGGTAGAAGAGAGGATGAATTCGTCGATACACCGTAGCTATGATCGTGTTGTAGTGGCGAAAACGATGTCGGTGATGATAGAGCGGATGTTGATGTAGATAAATTTCGATGAAAGTCAGCAAATGACGGTGATGAAGACGATGTCGTTATCATTGTTGTTTCATCAAGCAATGATTCATCTTTCGGGAAAATATCAAGAGGATGGTGAGGATCATCAGAAAATAAACTTGTAGTGTCCATTATTGAAGGTAAAACTATGAAAATAGATAAATTTCACAAGTGCGAAGTTCGAGTTTGCATCTACCTGCTTCGGACGGTTGTTCAGTTCTGACTTTGGTAAAGAGTCGATTTGTTGAAACAATTCTCAATGGTCGTCCATTACTGCTATGACTATTATTCTGAGGGTCGATCGACGTCGACATCATTCTTTATGTTTTTCCTTTTCTATCTTTCATTAAACTACGAACCAAAACTGGCTCGTTTCGATGGACCTGATATATTGTTATTCTCTGGATACAACGTCGACAGACAGAAGAAGAATTCGAGAGAAAAGAGAAAAAGAATAACGAAAACTTAAAGTTCAACGTGTATCGTCGTTCTGTCCTATTCGAATAAAATAGTCTAGGAAAGTATCCAATACACGTGGTTTGCTTTGCTTTATATTTAGATAACCGAGATCGTTCTATAGATGTAGTTATGAATATTGTCGAGGAATATTTTTGGCAAGCTGATATGGCTTTTCAAAGTAATCGTCTAAATGAATCATGTCAATATATTTGCCAAGCGATTGAACATCTCGATCAGCCGAAATTAACTTTAGAACAGTTAGAATTGCTTTGGACAGTAATTCCAAGTATGTAGGAAAAGTTTCAAACATATCTGATATTAGGAAAATGTTCTATTTAAGAAATGATTACTCATCATACAAGATCTATTGAACGTCTTGTTCATCATCATCAAAGTATGCCGATTGAAACGGATGAGTGTTTCGATCGTTCAGTCCAAAATTATGTTCGACGATTAGAAGAAGATCAAGCTGATCGCTGTTGGAAATTTATTCATTGTTTTGATGCAAATCTTATTCAAGAGAAAAAAGATATCGATCATATACATCTTCATCGTCTTCAAGCTGATCTTTATCTTCAATTATCTTATGTGTCTCGTCCCTATCAATCTCAACTATGTTATAATAAGCACAAAAGAATTTTACAGGACAATGATTGTATAATAGCTATGTACAAAAATTTATCGATTGAAAATTAGCTGTTTTTTGTGATTTCATTTAAATCTTCAATTAAATTCGAACGACCTGATGCGAGATGATCTGTTATAATTTGTCCATAGAGGTCCCGGTGGAGTAGTTTATATGCCAGTGGTAAAAGTGTCAGAATACGTGAATGAAGTTTGGATGAGCCATATAAGAAGAGATTCAAACCAAATTCTAAACCTTCACCGTAGTCGCATTCGTCATTAGCGAATTGTATACATGTGATCACATGTTGTAAGTCATCTTCAGCTTTTTGACGTTGACCTTCCGATGCGTCATTACAAAATTTATCACAAACTTTCTTAAATTGATCTAATATTAACAGACAGAAAATATTGGAAAAGTAGAGCAGTTTAGGGTGTTTGTCACCTTTAGTAAACGGAACAGGACGATAACCGATATCGTTTTCACATGGCACGACCATGCCCAACGAGTTTAGCAATGTACAATTGACTTTTTTCTTTCGAGCAGTTATTGTTGGTGTGGTTTCATCCAAGGAAAACTTGTGCTTTTTTGCGTAGCTTTCCAAGTCAGAAACGAACGTTTTCAAATCAGATTTGTCACTTGATTTGAGATGGTGACGAGCATATGAGCTGAAACGAAGAAAATGTGACGGTAATTCAGTGACGTTTGATTAGTGACTTACTGAACTGCTGCAAATATGTTATCACCGCAGATTTTGAAATGATTGTTGACACTCGAATCATTCGAAGCTAAGAAGACTGGCAGTTCATCAGGTGAATCTCTAGAGAAAAACGGTATGTTAGCTGACAGAGAAAGAGAGTTGCTAACCGATAATAGCCAATATGAAATTGACTTCTTTTATCCAAAGTTCGAATAACAGTCATAAACTCTGGTGTGTCATAATAATATCGATAGTGTAAATGAATATTAGGTAAGGTTTTGCATGTGTTTAAAGCACCATCGAGAATTTCGAATGGACCGACTAGTTCTAAGTTGAGGAGGTTTGTCAATACTTCCCGAGGATTGGTTTTTTTGAGATCCGAACAGAAATTCCAAAACTCGTGAAGATCACTTGGAAATTTCATTTGGTAAAGATGCCTGAGTAATTTCTCTTCGCTTAATTCTGCTAATTCCATCAGACTTATTGTTGAATTGCTCGATGCTGTTATTTGTTTTGCTGGTGATGCTTCCTTTGTTGATGTTGATGGTTCCGAAACAGATGTTGTCGAGAAATCTTCATCATCGTCCTCCTCCTGCTCTTTTTCCTGTTGGTTAGTTTTTGGATGTTGATAATCTCGTAAATGATCAGGATGCTTTCGATAACAGCTCGCACCGTATTTGCATATAGGACGTTTTGATGTCCCCACTGGTAGAGTAGTTTGAATAAGTTTTATCTTTTTAGTTGTGTTGTACTTCGCTGAAGACTCATCCGTATCTGACAAGCGTTTACGTTCCGTCATCGTTCAGTTTATGACAACTATGATACTACGCACGTTTTCCTGGGTGCTTTTCTATTTGAAATATTATGTAATTTCATTGGGTAGATGAAATTTCATCGTTAGCGACATCTGAATGCACTCGTTTCTCTTTTATTTTCATTTGATAACTTACTAAACAGTGAATGATCTTGCATAGCTGTTTGGCAATGACATATAAAATCGAAAGAAATTAGAATAGATTCAACTAATAGCAATGTCGACTATCGAATTGATACCGTTAGAAAAAGGAAATCGACTTCTGCTTGATGGTACATCTGTAACAACGATTGGTCGTACACCCAATATCGGTTGTTTGGATAAAAAAATCTCTCGTAACCACGCGGAACTACATGTGAAATCCGATGGAACTCTTTGGATAAAACCGATTCATCAAAATCCGACATTCTATAGAACGAAATCTAACCAATTAATTACTTTAACAAAAGACCAAGAATTCGAATTGAATGATAATGATGAAATTGGTCTATTGCCTAATGAATACTTCTATCGCATTTCAATCAAATCAAACGAGCAAGAGCAAGTTAAGGAACCCTCGGTGACACCTAAATCGCCAGCTCAAGAGAAAGAGCCTTCTCCGCCGAAAAGTAATCCCAAAGAAAAATCTCCTGTCAAAGGTCCAAGCGTAGAACCTGAAGGTGGAATTATTCTGCACACAACTCGTGCATTACCCGCATGGATGGCCAATGGTACAACACCAGAACGAAAGAGTGCTAAAGTACCAGGTAAAAATACAAAGACACCAACGCCCACGGCAACCACACCGTCACCCTCGAAACATCGAACGTGTATGTAGCTTTGTTAAGCTATCCGCAAACTAACAGTTTATTTCAGATATTGGACGAAAGAAAGCGGAAGGAGTTGTGTATGATGATCATGATGAGGATGACGACGAGGAACCGTCAAATAACACAGCAACAAGTAATTGAACCTGTTTCCCGGATCTCCTTCATGTTCTTATCGTGGTGTACCATAGGTCAAAGAGCCTCGGTAGCGACTAAGCCTGACAGACGAGAACGATGTCCGTATGGAAAGTTTTGTTATAGAAAAAACCCAATCCACCGGAAGGAAGCCATTCATCCTGGTGATCCTGACTGGAATGACAAAGAAAATGATACTGACGATACCAAACCAGAATGTCCCTACGGAAGCGATTGCTATCGAAAAAATCCTGATCATTTTAATGAATATAGTCATACGAAAAAGCGATCATCTATGACTAATTCCAACCAACGTGCACCGAAAAGAAAAGGTAAAATAAAAACAGCATATCGATCGATTGTATTTCATGAATTTTCAGCTAAAGACGACGACGACGACGATGAAGATGATGACGACGGGTTACCCAATGAATATGATTATAATGATAGTTTTATCGACGATGAAGATCTGGAGGATAGTGCACTGGTTGATCGAGCAGGTAAATATTCAATAGATTTACAATCTTTGCATTTAGTTTTGTATATTTTAGGTGATTCTCAGGGCGCTCCTGACAACGACTGGAAACCACATAGAAAAGCTCGACATTCAGATCATGATGACGAGGATGTCTCTACCGATGCAAGTGAGATTGATTTATTAAAGGAAGAGGCTGCTGAATTCGTACAAGGCACATCCATCAACAACTCACGTTCAGCCAAAAAGAAAGCACGTGTACATATGCCCAAAGATAACGATGATGATGATGGTAGCGATTAATTCTGTGATATCTTTATGTTTGTGTTTACTACATGGAAATCTCGTGATACTTTCGTGTAAATCAGATATAATACTTCGTTTTTTGTGTATCTTTTTGTTCGTGTACTATATCAGCGGAAAATGTGTAATGAATTTTTTGTATTCGATGTTGCATAGTAATTCAATAGAAATGAAAAGTCTCACAGCAGATTCTTAAGCTGTAAACTATCGCGGAAATGCGTTGAATGGATGTATTAGTTTTATATCACGCAAACTTTCGCTTAAAGATACGTAGTTAGTTTTCAAGCGTATGTGAGTGAGAGAGGGCGCCACACATCATCGTGCCGTTTTCAATGATTTAATGACTAAGTCCTTGCACAAAGCTAGTATTTCAAATAAAGTCCATCCTTCTGTTTCGTGTATGATAATCTTCATGAGAGCTTTCGATCGGATGTGTTGAAATCAGATTGACGATACATCGTACCAATCGAATCAAGATGTTCTATTCGTTCGTCCATCATCATATTATCAACGTATGTGCGTATCGATTGATTCATTTTTCATATTTGCCATTTGTACTTCACATTTTGTCAATACCGTTACGAAACTTCAAGCATAAAATGTCGCTTTTCGGTGGAACCAACGCTCAAGCTCGTGCTAAAAATCTCGTCGAATTTAAAGCTGGGAAAATGAACTTACGTGGTAACATGGTCTGTGAAAGAAATTCTGTTCTGTCTATGTTTTTCATCTTTGCGTTGTAGGTCTATCCTGATAAACGAAAAGGGCTCGTTTATTTATATCAGGGAGATGATATGCTTATGCATTTATGTTGGAAAGATCGATCAAGTAACACAGCAGAAGATGATCTAGTTATCTTTCCAGATGAAATCGAATATAAGAAAGTTACACAAAATACCACAGGTACAAATAACTCCTGCTATTGTTGTGCAATGGAGAGAAACACTACTGAGATTTTAGGTCGTGTTTATGTTCTCAAGTGGAAAACGAATTCGCGTAAGTTCTTCTTTTGGATGCAAGAGCCTAAAGATGATCAAGACGAACAATTTTGTAAAAAGATAAACGATTTCGTAAGTAAACAACTTCTAAAATTTTGAATATCAGCTATCGTTTGATTTATCAGCTGAATCGCCCACCAGGGCCTGGTTATAGTGACAGCAGTAGCAGTGGTCATCCATTGCAGCCTCTTATGGAACGCATGGCGGGCGCTGGTGGTGCCGGTGGGCTCGGTCCAAATGATTTATCCAATGTTCTGCGTGGTACGTGATCAAGTTTTGTCAGTTACGTTCGCTTTGATATCAATACTTGATTGTAGGCATGAATCCAAACGATGTTGCTTCGCTATTCTCTGCATTTGGGCGTGGAGGTGCCGGTGCTGGCAGTTTGATGCAAGGACTTCAACGTAGTGCTGGATCTGAAGGAGGCGCCGCTCAACAAAGAACTGCATCATCTCGTACAAATCCTCAAACTGCAACATCGCGTCCGAATACGGCACCGACTGCAACACGTACACCGGCGACACCACCTACTTCTAGCAGTCGAGCTGGCAGCAGTTCATCATCGTCTTCAACACCAGCTGCAACGGCATCTACAACAGTTGCTTCGACTTCATCAAACGAACCGAAACGTAGTGGTATTCAAATGAGTGCTCTGACGAATGCTCTTGTCAATTTGAATAATAGTACAACTGAAGACAGTGCAACAGCATCATCGGAAACATCTCTTTATCCTTCGAACGGTGAAGTATGTTCATGAATACAGTTTTTCCATTCCATAAGTTTCCATTATTGCTTCAGACGCTAATTCCATTGTTAAGCAATAAAGATATCCAAGAAAAAATACGTCCTCATCTACCCGAAACTTATTCAATACCTGGTACGGAAAACGAATTGAAAGAATCAGTTCAATCGCCGGAATACCGTCAACTCACTGATGCATTTAGGTATGTGGGAGAGAACAAATGATCGTTAAGTTCTTTTTCTCATTCCTATTTAGTACTGCTTTTCGCTCAGGCGAATTGAAATCTATCCTTTCTCAACTTAATCTTTCCGAACAAGTAACCAATGCAGTTAATCAAGGTGATTGGCAAGTTTTCATCCAAGCCTTGGCTAAACATTATAAAAATGAGAAGAATCCGTCCAACAATACAATGGATACAAGTTAAAATAGTCATCACTTTCTTCTTAGTTTCAGAACAAATAGAAACCGAAAATATTCAACTAACCATACCGACATTTCTATTTATTTTGAAATTTTCTTTCTCCCTTCTTTTCTAATGATTAATAATGTGTGTCTTTTTTTCAATCTCGAATATAAACAATATGATTCGAAGCAGCACAATTGACTTTACAAACCGTCAATTTCAATCAGCAAATAACGTAATCACAATGTTATCAGCTATATATTTGCAAATGGCTATCGAATCCACACATGCTATGCGTGTGTTTTTTTCTCTCATGGAACGTCACAAGAATTTATCGCGGAGGAAGGAAAAGTCTATTTCTTTTTCTTCTTCTGGTTCGTCTGGAACTTAACCAGAGGAAAAAATTCCTCTCATCCTGTCGATAAAGAAAAACGACGAAGAACGGGGAGAGAGAAAGAAAAGCTAGACGACGAAGTAGAAAAAAAATAACAGATCTTCATTCACTCCGATCAGTAGTGTAGTTGAGTGTATGTGAATCGAGGCAGGCGAGAATCACCCCATATTTATATATGCATTTGGTCAATGCGCTTTTTCTTCCCTTTTCTTCGTTCTCGATAGGAAGAGAAGAACAGCTGATTATGGTCTGATGTTTAAAAACACGTTACATGTTCTCTCTTCTCGTTTAGCACACCATTATTCGATGTTGAGTATTATTTGTTCACAATGATCTTGGATATTCGTAAGCTAGGCAACGGCCCGTGTCCTTCTCGACCTGTGCATCAGCATGCACATTTCTGTGTCCGAGCATTTCATCTTTTGCTAACATATCCAGTTTACTCTTTGTTCTTTTTACTTATCATCTATCTTCAACTTATGGATCTGATACTTTATGTCAAAATACGGTCAAGAGGACCATTAGATTTCGATGCAACGATCGCAAACAAAACCAATTCAGATCTCATCAATCAAAATTCGAATTCGATTCAAATCTTCAATTCACTACCAGTGAAAAAAATTATGGTTGGCCAAACGGTAAGCCATTATTTGACTTGTATTCGGTTGTCAGTGTAATAGAAAAGAAGGTATCATGTTCGATACGTTTAAGCCGTCGATGCAGAAGGTAGTCATCGTTTCGAAAAGCCAAATCTTTACAGCAGACGACAAATTTTGTTATAACACAAGTTGTCCGCATTGTTGTTGGTGTTCTAGACTCAATTTATCCGCGAACCATTGGCTGAATGTCTCGAATCAAAACTGTTTTTCACATATTATTTTCCAATGATTTCAGCCAACGCTGTTTCATTTTTCCACTGCTTTCTTTCAATAATCTCAATCAAATTCTTCTCAAGCGAATCTTTATTTCGACGACAAATCGGTGTTGTAATCTTTCAAATTCGTAGTTTTCTCGATTGCCTCGATGGTGTCGTTTTTCGTGCACACATGAAAAACCAACGATATAAATCTTACTATGGTGATATAGGATATTATGTCGATGCATTGAGTGATGTCCTAGGTGGCATATGTCTTATCGTTGGTTGTTTGCTTTACTTTTTCAAACAACGACCAGCTATTCGGTCAAAATCACGACAACTGTTACCAGCATCAACGCGATCCAGTCCGACACTCGATATTGGATCGGAAGAATCCGAATTGATGATCTTAAATCTCGAAGATGAACAAAAAGAAATGAATAATATTACATTCGAATCTAAAGCCAAAATAGTGCTTGTATTAAGTATTTTCTCCCTACGATATTCCTTGTCTGCCCTGTTTTGGGATCGGTCTGTACGATTTTACGAAGATCTACTTGATTCGTATACAAAAAAACCTCAACAACAAGTTAGAAATGAATTCATTTCATCACTTGATGTTCATCTTTTCAATATTTAGGCTCTGCAGTTAGCTCTGCTCCATTCTCCATTGACGATCCTGATATTTTACCTATGGCGGTATTTAAGCGCGATAAGCATGCAAGATTTTCTTTTATTCGCGATATTTTTCGATAGAACCTGGGTATGACCTCTTGTTTCATCCGAGCTGTGCTTGATTTTCTATTATGGATTCTATTTTTAGGAGTTCATTCAAAAAACAAATCTGATCGGTTGGATATGTTTAATTTCTGCGACATTTCTCACTGAACTGCATATTGACCAAATACAATCGTTATTTTCTATCGTTTGAACTCGTTTTTTACGCGTATTAGTTGATCATCAATAGCTGACTTGTCTTTTTCTCGTTTGTGTACATAAGATATACGAGCTGATGTGAAATAAACGTGACGGAGCATATGTGTTGTAGTTTTAGATCAGTTTAATTCTCATGGAAAATCAGGACTTGACTTTCTGGAAAAATTACCAGACAGCTATGACATGGATCAAAGAAAATCAGACGACGGAGCCAAGCGGAGAGCAAGAAGATCAAGTGAATAACGATGACGAATTGGAATTTATGATTGATGATGATTTGCTCGACTTTTATCGCCTTTCACGTGATCATAAACTGGACCGGAGTATGTCAAGTGATCTGCTCTTGTAGAAACAAACCTGTACACTTTTTTGTGTAGAAAATCGGAGAACTCAAGAGAAGAATGAGGCTGAACAAATCGATCTGATTCCTGGTGAACAAAGTACGTTTTAGAAGATCGAATTTCACTTTCTACTCTGTTGATTCTAGTGCGTCCAAATGCTCAGTCGATCAGTAAACTTCCTCCAATTAATCGCGCCAAGCTACGTCAACTAGAACTTGAATGGCTATACGGTTCAAGCAATTCTTCGAAAATTCACGCACGTGAAACTCAACTCCAGATGGAGTTCGATCGAATATTTGATCAAAAACAACCATCGTATTTTCCAAGTTTACCTAACCGTCTACAATTAAATCCACATGTTCATGGACAACGCACTATATTTACAACTGTTCCTATACTTGACACAGAGCCTTAAAAATATATAATTGAACTGATTGTAACTTGTTCTATCGTTTTTATGCGTTCATTAAAAATTGAACATACATGTAGTTTATCTCCTAGCGGAGCAGTTCTGCTCATTGGTACCATTCGTGAACGAATCGTAACGCTTGTGTACAAGAGACAACAAAATTACAGTTCCTTATTGATGCCAAATATTTGTCGAGCGCATAAATTATTGATGACTTAAACTTTTATCTATACGCTTAAAAGATAAGTTCTGAAAGCTAGTTGCACATGTCAAGTATGGTCAATGATTCAACCTTGATATCCATTCTTCATCGTTTATTATATTTTTGACTTCTATCTCGAAAGATATACGAAATGTGACAGAGCAGTATCAGGTGATAAGACACGTCTTTCAGCGTGATGATGATTATGCGTGAGTTTTTCGACTACCCTTAGTATTTCTCCTTTGGAAAGAATGATATCCCTCTATCATAGGTAAAATAAACATACACTCGATAAGTACGTACTAATCTTGTAAAGTCAACAACGGATATAAATAATTTAATTGATAGGAGCAAAATGTTTTGGTTAATCAAGTATTATGTTTATTTTTATAAGTTTATAATTGATCAAAGATGTGCTTGAGATCATTTTCTTGTTGGGATAAAAATCTGTAGCGAAGGAGGATAGATCGAACGTTTTGCTAAAGGCGTTATTTCTGGCTGATTGAAAGTTTTACATCGTATGTAATCCTTTGTTTATTTAGATTGATTTGACCAAATAAAACAACAATGGACAACGATGAGAATACGCAGGCCGATGAATCAATTCCTGGTTTGTGCTATACTCATCAAAAGAGTATATTCATTTTTCCATTTAGCAGACAAACCGGAAATAACTTCACAAATTTCAAGCGAATCCCATTCATCATCTGACTTTGTAGCTGTCGAGAAAACTGATCTGGATGCAGACCTCGTAAGTCTCATTTTTTTGCCGGCTGGTTGGCTGCTTTTGTTAATTGCTTGTATTCAATGACATGTAACAAATGAGAGTCGATTATTAATCTACATAACTCATACTTTATGCACACACACACATATTCGGCATGAAAATTTTCGAATGGAAAAGAAACAAAACTAATCGATGTCAGATATCCATGTTAATGAATGAGACGAAAACACGCGAATGACTAAGAAAAATAAAAACAGTGCTTTTATTACACAGATAAATATATCAATATCCATCTGTCATATTCGTTCGTTTGAGAATCAAAATGTCCATTTGTTTCGATGATGCCACAACGTGGATATCGATTACACGTGCAAATCTGTCGTCTGCCATTTGGCCAACATTTACTCTTCTGATTCGATTACCCCCGAGCAAGCATATCGATGCATTAGTTGTGAACGAAAGTATATTTGGGGAACAATGAGAGAATATCTATCGACATTCTGATTACACTCATACATTTCCTTTGTCCTTTTTCTTCGTCGTTTGCCTTCGCTTGTAAATATGTCACATACGTATAATGGAAGTCAAAGAAAAAGAATTGTTGCCTCAGTACTATGAATGAATGAAGGACAGTTTTGAGTCGTAAGAGTGGTGTATATGAAAAAACGTTAGAACAAGGGAAGAAGGATAAGAGAAAAAGGGTGTCTTTGACGCTTTTTATTGCTGCTGCTGCTGCTGCTGCTGTTCTTTCTCCATTCTCCTAGCTTAGTTGCTTATTAGTCGCTCGCTTTTCTTTCTTGTTTCAGACTCATCACCATCTTTTTTTTTCGGTCGGTCTTATTCAGCTACTAGCAACTCTACAGCATATATTTCTCCCTCATCTTCTTCTTTTTTCATTCTCTTCTCTGTGTTCTTTCTTTCTTTCTTCATTGCTATCCGTGTTCTTTGCCTTTTTTTTCGCATCGAACGCAAGAAAAATGTTCAACTAACCAATATGGCATCTGATGTTGAAGATTCAACTATTTCCTATGATAATTTACCCTCAATATTCGACGCCGACGCATCCTCCTCGCTTGCAGAACACGCTTATGATACGGTGATCACCGATGAGCTTAAAGATAAGTCATATCAACCAATGTTTGGCTCGCTTTTATTTACCGAATCGGATCCACTTAATCGAGCGGCATTTGTTGTCTCCACTACTTCGTCAATCGAAGTAGTTCGTACTCCACAAGAACAAACAGATACTTCAATTGATGAACATGATAGTTCAGGAAACATGCAACTAGCATTACCTTTGGCTAGAGCAGAAGACTTCGATGATGATGCCAATGAAGATGACTTCGACGGTATACCAGTGCGACACTTTTCGAATACGATAAACAAGAAACAGAACGGTGATAGTGATTCACTACTCAATCATGCTGAACATAATCATTTTTTGAATGAATTCATTCATTCGATGGAAAATGATATCGAAGACGAGACATATTTAAATGGCTTTAGTGATGAACAACATGATACAACTGCTGTTGTACCGTCTTTATTTAAAAATATTCCTGATATTGATGATCCTAATCAACCAGAAGAAGACGATGATGACAGAAATGACGATGCTCGAGCTCCGTTTGATCAAATGGACATGTTCGATCAATCAGATTCGATATGTTCATCATCACCTGATTCACTCTTATCTTCCTCACATTTACAAGACGAAGAAGAGGAGAATGTTGATGTCGACGATGAAGTTGCGCAATGGAATGATGATCTTATTCTACATACGACTTCATCAAATACCAATGTACAACCACCACGAATCAATTCTCCATTAATTTTAAATATCAATCCATTGGATCAAGTGGATTTTATTGATTCATCACGTAGTCAGTCTCAATGTTCAAACATGTCGTCACAATTAGGTTTTGGCTATGCTGATCAAGCTCGGACATTTATGAGTGATGATGAATTAGAAACATCATCGGCGAGTGATGATGATGATGATGAACATAACAATGCAGACGAACATGTGATGAATTTCGATTGTGATACTTTCGAACGTGATGACAAGGAAGACATATGTTTAGAAGTCAATCTTGACGACCATCGTTCGTCCTCTTCAACCAGTAAAAGTAATAGTATACGTTCTTCATCTCCAATTCCCGATGAAACACCTATTATCGATATGGATGAAGAAACTAATGAAGAAAAACCCATACAAGTAGCACCTATAGCTGCACTTGACGACGAAGAGGATGTGGAAAACGATGTATATGTACCCATGACTAAATTTCAAAATCTTGCCGAACTACAAGCAAATCATGATCGGAATGACCTTATTCATGAAATAGTTACGATGAGACATTTACTAAATGAAAATGAACAGGATGATGAATTTCTCGCTGTGATGCACAATCCGACAATGTTCGAAGAAATTATATATGACGATAATAATCAAGACGGCAGTAACAAGGTAATGATTTGTTAACATAAAGAGAACATTTTTTTTTCTTTGCTTCGATGTACTTAGACAATGCCATCAGCTGACATCATCTTGGAGTAGAATACAGCAAAGAAGCGAGAGAGAGGGAGAGAAATAGAAAGAAAAAGAAAAATTATGCAATTGTGAATAGATAAAAGCTGTCATCATTATCTATTTATATAAGTTAACTAAGCACAAAGACAAAAGGGGGGAAAAGAACAAATCAATTTATCTTTCCTTGTTTTCTATAGAAATCGGACTTAATCAAGCAAACAAATTCTGCTCGTAATAGTACCTTCCGGCCATCATTGCAGCTGTCGATTGATAATAAAATTGAAGAAGAAAAAGCAGCCGACCATCTTCAAACTCTACACCGGAGATATTTATCATTGGAGTCGAATGACGGAGAGAATCCTGTTTCTCCCTCACCATCGTCTCAATATCTAAGGAAAACAACAACACAAACACCTCCAGTAAACAATTCATCTCCTACAGCTGTCAACCACCTTGCCACTCTAGGGGAGAACGAGGACGACGACGACGAAGACGACTACGACGGAAAAGAAGACGCACGCAGAGACGCCAAAAAAGACGCTACTTCTGACACATATCAGAGAAAACAAAAGAAGCAATGTTTGCCCTACCAAGAGGCAAACACTTCCGATATTGATGTAAAACAATTTGCATATCAAGAGAAATACTATCCTATGCTGAATATGAGTATGGACTCCGAGCAAGACGATGATGACGACGATTTGGAATTATTACAAACGCTCTCTCAATTTCACGGGATTGTTAATCCTCCTCAAACTACGAGAGAAAATCATCAGTCGCCATTGGATTCTCAGCATGTGCAAGAAACGCAAGATCTACCTGACTTTCCGCACCGTGACAGAAATGAAGCGGATTTCTTAACGCAGACAAGCTCCAATAGTAGTCAAATAAGACATTCATCGCCCTCTGTCATTGATGTGTTAGCAAAAACCGACACCGAACAGGAAGAAAGGGCCGAGAAAAAAAATACTATTTTTTATAAAAATCTTTACCATAATGAAGGAGGTAATGGTAAGTTAAAAAAAACGGAGAAAAATATGCGAGAAAGCAAAGAACACAAAAAAATATCAACTACCTTTTTTCTGTTTTTTTAGTAGCGTCAACGTCTTCTTTTTTACTTAATGATGATTCACAGTCTCCTGTCGTTCTCGTCGACCCTGATACATCCTCGTCATTGCCTAACTTATTATCATCATCAAACGAAATAAATCATTCACCATTGTTCACAACGTACGCCATCACCGACGATTCGCAAATGTCATCGACAAATTCAAACACGAATCATTTACCTAAGAATGATCTTCTCGATGAGACAACAAACGATCTATTTGATCCATTTGCTCCGACGGTCATATCACCACCAATAACAACAACGCCGTCGAAAACGTCTGGAATGCTTGACGACATTCTGTTCGATTCGAAAGAACCCGATGGCTTACAGTCGCCCTATTCTCCCAATCAACCGTTTGCAAATTACAACTTCGATGATCTATGGAATCAATCGATGTCACATATAGCATCATCGAATACGAATCAAACACAATCAAATATCGATTTTGATCCGAATACATTCTCGTGGAATGATCTGATAAAGAACACTGCCTTAACAGATCCATCGACTCCGAAAACAAATGTACTCTGGGATTCAATTCCTAATGGAGAAACAGAAGAAAATGATTTAAAACAATATTTAGATTGGATTCTTAGTCATTTGGATAGCAATGAACCTCAAATTGAATTCACTTCGATACATAATCTTGAAAGTATTATTCAAGATATGCGTATGTGTGCAGTACCGTTTGATCCAATACCTTCGCCTCCATTACATGTCGATCATAGCGTTACCAATCCCATGATTAATGCAACCCATCATGAATTATTTCCTATTAATGAATTAGAACAACCTAACATAAATCAAGGTCCATCATCAATGACATTATACGAAGGAGATGAACGAGAAGAAATAACACGACCGGAAGAGAGCACACTCACTCCAGCTGTTGAAAGTCTCGTATCAAATACTTTGCAAAGAGCTCTAGCTGAAGCTGATGAACCAAATCAACATGTGGAACATTTGATCGATCAAATATTAGGACAGGCAATATTTGAAGTGCATACGGAAGATACGACTCCAGTAGATAAAACTTTACCAACGGAAAATCTTGCCACTATTATCAGTTGGCATGATCAAACGAAAGCAACGAATAAACAAGTGCCGGATCCATTCGATCAGAAATTTGATAGTGTTTGGAGTCGACATTTCGAAGCGCCAGATGATACAACGAATGAGAATCTATTTGACAATGAAACTGAAGCTGAAGTTGATCCATGGTCGGCAACACCAACGAATAAGAACGAAGATCCAATCGTGCTCTTTTCGAAAACAATCGATGAAACAGATTTATTTTCTCCAACGTATAATTCAATTCAAAATGTTCAACGAGAAATCGAAGATGATGATACAAGCACATTTAGTGACTACAATCTACCATCGATTTTATCGAGTTCGGCTAAAGTAGCTGCTATCAGTAATGATCTGTTGAAATACACGTTAACTGCGTCTGTCAACGACGACAGTACAGATGACAATTCAACGTTCGATGATTCACTGCCTTTTCGAAAGGTAATCAAGTTTATTTTGACTAATCTCAATGTTACTCATGCCTTTGTTTCTCATCAGTTATTGAAGTAGCGAAGTAAATTGATTACATACGTATTGCTCGATTACCTTTTAGCTAATTCGTATTTTATCGCTGATTTTGATAATTTGTTTTTTTCTACTTGAATAATTACTATACAAACATATTTGTAGAATGAATCGACAGCAACCGCGAACGTAACAGATGTAGAAGTCAAGGAAGAACCCAATGATTCAGAAGAAATTACAGTTAGTAACTTTCTTTCACATGAATTCATTGCCCGAGAACGAACTGGTTATTTCGTTTTGTTCTAGTTTCGAGAACTCAACGCTCAAGAAACACTCTTCGATAACAATTCACGTTTATCGCACTTCGAAGCTTTTGCAAGCGATCGACCTCTTCATTCATCTGATCAGGATTCGAAATTCGCTAATATAATCAGTCAATTCGACGATGATTTCGATCGACTGACTGCATCGCAGCAGCAGCAGCAACCTGTTGATGACGATGCACCATGGGTATCCGTCGATAAACCACCTGAACCAGTTCAATCGAGCACTGTCGAGGAGAACGAACCGTGGGAACTCGAGGATCATCACAATGAAAATTTAACACCTGTACCAACAACGGTGCGATTCTCTGCATTCAATGATCATGAATCTGCTTCGACTGAAAAAGTTAATCCAAATCAAAACTTCTTTTCTGATTCATTTAATCCACCAACAATTAAAGAAGAACATGCAAATGAGGAAACTGTCGTTCAGCCTGGTCCGAAAACAGTACACCTTGACGACCAAGTACAAACTAAGCGTAGTCCGACACCGTCCACAGATGCTTTCGACGAAACAAAAATATCCGCGAAAGAAGATCCAGATGACATTGATATTGACGATATTAGTCCAAGCTTTCACAACGAGCCCAATTATGCGTTTGTTTCTAGAACACATGCAACGGTAGGCGGAGAAAATTATGATCTTGATCTATCAGACAGAAATCTGGTTTTTATTTTTAGGATCAAGCCATATCATCATCGTCCGACAACGAAAATGCATCTTCAACGACGAAAACTCAAATACGTAAGTACAAATAGAGAAATCAAACTTCCCCCTCGAAAGCACTAGAAGATATTTCTATTTATTAGATCCTTCAGATGACAACATTCCATTAAAATCCGCAGTTATTTTACCGAATACAGATGGACAACATAAAATAAATTCACGTACAGAAGCAGAAATAACTCCGACTATTCCAGTAACAACAACTGACACACAAACAGGAAAGCCACTTGACTCAGGTATGTTGGTATTTCCGATTCGAATTAGCTACAGAGACTTGCTGTCGAGTGTGTTGTTGTTTGTGAGTTGGGGGAGAAGATGCGTGTTTATTATTATAGTTCGCAATGATATCATGATAAGTTGAATCATATGGAACTTGTAGATCGACCGTCTCCGATTTGATTAAAGATACAGGTTGAACAACGGTTGTTTTTCGCCGTTGTTGAACAGCTGGAGGCATTGCTATAAGAACAGGTAGATTGTCTTTTCGCGGAGCAGCGATTGGCATATGAAGTTTTTGTTTCTTGTGTCGCTCATCAATTAGAATTTTCAGTTCATAGATTTTCTTTCGAATTAGTTCATCTTTCAAATCATTAACATTTAAAGAGCGACAGAGTTGTTCGAGATCAATTATCGGAATGGGTTCCTGTTGTTGTTGTTGTTGTTGTTGTTGTTGTTGTTGCTGCTGTTGCTGTTGCTGTTGCTGTTGAGTCGGCTTTGATGGATGTTTTTGAACAGGTGAATCTGATTTTTGACTTTTAGCCTAAACAAAAAATAAGAACATACAAAAAACGAGAGATATTATTTCCCCTTCTTGATTACTGTCGTTGATATATTCGATGGTTTAACTGCTTGTTTGGATTCTTCTTTGGTATCGAGATAATCGAGATATTCGAAGAGTTTCTTATCTTCACTGATATTCGTCATTAAACCTGTGGGTCGGATAACTGATGGTATTAGTCCTGGTGGTGGTGTTTTGATAACTTTCTCAACGACTTTTGTGCCCGGAATATCCTCACTAGTTTTACGTACTTTACTTTCATCCTTTTTCTCGACATACCAATTCTTCGTTTTATTAACATTTTCAGCCGATCTAGTGGGAATAGTTGTTAAAGATTTGTTGATCATATCGGCTAGAGTTAGATTTGTTGATGGTGTCTCTCTTGCTGGTGTGTTGATTTCATTGAAAAGTACACTTTCTACTTCTTCATGTTCATCTTCATCGAAAATACTTGAAACTTCATCTGCATCAACCTTTTCATTTGCTATTTGCGGATCCGAGGGAGTTTTTTCAATACGTACATCGATTTGCTTTCCTATTTGTGCTGCATCGGGTTGTTTAACAGATATGTTAATCATATAGGTTTCTTCAAACATACAACGAGATTTACTTTTAACATCGTCTGTCACTGTCGTAGTCGAAATGGTTTTGCTTTCTTCTTTGATACATATTGTCTTATCGGAATTGGGCTCGACTTGCGCTATATGAACATTTCCTCGTTGCACATCGTATGAACCATGCAAGAAGAATTTGAGTAATTCATCTTCACTTCGGACTTTTGTCGTCTCCAGTTTTGATTTTCGAATCGAAGGCGTAGGTTTATGATAATATGTAGGAATAGCAAGAATACTACTGGCCATTAGATTGCAAACAGATGTATGTTACGTTTGACCATAGAGAAAAATGTTGAAAATGGAAAGAAAGAAAGGCGCATATTTGAATGAATAGTCATGGTCAATACAAACGATTGCAAGTAGTTTCATCGTATATGTATGTATATATATATATATACATCTACATGTACACGCACATAAATGTGATGAAACGAAAAACCTTGACCGCTAACTGTTCATCTTTCTTTCTTTTTACTATTATTACGTAGTTGACATGCATGCTTGACGTTCGCATAAACGGTACGTTCGTAATGTGAAAGAAAATTTGAATATGATTTAGTTTTAATGGCTATGCTGTCTGTTCCTTTTAAAACGAAGAAAAAACTGACTTTTGAGAAATTAATTAACATGGTACAAGGAATATGGTACTGAACGTACGGAGTGAAAGTCGAGAACATCTTCGAGCGCAACATTTGAAACATTTGCTGCTCGTGATCTGGCCAGTAACATGAAAGGATCATATTCAATTTGTTCAGCGTCGAATGAGTTGTTCGTGTCGAAAAAGTCAACGAGACGATTTCTTGTGTGTGTTGATGGCAATGTTGACGTGTCTATTGATTCGTGTTTAGCTACTGCACCACTCCGTCGTTTATCTCGTTTTTCATTAACAACATCTACCATTGTTGTCGGATATGTTGATATTGGTGCGAGTAATGCTGTTATTGGACTTGTACTGAGAGCATCTCGACGAATAACTAAATTGGCGAGTGTTGCTGTGGAGGACGAAAGTGGCGATTGTTCACGTCGTGATAAGATCGACCGCATAAATCTTGACGCTAATGGCGAATCATGAGTCGGTCTGGGAGCAGTTATCGATAGTGCATTCGGCGGTTTACCTTGAATGATTCGTTGCAGTTCTGTTGTTGACACAGGAGTATAGGAAAGAGTTGGTCGGCCGCCTTGATGGAAAATAGATGATGAACGGCGATAATCCAGTGACTTTTGTCGACGAAAACAATTTGTTTCAATCTGATGTAAGATCAATCGTACTATAGCAATTAATAGAAGGCATAGAACAATAGGTGATGTTCCGATCATAACAGCGTATAATGTTCGACGTACACATTGACGCGAGCAAGATTCCATTACCATCGATAGCCAATACGCGTACTTTCTTAATAGTATGATTATTAATCATTCAGGACAAAATCGTTTTTTGCTTAACTTTCCTTTTATTCTCTGTTTCTTTCTTTTCACCGAAATATACATGCATATATACAATGGAGATTTCTATGAATTGACAAACTGTTAGATCGTCCTAACGAAGTGTTGAAAACATAGAGAGAGAAAAGGCAATAATGGTAATAATAATAATAATAATAATAAATATAATAATAATAATAACAACAACAACAACAACAAAAAACATATTAGAAAGAGAAATAGAATTGCAGCTGAGCTGATAATTTCTACATCGACACACACAAATCGAGCTCTAGCTGCAACTGAGAAACAGAATTAGGTTTTAGCACGCGATATTCTTCCTCGTCGTTATTCCGCTTTCCAGTCGATGACATTCTCATTGATGGATAATAAATCGATGTATATTTGCTATGCATGATAACTCAGACCACTTCAGGAGTCGACTGCTGGTCAGAATCATCGATTGACGGATTCGAAACAATTAGACATTGCTCCGAACATCGAACAATTTCTAATTGTTTCTTCAGTTTCCAATTTGCATAAAATCGCGAAACGTGAATGCATGCACTTAAACTAATATATAGAACGATTGCGATAACTAACGGTGTAAAACCAAGCAGTAACGTTTTTTTCAACGTTGCGCTGTTATCATCACTCATATCAGTCTGTTCGCCATTACCTAATCTTCTCTAGAATAGAAGAAGAAAAACAAAACATAACACAGCCGGAGATGGTTGAACCATTGTGTTGTACTCTACCTCGTTGGTATCCATATTCGATGAGCTGAGGAAAATGGTACTGATAAAAGGAGATTTGCTTTTTCAATCAGATTTTATATATGTGTGCGTGTCTTTGTCAGTTCAAATTAGTGCATCGCTACTTAATCATAGGAAGAACATGGTGGTTCTCTTCAAAAGGACATGTTAGAAGAATGAGTATAGATCTCTACTCCTATGCTTTCTCTTTCATTCGTTCATAAACATAGAGCTCTTCATGTGATGCCGTAGGGTATTGCAGAGTGTTGAGGGAAGGAAAAGAGCGGCCGACAAACAATCAAGTGGTGTAGAAACCGAAAGGAATAGAAAGACAGAGATAGATGAAACCAAGAAACAGGCAAGAAGAATATGTTCTTAATCAACTCTACCGAGAAGAGGAGAAGAAGAACAACTCATTCTGCACAGTGTAAATGAAATTAGTCCGTGCGTGTGCGCAAGCTTCAAATAAACAGAAAGAGGAAAAATGAAAGAATCATTTCTTGAATACATAGAGACTATTTCAGGAAACTATGTTTCTTCATTTCCGTTCATTTGCTCATCAGTATTTTCTAATAGAAAACTAACATATTCGTATTCGATGATGCAATCAAAGCAATTTGCTCTTTTTTTTTCAAGCTCTACTTCGTTCAACTTCGAGAGACGAGAGCAACGTCGAAGCTGAAGATGTAATTGCATGTGTAATCGATAATACGCCTATTAATATTGATGCCAAAACGATTACACCATTCAAATGTGTGATCAGCTCAGCAGGAACGTTACAACAAGATAATCAAACGGCTGTCATTGCTATATATGGTTGTTGGTTACCTGATCATCGTTTACGAGAATATCGATACATCATGGATCAATTATTTTAGTAAGTTTAGGTATTTGACAGATATTCCGAAGAATTCTTGTCGTTTGTTTTAGTTATGTTTATCATACATTAGATAAGTTGGTCACTAATGATTACATTTTGATTTATTTTCATGGTGCCACACCGAAACATCGTACGCCGGACTTGAAATTTCTTCGCAAATGCTATCAGATGATCAACTTTCGGTGAGAACAGTTACCTTCGCTGCAGAGATATTTTTCAATTCCATTCTATCTAGACTTCGTAAAAACCTTCGTTCAGTTTACGTTGTACATCCGACTCGATGGCTTCGTACCGTCATTGCTCTTTCAAGACCGTTTTTCAGGTATAGCAAATCGTGATTTATTTTCGCTTATAATGTGAATCTTTTATGGTTTAGTAACAAATTCTATCACAAAATCAATTATATCTATACGATTGCTGAACTCGAACGACAGTTTCCGAATAATCAACTTTCGATTCCAGTTGCAATAGAACAGTAAGTTGCAAAGTTGACTTCACTGGAGGAAATTATATTTCTACGAAACCGGATATTCTCTTCATTCTCTAGACAATAGCTAACTACAAAACTTTGATTTGAGAAAGAAAGAAAAGGTAGCTTATCACATCTGTTGTTCGTGATGAAAAAGATTAAATCTTTGTTTATCGGTGTTGTTTCTTTAAACTTTGGTGATAGGAACTCTATGTTGATTGTTTTCATATTATCGTACGTTAATTTTAGAGCAGAACAAAGTCATTCTGATCAATAGATATGCAACGGTAGAGAACAAGATATGAATTAACTTAACGTGTGTATGACACGATGAATAAATAACTCTTCTGATGCTTTCTTCTCTTTCCTTGTCCTTCTGTCTCTATCTACATACTAATCAAGGTTATTTTGAAAAATCAAACAATAACTATCAGCTTATTTTTACGAACCGATAATCTTTGAATGGCTCTTGTCCTTAGAGACATAACAGAAACGGATGTATAATTGACTTCTTTTCGTCATATTTATTCAGATATGACTTTCGGCATAAGAGAAACAGATTTTTTCGGTTTTTCCTTGATTAAACCATGTAAGTATAGAGGATATGAGTGTATCTGGAGAGAAAGATCGATTTTTCCGCATGCCTGTTTTCAACTGTTTAACACTGTGTCAATGCTTATGAGCTTTGCGTTGGAATTTGGCGTGTGTGTGTGTGTTTTGCTTCCTATTCACACGTGCATGAAATCTAAAAAGCAAGTTGAGTGAACTGATTTCGAAAGTTTGTTTTAGAACTGATTGGCTTTATTCTCAAAAATATGACCGTCAAAATGCAAGTATCAACCGATCTATTGCCTTATCAACAGCATCCTGTACTTTGAATAACAGTGAAAGCGAATCAGTTGCTTAAAACATTCATATTTATTTGCGTTTTTACCCGGTATTTGTTTTCTTCTTCTTCTTCTTTATTTTAAGTTTTCTTTTTCTTTTGTTTTGTTGTGCAATAATGTGGTGCTCCTTTCGTCTCGTGTGTTTGAGTAGTGACAGTTTCTATTGTATATGTTCATGTAGGCAAGAATACTATGTGCAACAATCAAATTGTTTGTTGTGGTTTGAAGAGAAAGGAATGGGACGAAGCGAATGTCAGAGCAAATCGGAAATATCATCATGGCTCGTTTTACTTTTTTTTCGAAGGAAATATTCGTTTGTTTGTTGGTGTTGTTTTTTTTCCATCGATATATTTTCAAATACATATCTGATTCGACATTCAACTATAGCACTAGATCAAAATTCTATGCAGTAGTGGCCATTCTGTGTTTACATGACCTACGAATTATACTCGTGGTAGATCTTCTGTTCTCAATCAACATGTGTGTGTGTGTGTCAAAAGCGGTATCAATCATACGTGCCCATTTGATGGTGATAATTTATGACCATTTCTTTCTAAAAATACACTAATCTAACGAGATTTCACTCAAAGATTCTGCTCTGTAAACATATTTGTGCTTCGCAGAGCACATACAGAAGTTCATTCATTGGACGATGAATATATTACTATTTCTTTCCGCGATTTGAATCCAACAAAAATCTAGTTCAATGTGTCCTGATTTATTCCCTTGTGTATGGCATATACAAGCGAGAATATAAATGTATTGCTAAGAGTCTTTGGGATAAAATAAAGTTTTATTACGATGAATTCTCTTTTTGTTGTATCCAGATCAACATTTTATTTATCGAAGCTTCGTTTTGAGTACATTGACTTCGGCGACACCATGATTTTTCTTTTCTGCATGTTCTTCTATTATAACCAGGTCACATTTTGCAATGTATGTCTTCTTCTATGCTTTAAACAAGTTATCGCATGCAGCAAGGCAAAGAACGGATAAATATTGACTATTTTTCATCTTCGTTTTATCTTATCAAACGAGAAGAAAAGACAAAAGTGAATGTGTATATAACAGTTGCGTGCATTCGATAACACTACATACTATCATACTTTTCCTATTCAGTTAAGGCGAAATAATCAAGTTCACGATGGCAAGCGTAGGCCCTAATCGCTATGGCAAAGAAGGTGTTCGTGTCGTACGAGTTCGTCGTTCACCTTACAATGGTGACACATTCGACGAATGGACAGTGCGCGTTCTCATCGATGGTGATTTTGTTAGCAGCTATGTCGATGGCGACAATACCAAAGTTTTACCAACTGATACCATGAAGAACACCGGTAAAATCCATTTGATACCACACCTTCGACTAGATACTAGTCGTGCTTTCGTCTATTTTTAGTTTACTATGTCGCTTCACGCACACGCGCAATAACGATTGAAGATTTTGCCAAGGAACTTGTCAACTATTTAATTGAACATCATTCTCAAATAGCAGGTGCACAAGTACGAGTCGAACGTAAAGAATGGTCACATATGGTTACTTCGAACAACAGTCGTCATCCAACGTCGTTCGTTCAAGCAACTCAAGAAGTGCAATTCACTACTGTTAAACGTCCCCGACATGGCGCCTTCTCGATTGTTTCTGGTCTCAAAGATTTGATGGTGATGAAAACAGCCAAAACAAGTTTTACAAATTTTTATCGCGATGCATTGACGACATTAACCGACTCGAGAGATCGACTTTTTGGCACAGCTATCACAGCTAAATGGACCTACGAGGATGCCTCATCAATCATTGACTTTGATAGAGCACGTCAACAAATTCGTTCGGGCATGCTCGATGTTTTCTGCGATCACGAGTCCGAAAGTGTTCAACATACACTTCATGCAATGGCCAAATATGTTCTGGAACGTGTTCCAACGATCAGCCAAATTCATTTAACAATGCCAAACATTCATTGTTTACCGGTCGATTTAACCCGTTTTGGCGAACAAAACAAGAATGAAATCTTCATGCCCATCGACGATCCTCATGGCTATATTCAGTGTACCATCAATCGATCAACAGTAAAGAGCGCTCTTACATCCAAGCTTTAAGAAATTTCGAGCTGGCCAAAAGAGTTTTTTCTTTTATCTGACAAGTTCATTGTTTTTTTGTCTTTTAAGATTAAGTCAAACCGTTTTTCCTATCTAATAAATTTCTAGATGACTAAAACTCTAACAACCCATATTTTGGATTTATCTTGCGGTCGGCCAGCTGCGAATGTTCCGGTCCGAGTTGAGAATCTTCTGAATGGAGAATGGGTGCTGATGCCAACAACAGCGAACACAAACACTGATGGTCGTGCTGTTGATCTCGTGCCTGCAGACAAATGGCAAGCCGGCCAATGGCGAATCATCTTCGATATTGCATCGTATATGCCCGATGGGTTCTATCCTTCTGTCACAATCGAATTTCGCACTAAAGACTCCGCCCATTACCATGTCCCACTTTTACTAAACAAATTCGGTTATAGTACTTATCGAGGATCATAGAAAACGTTTTGTTTTGCTTTTATCTTTTTCTTTATACTTGACATTTATTAATAAAAAGAAAAAGATAAAACTATTACACATTAATAATGAACTTTCGTAAGACATTCTTTCCACATAGAGAACGCCTTCGATTCATCTTTGAGTAATTGTGTGATACCAACACGTCGTTCATGTAACTCACGTGCTAATTCTTCATAGATGAAATGATCATCGAATCCAACTAGGAAAACAGACAGATTCTTTGCACTTCATATGGACATTTACACTTACCATCTTTAGCATCGGACTTTGAATGTGCGAAGTAAATGTGATCAAGGTGTGCCCAGTAAATCGCACCTAAGCACATTGGACATGGCTCACAAGAACAGTATATAACACATCCTTCTAAATTATGTGTTTTCAATTCTTGACAGGCGAGTCGAATGGCTACCATTTCAGCATGTGCTGTTGGATCGCAACTCGGCACCACTTTATTCGCACCTTTCGCAACTACAATTCCATCTTTGCAGACAACCGCTAAATAAACACTCGATTTACAAGTGACTGCATAATCAAAAATAGATTCTCACCGCCAAACGGACCACCTAGTCCGTTTTGAACGTTCTGCTCTGCTAACTAAATGAATACATATTTCATCAACGGAAACAAAGATAGTAGTAGTCAATTCATACTTGAATAGCCATACGAAGGTATTCTTCGTGTTCATTTCGTTCATTTTCTTTCACATTCGTTTCAACGAACATACCGTGTTCCTCCATAGCTCGATAAAAACAAATCTAAAACTGATCGAACAAATGATAGACTGTGGACCGCAACTAACAAAACATGCTATTCTTATTAAAAAAAAACGAGGGAAAACACGAGAATTCTTTCGTGTTCTATTAAAAACAAACTGTATTTGAAGTACATCACTTGACACATTCTCTTTCGACGACTGAATGCACAAACGTATCTAGATAAAAGTTACACCTTACATTAAAGTCAATAAAGATAAAGAAGCTTTCGCACGCGAAGTTGTTGTTTACTTTTACTTTACCAGGTAACTCGCTCGAAGTTGTCTCAAAACAGTCATACGATGTAAAAAGTAATCTGTACCACTTGAGTCTCCATGTTTGTCGAAAAACATAATTTCGTCTTTCCTTGTGCAGATGTCCTTCAAGATCAGTATTCAGATCTTACTCATGTTTGTTCTTCACTGGTCAAATACAAAAACAAACCTATTTTTAACTACGAAAACATATTCCGTAGACACACAATTCTCATACGAATAGTGCATTGAAAGGTTAATTTCACGCACAGAATGTATTTCGAACGAATTAAAGAAAAACAATTCCATCTTAATTCAAAGTATAAAATAACATAAGTGTTCCGAATGACTTGTCTCACTGACCATACCGAGATCGATCAGTCACACTTGAACATCCGTTAACAAACCTTTTACAATCTATCGAAATATACCAATGCTTTACAAAAACCGCCTTCGATAAGACGTATTTTACACCCTATGTGATCTTCACCACATGTTATATATTTCGTATATCTGTGATCGAATCATGTGCACTGACGAAAACAGAATTATCTAGGTGAAATTTGTTTTTCATCGATTGATGAATCCTTTGCTTGTTGTTATCGATAACATGTCCTGTGAAAATTTCAAAGTTTAATAATAGTGCGCAAATTCGAGAAGTTTCTTTGATGAATCTCCTAATGAAATATCTCCTGAAAGACTGCTTTGTCATACTTCATACTCATAAAGTATTTCTTAGAGTGACAAATCGAAATCTAATTTCAAGAGATTCTTCAAAATGAATTGAATGCAAGACAACAAAAAGAGAAATGACTAGTATTTATCTCCAAAATTGCTTCATAAAGTGAGAGAAGTCAGCATATGATCTAACACATTCACTTTTGCGCATCAAAAAACAGAAAAATGATGTGAAATCTACTTTTTCCTATGATCGATGCCGATCGAAATAGAAGTTTCCGGTTGCTTTTCGAGGCCATACACATACATATATATGCCCATTTTCGTTCAAATCACATTTCTCACATCAGCTGTTTCAATTTCAGATTTCATCAGTCGTCTTCGAAATTTATAATGGTCAGACGTATTGAAGGTACGATCGACTATGAAAAACACAATGAAGTTCTCAATGATAATCATAAAATTCTCATTTATCTCGATGATATGACATTAACAGGTAAGATCAATTGATTGCTGATTCGTCAATAATTGATTTCATTTCAGATATCGCTTCTCAAGACGGTCCGTACATACGTCGATTTCATACAATATCAAAATTAATCTTAGAAAATCAAAGGCAAACCTTCCCAATCACATTTACTCTTGAATATGATGAGAAAGATGTGGAAAAGTCATCGAATTATTCCTTACGAGTACGAATTGTTGCCGATGGTAAAACGCGATTCATAACCAGTTCGAATGTTCCTGTATTGACAAAGGGCTATGGTGATATGGTTGACATAAAAGTAGAAAAGATTGATTTGATGTGATGGAAACCGTCCTGAGTAAAGGCTTCGTTTGTTTTTTTCTTCGTTTACAAAAGAGAAACTTTTGGAAACTTCATCTTCATGTGCATGTTTTACGTAAAATAAAATAATCATATTCAAGAGAACATCAACTTGATCTATGAGTTCCATATTTTCGTTCCAAGGCCGAAAAAGAGGCAATAATTCATGTTTTTTTGATTGTGTTTATTCAATAAACAATCCAGCACATATACAGAAACAAAAATATTGATTCTATCACCAATGAAAGAAATCTTGAACTAGGGAATTCACATTCGTGGCACACCGAGTATGACTTTCGCCGTATCATAAAAGAACAACTGAATAGCACTCAATGTTCCCACTATAAAAATGCGTGGCCCAAGTCCCTTCCATAATCCTAAATACGCGCGAGAATAGTCAAGTTTTGTACATTTATACTTCAACTCATTACCGGCGAAGCCAACACGTCGTATTGCATCGAACAAACCCAAACCTTTTTCGTTATTTAACTTGGATACAATCGTGTCAGCTGGATGGCTGATAATTGCACAAAATATACCAGCTATATATCCAGCTAGGAAGGTTATCCCGAGTTCTTCCTTCTTTGTCCGTCGTTCACGACGTTTCCGTAAAAGATATTTGTAAAGCACTTCTTTAGTTCGTTCAAAACACGCGAATTTCATCATGGTATACGGAATCTGACGAAGCCATAATGGTACAAGACCTTTGTACAAACTAAGTAAAGAAATTTTTAAGTACATTTATATGTCACATCATTGATTCATACCCTGCGAGGCCTTCTTCGGCTAAAAGAAAACAAACAAGACATGTGAATCGGATGAAAGAATAAGTTTGAATGCTAAAATACCGTAGAATTTCGGTAAACCTTGCTGTAATGTCGATGCCCAATTATCTTGTGTTTGAATACGCACTTTGATAGCCTCCCACGGTGCTAAAGCAACATCAGCAAGAAATTCTGTCGATGCACTCGCTAATAAATACACTAAGGTTCGATAAAGATAAGCATTTTGTTCACCAAGGACAACACTGTAAAAATTCTTTAAGATTTCATAGAAACCAAATTTTCCGAAGCCTTGTAATGAGTAACCAATGAATGTTGGCGCCCAACCTTTCGTTAGACTAAAGATACCTTCCTCCCTGAAAGTGAAGTAAATCTCATTCATGGAAATAGTCTTCAACGACAACATACGCAATTGTTACTTGAAACGCATGGATGAGATTTTCATATTTCTGAGGTTTTACTTGTAAACGACATTTGATCAAATCCTTGAACACAAACGTCACAGAAGAATTGAATAATATCGAAACAAATGTTTTCTTTTACCAAAGGCACAACTGCTGTATGTGTTATAGCACAACTTAATAAGCCACTGATACCACAGTAGAGATAGTATTTCACGGAACCGATTTCACAACTGTACGAATCTATGCAGACGGAAGAGAAATCATGAGTCTGCTACGAATCGGTTGTCTTCTATACATTTATTTTTCGAAGATTTCGACCGATTGTGATCACTGAATCCCACGATTATCCGAGTTGTTATCCGTCTCTATAAACTCGATAAATTAATTCGATGTTAAACATGAAAACAAGCAACATTACCACATATTCATATGGAATAATAATCAGTGCATGTATTACTGTAAGAAACGAGTTTGCTCGATATGAATGCATGCGCGTCAGATTTTTCTGTTGATAAGAATGGTCTCTGTAGGTAGATATATCAATACAGAAGAAAGTATACAAAATGCGACTATCTAGGAAGAAAATCAACTTACGGTTCATTCAGGTTCGAATTATTTCTTCTAATTAACATGGAGATTGGCTATTTGGCATAATCAAAAACAATTCCTTGTGACTCGTTGTTTTATATTCAGTAAAAAGAATGTTGGACACGTTTTCTTGCTTGCCACATTGGTAAAAAATGCATAAACAAGGTCACATTTTCTTTTCTTTTTTCGTTCCTTTTCATTCGATCATTTTTTTCATGCTTTATACTTCAGCAGAAGAAAGGCGACAGTCTGAGCAGAACTTCACGTAATAATAACTTGGCTATGAGAATATATAAATGATCTACATAGTTGACAAACAGTTTTTACCATAGCGATCCTTTAAAAACTCTACGAGAGAGGGTGTTAATTCTCAGGCGTTGTTCTGTTTAATGCCGAACAAAAATATATCAGACATTCCCGTCGACTGAGGGCATGTCAACGTTTCCGTTCTGTGTTTTTAATTACATAATCAGTTACTGTCGGCGATGATTCATAAAATGATGTGAAAATAAAAATAAACATGAAGTTTTATAGCACAAGTTCTTTTTTGCGTCGATATTTTAGAAGTTCATTGTTTAAATTTTGACAAATGCTATCCGATGATCTTTGCTGATCAAACTTTCAGATTCAGACTGAAATACGTAAGTAGGTAATGCAATGAAATGTACCTCAGCAAATGATTCGTCGTGTCGTTTTCATTGAGATATTCAGTTTTTGACTGACCTCATCTTTTACAAATATATTTTTGTTTGAGGTAAAAATTTCATGTCTAATCTACAAAAAATTAACCGAGATGATCGAATTTAATCAGATTTATTCGCCAGATGGCGCTTCGAAATGAGTCAACAACAGATGGGTGTGTACATGTACATATGTTCTATTCCTTCTGCAGCCGTACGGTTACGTAAATTAGTTTAATTTTCGTGCCAAAGCCATGTTTGTACTTTGTATCGCTACTGCTTTTATATGGGGTATAACGAATTGGTTTTTGAAACAAGGTTCGACAGGTTTGCAACGAATCCAGTACGATAATCGATTAAAACAATTCACTGCTGAAATCTGGTATTTTTTTACAAATGCGCAAGTACATTCGTGGATTTTCTTGATTAAAATAAACATATTTCCTTTAGTATTGGATTCCATTTCTATTCAATCAATTTGGTTCGGTACTCTATTATTACAGTCTGGCAAAAACCGGTATAAAAAATTTGATCGGAATCATTGAATTGAGTACAGATTTTCAATTAGATTTTTCAACTGCTGTACCTGTGACGAATGCGTTAACACTTCTGATTACCTATCTATGTGATGTTATCTCACGTCCACAACTATTGAATTCTCGTAAACAAACATTTGAATGTTCAGATCATGTGGAATATTCTGTTTTGATTTAGGATTTCTTCTCGGCATGTTATGTGTGACCAGCGGAGTAGCTCTATGCGTCATTTCCAAGCCTCATTAGAGTTTCTTTTTATCTGTGATACAAATAAGTGTACATAAATATAACACTTCTTAAGCGACTTTTGTTTCGACGACTCGAATAATAGAACATTCTTTCAGATCACGATGCTCAATAATATTAGTAGTCGAACAGTTTCTATCATTCGTCAGTGTTTAAAACCATCGTTTACCGTTCAATTACAGAATGCATCGACAAGTAAGAAATGTTGTGTGATTTTTCCAGTCATTATTTGTGCGTGATTGTAGAAGCTCGATTTAACTACGAAGATGCGCTTGATCTGGAATCTCAACTAACTGACGATGAACGATTGGTACGTGATCAATTTCGCAGTTATTGCCAAGAAAAATTAATGCCAAGAATTATTGAAGCCAACCGAAAAGAAAGTATGGAACATTTTCCCAGTCGAATATCTGTTGTCTAAATACGAATACTATAGTTTTTCATCCGGAAATCATGCGCGAACTAGGGGAAATCGGTGTTCTCGGTCCTACGATTCACGGTAATCATTTTCTGCTCTCCTTTCAAAAGATTCTTTACTCGATGGTAATTTAGGCTATGGGTGTGCTGGTATTTCATACGTTGGATATGGCTTATTAGCTCGAGAAGTTGAGCGGTAAAAGCAAGATGAGATATTTATGGAAAGATAACTTCGTGTGTTGATGTTTTAGCGTTGATAGTGGTTATCGTTCGGCATTTAGTGTCCAATCGTCACTTGTTATGTTCCCAATTAATGAATATGGATCAGAGGAACAAAAAGAAAAATATTTACCTAAACTAGCCACAGGCGAATTGATCGGTTGTTTTGGGTTGACGGAACCAAATCATGGTTCAGATCCCGGTTCAATGCAAACTCGAGCAAAATGGGATGAGAAGCAACAAGTTTACATCTTAAATGGCACAAAATCTTGGTTTGTTCCAGTTTTTTTCAACAGATATATATGAAAATAACGTTTTCAGGATTACAAATTCCCCTATTGCTGATGTTGCTGTTGTCTGGGCTAAATGTGACGACAACGAAATTCGTGGATTCATTTTGGAAAGATCAATGAAAGGATTCAGTACACCGAAAATTGAAGGCAAATTTTCGCTACGTGCTTCGATTACTGGCCAGATTGCTATGGATGATGTTCACGTGCCAAAAGCGAATCTATTGCCCAAAGTTCAAGGTTTGAAAGTAAGAATAAGAGTTAATAAAAAAAGAACGAGCTCGTTATTTCATTGATTCTTTTTTCATTAGGGTCCGTTCGGCTGTTTAAATAACGCTCGATATGGTATTGGCTGGGGTGCATTAGGTGCTGCTGAATTCTGTTTACATGCTGCGCGACAATATACCATTGAACGGTAAGAAAATATTGTCAAACGCAGACTTCAAAATCAGCGACATGTCTAATAGGAAACAATTCGGTCGACCATTGGCACAAACTCAACTGATCCAAAAGAAATTCGCTGATGCATTAACCGAGATTTCGATTGGTCTTCAAGCCTGTTTACGTGTAGGTCGTTTGAAAGATGAAAATCGGTATCTGCACACATCACATTCAAATTGAAACACTATTTTGTTGATTATTCTCTTCTAGAGCAGCGCCTGAAATGATCTCGTTAATCAAACGAAATTCTTGTGGTAAAGCACTTGACATTGCTCGTCAATGCCGAGACGTTCTTGGCGGAAATGGAATCTCAGATGAGTATCATATTATTCGACATGTGATGAATTTAGAAGCAGTGAACACTTATGAAGGCACACACGACATTCACGCCTTGATCCTCGGTCGCGCTATAACCGGCTTACAAGCATTCACCTCCCCAACAGCAAAGACAGCAATCTGAATAATGTGTGCGCGTCTGCAACAAAATCACGGATGATTGAAAGGTTTCGTTTTTTGAGGATTGTTTTTCTCCTATTTTTTTTTCTTTTTCAAGTAAATATTTTATTTTTGCGATACGACAATCGATCCGTTTTAATAGTATTCAAATATCTAATGATCTATGAAACACACCTCAAGCTGTTGTAATCGAGTTTCGATTGCGTCGAAAGAACTAAAAAAGCAAAATGAGAGTTCGATAGTCCCATTTATAGTTCTATCGAAGAAAGTATCGCAGTTTCGATTCGATAAATTAACATCTTGTATATTGATTAATAATAATGCCACCAACAGTTGTCTCACCTCTGTACTGGAACTATTGGGCTAATGTTATCTACATTCTTGGAATGTTTGGATATTTAACAATAGATTCAGCGAATTATCTGTTCGCTGGATTTCAGAATGATCTTTCGATTTTCATCTATGTTTTCCTTGCTATTTTATTTGCTCTGAGTGCTATTCTATACGCGATCGATTGGTATGTATACGCGGTGAAACTACGTGAAGATGAAAATGAACCGATACATTATCGTGCTGAATTAATCGCCTGTATGTTTCAAAATGTAGGTTGTTATCTTTACCTACTCGGTGCAACATTGGCTTTTCATCAAGTTAAGTATATGAAAACAATATTATTGTTGAACTTTTTCGCAATATTAGCATTTCTCACTGAATCAAGTTTAATATTTCTCGGATGGCGTATGGCATTGCGCAGACAAGGTACATCAAATCCGAAACGTGGCTGTGTAGCTCAGGTGCGTAAATACAAAATGACCAAATGGACGTAAACAAATCCATCTTCGTTTTAGGACGTATGCATGTGGGCTCATCTATTGTACTTCATTGGTAATGTCATCTACTTGTGTTCAACGTCGTTAGCTTATCGTTTTTATGTTGATTTCAATGTTACCTATCCAAATGGTGTAGTTATATTACAAATCTTTGGTGATCTTATCTATTTGCTGGATGCTTATCTTTACTACGAATGTTGGAAACGAGATAAACAGGAATATGATGCGAATACGGAACGTCAAAATTTGGTTAAATTGAATGTGGTTAAACAATTATCTACAGAAAATTTTGCTAATGACATGAAAATTGATTCAGATAACTAAAATAAATGTTCTTGACAGCTATCTTGTATGCTTCCTTGAATTCGATTCAAGTAAAGAACAAAAAGCTTACGACACTCGGTATTCCCAGGCGGTCACCCATCCAAGTACTAACCGAGCCCGACGTTGCTTAACTTCAGTGATCGGACGAGAACTGGTGTATTCAACGTGGTATGGCCGTAAGCGTTGAATATCCGGTTATGCCTTCCCAACATAAATGCGAACCTCATTATGTTGGTGAATAAATGAAAACGAGCCTAGCTTGAAGGATTTCACTGTTCACCATTCGACATTATTAACTTTAGAGATTTAAGAATTGTAAGGTAAATCATGGTCTGCAACGATATTATCTGTCCCTTTGTTTTGTAACTATATAAGACAGACATATCATTAAATCCAATGCTCTAATAGATCGTTAAAGTGCGTTCGTGGAAAGCAAAGTTTCTTTTTCCAGGATCAGTTGACTGGTAATTAATTTTCTTGTATTGAATAAGCTAATAGCAGCGAAGTATAACGTTCTTTTGTCCATGGTATGATAATCCCACCTTCATTTTCTAATTACCGGCGGGAAAATACGATCTTCGACTTTGAATCCATGTTTTTTTTATTATTATTTTATTATGAGCAAAAGTCGGCTCCGTTTTCATTAAAAAAAAAAGAATTTCACAAATAACCGAGCAATTAGATTTCACTTATATTAGTAATTTTCTAGCGCATAGAATGACTTCGTATGAGAGTGTATCGAACGTATCGTCACTGGTATATGATGCTAATCAGACGGTTGTAAACACAACAAGTGCAGCGAGTATTTTGAGACCAACTGAAACGATTCTCATCGGTTTCCATCTTGGTGAAGTTATCAGTATTGTTTGCATTGTACTTGGTACTGCTGGTAATACAGCACTCCTTTTGGCCATTTATCATTCATCATTTTGTCGTTTTCCATACGGTTTACTTCTTATTCTCATCGCTGTATTTGACATTGTTCGTCTATTTTCGGTTATAATTTATTATCTTCTACAAGCAGATATCATTCCAATAAACACAGTCATTTCAACTGTATATATTGTATTCTATCGTTATGGGAAAATCGTGACCAATTGGTTGAAAGTTATCCTCGCTATTGAACGATTGATAACTGTCAAATACTGGTCAGTAAATCGGTACAATGTTCATTCAAAGAAAATGACGATTGATCAACGCTTGAAGCAACGGCGACTAATATTTTTAATTTTGCTCTTACTCATCTGTGCTCTCATCAGTCAACATGTGAATTTCATACCGAGTCGTTACATCAAATCATACATCGATCCTGTTCGATTATTCTTAATAAATGTACCTAATCCACACTTTTACTATGGTCCACACGTTTATAATCCCGTGTTACTAATGATTATAAGTTACATTTTAATTGATGATGTTTTACCGGTAACAGCATTGTTGGTATGTAATACGATTCTCTTTTACAAGTTACGGCATTTACCATTGATTGCTAGTCGAAAGATAGTTGAATCCATTTGGATCCTCTTCTTCCTAACAATTTTCTCAGTTTTTGTTGTTCCACGTTCATTTATCATCCTATGGAATCTTTGCATGGACTCGAAATATGTTAATGACTCGATTATATCCTTCATTACACATATACTTCAAGGTATGAGCTTGAATCTTTGTCTTTCTAATAATACTATTATCTCTTAGGCTTAGAAATGATGAACAATGCCATTACTGGATACGCTTGTTTTCTCAGCTGTCAAACCTTACGGAAAGCTCTCCTTGAAATGCTTCAAACAACAAAACAATCTGTTCCAAGCAAGTTCTGCTTAAAAGAGCACCGGTCAGTTGCGTACACAGTCGAACAATGCAAAGTTTCTATAAAACCGTAGCTAATATCTTCAATATCAATGAATAAAATTCACATGAAAACAGAACGAATAGGTATAATATTAGTTCAAATGATACGGTAACAGCATTGGATTATCTCTAAGGATCATGTTGTTATAATTCATAATTCATCATTTGCACGAGCATGGACGATATATTAGCTTGATGATCGATTTATTCATGTGTACATATTTGACAAAAATAGAACGCCTGTAGAGTTTACTCTTGTGAACTTGTGAGGGATGTCGAATTTGTTGCCTGATAAATTGTGCTCATTTTGTCGGCTGATTGTTTCTGCTGCTCTGACAGTAATTGTGTTAAGACAGTTTTCTTGATTAATTTCACTGGTGTGCCATTTGAGTTAGTTGGCAATGTAGACATGAATACTTCTTCTTGTTTTTCCTTATACTCACTAGCGTTAAGCGTTTGTAATTTGACTTTAGTTTTACTGTACCAACTTTGACTGCGACTCAACAGATATTTTTCAAATCGAGTAAATCTTAATCGAGTAAATTCGCAAATCCGTCGTACTAACTGACCATACAACAAGAAGACACGACGGTTGCATACATAGACCCCAAAGATGAATAGGCCTGGTGTGGCATTAAGAAGAATAAAGAGATATTTGAAGACAGCTGCCAAATATCGTTCGAAATCTTCCGGCCCATCGGGTAGAATGAATAGAATGAAACCAATAGTCCAACCAAAGCCAGCTAGGACAGCCATTCGCATGTAAATTTTTACATCATGTTCACCAGGTACAACTTGTTTTTTACGTTGAAATTTGCGTTCGACTTGAACACGAACTAAATCATCAACCGAAAAGCTTGTTTTGTTTTCAAAAACAAAAAACACGCTTCGAACCTTTCTTTAAACCGCGACGGATGCTTCGAACAGTCAAGGTATAGAACACGAAATTAATCAGAAGAATAATAGCCACTGGGCATCCAAATAAGATCAAACGCATCAAGGCTGATTCAATCCAGCAACCTAAAAACCGATCCATCCATCTCTATTCGTCATGGGTTCGAGTTCTGTATCATTTACCTTGCAATGGTGTGTCATTCTTTGTCCTAAAGCATACATCGTAACACCCACGAAAGAATCGTCCATAGCACGGTTTTAATTTAGCATTTGCTGCATCTAATACAATGCCAATAACAACAATAATCACTGGCATACCCCATGCGTATAGAGCATAGAATGGCAAACGTTCATGAATTTCATAGACATAAAGCGAAAAGCCTTTGTGGAACGTTTTCCATAGATCGTAAGCCATGACATTCATCCAAAAGAAACTCGCTAGATAGAAGAAATGTATGCCTAATGCAAACAACAGACAAACACTTGGCTTCGTCACAATCATCAGACTTTGGCACAAAAACAACGCTTCAGCAACCATCAGTGCGATAATTAAATTCATGGTATTACATCCCGGCAAATTACGTAGCGAAGAGAAGAGAATGAATGTAAATAGAGTGATGGCTAATGCACATATGGAAAGGAATGTCGCCACAGATGAAAGTATTCCAGGAGCTTTATCAAAGAAGCCAAGTTTTTTACTCGTCGTTGTTCCGTTTTGTGCTTGGTGTTTACAAACGACAACATACAAATCGGGTCGATATTCATCGTAACGATATTCACGGTTTGTATAAAGGCGACCTGTGCGTTTGACACGAATGGAGAAATTTGTATATTGAACTATTTCACATAAGGCGAGACGCATCACGAGACTGTCAGGACAACGACCAACGATGCGCGGTTGACGATTACAAACGGAAACTAATTTCATTGCCGAAGTCGAATTTGTTGACGAAGACTGACCAGCGGTCTCTTGCTAAACGAAAAACTTTTATATCGACATTCTTCTTAGTAGCAAATTACCGTTTCCTGCATTGATGTTTGCGGTTGTGTTAAAGTTGAAACCATAAATAGATACGTATAGTCTCCACTTTCGTATGTCGTTTCTAATTCGGGTATTTCAACAACATAGTCAAGCTCGCCGTCAGGTCGGATACGTCGACGTATAATTCCATTTTTGGTTGGATACATGACGTCAGGATCGCTACAAAATTCATCTCGAGTCCTATTCTTATCCGAGACAATTGATAGTGTTTCCACTTTAATCGCGTAATCTTGGCATAGATCAATAATAGCATGAAATTCTGACGCAAGTAAAAGAAGAGTGACGACATGTAAACTTGTTAATGTATCGTTTGAACCATGGTCTCTATCGATGATGGAAAAAAAGAAGTCGGCAGAAATAGATTGGTTTTGTCTCAAAACATGTTCAATTGTTTCATATAAAGTGTTACTTGACGGAGTTGTTAGCGCTGAAGCTTTTCCCTTTGGTTTTATAGTTGTTTTCTCTGCCGATTCCATAGCATCTTCTTGCAAATGGCATTTGATTTTCGTAATACGTTCATAGTCAATATCGAGATAACCTAAATCGTTCGCAGTTTTCTCTCAAAAGCAAGAAAATGTTCGACACTTACTGCGTAAAGCATTATGAAACATTTGTTTCCAATGGCTCGTGCAAATATCATTCATTTGACTATTTAAACGTTTAGAAAAATTCCCCCGTTGGTAATGACTACTTGGGAAAATATTCAGTGTCAAGGATAAGTCGATGTCGCTCATTCGTTTCGGCACATGTGATGAATTTTTATGTTCATCGGGTATACAAGTTGTTCCGTTGAATTTATAATTCAATTCTTGACAATAAATATCTCGACAATAACCTGTCGACGGATCGAACAGTTGCCCGTATTGGCAAAATCCATTATCCAAATAAACGATCTGCGTACCTACGGAATAGAAATAAGTAAGCAATAACGATTGATCAACAACCAACCTTGCATGATTTGAAATGATGTCGTTCCATCATCTTTAAAATTCATCAGCAATGTTAACGATTGCGGTACACTAGGACGATTTCGAGTTTGTTTGACTTTCGAAACTGTCTGATCATCTCTGACAGCGAGTGGAAAATTTTGATTAGATAATGCAAGCTCAATTGAAAGGAGAAACAGATAAATCAATACGATCAGCATTACTATTGCATATCAATCGGATTAGCAAATTTTGTGCGATGGCCTCTTGTGATATAGGAGCAAGAGGCCAAGAATCCAAACAGATGTGGATCATTCTCAGCAAAACTGATTAAGTTTTCTTCATTTCGTTCGTATTTTTTTGAAAAGAAAATGTCGTCAGATATCGAGAAAAGCACAAAAAATGTCAACAAATATCGTTCTGTGTGACATCATTCGAAAAACATCTGCATTACATTTATTTGCCAATTGCTAGAAGATCCGATTGACTCAGACGAGATCTCGCTCGTTGTTTTTTTTCCTCTTTCATCAGTCGGCTCGAGAACACGTAGAAAACGTTGTGTTTTTTTCTTCCATATTTGTACTTTTTTTTTACCATATCGAGATGTATAGCTATATTATGACAGCTATTAAAATGATAAGTTACGGTCGTAAATAGTCTGTCTCGGTATTGATTTAATAAAAACATAGAAGGCGAACGGGGGGAAAAAAGTCTTTTGTGAGTCAAGTTGGAAAAAGCCTTGGTACTGTTCATATTCGAGCTGAATCATAAGCATTCTTTAATGACAAGTTGACGCGAATTATATATAGCTGCGTATGAATTGTAATCGAATCGTATCGTACACATATGCGTCTGTTGCCATACATAAAACTTCAATTGAAGGAATATTTGATTTAACCCTTGAAAGTGCACCAGATTTCGATGATTGAAATGACACGAAAAAAAAGAAAAATCTCTTTGCGTGCTTATCATTAAGTGTGCAATTATCGACTTGCAATTGCATGTGTTTGCTAACGAACGATAAGTTTGACTCAGAGTGATTCATGTACATTTTTTTCGTATAAGACGTCGCTGTACATCAAATGTGGCAAGACGACGATGACAAGGGAATTGCATACATTTCATTCCTGTTAAAGCAACAACATCAAAGTTCGTCGCTGTGTATAGGGAAAGATAGTATCATAAATATGTAACATTTTTATTCGTTTCATCGACGCGTAGATTTACAAGTTGCGAATCGCACATAGCCGATGCCAGAAACGAAATCCGTATATGACTCGTTCTTTATTTCTCCTCTCATTCACATTCATCATGTAAAGTCAAGGCCTTTCACGAAGAGAATAAGAATAAAAGTCAATATCATAAATACAACTATGTATGTATATTTCCGTTCTTGCTCTTTTTCATTCGTTTTTATCTATTTCGTTCAATTATCAATCGCAGGTATGTTGTTAAAAACGGGCTTTTTTTTCGTTGATATTCAAAAAAAAGAAAGAAATTGAAAATTTGTAATTACAACACGATGACTTCATATATTCTTTCTTCTTTTCCTTTTGACACATACACAATCAATGAAAAAAGAACGACAAAGCGAGAGAACGAGGAAAAAAATGAACTTTGTCTTTAAAAACCCACCGACCTCTAGTGAATATACTGGAAATTTACGCAACAAAAGACGAGCTCTGAGTAATGTATGCATATGTAATCTATGACGCAGTATGACACTCATTTCTTCCGGTTAGAAGTACGTAGGAAAAAAAAACGAGAAAGAAAGATGATCGTTGACCGGCATCTCTAAGAAAATGACAGGAAAGACTAAAAGTAAGTTTTACGTTAAAAATGGATAAAAGATGCCTTAAATGTCATCTTCATAATTTTCGATTCTTTGTCCTTTTGCAGTCTGTAAAAAAGAAAAGTGGAGTGAAAAAGCGCTTACGCTTGTGCGAGAAAGGCTGAAAAGTGCCCATTCATACAATCATCGTGAAGTTTCGCTGTTACAAACTATTGCTCTTTACCCTTCTTCCTTTCGTTCCATTTCTTTTCTGCTGTCTTTGCCATGACGTTTACTCGATCTGTTCTGTCCTCTCCTTCTCTTCCCCTTTCTCTTTGGTATTCTCTTCTCTTAACTACTACTATACACTATGCACGCATAATAATATCTACATTCTACACACACACACACACATACACATTTTGCATCTTCTCATCTTACAACACGCTTCGTTGTGCATTCGTTTTTGTTTTTTCCTTTTCTCGAAGTTTTTTCGATACATATATTATTTCAAAGAAAAAGAGTGCATCAATGTTATAATGACGATCTTCTAGATAAAGCTAGCAATGCCAAGTAAAGAATCGCATTCGTCTTGCTATTCATCATCAGGATCGTCAACATCTTCTCTGTCATCTCCACGCTTACCATCAACTGATATCGTACAACATCAACAACAACAACAACAGCAGCAGCAGCAACAACCAATGAGAATTCCATCAACACCAACTGCTAAAACGTCCATGTCACAATCGCATGTATGTGTTACACGTTACAAAACAGAGCTATGTCGACCATTCACAGAAACGGGTAAATGCAAATATGGTGATAAATGTCAATTTTCACATGGAATCAAAGAATTAAGAATTTTAATGCGTCATCCGAAGTATAAAACTGAATATTGTCGTACATTTCATACGAGTAACTATTCTGTCAGTAATCTTTGATAATTTACTTCAATTATTTTTTTTAGCGGGCTATTGTCCATACGGACCTCGATGTCATTTCATTCATGATATTCACGAAGCGCGCGCAGCAATAAATACAACTGATCATTCATCAACTATAAGACGACATTCCGACGGACGAACACCTCAAACGCCACAAAAATCAATACCTAGGTATTTGATCTTGTTTTTCTGTTCTATAAATGTTTGATTTACTCTGTTGTTTCTTGTAGAAATCGTATGAACAGTGATTTTACAACTTATTCAGATCAATCTCATTCACCATCACAGTTTCCTTTTACGTTCGAAGAACTCAATCAAGCTTTATATTCTTACGATACTAGTGATGTTTTTCACGGGCAAGATCAACTACAGATTTATCCATCTATTTTCTCTACTATACCAGATACATTTACACGTTGTACATGTTCATCGTCTTCATCATCGAATAGCAGTTTAGTTCCACAATATATTTAAGAAATTTCGTCGTCGATGCTTCTTACTACGTTTTTTCTTATTTTACATTTACCGTCCGTTCGTTTGCTCTCGTGTTTTATATACATAAATATTTATATATATATATATACATACATATATGTTCTCTATTTCTATCTTCTTTTTCTTCGTATTGTTTCTCTCTACAGAACTATTTCATTCACACTCTACAACTACATACAGTGCTCGTTTACTACGATTGTTCGGCAATCATGCGCGTCTTATCGAAACATTATACATGTACATGATAATTCGCACAGCATTTTTCAATTAGTACGCATACCAAAAGAAAAACTTCTGATCGTACGCGTTCTGAATGAATCTATCGATGTTAGTGTGTGTGGGTATGTTAAGAATGATAATGATATCAGCTGCTTTCCCAAGAACAGTGACTGATGCGCGAGGGCACTTATAATAATAATAAAACGAACAAATACGTGTTGAAAGCCGATGGCGACTATATACATAGACATTCTATTGAATAAGTATACATATGATAATGATCAAATTTGTTAGTTTTTATATTTAACCTTCGGGCAATATTTGAATATGCTAGATAAGAATAGTGGATATTGTATCAATAGGCCGCACCGCAGATGAGATGTTTCTCACTCAAGTCTGGTGGAAAGGCAAACAAAGAGTAGAATTCGTTTTTTCTTGCCTTCGAACAATTTTTCTTGTTTCATACGTTTTACAATTCTTTTTAATCTCAATTGCTTTCCTTCTTGTGTACGGCATACATACTTGTAAGAAAGTTTGTTGATTGGTAGAATAATATTTTTGCTTCAGGTGTACATGGATACACTCGATTGCAACATGTCATCAGTATTGAAATCTATATACGGGAAGAAAAGGTGATGAAAGACAAACAACATCATACATAAGGTGCAGTTTGTTTTACAATACTTGAGAATCTCAAGGGTTTCTTTCTTCTTTCGCTTTTTTTTCGAGAACTTTCGCTTAAAACACGATGTCTAAACTTTTTACGCTGCGACGTCGTTTGTTCTCCGACTTTTCTGCCGCTTCATCAGGATAACATAAACATGCATGATGTATATGTCATTGACGTTCTATGCACATCATTAAATGGCATAGAGAGGAAAAGAAAAGCCTATTTAATGACAATGAGACATAGAGTTGTTCATTAATTGATAGAGAAATTATCCGATAACGATGATGAGAACCTTCTCGTTGTCCTTGAGAAAACATATTAGGTCGTTGATTCATCAATTATGCGTACTAGCAGACCGATAATGAAGGAACGTGACATGGATATGAAATATCAGAAGTTGACTCGGCTAACTCGATTATATGTACCAAACGATTGTACATACCACATTGATCATAAAATTCATGTCAATATTCAATAAAACATCGTAAAATTTTATAACAGTTCTCATGTTTATTAAAAGCACTCACCAAGGAATGGAACTACAATGTATATATAGTTGAGTATACGCTTCAGCAACATTGAATATATCCTAATGCGTCTTATTCATTGATGCGTGATAATTTATTGTAATTTAGTTTACAGAAAAATAATATTTGGATAAATATAGTTCGTATATTCTAATCAGGCGATCTATAAATGTCTCAACAGTTATTTTCATATAAAAATCATCGAGTGCATTGTTCTTTGTTTATTGAATCAACGTGAAAAAGAGCTATCCTACGAATAACAATTAGTTCAAACTATTCCTCGATGCTTAAGAAAAGACACTGGGGAGTGATTTTTAATTAAATAGGAATAAAATAAGACTATCATGTCTAAACTCGAAGAGCATCCTAGGAAAAAGAAACGACTCAAATTAACATATCTTCGATGGGATCATCTGTGAGAAGTTGACAGTTAATTAATGAGCCAAATTCCTCAGAGAAATTGATTTTCGTTGGACAGTTCAAAGACTTCTCTTCGTCTTTCGCGTACATTCCTCAATCGAGCAGATGTCGTGCATAGTCGAAATGTTTCATATGGTTTACGATTTGCCCGTTTAAGTGCCATTTACGAACGAATTACAGACTCAGTCCATCCACAGTCAAACATCTGATCTTTCTCGTGAATTTTTTTTCTCTCATTTCCAACATGTCGGAAAACTTCACATTTCGCCCAAAAAGTTCTGCTAATCAGGCCAAACTTGTCAATCAATTAGAACGTCAATTTCATACAATAACTCAATTGTTGTACACAACCAATGTACCCGGTGCTCTACTTGATCGACAAGTCTTACCATACATAGCTGATGATGTGATTTTCAAAGATCCTTGGCAAGAAGGCGGTGATAAAAAATTGTATCGAATCGGAATGAAAGGTAAGACATGAATTTGCTCTCGTCGTGATTGTGATCAGCACCAAATAGGTTTTCATAATATGTTTCACTTCACATTTGATACATTCCAATTGAATGTCAAGCTAAATGACGATGGAACGACAGGTCGCTGCATCGTTGATGGAATCATGAATTTACAACAATTTTCATGGATTTACACATATCCATTACGTTCGATTTTTGTCTACGAATTTCGTCTGCTGAATACGGACAATATCGATGATCCCAAATTTGAAATATTTCGACACGAAGAGATGTGGTACGTAGGCTTATTTTCTCTGGAAACTGTATCTATTTGTCTTGTAGGTCATTCGCCGATATGATCGATGGCATACCTGGCATTGGTTGGATGTATAAGAATCTGTTTCGTCGAAGTTTTGGATACTTCTTTGTTGCTCTTTCTGCGCTAAGTTGCGTCGTTCACGATCGCTTTATTCAAACAGCAAAGAAACGAGAGTGATCAACCAGTGATATTTTGCTGACTTTTTATGATATATACATATTTATTCATGCTAGTACAACTAGACATATACCATGCCTTGTCTTTCAAAAACAAATGATATGATTCTCTATTAAAAACCACTTCTTTTTAATTATAGATTGAATTAAAGTCTTGATAAGGTACAATCGGTATCGAATCAAAAAGATGAAGTTGATCAGTTAGAACATAAACTCCATGTTCGTTGGTTGTAGATTATTTTAATGATTCCACTGTTACGGTATAACGTATGTTCCTTGTTTTCACGCTCAACAACCTTTCGTCTTTCAAACATATCAGTATGCCACCTATCTTCAACGAAAAGAAATGCGAAATCTTCTCCTCCTCGATCTGTATTCGATCGTCTACCAAAAGCTCTTCATCCATACGTTCGTTTAAGTCGACTGGATAAACCAACTGGTTCGTGGGTGATATTTTTACCTGGAGCATGGAGTATCGCTTTGGCCGAAACCTCCTTGAATACGCTCTCTCTGTTAGGATTGTTTGGTATCGGAACGATACTGATGCGAGGAGCCGGTTGTACAATAAATGATCTGTGGGATAGAGAGTATGATCGTCGGGTAGAACGAACGAAAGCAAGGCCATTGGCGAGTGGACAACTTTCAACTCGACAGGGAGTCATTTGGCTTATCGCCCAACTATCGCTGGGCTTCCTAGTTTTGATTCAATTGAACCTGCCAACAATTGGTATTGGAGTGTTATCATTAATACCTGTATTTATTTACCCGTTGATGAAACGGTACACATACTGGCCACAATTCTTTCTCGGAGTAACACTAAACTGGTGAGTAGAATAGTTCGATAGGTGATACTCACTTTCAAGAAGAATATTTTTAGGGGTACCTTGATGGGTTTTACTGCGGCAACTGGTCAGATATATCCAGCAGTTATTTTTCCTCTATATTTTGCAAGTATCTGTTGGACACTTCATTACGATACGATCTATGCCCATCAAGATAAACAAGACGATTTACTTATTGGTGTTAAATCAACTGCGCTCCTCTTCGAAAAAGATTCCAAACTATGGCTGCGTGCTTTCTCCGTGGGTATGTTGACTCATCTGATCACAGTTGGCTTCTGTGTTGATCAAACCTGGCCGTATTACCTCGGTTTAGTTGGTGTCGGCTGTCATCTCTGGCGGCAAATTGAAAATGTTAATCTACAGGATAATCAATCCTGCTGGAAGACATTTGTATCAAATCGTACGACGGGCCTCATGGTTCTTGCTTGTATTTTCGTTGGAAATCTTTTTAAATGACTTCTAGTTATTCGTGTATTGTATAGTAGAAATTAATTTTGCACAAAAGCATGTATCCTAATTTGATGACGAAAAAACAGTACTTCTTTAGAATAGAACTATTTTGTGTCAGTAAATTATGAATGAAACTCTCTGCAAGTCGTAATCTACTCTAAAATGCAACTCTATTACAAATTTCACCAGACTAGATGTCCCTATCAGCCGTCGACTTTCGTGTCACCAATGGTATATAATCATAAAAAAGATGGCAAAACTCCAATGGTAAACTGAATGAGGAAAGCAAAGCAAAGCAAGGCGTCATTGATATAAAAGTCTTGTTTTGTTATTTCAATGACTTCCTCGACTTGACATAAGTAAATTCATGGTTGACATAGCGAAGTTAGAAAGTGATGCCCGTCAACATGCATCGAAAGCTGTTGATCTCGATTCGAAGGGCAAAAGTGAAGACGCCGTTTTCTTCTATATTGAAGCTGCACAAGCATTAATTAGTGTTCGTGAACAATTAATGTCCAACCGGCAACAATCAAAATCATCGTCAATTGATTTAAATGAAATTGTCCGTCTAATACATGGATACGTCAAGCGTGCTGAAGAAATCAAAGCTAGTTTAAAATCAAAACCAACGCCGAGTGTTCATTTGAAAAATACGTCGGAGAAAGGTGTTGAACGTGCTCGATACTTACTGACACAAGCACTTGATGAGGATGAACGGAAGCATTATGAAGCTGCTTTCAAATTATATGAAGAAGCCATCAAACTCTGTCTGAGTGAGAAGAAAACTAATGACAATGCAAAAATCAAAGATCAATTAGAAAAAATAGCTTATCAAGGTAGGTCAACATCCGATTCCGAGCACACAATCAACAAATTTCTAATTTAGCTTTGGAACGTGCTGAAGAATTAAAACGTACGGAGCTAAATACTTCAACGCACGTGCGTTTGCCATCACCACCACGCGAAGAGGTTATCCAAAACGAGCAACAGCAACCGCTTGATATCGATCAACAAAATGTAAATATTATTGATAACAGAGCCAAATTATCTTCGCATGAGCTCGATGTTTTACGACGTGGATCGAAAATAAACGGACGTGATTATGTTCCTTTCTTTAATATTGATTTACGTGAACGTTTTGCATATCAAACACCGTTTAATGATCCACATGGACCATTGAAACTAGCACCAAAGCAACAAACACACTTTTCACGATGGGCACGACCTGATGAAATCATGTCAGAGCCGAAAATGATCATGGCATTGTCATATTTTTCCATCAAGCAAGATCTTATCTCTGATTGCTCATTCGTTGCCAGTCTTGCTGTTAGTGTACAATATGAAAAAAAGTTCAACAAGCGTCTGATAACTTCAATTATCTATCCACAAAATAAGCAAGGTTTATAGAGAAAAATATCATTTGAATCTGTCGATAAAGCCGTTTCGTTTATTAATTAGGTGAACCGATTTATAATCCATGTGGAAAGTACATGGTGCGATTCCATTTGAATGGTGTTTGGAGAAAAGTGATTATCGATGACACACTACCAGTTGATCGTTCGGATCGTAGGTTGCATGAGATGCATCGACGGAAAGGAATACAAAAGAAATGTTCTAGGTCTACTCTGTTCGTCAACTACTAATAAAAATGAAATCTGGGTCAGTTTACTAGAAAAAGCGTATATGAAAGTCATGGGTGGATATGATTTTCCCGGTTCAAATTCAACTGTTGACCTACACGCATTGACTGGTACGCCACTTCGTATAAATCATCCGTTTTCTCTTATCGGCATTACTCATATTTATCTCGCTTAGGTTGGATACCTGAGCTTGTTTCTATTCACCATGCTGAAGCGGCGTTCGATAAAGATAAAGAATTCGATCGCATGTTCGAACGTTTTCATGCCGGACAAGTACTGATTACAGTGGGTAAGTTCGATTACTAATTTTTTTAGATTCCATTCGTTATTGCTTCGATTTTCTAGCAACACCGAATATTTCTAAGGAAGAAGAGGAACGTAGCGGTCTTGTTTCCAGCCATGCTTATGCTCTACTCGATATGCGTAAAATAAATGAACATAAATTAGTGATGTTAAAAAATCCCTGGTCACATTTGGAATGGAAGGGTAACTTTAGTGATTTCGATACACGTAATTGGACACCCGAATTGATCAAAGCACTGAACTATGATCCTAAATTGCAAGTTGATGTTGATAATGGAGTCTTTTGGATTGATTACAATAGTTTGTGTCATCACTTTGAAAATTTTTATTTGAATTGGTCGCCGTCGTTATTTTCCTACACGTCCTGTATACATAACTCGTGGCCGGCTAGACAGGGACCAGTCAAAGATCTTTACAACCTCGGTGATAATCCACAATACGTTCTGCGAGTTAAGCCTAAAACACGAGCATCAATTTGGGTTTGTTCTATCGAGATACTTTACATCTTTGATTCTAATTCTACTCTGATTAAATAGATTCTCTTAACTCGACATATCACTGAACGACAAGACTTCGCTGTGAATCGTATTTTCATAACTCTATTTGTATATAAAAATGGTGGCAACAGAGTCTATTATCCAAATGAAATCAAACCCATCCAAGATGGTGTGAAAACAAATTCAGCACATTATTTAGTCAAACTTGTTACGGATGACGCAGACTTACAAGGACAATCACTGTATACACTTGTGGTAAAGCTAATATCTTGATCAGTTTCATTTGATAGACTGTTCGAATGTTTGCTTTAGGTATCACAATATGAAAAGAATGTGGATATTTTTTATTCGTTACGTGTTTATTCTACATGTGAATTTAGTTTAACTGCGATGCCGGATTATTATAATCCACGTTATCAACAAGAAATAACCGGCGAATGGAAAGGGAAAACTGCTGGTGGTTGTCAAAACAATCCATCGACATTTAAAAATAATCCACTTTATCGACTTGAATTAAACAATCGTGATGTGAATAATCATGGTAAGTACGATGAAAGTTGTATTTCCGGAATAAGACTGAATTTTGTTTCTTTGTTTACGTAGTTAAAATTGAATTGCGTGCACCGAAACAATTTCAAGTGGGCTTCGAAGTTATCTGCACAGAAACCAAGGTTTCCAATGCTGTCGGAGAATTTCACAAGACAGAATCAGGTTCATATCGATCAGGATTTTGTGTTCTAACACTTGGCAATATACCTGGCGGTACATATACAATTCGACCCGCTACATTTGAGCCTAATTGTGAATCACCGTTCTTCCTTCATGTTGCATCGTCACATCAGTGCACATTGAAAAAGATAGAATAACTCGAAACCACTCATATCGGTCCGGTGTGAATTTTTTTTCTTTCATTTGTGATCTTTCTTTGCTGTATAAACATATACTTAACTGATCTTCATTCTGTTTTTCTTCAAAATTCCTATCGAACATTATAAGTAATATCGAAAATCTACAGATGAATCGTTAACTGTTCGTCGGTTAGGTCTTGTACTTAAAAACATTTCGCCAGAGTTGTAACTGCCCTGCAACATGCATTTGGATTCTTTTCGGTGCAGTAAGTAAATCTTAACGTACTAAAGTAACTGCACACTCTCACTATCACCGATTCTGATCAAAGCGATTACGACAGACTACATATCTGGCAATTCGTTGAATATATATATTCATTCCATTCACTTTTCATTTTGTTTCACTTGGATGTCGTGAAAAGAATAACATCATCTACACGGATTTGTCAATGGATTAGTTTTTACTCTTCACGTGTAACTATCCGAAAAATCTCACGGAATATTCATGTAGGTATGATGCCGTTTTACAGGAGAGTTTGACTCTCGTCGGTCACTTTGCAGCACAGTCGATACCAAATAATATATTCATGCCCATTGATTGCATGCATATTTTAAAAAAATTGACTGGCAGATGTCGCACCACTTTTGAATTTAAAATATTTATTTTAAAATAATATTTTTCTTATTTCAATTTATTTTGATCTCATGATGAAAAAATTTTCTCAATGAAATTTTCTTTGAAAATATTCCCACCTCGATGAATAATATTTGAGTAATAAACTTGGCATATTTGATTGAGAAATATGAGTAATGAAACTTCCCATGCAGAACGCATATACTTGACTCAACTTTATTTTGTAGAAGACATGCGTGTATGTGTCAGCGCTGTTTGAATTCATTGTTTCTCGTGTATTATTCCGATCTTCATTTATCCCTGTGAGAAAGGAGAAAGAGCTTAAATTTGTAATCCATGTTGAAGTGTATTGTATGCACAAATAAAGGCTTCGTTTCATTCGTACATTGAAAATCAATCATATACTCGCTTGATTGCATCTCGACTTTTTAGTAATACGTATTTTTCTTCTGAAGTATTCAAGGATCAGATTGATTATTAAGAAGTTCACTCAGTTCTTTTTTACCAAATATATTTTTTTGTTTCTAGATTTGTATTAAATTTATCCCTGAAAAATGAGATAAACTTGTGAAGTGAATCTCGTTGTTTTTATTTTTTTTTCTTGTAAAAAATGTTTCAATCCATTATTTTTTGTACTGTACTGTATTCCTTACTGATCACGCGCACACTTTCGCTACAGTCAATTGTGGTTAAAGTCAAAGGTGACTGTAAACAACTGGCTAGTGATATTGCTCAAGAGCATGGATATCGTTATGTTCGACAGGTAGGATTCTTTTTTGTGTGCTCCTTCAAAAGTTTAACATTTTGTCCAGATTTTCGATGGATATTGTGAAATTGAAGAAGATCCATCGTCAGTTAATCATATACGACATCGGCGTGCTGTAGAACAAAATATTGATCCGGCTGATTTGCTTCGCAATCATCCACATGTAGAACTTTGATTGAATATCGTTGATCGTTTCGTATTCGTCCTGTTTAGGTTCAATGGGCAGAGACCCAAGTAGGAAAAGTTAGAAATAAGCGTGAATATAAATTTCACGATCCCGAGTGGAATAACATGTGGTATTTGGTGAGGAAAAATCGGATGTTTCGGTTCTGAGGTGACAGTCATTTGTTTTCAAATAGATGAGACATTCACAAAATGGAAACTTGCCAGATTTAAATGTCACTGGAGCTTGGCAGATGGGTTACACAGGTCGCGGTCGAGTGGTCACTTTTCTTGATGACGGTCTGGAATTCGATCATCCTGATCTACAAGAAAATTATGTTCGTTTGTCAAACGTTTTCCTATGAAAAAAGACCCTCTTGTATTGATAGGATCACGAAGCTAGTACCGATATTAATGGCAATGATAGTGATCCTTCACCACGTTATGATCCCACTGATGAAAATAAGTAAATAGATATGATTTCGTTCCATCACTACATGTCATACATAAGCGTCTGCTTTCCCTAGGCATGGAACTCGATGTGCTGGTGAAGTTTCTGCAAAAGCTGATAATGGTATATGTGGAGTAGGAATCGCCTATCACGCTCGAGTTGGAGGTGTTCGAATGCTGGATGGAGAGGTAACTGATAGCGTTGAAGCACGTTCGATCAGTCATCGACCTGACCACGTGGAGATCTATTCGGCTAGTTGGTAAAAACTAAAATAAATAATCATCGCTTTGGAACGAGGATATACATGATGAATCTGTTTTAGGGGACCCGATGACAACGGTGTGGTTGTCGATGGCCCAGGTATCTTAGCAACGAAAGCATTCGAAAATGGTGCTTTGAATGTAAGTAAATGGAAATTTTGAATTTTTATGATGATCGGAATTATGTAGGGACGAGGTGGAAAAGGATCAATCTTTGTTTGGGCTAGTGGGAACGGTGGTCGATCAGGAGATTCATGTGCGTGTGATGGCTATATAAATTCTATCTATACGGTATGTCTTGGTGTATGATGATATAGCCAAACATCTACTCTGGAAAGGCGGACACTTTCTCTTTAGCTTTCAATTTTCGCATAAATGACAAAGACATAGTTGAATTTATTTTCATAGGTTGCCGTTAGTTCTGTAACAGAAGCGGGAAGGAAACCATGGTTTCTCGAAGAATGTTCTGCAACTCTTACTACTGCATATAGTAGTGGCGAATTTGGTGAGCACGAAATTGTAAGTTGCAAGATTTGTATTCTACATCATATCATACCGTGCCTCTTCGTCACAAAAAGATTTCAACTGATTTACATCATGGTTGCACGAGTCATCATACTGGAACGTCTGCAGCAGCACCTCTAGCTGCAGCTATCTATGCACTCGTTCTTGAGGCCAAGTAATGATTGACAAGTTTTGCTCATTTCATATTCTCCAATTATCTTATCGTTTTCAGTCCTGATTTAACTTGGCGTGATATCATGCATATAACTGTACTAGGTTCTCGCCCATATGCTATACCATCAAATACTCCTCTTGTTCAGAATGCTGCTGGATTCAATGGTAAACATCTGATGATTCATACCGTCAAAATATTTAACCTCATCTTTTCTAGTTAGTAGTAAGTATGGTTTTGGCTTGATGGATGCTGGTTTGATGACATGGTATGCAAGTATTTGGAGAAACGTCCCCCCTATGTCAACATGTGAAACGGTTATAAATCAACCTGAAAGAAACATACCAAGTGGATCAAGTGAAGTCTTTCGTGTGAATTTAACTGAATGTCAGGAGACAGTTGATATTAAACGAACAGTGAACTATATTGAACAAGTGCAAATTTTCATTACTTTAACTACAGGAGATCGAGGATCGACAGAAATCTATCTTTACTCACCGTCAAAAACCGAAACACAACTCTTACCAGTACGAAGAATTGCATATTTTCCTAGTAGATTAAAAGTGTGGTGTTGATTTTAGAAACGAGCCAATGACCATAGTGACCAAGGTTTTGTTAATTGGCCATTCTTAACTGTACAATTATGGGGCGAACCGCCGTATGGTCAATGGGCACTAGAAGTACGTAATAAAGGTGTACAATCAGGTAATTCATTCATATGATAGACATACACTTGCGCTCATCTCTACGTCATCTAGCTGTTCTCAAGTCTTGGAGACTTGTCGTCCACGGTACAAAAGATTATCCTGTATCACTTCGTTCGTCACCAGACGGTCACATTTCAAATGTGAGTACTGACCATGTATCTTCGATTTCTTCGGCGACATCTTCGATTTCGCTCTATTCTGTTTTAATATTGATTGACATTTCACTCTTAGTTCTACAATAGTAACTGACTTTTTAATAAGCCCGATTTTTATGCATTTAACACATCACTGGTGATCATCTATCGTCTAACAAATGTTTTTATTCATACATCTAATAAACAGAGAATAGTATAGTTTGATGAATTCATATCTATAGGCTATGATAAATTCACACGGCTAATCAGTTCAGAGAAGTATTAGCTAATTGCTTAGCTATTTTCATTCATCTCTCTTGTCAGGGTTGCTTTCGAAGTATGCTCTAGTCTCAGTTCACCAATCTTTCTTTTTTCTCAGTGTCACAGTGAATGTAAACCAGATGAACCATGTGGCCAAACGGACACCAGTTGCACAGCATGCCGGCATTACAAACAAATGGTAGCGGACGGAAAATTGTAAGAAAATTTCGATGAGAAGAATTTTCCTACTACTTTATCTTAGTAAATGCGTGGGTATATGTCCGGAAGGCAGCTACGCATCGGCAACGGACGGCGTGTGCTTACCTTGTCATTCAAAATGTGGCTCATGTCGAAATGCGAGTGCATTCAGTTGTATTGGCTGTAAGCTTGGCTTTTATCTTATACCCGATACTACCACATGTAGTGAAGTCTGTCCCGAAAAATATTTTACAGGTAATCGAATGTAACAAACTGAAAGACAACGATATCACAATGTTTTATTTTGATAGATAGAAAATTACGAAAATGTGTTCATTGCAAAGCAGATTGTGCATCGTGCGAAACGAATTCTTATGTTTGCACGTCATGTTCAGACGACTATGCGCTGAAAGGTACAGACTGTGTTAAAGCACCACGAGCATGTAATACTTCGGATTATTTCGATTTCTCGGCAAATGAGTATGTCAAACTCTACTGAAAACATTTGTCAGATGTTAATTCATTAGATGTCGATGGTGCGATTCACAGTGTTCCACTTGCAGTGGCCCAAACAGCTATCAATGTACATCTTGCGATTTGAAAAGCAAATATCCTTATCTTCAATATCATACATGCGTGTCTTCCTGTTCACCGGGTTTCTATCCATCTCAATCGAGTTCACAATGTCTTCCATGTTACGATACCTGTCTAAATTGTACATCATCGAATGAAACATCTTGTTTATCGTGCAAGTTAGGTTATGTTTATCTTCCTGACAGTCATCGCTGCGAAAAATATACTGGGAAACCGTATTATATTGATAAGCACACTGGTGAACAACATCCGTGTCATTCGTCGTGTACACAATGTAAAGGACCAAATCCAACTGATTGCATTGCATGCAATCTGGTTACCGAAGTACTTCTCAGTGATGGCCACTGCGTTCATGACTGCCCCGATGGTTTCTATATAAATGAAAGTCGGACAGTTGAGATTGAAACAAACATCTGTATGCCCTGCACAATTGGATGCAAAGGGTGCACAAAAGAAAGACAATGTGTTAAATGTGATGAAACAAAGGGATATCATCTGGATGGAAATGAATGTATTCCCACATGCCCGCCAAAGTAAATAGTACTGAATCGAACGACTGCTTTTATATTCTTTTTCTCAAGGACCTTCCTATCCGGTACAAAATGTGAACCATGCGTTCATCCGTGTTTAACATGCACGGGCTTAATAAGTTGTCTTGATTGCCGGGACAATTTATATCTGCTAGAGGATAGATGTGTTGATCGCTGCCCGAATGGTTACTATCTAAGCGAGAGAAAGTGTATGCCATGTCATCCTATGTGTGGCACATGCAAAGGTACGAATCGTAAATATAGAATCTCAAAGAAAACGTCAAAGTTGATTTCTTCGGTTTCAGGACCATTGGAAGATGAATGTCAGACATGCGCGGAAGGATTCGTTTTCGATAATGTTAAAAAGAAATGTGTTAGCGTATGTCCAAATGGAAATTTCTTCGCTAAAGATACAAAAGTAAGTTCATATTCGAGAATTAGTCAATCGACTCATTGCTCTGTTTTCTTCTTCTAAAGCAATGCACAATGTGCACTCACAACTGTCTGGAGTGCTTTGATCCTGGTTCGTACTGTCGACAATGTGCCTATCCAATGTCACTTACTACAACTAACGAATGCTCACCTTGTTGTACATCAAACGAAACAACTGAAGAATGTTGTCAATGTCCAGATATCTGGAACGGTACAACCACTTGTAGATCATCGATTCGATACAAATGTTTTCTTTTAGGTTATTGCATTCATCCTCTGGCACTTCAACCAACTCGTTCATCACCTTGGTGGCTAATATCGCCCTTCGAGAAGATTCGAACTAAGTTCGAAGATTTTGATTCGTCACGCCAAAAGATTATTTTGATCGTTTTAATTGTTATTCTATTCTCTTCTGGACTATGTTTAGTGGTTCTTAGTATTTGTAATCTCAAGGATTTTCGTAAACGAAACCAACGATCGTATGATAATGTCGAATATATGCCATTAGATAGTATAATGAACGGTAACAGTGATGATGAAGATACGAATTTAACACAACGATAAAACAATGCTTTTCTCTCTCTCTCTCTCGCCGTAATTCTGATGTTCCCCAGTCGGTATATGTCTTTCATTTTTCTCCACTTTTTGCATTGAAATAAATGTTGGCCAATCATGATCACTTGTTGTTTCGTCTCTATTTCGTTCTTTGTTTTCATCGCGATCTAGTTCCATAGTTAGTTTCTCTTTTCGATTGCATCAACAGATGAATAATTTACTTGATCGTCAAAATGTTCTCGATAATCTGACAGCAATTGAAACCACTGCCAAACTACTTGTCAATGCTTTGACGACGAGGCCCGACGATACAGAATTGAGCTTTAATGAAGTTCAACAGGAGGAGCTAATTCATCAGTCACAAACGTTTCTCACCGAAGCACGACAAGATGCTCAGTAGGCTGATGATATCTGTCGTGTGCAGTATGATTATTTCGAGGATAGAAGAATATGAAAATAGTCTCTTATTCTATAGAATTACATGGTGTAACATACTCAGGTGATTCAATCCGACAGTCGGATTACATCGAAAAAATGACTGAATTTTATCGGATATTAGCAATAACACATAGCACATTGTTATCGCCACCTTTTTCCTTTTCCTTCTTGTTCAGATCTATATGTCCTATATGCGGTTCGATGGCATGATATACATAGGGTCGTCAAAAAGTTTTGGCAACACTGGTGCGCAAAATTTTAGCTGAACGGTTTCTATTCTTTGCGCCGGTTTGTTTTAATAGTGACATCTGTTGTGCATTAAATTACCAATAAAAAGTTTTTCTCGTGTTCGTTATAATTAATCTTTAATTAACTTTTCGAACAGCTCTGTATTTCAATGGATAAACTGTGTATTCGATCATACATAAAAACTCGCCTTTTATTAGGCTTAAATGCAATTCAAATCTATGATGAATTAGTCACTGCTTATGGACCAGATGTAGTTTCATATCGTACAGTTGCTCGATGGGTTCAACGATTTTCAACAGAACAGCAGTCCTTGGAAAATAATCCTCGAAATGGCCGTCCAGTAACCGTCATTACTCAACAGAATATTGATTCTGTCAAGGATTTGGTGAATGATGACCCACATATTAGTATCGATTACATAGCAATGATCTTGGATATATCGCATGGAAGTGTGCATACCATTCTTAAACAACATCTTGGATTAAGAAAAATAACATCAAGATGGGTACCCCATGCACTAACTGAACAACAAAAACAACGACGTGTTGAGATTTGTACTGAAAATTTGAGAAAATTCGAAAATGGTTCCTGGAGACTATGTGATATAGTGACAGGAGATGAAACATGGATCTATCATCGAAAAATTAAAGCAAAAGAACAATGCAAAGTATGGGTTAGAAAAGACGAAAGTCCTGCAACAGAGGTTCGACGACAGCAATACGAGAAGAAAACCATGTTTATTATTTTTTTTTTGTCTACTGGCCCATTAGTTGTTCATGAATTACCATCTGGCATGTCAATTGATGCTGTTTATCATCGTGATGAATGTTTAAAAAAGTTAATCTCAAAATTACGAAAGAAAAGACCGTTATCATTAACAAAAGGTATTTAGCTGCATCATGATAATGCTCGTCCACATATGAATAATATTATTTTTGATTATGTTCAACAACACAAAATGCAAACTATGGTCCATCCACCTTATTCGCCTGACCTTGCTCTTTGTGATTTCTGGCTCTTCGGCTATCTAAAACGTAATCTCGATACATATCCAGATTCTACAAGTTTGGCTACAGCAGTAACCAAGGAGCTCAACTCAATACCTGTTTATGAATATCAAAAGACCTTTCAGAAATAGATCCAAAGGATGAAACTTTGTATCGAACATCGTGGGGACTACTTCGAACATTTGTTGTAAAAAGATTAGCGAAATGTTTTTTTTTTCTTAATAAAAATATGAAAGTGACAGAACTTTTTGACTGCCTTATGTATATGTAGTGACGTCATTATATAACGTGTTCTTTCAGACAAGAGAACAATGACTGATCTCTTTCTTTATGCGTCTTTTCTCGATTCGACGTTCATTTTCTCTCTTCGGTCACTTTCACTCAACAGACAGAAAGAACGAATGAAACATGGACTGACGTTCTCTCTTTTGTATCTATTCTGTTCGTGTTCGGTCTATTCTAGACAATGGCTAGTCGTCTATATAGATATACATCGATTTCCTTTACGTTCATTCGTATCAACAGCAATCGAGGCCTCGTTCAACAACGCAAACAAGCAATCCTGTCAAATCATACGTAAGTCCTCACTTTTGATACCGAGTAATGTTTCAAACATAATTATGTCCATCAAGGCCTCCGATACACATATATATGTTCGCATGCATGTGTATTGCCTTTCTTGTATAGGTGTGTCCCGCCATGTTTCATCATTGCTGTCTCTATACAGAGTTCTACACTGTACGCGCGCGCGGGTAAGTCATTACATTTATTTCAAGTAAAAAAGGTACAGTAATCTTTTATTCCTTCATTGCTCTCTTACAACTTTCGATATTTTCTTTTACGTCATTTATATCAGGATGATTCGCCGGTAATGCACGTTGACGAATGTCCAGAGCGCGTTCGAAATAAGTAAGTGCTTTCGAATACTCTCCCATGTTGTAGTACACCAAACCGATGTTGTTGTACGATTGAGCCAAATCAGGGTGATTCGAAGGAAGAGTTTTTCCCCAGATTTCAAGTGCTTTTTCATAGAATGAAAGTGCTTTCGAATACTCTCCCATGTTGTAGTACACCAAACCGATGTTGTTGTACGATTGAGCCAAATCAGGGTGATTCGAAGGAAGAGTTTTTCCCCAGATTTCAAGTGCTTTTTCATAGAATGAAAGTGCTTTCGAATACTCTCCCATGTTGTAGTACACCAAACCGATGTTGTTGTACGATTGAGCCAAATCAGGGTGATTCGAAGGAAGAGTTTTTTCTCTAATTTCAAGTGCTTTTTCATAGAATGAAAGTGCTTTCGAATACTCTGCCATGTTGTTATACACCAAACCGATGTTGTTGTACGAAGCAGCCAACGAAGGATGATTCGAAGGAAGAGATTTTTCTAGGATTGCAAGTGATTTTTCATAGAATGAAAGTGCTTTCGAATACTCTTCCATGTTGTAGTACACCAAACCGATGTTGTTGTACGAAGTAGCCAACGAAGGGTGATTTGAAGGAAGAGTTTTTCCCCAGATTTCAAATGCTTTTTCGTAGAATGAAAGTGCTTTCGAATACTCTCCCATGTTCTTGTACACCCCACCGATGTTGTTGTACGAAGTAGCCAAATCGGGGTGATTTGAAGGAAGAGATTTTTCCCAGATTTCAAATGCTTTTTCGTAGAATGAAAGTGCTTTCGAATACTCTCCCATGTTGTTATACACCAAACCGATGTTGTTGTACGAAGTAGCCAAATCAGGGTGATTCGAAGGAAGAGATTTTCCCGAGATTTCAAGTGCTTTTTCGTAGAATGAATATGCTTTCGAATACTCTCCCATGTTCTGGTACACCGCACCGATGTTGTTGTACGAAGTAGCCAACGAAGGGTGATTCGAAGGAAGAGTTTTTTCTCTAATTTCAAATGCTTTTTCATAGAATGAAAGTGCTTTCGAATACTCCCCCATGTTGTTATACACCAAACCGATGTTGTTGTACGAAGCAGCCAACGAAGGATGATTTGAAGGAAGAGTTTTTCCCCAGATTTCAAGTGCTTTTTCATAGAATGAAAGTGCTTTCGAATACTCTCCCATGTTGTAGTACACAAAACCGATGTTGTTGTACGAAGTAGCCCACGAAGGGTGATTCGAAGGAAGAGTTTTTTCTCTAATTTCAAGTGCTTTTTCATAGAATGAAAGTGCTTTCGAATACTCTCCCATGTTGTAGTACACCAAACCGATGTTGTTGTACGATTGAGCCAAATCAGGGTGATTCGAAGGAAGAGTTTTTTCTTCGATTTCAAGTGCTTTTTCGAAGAATGAGAGTGCTTTCGAATACTCTCCCATTTTGTCATACACCAAAGCGATGTTGCTGTACGAAGTGGCCAACGAAGGGTGATTTGACGGAAGAGTTGTTTCTTGGATTTTAAGTGCTTTTTCATAGTACTCTATAGCCATTTTATAATCACCTTGATCATCTTTTAAGTAGCCAAGTTGATGATAATAGAGTGCTGTGTCACTCTTGTTAGATGTTTGTTCGAGTAGCACAGCGTACAGTTCTTCGGCTTTATCCAACTGTCCGAGTTTAAGCAATAATTTACCCAAACATTGCCATCCTGTACTACCTTGAACTTCCCTTTCAATCCGGTCTGTTAACACACGGAGTTGTGGATCGTCATCAGCGGTCAACTGAAGTTGCACCTCATGGTGAAGTTTATTCTTGTCACCCACTTGTCGAATTGTACCGACACGAAAGACGCTGTGCATGGAAAACAGGATCTCTGCTTCGTCTTCAAAATAACTAACACCGCGAACAGATGCGAATGGCGTAGTACTAATATTTGGATCAATTGTAATCACGAACAGAACACCCACCTTGTCGGGATCACTGAGAGCGCTGTAGGTAAACACAAGAGATTTCTGTTGTTTGATACTGGTGGATAAAAAATTGTTGAAAGATAAAAGACCACCTACAGTTTTGGATAACTGGTCAAAATCTTTCTTACATAGTCCCTGTCCACGGTAGACTACGAAAGGTTTTCGTTTGTAATTGCTGACCTGTGCTTGATGTAGTTGTTGTATTTGTTTGTGTAAATCATGGAGGAAAAACCCCATGTTAATGATGAGTTCGCCATCCAAAGTGCGAAGTGCTTGATTGAGCATTTGGTAGGTAAAACACTCACGTGTATACCACCAAATGGCCTTATCTGGACGATAGTTACGTTCAAACTCACCGATAATCCTTTGCTCTTTGATGTTGTTTTGAAAACACTGACGACAATAAATGAGCAGGTCTTTGATTCCTTGCTTGTCATGTTCCATGTCGAGGAGAATCTTCTTGAATATTTGCGTGTACATAAAACTGGGTTCCAGTTGATTGAGATTGGCATTGGGACCCTCTTCTATTACAGGAACTAAACTGATGGCGATGGAGTCTTGATTATATTGTTTAACACCCGTGGTCAGCGCTTCACAGATTTCTTTGATATTTGTGTGAACACCTTTGACTTTTGACCAGCTCTTTGTCCAGGTTTCATGCCTGGATTTGTTGCTACAGAAGATGTAGATGGCATTCACTTGTGGAATGTCGTGAATCTCGGGAACTAACTGTTGACCTAAGGATCCCGATGTGATGACGAAAGCTTTTTCGTCACCAATGCTATTGAGAAATTGAACGCAAGCATCTGGTTGAGTGTATATATTGACATCATTGACAACACTTCGTAAGTGCGTCAAAGTGTTCTGCCGGTCTTCGTCCTTTTCATCGATGTTTGTATTCACCCAAACTAAGAGGTAGTTTTGAACCATGCGTTGTCGCTGTTGATTACCATGCTTCCTTGTCGTGGAGCTTGATTTTGATTTTTGTGCGTCCATTCTGTTGAATAAAGTGAAATTCGCAGTATTTGGTTTTTTTGTGAAAATGAAGAAATTCGCTTCTCTTTTTATATAGACAGCGAATGACGTTGTTCTCTTCTTGAATCTTTTCGGGGACGAAATATATTTATGTTATTGTTTGAATCTTGAGCGAGCTTTTTCATAGTAAAATAAGCAAGGAAGAAAAAAACAATAACACAAAAATCGCTTTAAGATGCTCGAAACAGGCGCAGCAGGTAAGAAGCCATTAACGAACTTTGGTTGTTATTCTTTTCAACTTTTTCTTGTCGGTAGTCTTCAGGCAAACTCATTCGCGGAATTGGGTGATTTTTTTCTCTGAAAGGACCACATTTGAGGGTGAGTAGAAACAAACTGGTTTTAATTCCACAAGGGATATAATTTAAAGCAATGGTTGTAGTTTATTTTGATTCATCCTTTTAACTATCGTTTATAATCTTAACCCGTAAAAGCCGAGATATCGCTTCCAAGGGATATTGGATTGATCGCGGTAGAACAGAGGAGTTAAATTGTATTCATGAAAGCTACTGTTTTCCTGAACAAAGACAGTCAAAATGAGTGTGTGACGGAGGAAAATCACGCTAAAACAGTTTTCGCGAACTTCAACATAGCTCCGAGTGAGAGTCTATTTTTAAGCAAAATTGGGTGCGCGGATATTTCTATATCTTGGCATATACAATACAGATTTTGAATAATATCATGAGAAACAATCGTAAACTGCAATATAAAACAACTTTGCACGTTTTTTACTATTATAAGAAGCCATTGTGACGTGGTAAAAAAAGTACCGTTTTACAGGCATTTTTAGCATAGTAACCTAGGTACTTGTAAATTTTTTGCTCAGTCAATAATCGCAGATACCTCAAAATATCACGAGATTAAATTCGCGGTGGTCCTGAACTATGCTACATGGTCACCCAAATGAAAACTTATTAGAATCATACTTCACCCAGACCGTTTGGGTGGAAAACATTTTTAGCATCACCCAGCGGTTTTGACCATGATATATGCGTATTCATACTCCAGACCTCCATTTATACGATTATTTCATTCCCTGCATTCAAAAAAAAAAACTCTTCGGTTTTTAAGGGTTAATCAATGCATATGTAAAAGTCAAAACAGACTTAAATCAATAGGAACATGTCGGATTTTATCCGAAAGTTAGATGTGCTGCAAAAAATGTATCAGATGCAAGGCAATAAGAAAACGCAGAGAATTATCGATATTTTCTCAATACTCCAGGACTCAGATATCCAATCAGACTGACCTTCGAGTTCCAGTGAGATTCTGGCGTAACAATACGCCATTGAAATTCCATCACAATCAAATAAGCCTTTCAGCAGTTATATTCTAGACCGACAATAGAGCACAGTGAGTGATTCTACTAATACGCTCGCTTTCTCAGTATATTATGACATGAAAATGTTTTTAATCTGTTGCGACCAACATATTGGTGTTACTTTAGCTCCCCGAAATCAACAACAGACTTGAACGCAGATCATCTTTGAACGGATTTTCGGGCCTTACAGCATTTAGCACATCTTGGATGGCTTTCTTAGTGTTAACGGACCCAAAGATAGTTTGGGTGAGTATCATCCTCATCCACACCCTAGGTGGCCGACCGGAGCTAGGCTGACGAACAACTAGGCGTTTTATTTGAATTGCTTAGAGGAGATAAAATAAGTGAAAATAAACTGAGTTTTTATTCAGAGTAGTCTGAAGAGAGTCGATGAATAAATTTTTATAGACGGTGTTCGGTTCGGTTTGTTTACGTCTTTAGACAAATAAATTGAAAGTAATCTGACATGAATGAAGCAGAAAATGAAAGAATGAGCATAAAACTGATTTCAATTCGAACCTAATTAGATTAAGATCTAAGTGAGAGCGCGTTTATCTACTAGTTTTCTGATACTTCCAGAAAAGGGTCAGCGAATCCAGCGGATGAGCGCTACTTGTGGAGTTTCGCGCATAGTTTGAGGTCTAAAAAACAATTAAGAGTTGTGTTTAAAAGAATGCTGGAAGTTGTATGAGAAAAATGGATTTCGTATTTCGGCATATAGAACAAAAAGTCATGATCTCTGTTGATAAGGTAAAACAAATGGATTGAATGCGTATAAAAGATGCTCCAGAGGAATCTTCTGTGCAAGATAGAGAAGTATTAAGAGTATGGTTGAAATATAGTTGATGTTAGGTCTTCTATTTCTATCTTAAATTCATATGATATTTATGTAACATTCTTTTACAACGCAATCCTTTTGCAATTTACGGACTGAGCTCTGCAGTGTTAATATAACCGTAGTAATAGGTTTAAGTGCTTCTTATGATCAATAAAACTTTTGCCGGTGCTATCTAATGAAAGCAACTTTCTCGATTATAAGAAACGTAACTAGAAGGATGTTAGCAATCGCTCGTTGCAACTACTGCAAAGATCGCCTATTGTATGAAGTCACTAGTTTCGGGAGTAGAATCGTACTTTTTTCTTCAAGTAATTATTGGAGCGCTTCGTGTTGCTTTTAATTTTTTTTATCACTTTTCTGAACAATAATTTACCTTTAATTACTCAAAAGAAAATAAATATTTGGTGCAATTCAACTATAAAATGCATTGTTATTCAATTGACCAAAACTATAAATACCCAAGTAGAGTCGATATTTCGTTTTATTTATCAATATCCTTTCTACGATTAATCTGTTATGCTAACGTGGAATATGTTTTTGATGAAGTACAGAAACAGAACTGATGAGGAGTATGAATAACGAAACATTTACCATCATCTGTTGTTTCTTACTGGCAGGCTAACTACCGAAAGTTTGATGAGTATGTCTATGCTAGTGGAATGGTGTGTACACATAATTTGCTGGAATTCTAGTCATCGATTGACCTAGAACAATCTACATTAAGCACATATGAATTGCAGTGCACAATGAGCTTCTTTCTACATCTTGCTATGATTGAAATAGTCGACGAAGTTTTAGATACAATGCTGGTGTCTGTTTTTGTACCGGGGTAAATGCCTTCTGTCTTCTTGAACTATCTCGCCCTTGCAATTGGGACGTCAGATTTTTCATGAACATTGAAAAATACATGACAGCGTCAATCAATATACCGATTCTTTGTAATTAAAGTATTACAGCCGTTGTCTTAATGAGATCTACTGGCACAGAGATTGTGCAACGTTTATACCAATCCCGTCGGATTCCTGCGATTTTCTAAATATCAACTCCGACGGCCGGATCCTATCCCATTTGTTGACCGGGAGAATGGAAACCTCTTCGCTCAAGATACAAAAGTAAGTTCATATTCGAGAATTAGTCAATCGACTCATTGCTCTGTTTTCTTCTTCTAAAGCAATGCACAATGTGCACTCACAACTGTCTCGAGTGCTTTGATCCTGGTTCATACTGTAATCGTTTTAATTGTTATTCTATTCTCTTCTGGATTATGTTTAGTGGTTCTTAGTATTTGTAATCTCAAGGATTTTCATAAACGAAACCAACGATCGTATGATAATGTCGAATTATGTGCCATTAGATAGTATAATGAACGGTAACAGTGATGATGAAGATACGAATTTAACACAACGATAAAACAATGCTTTTCTCTCTTTCTCTCTCTCGCCGTAATTCTGATGTTCCCCAGTCGGTATATGTCTTTCATTTTTCTCCATTTTTTGGATTGAAATAAATGTTGGCCAATCATGATTAAGCAAAGATGACACTTGTTGTTTCGTCTTTATTTCGTTCTTTGTTTTCATCGCGATCTAGTTCCATAGTTAGTTTCTCTTTTCGATTGCATCAACAGATGAATAATTTACTTGATCGTCAAAATGTTCTCGATAATCTGACAGCAATTGAAACCACTGCCAAACTACTTGTCAATGCTTTGACGACGAGGCCCGACGATACAGAATTGAGCTTCAATGAAGTTCAACAGGAGGAATTAATTCTTCAGTCACAAACGTTTCTCACCAAAGCACGACAAGTAGTATTCAATGTGTGGAACAATCTAAATGCTCCAAAAGACAAGTTATTCGAAAGTAAAACATATGTCGTGATATGTCAATGTATTTCGATTTCTTCTTAGAAACAAATGGAACATCATCAATGAATGATGTATCACATAACGGTGGCGACGAGAACAAAATATCCTCATCGACAAAGAACTATTCCTTATCATCAATTACATTAGATGATATTGTTCAAAATCGAGTTACAGTCAAAGATCTCTTTCCTAATTGTTCACTTCTGCAAGATTCGCATTCGCCAAATCTTGTTTCATTAGTTCGCAATCTTCGCCAGATCGATGATGTCCATGGTATGCTGATGAAAGCTTACATGAAAATTTTCAATCACGATGAACGAATCTGCTGTAATTATAATGGCACGAACGGTAAACTACCTTATCCTCGACATAAACAACTTCTGTTCGACCGTCTTGTCAAGCTGATTCTTGCCGAACGTGAAAAAATCTTCGACGATAGTTTCTATACGCGATGTGAAAAGCATTTCTCGTCCGACACACCTTCGTTGAAATATCGAGGAGTGAATATCGATCATTTAAACGAAAATAATAATTGCACTGATGAAAAACAATTTATCTGTGCGCTTTTTCGTCTGGTTGTTCCATCGGAGAACGTCAAACAGATTCTCGCAGCCAAACAAGATCTCACATCGCAATGGAATGAGAATGATATAGATATCTATTACGTACATCCAGTTTACTTACTATGGATCAAACAAAAATGGATCGAACGTTTTCCTATAGAACACAATGATGAAGCACAACGATGGTCACAGTGTATCGATTGGGCAATTGAATCATTTCTTGAGAAAAAAAAGGTTAAATCGATCGATCGTTTTCTCTTACTGAAAATCTGATTGTTGTTTAGGTTCGACCATCGAAGCGAAAGACAATGGAGGTCTCCACTGATCATAAGCGAGCGAAACCGTCGATAACTCTCGAAGAAAAGCTCAAACAAATCGATCGGACAAAGTTCAATGTTTACGAATTTGCCACGGAACTTCTTCAACACATTTCGGATGAGAACAGTCAAACTCTACCTACGTTTGAACAATTACGAATATTGGAATCGAGTGTAACACGTTTTTATTGGACACCTGATCAGGACGAAACATGGTATCAAATCTTAGATTTGCTCACGAAGATCTTTCTTCAAGAGTCAAATGAGGATTTTCGGCAAACATATTCGAAGAATTTAATCGAACTCAATCCCACTCATCAGATAGAAATCGAACGCTTATTACAAATCATCACACGAGAATGAACTGACGCTTTCGAATGAATATGTGCTTGTTCGTGTAAACCGACATATCAATGTTATTTTGGTTGTATAATTTTTGTTGTTGAAATAAAATATTTTTGTCCAAGACTTGCTTCAATCGTTGTCCATGTCCTTCTTTCTTGCGCAATAATCATAAACGATTCAACATACAGCGCTATCTAGCGACTTCAGTATGAAGATCAACGAATAGAATTCGATTGGTTTTCTTCAGGATCAGACAGCTAGCTTGGCTGGTTGGGAAAGAAAGTGAAACGCTGTATGAAATTCGAATGATTGTACTGCGAAATTTTTCCATTTAGATGTATTGAATTCACATGGCATCTCGAAATAATCGTTATTATGAATCAAATCGGCAAGCATACGGTGGCAATCCTCGATCGCAATCGGGCAATCCGCTTGATGATGAAAGTATCGCAGGAATATCCGAAGATTATCAACGAGTCCTTGATGACGATTCGAAATGTTCGCGTTTGTTGAAGAAAGTCCTTCGTGATGAACGATCGTTCGAAGTCCGACTTCAACGTCTTCAAGAATTTCAAATTTATTTAGAAAAATCTGATAGTAATAAAGTAATACTGTTGCTCAGTTAAATTTCAGTGCGATATTCAACCAAACTTGATTTAGTTCGTTATGAAAATCGCTCAGTCCGCAATTAACTTACTTTTTAAAGAATTTCAAGAACGGTAATCGAAAAGTCTTTCATTTTCTTGAGAAACGAACTCATTAATTGAATTTCTTCTTCTCAAAGATCTAACGAAACTATTCGATCAGAACTAGCTCGATGTATTGGCCTAATTGGTTACATCATGCTCAACGAAGGCGATCCATCGTAATTCGCATTCTTTTCTCGCATCGATCATCCATCATTTTGTTATTTCAGGTTCGCTGATTGGTTGTTCACTTGTTTGAACGACATACGAAGAAACGATCTTCAACGACAATTTCTTATCAGTGCATTCCGAACCAGTATCCAAAATGAACACGAAACTTTATGTTTAACTGATCATATCCAACGGATAAGCGACCAGTTGAAAAAGATTCTCGAGTCCGTTGTTTATGCACCGTTGATGACAGTGATTACCGATACAATCATTGATCTCTCGCGAATCTATCCGCATGTTTTCCAAGAAATTTTCGTCGTAAATATGTCCACGTTTATCAGACAATATCATCTTTGTTTCGTGTTATTTTCAGGATATCGTGGATATACTCATCGGATGGTATATTGAACCATTACCAACAGATCGTATACTTGAATATACCAGTCAAGCTCTACAAAAATTCCGTCCATTTTGGATTGAACAAATCGAAGGCACTACGTTGACACTGTTAGATCATTTCATTGAAGATGCTGACAATTACGCGCAGGTAGGACGGAAGAATATGAAATNCATCTTTGTTTCGTGTTATTTTCAGGATATCGTGGATATACTCATCGGATGGTATATTGAACCATTACCAACAGATCGTATACTTGAATATACCAGTCAAGCTCTACAAAAATTCCGTCCATTTTGGATTGAACAAATCGAAGGCACTACGTTGACACTGTTAGATCATTTCATTGAAGATGCTGACAATTACGCGCAGGTAGGACGGAAGAATATGAAATCATCTGATGAACATTGGTTGACTGTTTAGCAATTTGAAAACCAAGCACATGAAGAGAGAGACGAAAATATGGTTTCCTTCACAGATAAAATTGCTGCATTGTACCGGTAAGTACACAACGGAGAGAAGAAGATATCTATTCAGTATGAAATTTGCTTTCTTCAGAGCATTTGGAACTGTTCTTCGTGCACTTTCCGATGATTTTTCTGCAACACCCAACTTACTTCCACTTGACTATGTTGATAATTGGCTTCAAAAGATTCTACACACAACGAGTATCATTCGACGTGATAAATTCTACGGTGTTTTAGCTCGACATGCAAATACGATCGTATGCATCTTATTAGAGATGTTCACACAATTTCACGAGAAATTACAAAGTGAAATCTTTGACTTTATTATCCAACAAACCATTCTTCAGAAACAAGATTGGCCATACGAAGCAGATGTCAACTTACTTCGTTTGATTATGAAAATCATCGATTTAGTTGATCACAATTCGTGTGCAGATCTAGCTCATTCCATATTTGCAAGTCAATCACGTCTATGGCTTTATCGATTCTTATACTCGAATTCTGTAAAATTAATTTCATGCGACCTAAATGAACGGAACTAAACTCGTATCTTTTCGTTTTTAGCTTATTCAAGATGTTTTACATCTGTTTAATCGTTTGTTAACCATGAAAAGTATTCCGGTTGTTCAGCAAGTTTATCAAGCGATTTTAACAGATATGACAGCGAATTTTAATGTTTTATTAAATGCTCTTCAACAAAAACCGATCAGCATCGGAACAGCGTCATTCACAAGTGAACTAAACGAAGATGACGCCGAAGCAGCGTTGATCTTCGATTGCAGTGCCCTATGCCAAATCGGCAATGTCAAAGGAAATCTTTTTGGGGTAAGAGAGATGTTCTTTATAATCTTCTTCTCTTATGTTGTGACTAATCAAATGTAGATGTACGCACTTTCGCCACCACTTTTCGAATTACTGGCTAAACATCTTCAATTGACAAATTCGAAATTAGCTCAACAGTATCCCGCTGTTCATTATGGTGTTCTCAAAACTCTNGATTGCAGTGCCCTATGCCAAATCGGCAATGTCAAAGGAAATCTTTTTGGGGTAAGAGAGATGTTCTTTATAATCTTCTTCTCTTATGTTGTGACTAATCAAATGTAGATGTACGCACTTTCGCCACCACTTTTCGAATTACTGGCTAAACATCTTCAATTGACAAATTCGAAATTAGCTCAACAGTATCCCGCTGTTCATTATGGTGTTCTCAAAACTCTGTATTCGCATTGCGCAGCGTGAGTGAATCGTTGAGAATATGTTTTCATCGTGTTGTCGTGGAATTTTAGACATGAACATTTTATTCACAACTCTGATTTGTTCAAACAGAACGATGTGAATAGTGTGATGAGTTCAACAAGCTTAACTAAAGATAATTTCGAAGATTTACTCAAACTTCATCATCGATTGATTGTTAATAGCCATCTAAGTTGTCATGATACGAAGTAAGTCAATGTGCAGAGGAAAGAAACGAGTGAATTGTCGGTTTTTATTTAGAAAACTAGTATTGAATTGGTTGGCAGAGATCATCGATGCTTTACCACAAGAAGATAACGGACTACTTACTTTGCCGTTGCTACTTAAATTGTCCCATGCAATTATCGATATAGGTAATCATTATGATCTGCAAGATAATGTAATATATAGCATGTAATTTCGTTGTTATTTTAGCCTATTCGGACGAAGAAGAGATTTGTAATTTATGTTGCCGTTTATTGAATAAAATTGTCAAACGTCAACGTGATCTTGATGTGTCATTCCTAGTCCGGTAAGATGAATGAACAAATTAGTGCTTACCAATGTTGTTTTAGTTTATTTGATTTATGCCGCTTTTGGTTACAATCGAATGAAACATCAATTCACGATAGTTATTACGCGATTTTATGTTGTTTACCTGTGAATATTCTTACCAGGTTAGTTGAATGTGATACTCATTTAATAAGTACATGCGACATTTGTTTAGTAAATTTCCAACTCATGGTACATTACTATCATCGAAAAATGATTATTCCGGTTTTGCTAGCATCGTTAAACGAAATCATATGAACACACCATACTTAGGAACGTTTACCACACATTGTTTCAATTTAACCCTAGGCTACATTCTTGTTAATCATCAAATGCCGTATGTTTCTTTGTTCGCATCTTTGCTTTCGAGAGAGATAGAACCAGTTGTTTTGTTTTTGTCGCAGACGTATGTATGCGAGTACATGGCTCGAGCGGTTATTTCAGTCCTGCCAACGAAAGAGTAAGAATGGACCATCGAATGAAGATCCATCGCTGGAACGACAACATCGTGTGTTGAGCTACGAACAGCTACCGAACTTTGGCAATGATGCATTGGTTTGTTTGATTACGAAACGTACTAGAAGATAGGTTCTGTTTTCGTTTCCCTTCAGATATGGTTCTGGGCGATATGGGAGTGTGCACAGTTTTGCGTCATGAATAAACTGAAAACACCACTGGGAAAACCTCAAGAGACGTTTCTCGCATTGGAAGGTATGGGCGTTATTAGTCAAGTATAAAATTGACATTAAACGGATTTTAGAAACGTTACGACTTTTCGCATGGCCTGTTGATTCTACTAGTAAAAAAGCGGAAGCTTTTGGTTCGGAGCAAACCAATCGTTCATCAACACCCTCGTCTACCACGAATCCTGCAGTAGCTTCATCTTCATCAAGTGAATTAAATGCTCCTACGGATAAAGGCGACTGGTGGTGTGATCTACATCGCTGTGGTCTCCTATTACAATTGCTTGAGGCATTGGAGAAATGCATGTACAATGCGTACGAAGGCGCTGCTCTCTCCTTGCCACAGTTACCTAAAGTAAGCTGCTCAAATTTCTCGGTAGTCTTTCACATCTATTCGAATGTTTCAGCCTATAAAATTCTTTTTCATCACCAATAAATCGACATGTCTTGAATGGCTTAACCGTATTCGTATTCCAATGATTCTGACAGCCGTTCGAAGTGGCCAATACGAATCAGCTGTTCGCAACTGTAATCAATATCTAATGCACGTCTGTGCACTAGGTCAAGCTGATGTAAAATCTAATTTTATTTCAACCGCTGCGCTCACTTTTTTCCTCCATAGGCATCCGAATTTGAATTGGTGCTCATATCGTTTGTTCAATCATTGGTGAAACTTCATAATAGTATGGTTATTCATGGAATATATGTATGGTTGAAGGATACTCATCATCTTGACTGGCCATGGGTTCGAGCTTGTCAACATGAAGCTGCTGGCAATCTCGAGCAAGCAGCGTACGAGTATAAACTACTGCTAAATGAACATTTCAAAAGTTTGGTGAAAGCGAGCGAAACTACTGAGGAGAAAATTTCCAATGCCTTAGTGAAGTTTCTAACACAAAAAGTATGTCAGAGTTTTCACAGTATGAAATCGGTGAAACTAGTCTGTCGATCTAATTTTCAAAGGTTTATGATTGTTACTTGAGTCTTCATCAATGGCCTGAACTAATCGCATGGAACGAAGCGTGTCTAAAAATGCAAATGGCTTTTCTACAAGAAAACAATGAAGATTTACGTGCGGCCATGGAAACAACGATTGATATGAATGCTGTTCGGTATGATGTGAAGTAAAAATAAAAGTAGGACATTTGCCATTGTCTATTTGCAGAGCGATGAGCTGTTTTGAAAATCGAGATTACGATGGTTTGAAAGTGGCTATGAGAAAAATGGCCAACTCACAAACAGTTGGAGAAGAACTCGGAAGAAGTATTGAGTGTGGCTGGGATATGGAAGCGTTCGATATGCTAGCTAATGTTGAAACGTTGAAAGGTGTATCAAAACGACGATCCGGACTGTCTTCATTGAATGCAGTTCTCCAGTTAACGCAAGATTTAACACGTATACATAATGTCGATGAACATGCTTCGTGGTCAGAAGAGAGAGCTGCGATCAGTCAAGTGGCCGCTTTGTTCCAAAGCGAAGTAAGGATAGTAGGCAGCTGACATTTGCTAACTAGATACGGTATTTCTTTACAGAACCGAGAGGTTCCACTCCTACCCGGATACAAATTTGCACCAGTCCAACACAGTGTGCGCGCATTGAATTCAGTATTACTCTATAGTCAATCAAGTTCTAATAATCAAAGTAAATATCTTGCAAAACAATAACATGATTGATTGGTTTCATTCTTCTTAGATCCTTCGGCAACGATCAACTCCAATTGGACAGCTCTTCGAATGGGAGCCGCTCGGCTAGCCCGTCAACAGAATAATTTCACATTAGCTTCCAAGTTACTCATTCAGCAATTTCAATCAACTCATACATGGCCATCTGGTGCTTCAGCTGTTCAAGCTTGTAACGTTCCATTAGGATCTCCACTACGCTCATTTCATACTGATGTTTCATCGGTCGAAACCTACTCTCTAGCTTCGCTGATCAACATGATTGACCGTTATCAGAGTACACACATGGTTTCTATTGAACTTGAGACTGAAACAGCAAAACTAATCCATGCATTAGCGCTGAATAAAGCGAATAACATCAACGTCACCATTGCCATTGAATTTCTCTCCCGATCAATTCTGCGACATTTAATAAACGAGAGTCAAATCAGTGCACAATACAATAATCCTCGAACAATGATTACCATCGAGAAATGTTCGAGAAACTTGTTACACGCCGCTCGATGGTCGCGCACAGCTATCGAAAATAGCTATGAAACCACAACTTCAAATGTCATCTCGTTGAGTAAACTGTTTCAATTGAGAAAACAGTATCTTCAGACAGGTCTGGGTGTTGATATCGCTGGGGGTAAGTGTACTTCACAATTGGAAGAAGCAGATTATGATCAAATGCTTGTTTTCAGAACCGTTCGTTCGAAAAAATGTGCCTCTAGACGAATTGTTAATCGGTGAATTATTGGATTTTTCGACGCTAACCTGTCCAAATTTAGCCAAATCATGGTTTCGATTTGCCGATTGGGCTTACGGATGGGGACGACAATTACTTGCTCGATCTGTACCGTATGTACCTAGTTGAATGTATAGCATTGGAAATTTGATTTCGAATTATCGTAGATTATCATCTTTGGACTTTGGACAACAAGTTCGAGCAATTCTTCCACCGGTATGTCGATAAGCTATGCACCTTTTGCTCACAAAGTGTCATGACTTCTGTTATAGGAAGTGACATCGGATGAGGTCAATGAAATCTCCCGTATTCTATCATCTATTCGAGTTTTGAATGATGATGATTCCGAGCTCGTATGTTTCATCTTCATTTGATTTTCTCGAACTAAGCTCTCATCTGCTTTAGACTGCTTCTGAGTTATCATCACTTCATTCGTATCGTTCTGATCTATCTCGATCATGTTCATTGCTAACGAAATATCCGATTCTCATCGAAAAACTACTCGCCTTACATCCACAATATGATCTGCGTCGATATTTCCTATTAGAACAATCCTGTCGTGCTTATTTTACCTATTTACAATTAAGCAACACAAATATCCACGGAGCAACGAACGAGAAAAAATCGAACCATACAGATGATGCATCGAACGTACTGATTACTTTACGTTTGTTACGTGTACTTGTTCGCTATCCTCAACAATTGCGCATAGTATTTGAAACTAGTTTGGTCAGTATGCCAACGATGGCATGGAAACGTTTAACTCCGCAACTGTTTTCTCGGCTGAATCATCCGGATAGTTTCGTTCGAGATTATGTGACAAACTTATTAGTTCGTATCGCGAAAGACTTCCCTCAACTGATCCTCTACTCCGTCATCGTCGGAATCACTGATGATTCGAAAATGCGGCGGATGAAAGCTCGGGATGAAAATCGTTATGAAAGCAAATCGTTAAGTATACACGGGTCCGATGAAGATAAATCGCAAGAAGATGAAGATGAAGAGGAAGAGGAGGAGGAAGAAGAACAAGAAGATAATGATGAGCTTGAAGAAGATGACGATGTGGGCAAGCAAGAAAATATTCTAGCCATGCAAAATAGCTTTCGCTTGATTTATAATGTGCTTTCGGAAACCAATGCACATGTTGTTGGACAAGTGAAACTGTTCGTTCATGAACTAAGACGTGTAACAGTTCTATGGGATGAATTATGGTTAGGAACGATGGCTCAATTACAAGAAGAGATCAGTCGGTAAGTTCAAAATCGATTCACCGGTAACTATTGTAGAACAAAAAAACAAACTTGGAATATATTTTAGTCGTGTCGATGCTTTGAAAGATGAACTTCAACGTCTGGAAACTATGACTCATCTAACAAAAGAAGAAAAGGAATTTTTAGTCAAAGAAAAACAGGATGTACTGTTCAAATCTGTAAGTTACAACTTGATTTCTACAGATCATCTGATCAATCACATCTATTCAGTTTCTCACTGTGCTCGAAGCCGTTAGTCAAATAACTCGTGCATCTGCCGAAACGCCACGTGAACTCACCTTTCAAAAAGACTACAGCAAACAAATTGATGCGGCAATTGAACAATTAAAACAGCCGATTACACTAACGAATCCGCATGCATGTTGGTTACAACTTCGACAAGTAAGATTCTAGCGGATTATTCACACATTAAATAAGAACGAACTGTTTTGCAGTTGTATTCAATGTTGCATCGTACTGGCAAACGATCAGGTACGATTCATGCTATGCACCAAATCAGCCCAAAACTGGCACAAATCAAACACAGTGCTATTCCAATTCCCGGCGAAGACGGACAGGTTTGATGGTTTTTTCAAAAATGTCCATATTCGTTTGGTGTCTTTAGTTTTTGACGATTCATAGCGTTGGTCAGACAGTTCAGGTTTTACCAACGAAAACTCGGCCGAAAAAACTGATGTTCGTCGGATCTAATGGTCGTCGATATCAATATCTGTTGAAAGGTCTCGAAGATCTACATCTAGACGAGCGCATCATGCAGCTACTATCGATAATTAATGTTATGTTTACGAAAATGAATCGTAATGAACCGTGGTCGTACGAAGCAAGAAATTACACAGTGATTCCACTAGCATCACGAAGCGGTTTGATTCAATGGGTGGAAGGTGCAACGCCATTGTTCACACTTTATAAACGCTGGCAACAGAGACAAGCTACAGCACAAACTTGGAAAGCTCAGGTATGCATCAGAGCTGCACCAAGAAGCATTGAAAGTTGTTTTTAGAATGATAATCAAGAGACAACATTGGCAACAGTACAAAAACCAAATGATATCTATTATTCGAAATTAAATGGCATATTAAAAGAAAAGGTAGTTACATACTATCGATTTATTCTCGATTTGAATGAAAAGTTCAAACCTAGGGCAAATCACCTGTCGAAGATCGTCGCGAAGTACCAATGCCAATATTACGGCAATGTATCGAGGAGCTAATCCGTGAAACACCAGCGGATTTACTATCACGGTTGGTTTTCTAGTAGATTTCGAATGACTATGAAGGTTTTGTTCGATGTTTCTAGAGAACTTTGGTGCAGTTGTCCAAGTGTAGGCTTATGGTATAAGAATGTTCAAAACTATGGGTATGCAATCACTAATTTGCGATACAATGTATTCGATTTGATGTGTCTTTTGGCAGTCGTTCATTGGCTGTCACATCTATGATTGGATATATGATTGGTTTAGGCGATCGTCATCTTGATAACGTTCTCGTTGATTTAAAATCTGGACAAGTAACTAGAATATTGGGGTGAATATTCAATAAAGTACATTGATTTTTCGTTTGTTTAGATTATTCACATTGATTATAATATTTGTTTTGAAAAAGGTAAAAAACTACGCGTACCGGAAAAGGTTCCGTATCGTTTGACACAAAACTTACAAAATGCACTTGGAATTGCCGGTCTTGACGGCGTATTCTCTCTTTCATCTGAAAATGTTCTGGGAATTTTACGTAACGGCAAAGAAATCTTACTCAATCTACTCGAATCGTTTATCTATGATCCATTGATCGATTGGACGGGACACGATACCGGTGTTCTCTCTGCATTTTATGGTGGGCAGAGTCACCTCTACGAGCAGGTTACTATAAAGAAACGTCAAGTAGAAAAAGATGCTCTACTGCGTATGTTGCATCTGCGTATAATTGAAATTCGACATAATTGGTTGATTCTTGGGTAAGATTTCTTCGAATGCAATATTTCATATCTGATATGTGATCGTTTCTAGCGATTCGATCAATCGGACGATGAACAAGTTGTTTCAACGCGTCAATGATATGAACGAATTGAACAAAACTTTCAATGAACACGAAATGAAAATATGTCTGATGGAGAAACGTTTGGATTATTTTAGAACAGCTGTAGAAAGCAATGCAACAAGTCACCCGTTGTTTTCCTTACTCGACAGGTTCGATTCATTTTAACGATTCAAATTCAGTGTGGCAGAAATCGCGTTTCCATTTAGACGAAAAAAGCTACAAACAATCCGATCGGACATGAACACAGCGAGAGATTTGGTCTTGTCGTTGTGTCAACATCTGGATTCTGTTGTCACGAACATTGATGTGAGCAGATCATTTATTGTCACTATACTTAGACTGTCAAGTTTATTGTAGGAAGCGTATGAAGATTTACAATCGAAAGACTTTTATACTAAAATTCAACAGTTTGTTGCAACCAATGAAGTGTCTATTAGTACTTCACCAGTGGTACTTGCTTCCGAATTTCTTCAAGCAGCCGGAAAGTCAGCGTTACTCCATCAAGTATGACGGCCGATAGTTCGAACATTTCAGCCATTCAGAAATCCTTTGTTTAGAGCGAAGAATTAGATGACGAATTGCGAAGTGCTCTCAAACTCTATCGATCGGCGCGGCAATCGACTGTTTCGAGTGTATCGAAAAATCTCGTTGAACTTTGCCACTATCTACCAACTGATTATATTTCATCATCATCACTAAGCACATTAAAACATCGTCTCAATGAACTTTACAATAATTTTACTACTGAAAAGTGAGATCTCTTGATTCGCGTTGTTGCTGTATCTAAATGGAGTTTATAGGTGTCAAGAATTTCTACATCATGTCGATACAGAGTTTCTTATCAATGAAAATTCAGCTTCGCGAGTAGAATTGATCAGTCGAGCAGTCTCTGTCGACCATCAATTGAATGAATACTTGCAAACAATCGATCAGGAACTGACAGAAGTAAGTAATTCTTCTACAAAGTCATTCGAAACAGAATTTCTCCATCGCACAGAGTTCCAAGTTACAAATATTCCTTCAACAATCCTTAGTAGACGATACAATCTATCGGAACACCCTCAGTACTAATCTACAAAGTAAAACTTGCTTCTGTTGACTTTATTTTAACGTCCCGTCTTCTGTCAGACTTAGATAGTGATGAATACACAAATTACCGTTACATTCTTTCATTGATGCTATTTGATCGATGGCAACATTGTCGACAAATGAGTGATCGCGCGAAGATGATGTTTACTACACAATCATTCATAGAAAATCACGATGAAACGTTCATTCATGATCTTTACACATTGATTAGCAACACAAATTTTCTAGCATCGATTATTCAACAACACAGCGCAATCATAGTAAGTGCAAGTTTGAATGTGTATTCCACTGAACCATTTAATTTTTTTCTAGTCAGTAAATTCACCGTCTGTTGATAGTATCATCCAATTGATGAGCCGTTTGGAGAACATCTTTCGGCTAGTTAGAGTGAGTAATGGTAGCAATGTAGCAATTTGAATACGGAAATTTGTGTAGGATTTGTCAAACAACTTTGATCTAAACGCAGTACCTACTTTGATTCGTGCTGCATGTTCAAAACAAGCTAATCTACGTGTGTGTATGGATCTGTTGGATAATGCTTTTCAGCAGATTCCTCCTACACCGATCGACGATACGTGTCAAACAGTTTATCAGCAACTTCGTTCATCGTGGATAACAGGTACGTTCTGCAAAATCGCAGATCAGTGCTTATCGACTTTTGTTTGATTTTAGCTTCAAATGAGATTTTCGATACGTTTTTGAATCTCTCAAATGCATTCGACGAACTCAATAGTGAATTCAATGATATCACGGTTCTTTTTCAAACGTTAGACATACCGTCAACTTGGCTACAATCACCGCTATTCGATTGGAAACAAGTACGATCATTTCATTATGATTGAAATAGTATATTTCAATCGAAATATTTTAGACGAACATAACCAACGATGCTCGACAAAACTCCCTGAAAAACTTCTTTTCAATTAGCAAAATCACTACCATGCGACAAATTTGTCAATTAGTCATTGACCACACACAAACATTCGATAGTAAAATACAATTCCAAGTACGTCTCATATAGTTCTTTCATTAATTTCATAGATGTCAATACCCAAATCATCAAAGAAAGTGACTTAACCAATCTCATCAAACAATTTCTTGTCTTATACATCAATCATTATGTAAATCAGCTGAAGACACCGATGAACATTTTTTCATTGCATTTTCTTCTAGCTTGCTGATCTACCCGCTCTGGTCACCAGTTACTTGATCCTATCATTAATTCCATCCTTGCAGACTGATGTTATTCAATCGGATCATCAGTTTCAAGAGTTTCTTCATCGATTGTGTCTGATTACACCAACACAAAACACTACCGAACTCCAGCAATTATTAGCACAGATCAATGGTTCATGGCAAAGCAACAATAACGTTGAGTAAGAACAGACAAATTTATAGCTGGTATATCTATTTGCTCATTCAATATTTGCTTTAGACAAATCCAAATTGCATTCGATATATTAAATACTCGAAAACATACGAATGAAATGCAGCTACTTGCCTATCGATGGAAAAACTTTCATTTATTAAATTCCAATACTGAAAACCAACAACGACGTAGTATTTGTGAAGAATTAGCAGCGGTAAGTTACTTCGAAAGAGAATTTTCCTTCAGCAGGTCTTCGTTTTCGAAGGATCAAAGTGTGTTAGCCATACCCGACAACGCCTCGATCATAATTATTGATAAAATAACAACTCTTGAACAAACAGTAATTCAGCGATTAAGATGGGCTGCTGGTGCTAATCCTTTAGTACAAGATGTGCTTATCAAATTTGAAAACCAACAAAAACAACGCACGAATGAAATCAATGTGTGTAGAAAGTCAATTAAACTGCTCTGTTCTTTTCTCAACAGTTACTTTTAGAACGACAAACAAATCTGTGCGCATCTTGTTAAAACTCTTCAATCTTGGCTACTCTTTGAACAATATGAAGAGCAAATTAAACTTCAAGGAGAGCTGATTATTCATGCGCGAACATTTGCTGAGAAGTACTATCTAAAAGTCGGCCTGTTGCCAATTGATCTATTCTAATTGTTCTATTTGCAGAGGTTTGGAGATTTGCCAATTAAAAACAAATATTGAATCGGATTTCACAACTGTTGAACAAGCAGTCTTGGAATTTGCGGTACGTTGAAAAATGTCTTTGATCGGAGACAAATGTCTTTTGTCTTTCTAGCCGATTGAAAATTTACAAGAGATTACTTTACAAAATCTTCCGATGTTAATTGAACAAGCGAATAATGAATATGCGAAGCAAAAACGAAATCGAACTAAAGAAGAAAAAGACATGGAAATTCGGCGTGTATGTGTTGATCAGAATAAAATAGGTTTTGATCGAAGGATTGTCTTCTTTTTCATTTATAGGATGAAATGAGTAATTCAATCACTGAATTGAAAGAACAAATGTCTCATCACAATGTGGTCTTCAAGGATTTATCATCGCTATTGAAAAGTTTACTTCGCGTATGTTTCTTCCGAATCTGTTGTTCTTGTGAGACTAATTCAAAATCTACCTCGTAGACGATTCCACATCGTACAATTGCCAATTATTCTCAAATTCATCGGGAATTTCTTGAATTATGTCATACTATCGCTAAACATACGCTTCACATTGATAAAAATAGTACGATGCGATACGAAGATCTTCTAATAAAGATGAAGCGGGTCTTAGCGATTAAAACAAAGTAATGAGAGATTTATGGACATGAAAGAGACAAAAGATCTTGGTGGATGATTTTTTTCTCGTATAGAGTTTTTGAAGATTTAATCAACTTAAAACCACCAACTGACACTGGTAAGGATCTTCTTTTTCATAGGTTATCTGTTTTCTATTTATATATTCGACAGATAATCGAGAACAAGCAAGTTCGTCACTAATAAATACCAGTGCACAGCACGATACAACAGATAAATCAATTAAAGGTTTGTGCCCATGAATGCATTCTTCCAGTGATCAAATACTTTTTTCTGCTTCAGTTATTGAAGAACGAAACAAATATGCAGTCGAGATTTGTAAACGAATTCGCGATAAACTTGACGGTTCAGATCCTGATCCATTGACTCAAAGTTCCATCAGCGAACAAGTAAATTCATAAAAACGTCATCAATCACACTCGACCTTTTGCCTTTCTCTCGTGTGTTTAGGTTCGTTATACCATTCGTGAAGCAACCGACATTGAAAATTTAGCTACGCTGTATGAAGGCTGGACATCATGGGTTTGAGATGAAGAAAATTATCGTTCAAAGTTATGGTTCAACTAAAGATTCAATGAATTAAGCAGCTAGTATCGCATGGAAGAGCTCGTTTGATGTTTTCCGTAGAGAAAAATCAATGTATCAACACGAAGTCGTTTTTTTTTCAGCTGCCAGTTTTCTCTATACTTTTCTGTGATTAATATGACAAAATCCGGCTGAGTATCTTTCATTTCTTTTTCTGATTCAATAACGTTTTGTCTCGACTAAACGCAAAAATAAATCAGAACTATTTCTTTTACATGACTGACAACTTGCCTACTGAAGAAAAAAACGGCCGATTTCACCTGGTAGCACATTAATATTCTCTAATTGATTCATCATTGAGAAAAGGACAATGAAAAAAGAAGAATTCAAATAATAAAAACTTAACAAAATGTGAAGTTCTTTTTCGTCCAACAGAAATCATTTGGCCACTTCGCAAGTTCATTCATAGCGAGTAGTTGACATTGAAACGTTCGTGGTTCGTAATTACGTTTAACGAAAAAGTCGATCAAAGTATTGACACGTTTCGGAAAAACGCGTACTTTCAACCATTCGATTTGAACCATTGGTATATCGAATGAATCGAATATTTGACTTCCAGCTTCCACAACAAAACTTTCGCTGCCTTCAATGTCAACTTTCATAATTGCACTACGTAAACCGCGTTCGCGTAAAACTGGTAGAAGATCATCGAATTGGATTGTCTTCACTACATAAGGATTTGAAAGACTTTGATTTTGTGAAAGAGGTTTACTAATGTTGGGTTTCATCGCAGCATCTAATTCTTGTCCGCCGACGTTTAGTGCATCGTTCGACAATTTGAGATATTCGCCGGATTTCGTATACAATGCGTTTTGAATTAGAGCAATTCGATTTCCGACATCAGCCAATTGAACAGCACGATGAATACGATCAACATTTGGGCCAAAACATTCTATAGATAGTACAAATCGTCCTAAGGCAGCTGCATACATTGTATAAGTGCCAATATTGGCTCCGATATCAATGAAATCTAAATGCGGGTAACGCAGAAGTACGCGAAGTATTCGAGTAACGCCTTCTTCTTCCCAAATAGATGTTGATTCGCGAAACGAATTACTGACATAAATATCCTTTTGCGAATCGTAAACACATATATGAGAATTGAAATAATTCAGCAGTGTTTTGGTTTTCATACATTTGAAAGTCACGTTAACTGGTTTACTAAAATCCACTATAACAACGTGTGAAGTGGAATTCTGTGTCCGTTTCAATGCGCCACGCGATTCGATTGATGATGGTGATAGAACGAAATTTGTCTCATACAGGACTCGATTGTTCGCGATAAAATGACCAATTAGAATGCCGCCGATAAAGTGAATAAATACGAGAACGAGTAGTTTACTTGTTGGCAACATTTGACGAGGAAATAGAATTGCTCCTACAAAACAATCATATATGAGTGCTAATGACCATTTTGTCAAAGAAAATAACATGAATCTGGTTAGATAAACATCGTTGAATTGGTAATTTTTCTACTAGGAGGACTTTTTCTCTTTTCTTCGAGGCATCTTTTCTTCCTCAAACTGACGCACAGAGTCATGACATTTTTTTTCTCGAGAGCTACTCGAGGACAAGAAGAACTTCTCGGGTAAATTATTTCTATTCACTCTCTTTAAATATCTTCCTTGACAAAAAAAAGAGAACAAAACCGAGATAGTAAAACAAAATCACTAACTCTCCAAAAACGTCGTTCGCTAGAAATTCAACGCACGCGTCTTTTGCGAACAAGAAACTAATTAATTCACATGTCGTAGTAAGTTAACGTGTGTCATATGGAAAATTTCTATGCCTACATCACACTAATCGTATGTATTTAACATTAGTTGTGTAGTTTCTCTAAGCAAGTGTCGAAGGAGAGACACAAAGAAGAACAGGGGCACGGTTGAAATATCAACCTTTTAAATGTGAGGGTTAAGGCAACTGTATTTCGATAGTAGAGATGTGTATACACACCTACATCCTCCCTCTGAATTATTTCGATGCGTTCTTTCGTAAAATATAAATAGATCTTTGTAAAGAACTTACTGAATAGTCGACGTACTAGTTTTATCATGATTATGCATAAGCATGCGTCGTCTATGGCTGATTTAAAATGTGATGTTTGAAATACAAAGAGATGTGTGCTAACAATTGACATATAAATGTGGACTTAATATCATGTTCAGGAGCTTTTATTCTGTTGAATCAATGTGATTCGGTAAGGGAGCGAAAGAATATTTCCATTTAAAAAACAAAATATTGACATACGCAATATGATCCGTGCATAGTTCTTTCAATACAAAAGGAATGAAGAGAAGAATAGTTTTAGGGATGTGAGACCAATCCTATTGAGGAAAAAATGATATACTGTAATTGATATCTAAATCAGCAAAGGTAATCGACTAGTTCTCATCTGTTCTAGTGCGTAAGCCTAATATATAGACTTAATCATCTTGAATGTCAAGTAATCTCTTATCTGAATATCGACATGAAAGAAACTGAGTACCGCCAATCTAACTGCCAATTTTATAGCTACAATAAACATGACGACGAGAATGATTTGAGATTAAATTTTTCTATTTGACGAATTACACATTCTCAATATTAACAATCCGTACATTAGACCTCACGAATAGCAGAAAAGCTTGTTAGCACGAGTCTTTTCAGACTAATACGACGAACTCGCATGGATTCAATATTATTCTACCTGTGTAGCTTGTTGAGAGAAGAAGCAAGCCTGTAGACTTTCAGGAGAAGACGCATATGACTGTATAATTACTCTATACTGTATTTAATCTTATGGCGGTAACGTGAAAGCTTGCCGTTGTCCATTAATAATCCAACGCCATTCAGGTTTTATCTAACAACATGCTGATATTTACTCAGTGAATGAGTTGACAGAGCACACAATTAACTAGCAACGCAAGCTCATTCTTTCTCTACTTGACAATCGAAATATTCAACTGTTTTTATCGGCGGAATAATTCTACAAGAGGAAAAAAAACATTTTTACTCGAAAAGGATTCGGTCGAACTTCACGGAGTTAAATAATACCACACGGCGAGATATAAATACGTCAATACCGCCATTTACAACAACAAACATATGCAGTTAATAAGTACAAGTACGTCTAATCTAAAACTGAATATTTCATCGAATAGTAGATACGTACATACTCTGACGATTATTACTTCAGTCCTCTCAGCGCTAGATTTAATAAAAAAAGGTCTCTATCAATTCGGTTAATATTTACAAAACGAAATCAGGTCAATCACCGTTCATCTATTGTATGCATGCGTCGTTTACATCCACTAGCGCTTTTCACATTCATCAAATAGAAAATATGCTTGTCTGAGAAGGAAAACAGCTATATCACGTTTTTTTTTCACATCCTATTTGATGTCATTGCGATAACTGTCGAATGACAACGGCTCATAATTCAAAGAAACATAGTCAGCAAACATTTGCATCAAACTGACTAGGAGTGAACTATTAAACCAACACTAAACTCACCTATTTGCTCGAATGGCAGTAGCTGAATGAAGGATATAAATATTAGACGTGCTGAAATGAAACATACATGTCTTTCTTTCTCTCTTCAAATCGGAGAGAAATTATTTTACTACCTATACATCAGTTTTGACATCTTTTTCTTCCTCTTTTTTTCTTCTTTCCATTATTCTCAGCTGCGCGCAAAAGAGAGTTTACTTAAAAGGAAAGAGAAAAAATCGAAATATTGCGATTTTTCTCGTTAACGGAACAGTATTTTAATTATGTTTTTCTAGAAGATGTGATTTTTTTACTTTTGCAAGAGAAACTTGCCGTGATGTGTATAGCTTCTGTCAATAGAATTCTGGACCCTGTTGTCAATAAATGAGTGCCATGTGAGCTGATCGATGCTGACTTGCCACCGATGAAACGTAAATAGAAGCGCAAATCTAACTCTTTTTTTTTATGATGACATAGAGTTACAAAGTAAATAAAATTGTGTATTGATTACACGATGAATATAGTCGCGATGTTTTCATACTGAAGAGATTTACTACAAATGAATGCCAACACAATGAGAAAGTCATAAAATAACGGGTCTGAAGTAGATTACAGATATGTTATTTATTGTTTTAGTCACATTGTATGTGATGTAGAGAATCAATCGGATTGAAAATATCGAATAACGAGGTCGATTAATTCCTCATCATTGATGATTGATTGAGTTTTTGTGCCCTGAAAACCTATTTAAAGCACTATATATTATTTGCTTCATAAATGCTGAATTTAGTTATCAACTCTGTCGATTAAGGACATAGATCATGACTGCATCATTCCCATTCTTTAGAAACTCTTCCTAAAATGCCTATCGCAATTGAGATGCTCCACTTAACAAGTAAACAACTGTTCGACTAGTATTTTCTCAATTTATTGGAGGATTAACTAACCATCATTAAATCAATTTTCCTCATAGAATGAGCAACCGGTTGTAATTCAGCATTTTAATCAATGTGCGAGCACACAGAAAACGGACGAATAGACACTATCGCGCCAATATCGAAAGCAAGCTCATTTGTCAATCATTTATGGGCAATAAATAATAATAATACTTTGGTACCTTAGCAAAAAGACACGTCTCTCAATTGTGCAAACACTTCTGACCATAGATGTAGAGGTTATATGCAATTCATTGCGCTAATTCTGAATAGATTGATTTTAATTAGTTTTGACCTTGGGGGGAATCTTTCATTTTAATTATCAATATCACATCAATAACATAATTGACTTCGACAATGTTAAGAAAAACAAAGGAAAACTGTCAATCAATCATCATAACATATATTTACAAGATCTCGCCTTCGTTCTGTATCTTTACCATGTGTGGTAACGATTAATTGTAAATAAGACACTTGTCGATCTATGTATTGGAAGTAATGTCAGGCTGGCATTGAAAGAGAAAAATAATTTCTCAAGGTTTTTGAAAAACAAAATAAGAATATTGATCATATTGCCGAACTCGTATTCATTTACAAACGTTACCTGGAGCAGAGATGTCTTACAAATGGGTAACTCACTTCATTGCCGTTTTGTACTGACGACATTTCCAGGTAAGTTTCAATTAATTTCGGTTGTCTACGAGTTATTTTTAGTGATTTTATTATCATCGTACTGAAAAAGTTGTCAACTGCAAACCTGCATTTCCCCTCGTTGTCTTGTCAATCTAATCACCTAGCGCCATCTACAATAAAATGGGAAGACTTCATCATTTCAATCCAGCATATTTATCTTTGAATCATTTCTTTCAAATGAATGGCAAAAGAAGTAAAAAATCGAGTTGTTTTCTTGTTTGTTTATTACATCGAACTTCTAGCCAAACACCTGTGTATGTCAGCCGAGAGGTTCATAAACATGTACTCAACATGGCCGATACCTGTACAATAAGCATGTATATATGTTTTGATCATTGACGAACAATATGAAAAGAAGAAGACTAACCTAGTCAAGTTCTTTTTTTTTCTTCTTTTCAATGATTCAATCGATTGAAATGTATTCTAGATTATGAGATCACTTCTCAAATGGGATAATCATGTGTTCTTAATATCAATATCCCATTTCTATTAGAAACATTCTCTATGATTTGGCGAACAGTTTAGTTTTGTTAGCAAGAAGACTTTTTAACTGCAAACAATTCTCAACACTCCACAAATTCTCTTCGAATATCGCTTGCTGTACGGACAAACATGTCGACACCAACACAATATCCTCGAACAAATATTGTTAAACTTAATCAACCATCGTCATCATCATCAACAACACGAGACAGTAATGCTGCTGATGGAGTAAGTTGTCTTTTCAATCGAAATTTTGATCGAATATTACATAGAATATGTCCATCAATTAGTATCGATAATGTGTTTTTTTCTTAGCTCCTATTAGATGTGATGTAATATCGTATGATCGATCATTCTTTCACATGAATGTATACGCTGTTATACATTCGCTTCTTTTTTTCCTTGTTCATGCAATGAATGACATTTGTCATCAAATAGTTCGCAATTTGAATTTATTTTTCAGCATGTTGACTAGTTCAGTGCCATTTTGTACAGATCAGTAGACCATTCATTACCTATTTTGTGTCTTATTGTCTGACCGTTTAAGTGTTTCGTTCATGCATGTGTGCATAAAGAACATGAGTGAGAGAGAGAGAGAGAGAGGGGGAAAAGTGGAAAAAGAGAATGTGTACAAGAGAAGAAAAGAAAAAAAAAGGGACAACTACACCTACTCCAAACTGAATGTATGTATAATGTGTTCGTCAACCTATTATTCGTAATTGACAAAAGAAAGATGACGCGAAGGGACCGAGAGAAAAAAAAACACACATAATATAATTTTTTTCTCATTCATGTTTATTGAGATACGGAAAAAGAGAATGAAACGTCGTATATATCTATCTGTCTGTTTTTATTTTCAAATGTCGACAACATTGTATGACAGAAGAAGAAAGAAAAACCCTCAGATGACAGCATTTGAAAGGACATGAAAAAAGGTCGAAGGAGAAATGATTTTACGTAAACGTGAATGTGTTTTTGTTCATAAGATAGTTAGAAGACGCTTAACTATATGAAATATGTGACAAATCGTTTTTTTTGTTCTTTCCTTCTCTAGAGATCTACCAATAACGATCATCACCATCATCATAATCATAACAATAATAATAACAATAGCACACCGTCAACTGGACCTGCACCATCTTCGTCCACACGTTTACAATCAAGTAAAATGCGTGATCCCAACGAACCACATATTGGCAAATATCGATTTGTCAAGGTAAACGATCAACTTCTCTGTGACGAGCTCGCTGAGATTTCGTATTCAATTTAGACCATTGGCAAAGGTAATTTTGCCAAAGTCAAATTAGCCAAACATATTCCAACAGGCCGAGAAGTAGCGATTAAAATAATCGACAAAGCTCAATTGAATCCCACATCATTGCAAAAGGTTGGAATAGAAAAATCTGTTTTTCACTTCGTTTACCGCTCGTCTTTTTCTCGTCTAGTTATTTCGTGAAGTCAAGATAATGAAAGGACTCGATCATCCAAATATTGGTAAGTAACGAAAAGGTCTCCGACTCAAGCATTGTTCTTTCTGCTGTTTTAGTGAAACTTTTCGAAGTCATCGAAACGGAGAAAACACTCTATCTTGTCATGGAATACGCAAGTGGAGGTAATGCAAAACACTAAAAGTATAAATCGATTGAATAATTGATGTATTTGTACAGGTGAGGTGTTTGATTATCTTGTTGCACATGGACGCATGAAAGAAAAGGAAGCGCGATCAAAATTTCGACAGGTAAGTGAAGAGAATCAATCATCAAAGTTCCCACACTTCGAAATCATTATCAATATCCATTATTTGATTTTGATGGCTTCGATAAAACTAATGAAGCCGTAATGATTTGCTTCTTCGTAAATGAGAAGAAAAAGAATCCATTGGAAATCAACAGACCTTTAATTATACTGAAAAGCTTCTTCCATAAGTCATCACATTTCACTTTAGATCGTCTCTGCTGTACAATATCTCCATCAGAAGCATATCGTGCATCGAGATTTGAAAGTATGAACGTAATATTGATCGATTCGATCGAATGTTTGCTGTTCATTTAGGCAGAAAATCTCCTACTCGATTCAGAATTGAATATTAAAATCGCAGATTTTGGTTTCAGCAATGAATTTACACCTGGAAATAAACTTGATACATTTTGTGGCAGTCCACCATATGCTGCACCAGAGCTTTTTCAAGGAAAAAAATATGATGGACCCGAAGTCGACGTTTGGAGTTTAGGAGTCATTTTGTATACACTTGTCAGCGGTTCATTACCATTTGATGGACAAAATCTTAAAGTATGCATCGAATCTTGTTGCTCAACCCTTTGGAATTAGAAATGTGTTTTAGGAACTACGAGAACGCGTCTTACGTGGAAAGTATCGAATTCCATTCTACATGTCAACTGATTGTGAGACTTTATTGAAGAAATTTCTCGTTTTAAACCCAGCACGACGTGCTGCACTAGAAGTACAGTCGATCGAGTTCTTCCAACGTATTCACAAAGGGTTTTTTTTTCTTCTAGGCAATTATGAAAGATAAATGGATCAATATTAATTATGAGAATGATGAACTGAAACCATATGAGGAGCCAAGTCAAGATTTTAATGACAGCTATCGAATAGAAGCTATGATACGTGATAGTAATTTTGCACGAGAACAAGTCATTGAGTCATTAACTTCACGTAAATATGATGATATCATGGCATATTATCTTCTTCTTGCCGTTCGAACAAATGAAGTACGACGAAATGTACTGAAGTTGATGATTCAATATACTGATTTGTTTTTCAGAATGATAGTCCCGACGCTCAAGTAGGTACAACGACAACGAACAACAGCAGCAGCAGCAGCAGCAGCAACAACAAAGGTGTCAGTGATGCATCGAATACACCATCAACATTAGCATCGAAGATTGTCTCAGCCAGTACTCGGCCAGCAACAGCAAACGATAAAGAAAATCTTCCATCCATTGATAAGCAACATCGACCAATGACTGCAGCAGTACCACCCTCTGGCAATGATCATTCGTTAATAAATGGTACAACAACTGGAACTAATGGTGTCAACACATCGTTATTAACATCATCGAGCATTGATACATCGACAGCTAACAATGGTCAGCATATGTCGTTGAAAACAAGTGCAAGCGGTGGCCCACCGGTCTCGTCAATGATCGCGTCGCATTCAGTATCGAATCGTACAAACGCGGTTGAGAAACTTCGCTCACAAACAGTTCGTTTACCTGGTACAGGTGTTCGTCGTCGTGAAACAATCGATCCTGTACCAGGTGGTGCATCGATGAGAAAAGTCGATACCAGCGACAAGTGTAAAACGCCAACAGGAGATGCGTAAGTATTCCTACGAGAGATATCGGTTTTGTTTCTTTGCATGGTTGTTTGTCATTGTTTGCTTTTGCTTATTAGTGCATTTTTTGAAAGTCGTATTCCACGTTTACCTCAAAGGTTTGTGTTTTACTCCATTTTTCTCTTCTCGACCGCACTAACCGGTTGAAATTTCCCCTGGTTTTGTCTAGTTTTAATCGTAACGGTATTGAACCGGCGCCATCGTCAGCTTCATCCACATCTTCTCAGGCTCCACATCATTTGATGCGGTCGTCCGTACGTGAGAATCCCAAGTCAGCAAGTCTATCAGCACAACAACCGCAACACCATTTGCATAATACGCCCAAAATTCAAGAGAAACTCAAGTGTGTATNTTTCTGCACACATGAATATACGTACATATATATATTGAAATAATTTTCGCGTAATTTATTCTTCTTAACTTGACACGTTTTTATATCGCCTGAAAATAACAGTGTGTGCTCTTCTTTATTCTCTTTGTAACTAAAGTGAAATTGTTTCTTTTGACTTTCTCGATCTGTCTCTGTATTTGTTGGTTTCTCTTGCACATTCAATATTCATATTCGATCTGTTCAGTTTTTCATTTAACTCCAGCGCGCTCTCGAACTTCCCCTCAGAAAATCAGACTTGATTAACATATTGTCACATATACGTGCGCACATTGATGACACGCAATTAGTTATCTTTTGCTTCGTACGCATTCAGTTTCTTTCTTTTTGGTGTTCTTGCTTTCTTCCTCCTTTATTCACTTCTTACGCTTCGTTTTCTCTAGATATGTTCGATTCCACTGTGTGTTCTTCTTTGGTGTTTATCGTTCATATCTTTTTCTCTTGTCTTGCTCTCGAGTCTTCTTCTTTTTCTTTTTGCTGTGTGTGCGCGCGCGCTGTCTCGAAGAATTTACATACATTAAACTCTGCATTCGGATGAATGCGTCAGAAAGATAATCTCAATGCAAAATATTAATTCAAAACTTTCAATTAGCACTTCCTAATGACTATCAGCTGATCAAGAGAGGATCTTCGTGTCTACTAAAGTTTTTGATAAGCATCAAACGACCGATTATCAATGTTTTATTGAACTATTTGGAAAATTTAGGCAGGTTCGCTTGTGCTTGTAACAAAGGAAAAGTCGTATTTATACAAATGGACGACATGCACGGCGTGCTTTCATTATATGTAAGAATGAATAGGCGGGAAATTTGAAATGATTTACATTCAAAAAAGGACGTTCACAAGTACAGATAACTCCGTGCATTCTTTGTTACCATTGTTGTCTATGAATCTATATATTCTACTTTTTCACTGTTTATCCAGACATTTGGTTACATAGTCGTATCCAGGGTGAGGGCGTAACGGTAAGTGAATAGATACATGCGAGCGATTAATATTTGATCGTCTGTGATTTTTTTTGTCTTTCGTTAGTTGTATTGCGTATTTTAATCGGAGAAAATCAAATAGTATGGCACCGGAGATG